ATTTAGCGCCTCTCAAACTCACAAGAGTGTGTTTGGTTGCATTTCAATCCAAGCTCATAATCTCATCTACGGTTGTTACTAAGTCTCTCTCTCCTTTGTTGACATTACTTTGAATAGAATCTATTGAAAAACAAACTATTTTCAGATTTGTTAAGACATATACATAAACGATTTAACGCCTAATCTAAAAACTTTTATTTGCTAATCACCAATTAATAAGCTACATCCTCTATTTAATACTAAAGGATGCCACGTGTGTACTAAGAGAAGTGACCTTTCTCTTTCCTCCCAAACTATCTCCTCCTCTCTCTCTCTCTCTCTCGCCGACGAGGCAGGAAGAACGACCAATTGAGACGTTTGACCCTTAACCCGAGATTCAGCAGATTTGATATTCTGAACAATCTCTCTCCCTTTCCCTCTCCCTCGGTCAAGGAAAAAAAAGTCTCCTCTTTCGTCTTCTACGATCTCGGATTATCTGTAAGTTCTCTAATCGCGATTTCAGAGGGCGTTTATATCAGATCTGGCGAATGGATAGCAGTTACTCTGTGATTTCCAAAAACTCTTACGTCGAGTTACAGAAACAGGCGGATAATGGAATCCCGGGAAAACCCAGAACCAAATTGCTTCCTTCTGATGAAGAAAGCTTCGTCAATGATGTTGACGATACCCGTAATGGCGTTGGCGATGACGAAGGGGATGATGATCTGGATTTCGATGTCGCTGACTATTCACTCGTTCATGGGAAATCGAATCAAGGATCTGGGACCTACGGTGCGGTTTTTAACCTCACCACATCGATTATAGGCGCCGGGATCATGGCATTGCCCGCCACCATGAAAGTTCTCGGCTTGATCCTAGGGTTTGTTCTGATCATCCTGATGGCGATTTTGTCCGAGATTAGTGTTGAGCTTTTGATTAGATTCTCAGTTCTTTACAAGTCCAGATCTTACGGGGAGGTGGTGCAGTTCGCATTGGGGAAAACCGCCAGGGTTTTGTCTGAGATTTGCATCATCGTCAACAACGGCGGCGTCCTCGTTGTCTACCTGATCATAATGGGCGACGTCATGTCTGGTTCGCTTCATCACATTGGGGTTTTGGATCAATGGTTAGGAAATGGATTCTGGGATCACCGTAAAGTTTTGATCTTGATTGTTATGGTCATCTTCTTGGCTCCTCTCTGTGCTTTGAACAAGATCGATTCCTTGAGCGTGACCTCAGCTGCTTCAGTTGCTCTTGCCGTTGTCTTTGTGGTCGTCTGTTTTGGCGTCGCCACCATCAAGCTCGTCGAAGGGACCATCGACCCTCCGAGGATGTATCCTGATTTTGGTTCCAAAAAAGCAATCCTGGATCTTCTCGTGGTCATTCCGATCATGTCAAACGCTTACGTCTGCCATTTCAACGTCCAGCCAATCTACAACGAGCTCCAAGGCCGATCACCTCACAAGATGAACCGGGTCGGGAGAATCACAACAGCCATCTGTGTTGTGGTCTATGCGTCAACTGCAATCTCGGGTTATCTCCTCTTCGGTATGGACACGGAGGCAGATATTTTGACCAACTTTGATCAAGATCTCGGCATCCGTTTCAGCTCTGCCGTGAATTACATTGTCAGAATCGGATACATTCTTCATCTGGTTCTCGTCTTCCCCGTGATCCATTTCTCCTTGAGAGAAACTGTCAACACCTTGCTGTTTGAAGGCTCGCCTCCTCTGGCCGAAAGCAAAAAGAGATCTTTGGGACTCACAGTGATCTTGCTGGCTCTGATCTACATCGGCTCAACGATGATCCCAAACATATGGACTGCTTTCAAATTCACAGGCGCAACCTCAGCGGTTTCACTTGGTTTCACATTCCCTGCTCTTATCGCATTACGGTTAGGGAAACAGACCAATTCGTTAAGCCTCGTCGAGAGATCTGTGTCGTGGTTGATGCTAATCTTGGCCGTTGTGGTTAGCGTTGTTGGAACCATTGGCAACATTTACAGCCTCAGGAGCAAATCAGATTGATAGCGGCTTTCAGGATCTTGTAGATTTATACAGTCAGAGGTTCAGTCCAACACCGAACCGGAAGTCTTCAGTTTTGCGACAGCTACGTGCACATGTAGGATCTCAATCAATGGCCTTTGTTCTGGCTAAGCCTAAAGATTTCCGGTTTGTGAATTGTTTCAGGTAGTGAGATTTTCATCATACCCTTGACTTCTATGTATACAGACCAGATTCTTATGATATTATATATATACGCAATTTTGCTGCTCTTTAATTACAATCTCCTTTTTTTCTGGCTGCGATCTTTTATGTTACCTTGGATGTATCTGTTGGAATATAGGGTTAATCATGATTGTACTTTGAAACCGAGTTGTTCTTCTCTAAGCCGGGATTAAAGCGATTAGGTACCTGAAATAACTGATGGTTCAAGTCAAGCTATGAATTTTGAGCTGGTTGTTAGAACTTTAGAGCGTTTCGGAGCTTGCGAGATTGGTTGTAATTTTGACATTAGAGCCAAGTAACGAAACTTAAGTTCGACTTAAAGGTAGTATATCATTAAAGATCTAATTTACCTTTGATTCATGATAAATAACTTCGATAACCGTGGAGTAATACATTGTAATGCTGATCCAACGAGCTTTTCCTCGGTTGTTTAAGCCAATCTTCAAGTTCAATTCTTATCAGTCTTACAATATTCTTCTTTTGTCATGATTATAAGCACAATATAGTATAGATTCACGGTTTATTAAATCATTATTAATCAGTAAACTTAAAGCATAATATGGCCAAGCCGAAAATAGAAGTGGCTGGTAGTGCAACCGAACAGCGCTTTAAATTTCACATGCTCATGGCCCGTGACCGTGAGTCCCAATTGTGTCTTTCATTTATCTGTACACTAGTTTCTTATAGAGAATTATAAGTTTGTAGACTCTAGTTATAAAGTATATTTTGATTGTGATGGATGAGAATATTTGCATGATTGCATCCACTAGTCGCTACTCGCTAGTGTGGATGTTTGTAATCACAGCATCGATAATAATGGCTCGCATAATCTCTTAAAAGCTTAATAATAATTTATCTCCCTCCTTAATTTTAAAAGCCACACCGAGGATAATCATAAAAATGGATTTTTGTTCATTGACTTTAAGTCATAAAATAATAATAACAGTAATGCGATTCAAAAACAAAATTGGATTATGAATTTTAATCTCTACGGTACTATTTTTTTTGGTTATCGTTAGTTGACCTAACTATGAAGATAATACTAAGTATTTAGTTAATTAATCCACTTTACCGGTTACGAAGATAAAGCATTTTTTTGTGTTTTCAACTTAATACATTAGTCATTTGTATCTATGACTTACGGATATGTCAACTGAATATTGAAATACTTGAATGACCGAATTGCAAAAGAACTAAACACAAAATGCTGAAAATAATCACAAAATGCTGAAAATAGATTAGGAACGTTTTGTTTTGTCTGATTGTATAGTATTAATACGTTTATAATATACATTGTAATTATTATTATTTATAAAATATAAAAACGTTAAAATTTGATGAATATCATATATAATATATATTTTTTATAAATATAAAACTAGTATAGTGTATTTGTTATTCAAAAGAAAATTTGTTGATAAATTGCTGAAAGAAATAAGATTATAAGATTGACTAAATTTAAGAATAAGAATAGTAAATGGCACACTATAGACAGCATATGCTCCATTTCCCACACCGTGATTAATGGGCACACCCACAGTCAGACATCTCCATGTGTTATACAATACTTATCATTTTCTTCGTTTTCAATATCTCTTTTATCACAATGCGAAAGATGTGTGAACTTCTTTACTTTGTTATTTTGACCCCATCTTTTCACTTTGGTTTACTTTAGTCCATCGTTCACCCACCTTACCAAGCAAGCCCCGTTACTTTTATAAAAGTCAAAAAGAACCCCAACCGTCTCTCCTTTATATAATAGATAGACACTCGCAGAGCTTTACCCTCACCAAAATCAAAATTTCATTATTCAATTCGCATGAACAATGGATTGGTTCTCATGGCTATCGAGAACAAACCTTGAAGATTCCCTCATCTACGAGTACGGTCTCTCCTTCTCCCACAACGAGCTCGAGTACGAAGACATTGCCTACTTCAACCACGAATTTCTCCAGAGCATGGGGATCTCCATCGCCAAGCACCGCCTCGAGATCCTGAAGCTGGCTCGGAAGGATCGAAAGCCGTCTCCGCTCACCGCTCGAGTGCTGATTGCGATTAGGAAAACGGGGAAATGCTTCTCCGAGTACGTTCGCGCCTGGATCCGACGCGAGGAATCTTCCCGGGCCCTCGTGATTGTGCCGAGGAACCGCGGGAACGGGAGATGGAAAGGCGCCTCGCTGAAGAGGAACAAGAGATCGGTGATGCCGAGCAACGGGAACAAGGAAGAGAGGCTACTCTTGACCAATGGGACTCCATGTAGTAGGCTCGATAGCTTCTCGAACCCCAAGGTTTTCGATTACTGTTTGAAAGAGGAGGAGAAGGGTGGCAACGATGAACAAGAGATTATCAAGTGGGATTCCATGTTTCAGAATCTGAAACCAACTTGAAATCAGATAGATGGTGATTTTTAGGGTTCTTCCACCATGTTTTTCTGATGAGTTTGCTGGGTTTTTTATGTTTGTTGGGGTAAATTAGCAAAATTGAAGTATAGGATTAGCCTCTCTGATGTAAACAAAATACTAATAGTCTCTTTGTCGGACAGTCCAACTTATTTGACTAATTATACAAACATCAAACAGATAAACAACAACATTACAACCTGATCAAGAAACACCATACAAAAGGTTTTCCCAACCGTTCCAACTTTATCACATAACTTACAAATCTTCAAATACACCCCAAAAAAAATATGCCGCATGGTACGTTCAACAGTAGGAGCCTAAAATATTGGAAAAGTTATAAATAGCATTAATAAGTGTATTTATATCGTCTCTCTGACTTTCCCTGGATATGTCAGTGACCAGCTGATTGCGGCTGCAACCGGAAAGAGCCGGACGCATAGAGAGCTTGATAAACCGGGCGGATTCTCACCGTCAATATAACACTCAGCAGAGTTCCAAGGCCACACACACCGGCCAGGACCAAGAACGTTACCCTGAAGCAATCCGGACCTATGCATGTCGCATTCCCTTGCTTATCAGCTTCCATGTCGTAGATGTATCCGGCAAGAAAGGCCGAGAATATGGTGGCCCCGATTGGGTTTCCCAGGAGTATGAAGTTGTAGTTTATTCCAAAATTCCTCAGTCCAAAGAGCTCCGAGATGGTTGCGATCGATAAGAACTGAAACCCCATGCCTATCCCGATCAGAGCAGTCGCCACGTAAATGCTGTGGTCGATGGCCATGGCGAAGAGGAGGAATGTGAATACCATGACGAGCTGCGCGGCTCCCATCCATAGTGTTCTTGGAAGCGTTCTTGACCTGAGGCACAAAAGGATGAGACTGTTTTTTTTCTGGAAAAAGAAACAGAGAGATTGTTTTGAGTGATAGAGGAGAAAGATTCTTACTTCACGAAGTGCTCGGAAATGGCACCTGAAGCGAGACGACCTACGAAGTTGAAGAAGCTGAAGAGGCAAAGGAGTATGGTTGTGTCCTTAATACCAAAAGCAAATCCAATCTGTGCCAAGTTGTTTGAGACCGTAACGCCTGAACCCATGCCGAGGAAATACACAAACCAAAGCAGCCAGAAATCTGCCTTGACAAACACTTGGCGAACCTTGAAATCCTCACCTCTCCTGGGTTTTCTCTTCTTCTTAATCGCACCTTCTCCCTCAGCGAGAAGTATTTCCATATCCGAGGCATCATCTCCTTCTCCTTCGAAGAGAGGCCCGAGGTTTGAAGCTGAGGTAGAAGTTGTGAGCAGTGGTTCTTCCCCTTCCTCTTTGGCTAGATTGTCCGAAGAACCAGGTAGAGATCTCGTGGCATCTGAACGGAAAAGTGTCATCTTGATGGGGATCGCAAGAGGCGAGAACAAAAACAACACCATGATAGCCACAAGAACATATCTGAGGATGGTTGGCAGTGAAAACACCTCACTGACCACAGTCGTCACAACAAGATAAGCAGCGAGAATGATACTAGTGCCGAGCAGAAAAGCGAAATAGAGCGGCTCAGAAGGGTCTTCACCGGTCGCCGGAGTACAGGGGCGGACGAAGTACATGACCGCTAAGCATAAAACCGGAATGCCAACCGTGAGAAGCAGGAGCAGATTCGAAGCTGAGTGGTGAAGCAAGACGCTGAACAACACAGTGAATGCTGCACCACTGATCCCAATGTAGCCTTTGAGGAGTCCCGCCACAGGGCCTCGGCTCATAGGAAAGTTCCTCATGTTGGTCACTAGAGATGCTGTGCCGAACCATGAGCTGCTATTGGTGGCCACAACTAGAGCGATGAAAAGCTGTCAACAACATTAACAAACCAAAAATACTTTAAGTCTTAGTGACTTCAGTGATCAACGAAACAATAGAGATGATCATCAATTCTTCTTCTTCTTTTCTTTCTACCAGTGACAATATTTGACAAATGACGGAACTTATGGCAAAACCGCAAGATCTATACTTGATTTTATAAATCAATGAAAAAAATAGTTGAAAATAAGGAAACAGGCAAGCTTTCGATGCAATCTATGGCTTATGATACCAGAAGTTTCCCAGAGAGTAGATAGATTTTACAAACTTCGGAGTAAGAAAAACAAAACAAAGTAAGGAATCGATTTGCTTCTTACCAGCCAGAAAGGCAAACCAAGAACGATTTCGCTGACGGAGAGCCAGAGGACGCCGTAACCGAGGAAACAAGAGGAAAGTCCGAGGAGAAGCATCGCCCATGGAGGAAGCTTGTTACTGGCATATCCTGGGAGTAGCCCCATGTTTTCTCCCAAATCACAAGCGACGCCGAGGATCGTGATCTGTTGCTGGTTAAAACCCAAAACCGATTTGAGAGCGGCGGAGTAAAGCGGGAACGTCGAACCGTTTCCCGCCGACATCTGAACCCACGCGGCGGCCGCTAATCCCACCCACGGTGGTCGGCTTCCCGACTTTTCCACCAGCTTCGGCATCTCCGATCTATCACTTACACACACTCACTTTCTCTCTCTCTCTTTTTTCTCTCTCTTCTTCTTCTTCTTCTTCTTCTTCTTCTTCTTCTCCTTCTCCCCTTGGGATTTAGAACTGTTGCTTTAAATGTTGGGATGGTGTGTCTCTATATAAAGTGGAGATTACACAATTCTAATCTTCAAAAATGAGTAATATTAAAGTTAACACATTTTTAAAGCATTCGTTATAAACTTTTAATTTTTGACAAAGTAGCGTGATTCGTGAGAGGTTTTAGATTACTTTTGAAACTAATAATCATTTAAAATTCTTCTAATAAACCTATTAGTAACTTTACTCGTATTAGTATTTGTTTTCTTTGTAACATACACCTATTATTTGTTCCAACTATGACCAAAACTAAAAATCCACAGTTCTAAATTACTAGTATGAGCACTAGTACTAGTAAGCCAGTCGAAAACTTGTTTATATATATGCATATAAAGTTGGTTAAAAAAACACAGGCTGTTTTGCTATTTTTAGTCTGATACATAACATAAGCAAAACAAAATAATTTGTTGTCATGCGAAGATTTTTGTGTTGGAACACGTGAGGTCATTTGACTATGAATCCGTCCCGCGTGGACCTCCCGATGCATGACTGTGGCATTGTTCTTAACGATCCCATTTCTCAATTACTTTAATAATCAGCAATTTCTATATTTTACAATACATAATAATAGCATTATAGGTACCTCCTAAGAGGAGAGGATTCACACAGCTTCTTCCTTTTAATAGTAACAAACTCATCGAGTCAAAAACCGACAAATAAAAGCGAACCGGGGCATAAACCCAAAATATATAATAAATACGATACGCAAAAATCTTACCTATTCTACGAGGAAAAAAATAAATTAATTTGAAACTGCACCGGCCTCGAGGCACAAATAGCAATCGGACACGTAAATAACTTCACATTCGTCGTATTACTACTCGTAGTTACTAATTACATTTAATTTCGGGACAGACGACCATTCACTCTCAAAATCATTAATGTCTTGCTTTATTGAAGAAACCTACTACTACTTCATTTCTACCACCGAATATTCAACATTCGTTTCTCGCTTTATAAATAAAAATTAATAATACAAAATTTAGAAGAGTAAAAGAAAAGAAATTTCTACTCCATCAAGAATTTAGAAGACAACACTACAAGTGAAGTTATGATCCTAAATTTGTTATTGTTCTAACATACTTATAAGAGACGAACTTTTTCTACACGGTTTTATTTTATTTTTAAAAAGAGCATATTATTAACGTTTTCGATAGGAAAAACAAAAACTCACCTTAAAACAAAAACTGTAATAATATGGGCTCATTCACTCAATGAATGGGCTGCCTGCAATAATTAAAACCTATTCATCTGGACCATAGACTTCTTAGAATGAGATCGGTGACGTCTTTCTCTGACGAAAATCAGCCAAAAGATGAGTGAGAACATGACTGCACCAGAGAGTGACGCGAGGCCTGCGTAGATCCACTGGCTGGTGATGCTGAGTCCAGGGCAGTTCTTGGTTGTTATGTCTCTGAAGGTGTCTCGGACGAAAGTGCAATCAGCAATACTAGCCAAGAACGGACCGTAATGGTCCAACGTGAAACCGACGTTTATCGCACCCATCATCTGGTCGTATGATGCTGGGGTTAACCTCCCCTGCGTTGTGCAGATCCCTTCTGCATTCACTTGGCACACATAGCCTTTGTAGATCTATTTACCAAAAAAAATACAAAAACACGTTAACATTACTTTTTATCAATTCATACATTTTAAACATGATACTTAAATATATTATCCATATGACATTGACATCAAACATCACTTACCAGTTACCATTAACCTAATTAAAAACAAAAAAGTTGGTTATACGTAGTAAGTACCTCAGAAGCATTGGCGAGGAGAATCTCGTCAGGAGCACAAGGTCGAGGGTTGTGATTTTTGTCGAGCGGGTTACAGAGAAGAGGAACGAGCGGGCCGGACTGGTTATGGTAGAAAGGGACGTTAGGCGGGAACTCATGGTTACTGACGTTGACAGTGTACGCATTGGTCATGTCAACTGCCGTAGAAGTCATCGTCTTGGTTATATCCAATGTATCTGCAATGGTTTTAGGGTCTAAACATGGAAGAAGCTGGCTCAACGCTGACTCTGCCGCTGGATCATGCACCCATTGGTCCATCGCCACACACGTGTCTGCTACCACACTGTTTTAAGAAACATCATTTGTTAGTTTGATAAAAGAAAAAGTGTAACTTTAAAATCTTGAATTAGATCAATTGATGATGATTACTTGTGGAAGACAAGGAACACTGCGCTGAGGAGGATCGTTACTGTGACGAGAATCCAACCCAAAATCACTAAGCTGATGTCCAAACATTAATTATAACCATTTAATTTGGATTGTGCTGTAATATATCGACTGTATAGAAAGTCTACGAGTAAGTAGAGTAACTCACAGGTAGACAAGAACTCGCAGTCCACAGAAGGAAAACACTGTTCAGAATCACAAGTTATGTTAAAAACAAACAAAAGCAGTTAAAAAAAAAAAGATGGAGTAAGAAATATGTTAGCTTTGGGACTTACAGAGGCCGAGGAATGCGACTGCGAGCATAACACCAGCGACCACATTTAAGACATATCTCCTGAAGAACAATTTAAAACGATTCTGAGTCATATAAACAGAGCTTTTTATGTAACTTGTGAAGCAAGGCATCTATCTAACTAAAACTTACACAGGGTTTAACGTTCCGGTGAGATAACGAATAGTCTGATTAGCGACACGGTCAGGGTATGTGATGTTAGACATCTTGATCATGTTGTTGAAATGATCAATGTTACCTCTAAACTCAGGAGGAAACAGCTTATGCCCATCGAGCTGAATGTCTTTAGCAGATTGAATCGAGTCCCACAAGCTCGTTAGCTTACCCAAAACACCAGTTGCTTGTTTCACAATGTACATAAACGTCTTCTCCACACTACCGTAGAACTCCTTTTGCCCAGTGTAGAGCATCGACGACCCAATCCTGAAAAAAACGGTAGAAATTATTAACCAAGATATCTAGAATATAATAATATATAATAATTGTTGAGGCAAAGGAAGTTACACGGCGGCGATAGTGAAGAGGAGGAGGAGGACGAGAGATAGAGTGTAGCAGACGCGAGAGTAGCCGTAGCTCCGGCGGCCGCAACCGCAGCAACAGCAACAGAGGCATGAGCAGATGAGGAAGAGTCCGAGCAATACGAACCACAAGATTGCTATAACTATGAACGGAACTGCAGAAAATCCAACGGACTGGAAAAAAAGTATAAATTTCGAATCGGATTTAAGTTTCTATAATTTAATTTTGGCCCGGTACAATCAGTTGTTAGATGATTTACCCTACCACGACTAAAACATCATAATTTTCGTTTTATTTTAATTCTAGCACAGCACTATTAATTATTACGTGAGTTGCCCACAGGCCTCATATTTATCTTAATTTTTTGCTTTGGTCAGATACTCTCTTAGTACGCGATTTACCCCCAAAACATAAACTCATGACCTAAACGTCTCTTAGTAAGCAAAAAACAAAATTAAGGGTTTTAAAGGGATTTCTTCTGGTCATTATTGGTTTGTGTTTCAGTTTGACATTTTGAAAATGAATAAGGAATGTAATCAAACGATGACTCACGGCGATATAATGAGAATTGGTAACGTTCCAACCATCGGAATATATATTGAAATGGTTGAGAGGGTCAGGCCGCCGTGTCCTCTCCGCCGCTAACACCAATGTCCCATTTCCTCCTTCCAGAATTTGCCTCCTCTCTCCTTCAAAACAAAAAGACACCCATCTTTTTGTCAAATATGTATTCATAAATTTTTAGAATATGAGGAAAAGCACAAAATTTTAGATTAACAAAATGTAGTAAGCAAAAAAGAACCTTGTAATGAGGTTGAGGATGGATGACGATGACAAGAAGAAATTCCATGAGACAATGAAACCAAACTCGACGAGACCAAAAGCCCAACGGCGATAAGAAGGAGACGCCGGCGATCACTAAACGACGGCGTTTCACTGTAAAGCATAATCCTCTCTTTTTTTCTTTTTTTAAACTCTCTCTTTTGTTCTAATTGATTTTGGTTCCGTTTCTAATTTCTGAAACTCTAAAAAAAGGGTTTAGCTATTTATGCATCAAATACGAATCTTTTTATTTCTCTAGGAAATCAAGGAGAAAGAAGATGAAACGATAGCTCATTATTTTCATTCCCTTATTTAGAGTCTAATTTTTCAGAATTTTCTCCATCCATTGTTATTCTAATTTGTTATAACCTCGTTTTAGTTATTTTTTTAGCGATATTAATTACTCTTTAAACTAGTCTCATTGGCTGAGATCTAAATTTACATGTACTCAAAAACTAAAACTCCACGCGGTTTCTCTTCCCCAGTGATCCACTACTAGTAGTAATAATAAGAATCTGGTGAATTAATTTTTACCCTATAAACCGGTATACAATTAATAAATTGGAAAATGATACTCCGCCACGAATTGGATTTTCCCTTGAGGAGAACATGGAAACGGAAAATTATATTTATAACCCTACTTAATTCAGGAGTATTATTTTTGAAACAGAAAATTGCATTAACATCTTACTAACCGACTCGCACCAACTCCCCCCTTGTTTTTAGAAAAATCCAAAATAGAAAACTAATGTTGTTGAAAAAATTAATGATGGAGAATTAATATGTTTACATGAAGGCAAAAGTCATTTGTTTCCTACTTTCCATATCCTTACAAAAAAGAAGACTTCTTTAGTTCAAAATTTCAAATACAATAATGAAAGCATTTTGAAATGGTTATTAGTTACTACAATATAAAAAGGTCTGGACTTGGAGATTCGCTCAAGCCTCATGGTCTCATGGTTACTTCACCCGCCGATTTGCTCCATCCCTCGTTCCAATTTCCAAGGGAATCGATGATCACAAGCGCAAACCAGATTCCTCAATCCTCCTCTCAGTGTTTTGCCAATGTAAAATTATGTCAAAAATTATACCTTTGGGCGATTTCTTCAACCAAAGGAGGCTTCTTGATATCAAGACTGGAAAAAGGAGGTTTCTTCCATGGAGTTTTGTAGTACTATCTAGTACAAACTAGCGTTTCTTCTAATGGTGTTTCTACCAACTCAGGCCTTCTCCTTGGAGACAGCCCTCTTTCGACCATTTCATCTTCATATTCCCTTGCCATATCCAACATTCCTTTCTGAACCAAAGCATCGATCACAGCGTTATAAGCGGCTGAATCAGGAGTGTCCCCAGACTCCTTCATCGTCTTCCACACAGATAAAACCGGCTGAAGAAACCCCCATCTCTCAAACTTCCTCATAAGCATCACATAAGTATCCATTCTTGGCCTAACTCCACTCCTCATCATCCTACCAAACAGACTTAGGATCTCGCTCGGTTTCTCCAGACGCGCAAAGAAACACATATAAGTAATCGAGTCGGGTTGACAACCTTTCTTGGGCATCTCGTTAAGCATCTCATACGCATCCTTCATCCTCCCGTCTTCGCACAGAAGCTTGATAATGGTGTTATGGGTCGCAACGTTAGGTTCACAACCCTTTTCCCTCATCTCCCGAAACACCCTGATACCAAACTCAACGCCTTGAGAAGCTCCAATGGCGCGAACGACAGTGTTATAAGCAACAACGTCAAGTTTCATCCTTTTGCTTTTCATCTCCTTATACAGTTTAACAGCTTTCCAAGGCTTCCCACTCTTGCACATGATATCCATGTAAATCGAATACGAAAACAAATCCTTAGCAACGCCTTCGTTATCCATCTTCTCCCAATACTCCTTGCATTTGCCCCACCATCCCAGTTTCGACCACCCACGAAGAATCAGGTTATGAATCTTGGTACTACTCACACTAAAACCATTACCGATCACGTTCTTCCCAAAGCAGAGCTCTTCCGCTTCAACCACATGCTTATGCTCGCAGAGCGCGTCGACGAGGTTATAGAAAGATGTCTCATCTCTCAGATTGAAATCATCCAATCTATCGTAAGTGTCGAGAGCCTCCTGAACAAGATGCGCCGTGACATAACGCTTGTAGACTATACGAAACGTGACGTGGTTCGGGAGAGAAGCCGGATTCTGGGTCATCCGGTTAATCAAAGCCCAGGAAGTGTCGAACTCGAAATACTTACCCAGAATATCGATCATCCGATTGAAAGTCTCGGTGGTATGTGTGAATCCGGAATCCTTCTCGACCCAGTTGAAGAACTCCAACGCCTTCTGCCAGTCGTTGCTGTAACATGCGAGCGCTTCGCAAACCGTCTTCTGATCGTAACAGGACTGATCCGCCTGACATCGAGGATTCGCATCATCACCAATACTGGAAATTGATAGAAGCCGGACGGAGGGAGGAAAAACAGTCCGAAGTCGACGACGCAGGTGTATCGACAAGAGCATTTCTCTTGTTTTTTTTTCCCCGGATTTAGGGTTCGCCGATCGACAGACAACGGCCGAATTCTTTTTACCGGTTACTCAATTGGGACCAGTTTACCCGTTTTATATTGGGTAGATCTGCACTCGAATTTTGATCCGATTACCCATTGGACTTTGAGTTTCAGATATTTGGATAATTGGGCCGATTATCGTTTGCAATATGAATTAGAGCGAATCTCTCTTATAGGCCCATCATTGAGACAGTTCAGCAGTAATTTCAGTAACCACAGTTTCAAAATCCAAGAACGACCCAAACGAAGACCGAAACATCAGAAGAAAGACGCAATCCTGAAATGGCGGCGGCTCTGCAGACGAATATCCGACCGGTCAAGTTTCCGGCCACTTTCAGAGCTCTCACCAAGCAATCTGCCGCACCCTTTAGAGTAAGATGCGCTGTTACTTCCCCCGAAAAAAAACGATACAACATCACTCTCCTTCCCGGCGACGGCATCGGTCCGGAGGTCGTCTCCATCGCCAAAAATGTGCTTCAGCAGGCTGGATCTTTGGAAGGTTTCTTTCTTTCGTTCCCTCTCTTTTGATGTCGCTGCTGTTTTGTGAGGCAGTTGGGAATATTTCTGGAAATGGAAATTGGAGAGGTTAATTTCTGAAATTTTCACGAGATGACATTGACATTGCGTATGTGTTTGCTATCAGGACTGGAATTTAGCTTCCAGGAGATGCCCATAGGAGGAGCTGCCTTGGATTTGGTCGGAGTGCCTTTGCCTGAGGAGACAATCTCGTCTGCAAAAGAATCGGATGCTGTGCTTCTTGGAGCCATTGGAGGGTCTGTCTTCTCTCTACTCTTGGCTCTACCCTTTTTGTTGTTTCTGTGCTTATTGTTTTTTGGGGGAAACAAACAATTTTGTGTTTTGATCATGTTGGTATGGTCTCAGGTACAAATGGGATAACAATGAAAAACATCTGAGGCCTGAGAAGGGGTTACTTCAGCTTCGGGCCGGTCTTAAAGTCTTTGCAAACCTGAGACCTGCTACTGTTCTGCCACAGGCAACCATCCTCTTCTTAATCCCGCAAATTCTTTGTAGCCTTTAGTTTTGTTTCTTGTGTGTGAAACTCAAGTTATCTTCTTCTTCTTTTTTGTTCAGTTAGTGGATGCTTCGACCTTGAAGAGAGAGGTTGCAGAAGGTGTTGATCTAATGGTTGTGAGGGAGCTTACAGGAGGTCTGTTTAATTACTTGGTTAAAAACTGTTCTTAATTCTTGTCTTTCTCGTTCCCAAATGTGACAGTATCTTTGCAATGTGATGTCTCATGTGAAAAAGGTATTTACTTTGGAGAGCCAAGGGGCATAAAGACTAATGAAAATGGGGAGGAAGTTGGGTTCAATACTGAGGTTTATGCTGCTCACGAGGTACTCTATGGAATGGATTTTCGCTGACTGGTGTTGTACTATTAAAACCTACTTCTCTTTTTGTTAACTACTACAGACAGATGTGTAATCAAATCATTTCTTACGTTTCCTCAGATTGATAGAATTGCTCGTGTTGCCTTTGAGACTGCTCGGAAACGGCGTGGCAAGCTTTGTTCTGTGGACAAAGCTAATGTCTTGGAAGTACGGTTGACAATTCCAGTTTTTTTTCGAAAATTTTGTCTCTCCTATTTCTAACACATATCCTAATGCAAATTTGCTCTTTGTGCAGGCCTCAGTTTTATGGAGGAAAATAGTAACAGCATTAGCCGCTGAATATCCTGATGTTGAACTGACACATATGTATGTTGACAATGCTGCGATGCAGCTTGTTCGTGACCCAAAACAGGTACTTATAGTCGCCAAACTAATCAGCATTGATCTTGATGTGGGAACTGTGTAAATCCTTACAATGGTTTGATCGGTTCTTAAATGCAGTTTGACACCATCGTCACAAACAACATTTTTGGTGATATATTATCCGATGAAGCTTCAATGATCACAGGAAGCATTGGCATGCTCCCATCTGCTAGTCTCAGTGATTCGGTATAGTACAAAGTAAACTGATCTTTGACCATGCAGAGCGATATGATCCGGGTGTGAACATAATCTCGTCAATGTTTAATACAGGGACCTGGACTCTTTGAACCTATACACGGTTCTGCTCCTGATATTGCTGGACAGGTTCCAACTCTATTCTTCCCTCATTATTGAAACTACTTGTATGCCAAAACAAAGACCAAAACTTGTCGGTTCTTTGAATTTGTAGGATAAGGCAAACCCATTGGCAACCATTCTCAGCGCTGCGATGCTCCTGAAATACGGACTTGGAGAAGAAAAGGCAGCTAAGAGAATTGAAGAAGCCGTGTTGGTTGCTCTCAACAAAGGGTTCAGAACAGGAGACATCTACTCCGCGGGAACTGTAATTCTCTTGAAATATTCTTATTTTCAGTTCTCTCTTATCCTTGTAACGCTGTGTTAGGAAAGTTATGCTAATGTGTGTGTTTGTGTTTTTGAATGGTGTGTGATCAGAAACTGGTGGGCTGCAAAGAGATGGGAGAGGAGGTTCTGAAGTCAGTGGACTCCCAAGTTCCAGCTTCTGTTTAATCATCTGTACAACTTTGAAGAGTGTTTGAATCGATCTTGAAGAGATTTTTTATTTCCAACAATAAATGTTGTACGCGAAGAGTGTCTCTGTTTCATTAGCGACAAATTCTGTGTGTTGTTAAAATTATTAGCGGGACGTGTTTGAATGCATTGAAACTTTGGCGTTTTTCTGTAAATTAAAAAATCTGGTGGAGCTAAGTCGAAATTATATAACATCATGGTGGAGTTAATGACGTGTCAGAGTTTTATTCGATGGTATATCTGGCGTCCGAGAGATCTCCGTTGGCAAACGCACGAAACTCGTCTTCTCTTTTCTTTGGCGGCAGGTGTGTAAGTTAGTAGACAAGATGATGCCCTCAACTTCAAGCATAATCGCCGGAGAAGAATCGGTAGTACCTCCTCCGTTGGCAAGCGTTTCCGGTGAATCATCTCTCTCCGATATGACGCAGACAGTTCATTTTTCATCTGGAAACCCCAGGATCGGGGAGACTCGCGGCGTAATGCATCTGTTTTCCGACGATGCTGTTTCGTCATCTTCTTCTTCCTCCTCAAACCTCCCCGTACGATTCCTCTCCTTTATGATTCAAACCCGTCTGAGGTTTTTCACTTGTTCCGTTTGATTGCATCGACTTTGCTTCCGAAATTAATCTGGAATACATTTTGCTGTCTTTTAGATTGGAAGGAACCCTCTTGTGTGCGTTCTTGGGGTGCCGAACCATATGACCTACGCAGATTTCTGCCAGTTCTGCGGCTCCTTCATTCAGCACATATTGGAAATGCGAACGGTGAGGTAAGAGAAGAAGAGTCAAACGCTATATTGTGATCTCCATTTGTTTTCTGGTAGTATACAAGAGTGAGGTTGAAGTTAGTTTGCTTCTGGCTTTTCATCTTTACACAGGAATGATGGGGTTGAAAATCGATATAGCATTTTGATAAGGTTTGATAGTCAAGAATCTACCGATACATTCTATCAGCATTTTAGAGGGAAACGATTCAATTCTCTGGAGGTATGATTTTGTTTGAGACAACCTATATCTTGGATGCATATATATTAACCTTGATCTTTGTGATTGACTAGCTGCTGCTGCTAATTATGTGCAGGAAGATGTCTGTCGCCTGCTTTTTACTCTAGATGTTCAGTTTACTGGTTATAGTGGGTCTATTGACCATACACAGCCTTCTGCTGGCCCAATAGAGCAACCCACTTGTCCAGTTTGTCTTGGTAAAGTCTTAACCTCTGTATGTATTATTCAAGTTTCTATATGGCTTAGTCGAGCTCTAGAAAGTGCAAACTTAGGTGATGGTATTAAGATGGTATATTGACTACGTTTGGTTTATGTATATTCTAAACCTTGTTTGATATACGCTCATGTTTCAGATAGGTTGGACCAAGACACAGGTGGCATTCTCACAACCATGTGCAATCATTCCTTCCATTGTTCATGTATTTCTAATTGGCCAGATTCTTCTTGCCCAGTAAGCTTCTTTTATCATTTTCGTGCTATTTTTTAAACTTGTGTGAATCTTATTCATGTATAATTATGGAGTGGTTTTTTTTTTCTTTTCTTTTCAGGTTTGTCGATATTGCCAGCAGCAGCCTGAGAATTCAGTATGCTGTGTTTGCCAAACGACGGAGAATCTCTGGATGTGTGTTATCTGTGGGGTTGTTGGCTGCGGAAGGTATGAATTTCATTTCCTGCATCAGCACCAAGACTTGTTTCCTTCTTGTTCTTCCAAGGTTAACCATTTCTCGTTGTTAAATTGTGTAGGTACAAGGGAGGACATGCCCGAAACCACTGGGAGGAAACAGAGCATTGCTATTCACTTGAGCTTGAAACACAGCGTGTTTGGGATTATGCTGGTGACAATTATGTTCACCGGCTTATTCAGTCCAAAACTGATGGAAAGCTAGTGGAGTTGAATTCTCACGGCAGTCTGAGCAAGGATGGTTGTGGAAGCTGTGAATATTCTGACAGTGGATTAACTGATGCTCTCTTGAACAGCAAAGTGGACATGGTAGTGTTTCTTTTTCATATTTCCGTACTCCTCGTCTTCAACTTTACAACTCTTTAAGTTAATTTTTTTGTTGCCTCATCATTTTTTATTTATTTTTAAACCACAGATCATTAGTGAGTACAACGAACTCCTGCAGGCACAGCTAGAGAACCAGAAACAAGTAAGCACGCTTGCTTTTCTTGTCTCCACTACTACTAGTCTCTTGAAGTTTTCATTGTATGATTTATAATTCCAAGTGTTAATGTTGCCTAGCAAAGAGATTAAGAATTTTTTTCTTCTTGTGTCATTTCCTCGTTTGCTCTCCTTATAGTATTTTGAGAAACTGCTACAAAACGTCAAAGAGGAAACCGAGCAGAAAGTCTCAGAAGCTGCGAGCAAGGCAATAAGCCAGAGATTGCCGAAGCTGCAAACCAAGCTTGACAGATGTCTAAAAGAGAAGCAGTTTCTTGAAGATGTGAGTATATAGCTTTAGTGTAAAAGTGTTTCTTGATGACAGATACTTGCATATCGTATGCTGCGTTTCTGTAGAGGACTGACTTGTTGTTTGCTTATATCTGTAGCTGAACGAAAATCTTGTAAAAAACAAGGACGTATGGAGCACCAAGATTACAGAAATGGAAGAAAGGTATGTTGGCTCATGTGGTGTGCATTAGGAATTTAGGATCGAATGTTTGTTCTCCATTGATGAAACTGAGCCTTGATATTAGGGAGAAGAAGTTAATTCAGGCGAAGGATGAAAAGATTCAGTACTTGGAAGAACAGGTAAAGAAACATATATATAGACAATACAAGCAGCGTTAAATAAAGAGATACTAAATGTGTTAATTAACACTAGCAGCTCGGAAAACTAATGGCCCAAATGGATGGTGGTGAGAGTGAAGAAGGCTCAGAGCTAAAGGAGGTCCAGGAGGGTACTGTATTGCCCATATCTGCCAACACCTCTCCCTCTGGGTCTGAGAGAGTTAAACATGCAAGTAAAAGCAAGGGTAACAGAAGAAAGGGTTAAACCAATTTCTGGAACCAAATCGTAGCTAGTCTAAACTACAACTTCGATTCCTAAGCTAGTAAGCAAACGAACGGCTGTAAATGTCTAGATATAACTATTTGCCTTATGTGTGGTAATGCAAAAGAACGTTGGGATTATTGACTGTATCAGCCTTATGCAAGTATTATATTCTTCACCCTCTGTTTGTAAATATAGTCATTAATAATCAAATTTGAAATACCCTATTCGGTTGAAAACATATTATATTTAGCAAAAGACAAATATTTTAGTAAACTCCAAAATGGCGGCCCTTATCCGACCGACTGGAGTGGGGATTAAAAGGACGGTCGTAGGGAGTGGCGGTTGGGTCATTATCAGTAAACCGTCCCTTTCGGTTTTCGTCTCTGTTAGAAACTCCTGAGAGATTCTTCTGATCAAGTTTCGCACTTGGCTTCTTCATCGTTTCTGGTGAGATATTTTCCTCTTCTTTTTGTTTTTATATTATATTTAACTAATTATAGCAAGATTTGTTTCAAGTCTTGATATCTCTCAGGTCTCGCAGGGGATGTAAAGTTTTGTTTATCTAGAGTTCTTGATTGATGATCAATGACTGTGAAATGAGAATTTCAAGATCTTCTTGGGTGTTTTCTTTGCTTGATCCGTTTTGTCTATTTTTGACTTGCATCTTATAGGATATTTTCCTTTGATCGCGTTTGAAAGAGGTCAACGCTTATTTTGTTTCTGGAACATTTCGTTTTGTTGATCAGTGGTAACTTTTGAGTCTTCATTGGGTGGGCACGCGAGTAGCATCATAATCTTTGTGTTCCATTTGAGCTATGTCGCGTCTTTTCAAGGTTTCACTTCACAAGTTTGTCTCGGATTTTTTTTTTTGTTCACAGATAGCGCGGGGGGAAGACAATGGATGAATTGCCAGACCATTTAGTTTGGGACATCATCGGGAAGCTTCGGAGAACCAAAGACAGAAACTCGGTTTCCCTGTCTTGCAGGCGTTTCTACATGCTGGAGAAGGAGCAAAGATACTCTCTGCGGATTGGGTGCGGTTTAGTTCCTGCAACCGATGCCTTGCTTTGTCTCTGCAGGAGGTTTCCGAATCTGTCCAAAGTAGAGATCGTATACTCTGGTTGGATGTCAAAACTTGGGAAACAGCTTGAGGACGAAGGCCTTCTTCTCCTCTCCACCAACTGCCACTCCCTCACTGATCTCACTCTTAGCTTCTGCACCTTCATCACCGATGTTGGCATTCGTCATTTGTCCTCCTCTTCAGAGCTTTCTTCGCTTAAGCTGAACTTCGCTCCCAGGATCACCGGTTGTGGCTTGTTGTCACTTGCAGTAGGCTGCAAGAAACTCAGGAGACTTCATCTCATCCGGTGCCTTAACGTGGCAAGTGTCGAGTGGCTGGAGTATTTCGGGAAGCTCGAGAATCTTGAACAACTCTGCATCAAGAACTGCAAAGCGATCGGGGAAGCTGATCTGATCAAGCTGGGAAACAGCTGGAGGAAGCTTCGGAGTCTGCAGTTCGAGGTTGACGCCAACTACAGGTGCAGGAAGGTTTATGATCGATTAGCTGTAGAGCCGTGGCGGAAACCGTTGGTTCCCTGTAACAGTCTGGTGGAGCTCAGCCTTGGGAACTGCATCGTGGATCCCGGAAGAGGGCTCGCTTGTGTGCTGAGGGAGTGCAAGAACCTGGAGAAGCTTCATCTGGACATGTGTATCGGTGTCAGCGACTCCGACATCATTGCGTTGGTACAGAAATCTAAACAACTCAGAAGCATCTCACTCCGCGTCCCATCCGATTTCACTCTGCCTCTCTTAAACAACATCACCTTAAGACTAACCGATGAAAGCCTCAATGCTATAGCTCAACACTGCTCAAAGCTCGAATCTTTCAAGGTCTCCTTCTCGGACGGTGAGTTTCCTTCCCCTTTGTCTTTCACCCTCCAGGGGATAATCACTCTGATCCAGAAATGCCCGATTCGCGAGCTCTCTCTCGACCACGTATGCTCTTTCAACGACGTCGGTATGGAGGCTCTGTGTTCAGCTCAGAATCTAGAGATCTTGGAGCTTGTCCAATGCCAGGAAGTGAGCGACGAGGGCTTGTTTCTGGTGAGCCAGTTTCCTTCTCTCGCTGTGTTGAAACTATCAAAATGTCTTGGAGTCACAGACGATGGATTGAGACCACTCGCTGAGACTCGCAAGCTTGACGTGCTTGTGGTCGAGGATTGTCCTCAGGTTTCAACAAGAGGTGTTCATGGTGCTGCAACCTCTGTATCTTTCAGGCAAGACTTGTCATGGTTGTATTGAGATCGCATTACTCGCTTCATCATATGTAGCATAATGTTACTATTATTACTTTAAAATGTGAATTATTCAACCTTGGCGGTCAGATATTACGTGTCATGCGATGACGTAATGCAAGTGCACGTAAGCTGTGTGGGCTCCATGAGTGACGTAAAGGCTCTTCTGTTTGCGAATTATATAAATATAACTTCATAATGAAAGGAAAATGATTTTAGTCTTTGATCATTTGATTGATATCTATCAGATTCATTCTGACGAATTTCTTTTTTGGTTGAGATTTTTCTATTTTATTCTTCCCATTGTTATTGCCACGTCACGACGCACGTACTGGTTTGATCAGTTATAGATGCTTTTTTCAACTGGCCTGACTTTACCAGACATCTTCAAGATCTTCTGTCGGAAATAAACATTCACACCTCTGTTTACTTCCTCCCAAATGTACTCATTTCTAACGTCATATCTATACGTTATTTATTTACCAAAAAATTTTACTGTCTTCAGAAAAATAAATTTTAAATTGTATTAAAAAAAACCTGCATTTTCAAACAGAATTTGAAGATAGTCTACTCTACTATACAGTGACTTATTCTGCCAAGCAAAAATATCTTTTTTTTTTTTGGGTAAAGCCCCCAGTAAAAATATCTTTATCTGATCTAATTGTATTGTTAATTTTCAAAAAAAGTCAAGTTTATTTACTTAAAATAGAGGTAAGTTGCAATAAAACAATCTTGACGCCAGCATGCGTGCTTACGTAATCACACGGATGTCATTTCTACCAAGTCAAATCATTTGGATTACGGAACACGATTTGCCGTTCATGGTGATTATTTGGGCCTAAGCCCAACTTATCCTAGTTGATTTTGTCTTCATACACTTTGATGCAATTTGTGAAAAGTACTGTGGTGTGACTAATTTTGACCTTAAGCTTATAAATGTAAAACTATATACTGTACTTATTTAGTTAAATTTCTTCCTGTTCCAGACCAGGTCATTTACCTGTATAATCTTTTTTTTGTTGGTCATCTAATTCTTTTTTAATTAGAACTTGTAAAAAAACAATACAAAAAGTCAAGAGCCTTAGACTTACTTAAATATCCAAGTTTGATAATATCAGATATTTGAAGAAAAAAAAAATGAAAGATTAAACTCTTTCTAATCAAAATTTAAAAGTTGTCTTCCTCTATTGAAAACAAAAGGTACAAACTTCCTCTTTGCACTGTGAAGGACAGGCGCATAAATGTGAAAGATTTTATCGTCTCATCGAATTTGACAGCAGTATCTTTTAATTATCTCACCAAACAAAAATACTTTTTACCATATCTTTTAATCTTATTATTTCTCCCCAGCGATTAATTTGTAAAAAGAAAAAAAATTTGAAAAGATTAATATCCTTTTAGTTAATTAAATAAATCAGGAGTATTGGTTTATGCGCCTATAAAATGCTTCCAAACACTACAATTTGCATACAAAACTCAATAATTTTCAATATATCTCTCTTTCGTCGTCTGTTAAAAATGGAAAACACCATTGATGGTCACCGTCTTCAACTTTCCTCCGTGCCGTTCGTAGAAACCCACCAAAGCTTCGAAATGAATGGGTTATACAAAGAGACGCCGTTAGGCTGCATGCCCTTCTTCCTAACCAAAACTCCGTTTTCTAATCTAACGGTGACGGAACCTTTAAACGGACCTGATTCGTTCGATATCTCTTCTCTATACTCTCCTGGCCCAAAACCTGAACCCATTAATCCGCCGCATCGGGTTATGGATGATTCTATCGCAGCTGTGGTGGGCGAGAACGTACTGTTCGGTAATAATAACAACAAAGTCTCCGATCACTTTACCGCGACGGAGACCGAAGACGGTGTGAAGCGATGGCGGAAGTTGCCGCAGAAGAACGGAGGATTCAGGGGAGTGAGGAAACGGCCGTGGGGGAGATGGTCGGCGGAAATCAGAGACAGGATTGGGCGGTGCAGACACTGGTTAGGAACGTTTGATACGGCGGAGGAAGCGGCGCGTGCGTATGACGCGGCGGCGATGAGGCTTAGAGGGACGAAAGCCAAGACCAATTTCTTGGTTCCTACTGTTTTTCCGGAGGAGATAGCTCAGGCTGATCAGTCGTCTACGACGGAGGATGACAGGTGGAGGAAGAAGAAGAACAGGGTAAATGCGAGGAAGTGTGTTAAAGTCACATCGGTTGCACAACTGTTTAGCGATACCAATACGTTAACTTCTTCTACTAGAGTTGGAAATGTGATTAGTCCTTTTAGTAATCTTGAGAAAATGGGTTTAGTCTAGAGCTTGATTTGAAGTTGGGCGCAGGATTGTTTAGAAAGTGTTAATCACTACTTATTGCTTAATTAGCAGTTCGGTTGTTTAATGGATTAGTACTCTTTCTTTCTTGGATTCTCCATTTTATATTATGTGCATGGAGTGCTTTTGGTTTTTCTTAGTTGTAGGTGAAGGAAGAGAACATAATATTTGTCTGTTGGACAAAATCTTAACGTGTAGTTGTATTTATACATTATCCGTTTGTTTTACTTTTGGAATATGACTATACATTGGTGTTGATTTAAATGAAACGGACTAAAGTGCCAGTGTCTATATAAAATATGAATTGTTGGGTCATATAGAGGTAGTTATTAACATAGGATATAGAAGCTGCGTGCATAAATCATGGGAACAGCAGCTTTTTTTTTTATGAATAGTGAAATATAGATCGTGTTTCTGTAGAAGAAGTTATGAACTGGCTATTAGCTTTGCTGAAACTAAAATCTACAAAAGCTGAGCATGTAATGACTAATAGGGAACTTCTCCACTCCATATATATATCTACAGTAACACAGTCATACACACGTGTGTATAATGTGTGTGTGTCAGTGTGTGATCCAGTGAACATTATGTTAATTTATCTTGGTTATGAGAAAGTCCCCTCCATGAAACCTGGGTGCAAATAGGAAAGCTGTTTTGAAGAGTTTCCTTAATTTGCCTTTTAGAAAAGATTGGTTCTTGTAAGGCTAAAAGATAGAAAAGCTTATAGTGTCATTTGTGTGTATGTTTTTGTGTTTATCTTCTCGCATGGATTAGGTAATGGGTCCATTCATGATTCATCAAATAAACTAATTTGCTTTTTTTCATAAGCTGTCGAAACTTGACAAACTGTGTAGAATTCAATATATTATTCAAATGTCCATTTTATAGTCTTTGAGATTCAGACTAAGAAAAATGTCAGCTCAATAATATGACAATGTAATAGGGGAGTCCGTATTTGGACTCTTGTTCACTCGTTGTCAAAATTACAACAAGACAATAAGTCTTTGTTATATATATTAGTATCATCCATTCCATCATACCACAAATCCCCCTCAACGAGTTTCTTTATGGTCTGAATATATATCATTCAAAAGATATACACAGTACTTTTTTTTAATATTTGACAAACTACATCATTGGCGTGACGTAAAACTGAGGCAAAAACTGTGTGACGAACTATGAATCTAAATCACCAAAATATAAACTAAACAAGATATAGCGAACAACCGATACTAAAAAAAGTGAAGAAGCAAATAGTCTCCACAATGTGAACATAAGAAGGTGGAAGAAGTGCAGTTTCAAACGTGGAAAGGATTGTAATCAAAAGCAGAAATATCTTCCAAGAAGATAAAATTTCCAGGAGAACACGGAGGAACCTGATACGCCCATAACTGGCCATCATCCACCAACCCTTCGTTATTATCACATCCTTGGTTCATGATTTGGTCCGTGCCTTCGTCTTCCATGGTGATTGCCTGGTGCTCAACTGATACGAGTTGAGGCATAACCGATTCAGACATAGTTTGGTCGAGCTTATCGAACCGGATCATCTTGGAACAGTTTGTAATATCGTCTTGAGGCTGCAAAAAAGCATCAACTTGACAGATGTGTTTTCCGACATAAGTTGTTCTGTACACCGAAGGGCTCTCTTGGATCTGCTGCACCCGCTTTGTAGCATTACAGTTCCGCTCTTTCGCATATCCACAACGATAGTAACATCTGTGAAATATCTGGATTCATTATTAGTTACCAGGAATCTTCAGTTAATAAACTCTGTTTGCCATGAAACAGAGCATTACTCTGTTTTTCAATTTCTAACCTTTGGTGGGAAGAAGTTTTTATTTTCTTTTGTCCGTACTTCCTCCAGCAAAAACCGTCGTTGTGGTGCGGATCTGGTGAATCATCTATGTAATAATGCTCTAAACCGTCTTTCCCATGGCTCGTTCTGCAACATGGAATATTCGAAACGATCAAATCAAACATACCTTAATCATAAATAAACGCCCTTTTTTTAAAGAGGAGTTTTCGTGAATTACTTCATGGACGGTTTTCGAGCCACAGGGTGTGGTTGAGGGTTAGAAGAAGTGAAATTTGTAAAAAGAGAGAGAGCAACTGAAAAAGAATCAAGAACGGTATCGAAGAGAGGCTCTGTTGGAACTGAGCTTGTCCTCGGTTGTCCAAGCACCGTCTTCAAGCGGTTGGCGCTTTCTTGGCCACGAAGCAGCGCCTCAACCGCCTTGTCAACGCCGGGAAACATTTTTTTTTTAGAGTCGTGGCCGGAGTCAATACTTGCAGAGTAAGGACAATGGAGAGTTCATTCTAAAGTTGTTTCTTTTCTAAAGAACCTCAAAGTCTCTCGATTCGCTTTTATAACTTTTGGTCAAGGGTAAATGGGAGATTTTGTAAGAAATGGGGGAAGAGTCCTATACATTGCGAGGAACCTTCTCATTCGATATGGTCGTAATATAAAACTATATCTCTTTTACGTCTCACTCGTCTGTCTAGAACATTATAAGAATGTTCGTTTCAGTCTCACTCGTCTCGCGTTCCCAAGGTTGCTGCAATCTTCGCTTCAAAACCAATAGCTGTGGAGTCTACAACGTTATCATAAGGACAACAGTGGATACACTTGAAGTCATGTGTCTGAATTGAAAACCACCATTATGTATTCAAGTATCTTATCGATAACTAAGAAAAGTACAGATATTTGAAAACGCACACCAAAAGTCGACAACCTTTTTCGTTGTTGTGCTGCTTATCCTGTAGCCGTGCTAATAAACCTCAATCTTCAATCAAGCGCAGTTAAATTGTGGGATATAATCTCAACCGCACGTTCGATTTCCTCGTCGGATATAATCAACGGCGGAACAATCCTGACGACATTCCCTTTCCCGGCCGTCAAGATCAGAAGACCCGAATCACGGCAAGCATCGACCAATGGATTCGCTGGGACATGGAGCTCCACTCCTATGATGAGCCCTTCTCCTCTCACTTCCTTCACGTGCGTGTCTCCTCCTAATTTCTTCACCAGCAGATCCTTAAAGTGTCGACCTTTGCTCCCCACACTGGACAAGAAAGAGGGTTTCGATACTTTATCAAGAACAGCAATGGCTGCACTGCACACCAGAGGGTTCCCTGCAAACGTGCTTCCATGATCTCCGTATTTTATCGTCTCAGCAACTCTTTCCGTCACGAGCACCGCTCCTATAGGCAAACCACCGGCTAAAGGCTTTGCAACCGTCATTATGTCAGGAGTTACACCGAATGCTTCATATGCCCAAAGGTTACCAGTTCGACCCAACCCACATTGAACCTGGCCATGTAGACAGATCAAAAGAGAGATAACATGTAGCTCTCACTTCAGAAGGGTAATCAGAATGAAGATGTACCTCATCGAAGACGAGAAGAGCTCCAGCAGCATCACAAGCAGAGCGAAGAGACTGGAGAAACTCTTTTGTAGCAGAGTGAATCCCGCCTTCTCCCTGAATAGGCTCCACAAACACAGCGGCTATTTTCCCCGAGCGGATAACATCTGCGGCTGCTTCAATGTTACCGTATTCTAAGAATGTTACTCCTGGCATGATGGGCTCGAAAGGAGTTCTGTACTGTTCTTTGCTTGTCAAGGCAAGAGCTCCTAAGGTTCGTCCGTGGAAACTATTTGTGAAGGCGATGAAGCCTGTCGAGACTTGCTTGTCTTCAGGATGGGTGAATCTCTGAAACTTTCTAGAAAACTTGATGGCTGCTTCGTTGGCTTCCGTTCCAGAGTTGCAAAAGAAGACACGGTCTGCGAAAGAAGTCGCCACAAGGCGTTTTGCGAGTTCAATCTACAGAGAAGTTACAAGTCCAAGTATGTATGAGCACCAGAAGGTATACACAAAGATTAAGAATGCACTTGTATAAGGTCTACACCAATTCTGACTAGTGCTCAATTCTAAAACATCTAGCATCTTCAAATAGGCCATTGAGGAGAATAACAAGAAGAAAAGCTTCGAGCTTTCAGCCAAGTATGACAAAATTACAGTAAAATTGCAACATCAAAGCATAATCAGCTTGCTCTGAAATCATACCTGAGGGATGGTGTAGTAGACATTGCTGACATGGGCAAGAAGAGCAGCTTGCTCAGTGACAGCTTGAAGCCAATCAGGATCTCCATGACCAAGAGCATTCACGGCGATTCCAGATGCACAATCCAGATACTCTTTCCCTTCCGCGTCCACCAATTTACAACCTTTCCCACTGGAGAGCACAACCGGAGCACGCGCGTAGGTCCCCACCATCACTTTCGCCTCCTCTTCAATCACCCTCTGGCTCAAACTCGGTTTCGCCGAGACCTGCGTTTGTTCCCCCACGTTACTCAATGCGCTCGCGATCCGGCCGCTGAATCCGATTCGGGTTCTCATCGGTCGATCGAATCGACGGCGTAGGAGGCTCATGTCAAACGACGGCGCTCGTGGGATGGTGATTTGGCCAAGAGACGCCATTTCGTGTTTCCTTTTTTCCTTTTGGTCGGAGATGGACACTTAAAGAGTCGTTAAAGACTGAAACTCAGACTTAATTCTAGGGCTTTTAGCTTTTAAAGCAACTGATAAATATAAATATTCTATCTTTTCCATTATTTATAATTTAGGACTCATGATGATGAGTGATTATTTTGATTTGGAGACTGTACAGAGAGAGACTAGGCATCATATAAGAATCCATTAATATCAAATAACAAAAGTAATCAAACGGGTCGATGTAAGCTTGCAATACATCTTAACAAAGATAATAATAAGAAATTAATGAAAAAGTGTACATCTTCTATTACCTATGTAGATAATTACATCTCATCCTATGAAAATATGGGAGAAAGATAATGAGGAGATGGCAGAGCAAAAATCAGAAGATATGTCAGGAAACACTTAACCGTAAACTCGAATCACCTCCTAACACGGAGGCGAACCTTTCTTCAGCGGCCACGGGAAATGGCCCCAATGGGTGAGGAGGATACGTATATGATTAATCTAAATCTATCTTCTTCATATTCATATAGTTACATGTTAAAAAAGATGCTTATGGAATGGGGAAAAACAAAAGAATCATATTCTCGTGGCTCGCCCTTCAGCAAATAACTTCAGGGCTCGGATCGGTGTCAAGTGGCATGTTTAGGTCAGGGAGCAAGAAGGAGGAACCATGTTCGAGAGCGCGTTTGCAGGATAAGGCAGATTGTGATTCAGCCTGCATACATATGATGAATATGATCTCACATTGAGTCACATTTTTACAAGTGAATGTCTAGAGAGAGAGAGAGAGAGAGATGGGCTCACCTTCATCTTCTTTAGAGTAATGTTTCTTCTTCTTTGTTGCTCGACCAAATCGCGCATACTTGCCAACTCCTGGTTTCAAGAAAAAGAATATTCAATCTACGGTTAGCGCATGGACATAGTATATAGATTAGGTGCATAAAGAAGAAGGCCGAAGGGAGGTTGTACATTATTCAGGCCTTTTCTTTCCTTCAAGAGCATGACTTCTTCATCTTTAAGCTCCACCAAAGTCTGTCCACACCGATGCATTGATTAGACAAAAATAGGTTTAAAATCGGCCATTATGTAACAATATCTTTTTAGATGTAGGAAAGATATCATTTCTTGGCAGAGCTAACGTCTAAACAGATTCATTTCTTTGCAAAACAAGTAAAATTGTCTTTTAACATAGTCTGTTCTGTTTTTACCTTTTTCTTCCTTGATCTCTTGAAAAGAGTTGTTGCTGCTATTGTAGTTGTTATTGCACTCGTTTGAGAGATCTGTTACATCAAAAGCAGACATTCAGATTATGGCACAATACCACCAGATAACGCCAGCAACAAAAATCAATAATCACACCAAACTATAATACCATTAAAAAGAAATTTAGTTGTGTTTTGTTTCTTATATCATTTCTTTTAAAAAAACCACACACCAACCATTCCAGAGAGACTTTAGAGGCACGATAAGGCCAGTGAAATAAAATAATCACTTCTCATTAGCATTAAGAAATAACAACTCTAAAACTTGGAAGTTGAAAAAAAAATCCAGACCGTGTAAACTCAGAAGAATCTTCTTGGTCAACAAACTTAAGCCTTGAAAAGGAAAAGGGAAGAAGCAGATATTTAAAAGAAAAAAAGAATCACGTGAGTAGAGCGTGACTTCAGAGACTTAAACGCGTGTGTTTGGTCGTCACATTCACACGTCATGCTTTTTCATCCTCCAAACTCCCAAACTAGTGTCACGTATTCTCCACAGAACCACTTGTGTCCTTTATTTATAGTTTTTATTACTTTTTTTATTAAACCCAAAAATTCTTTCTTCTTTAACTTTGGCTTTCAAAGAAATAATGAAACTAGATACCAAAGTCAACTTTAAAATTCACAAAACAATCGTTAAATAATTTTGTTTACAGAAAATGAACAGGCTAATCCAACAGACTGTCACCAATATAATCTGACGGACACGTCCACAAGTATCCATTGCAACAAGTGACTTTGACCAGTGGCACTGAGTCTACACTAATTACTGTTAACTGCGTCTCATATGATAACTGCCCCTCCCCGCTAAACCCTACCACACACGTACCTAATCCACTCATACTCTAAACCTAGATTCAATTCCACGAAATCGCCTCCAAAACTCCCTCAAATTATATTAATAACGCCAGCGATAATCGCTCGCGTTGACTGAGATACCCTTAACCATGGTAAGGAGCTCATCTGACGACAAGGGGTAGTTCCGTCATTGAAGTGGTAAAATGAATCTGTGTTTTTTAATTTCCTCTTGAAGCATTGAAGTCTGCAACGGTGATTTTGACCATAAACACCTCCCTTGATGTGAGGGCTTTTTGGTCTACATGTAAAAGCAGAGAGAGAGAGAGGGAGAGAGGTGACTGGGATGCACAAAAGTGGGAAACGTGACTCTTTTGTTTGCAAAAGAGCAAAAAGCAGAGATCACCGAATGTATCTGTGTTTAAACTCAAATCGAGAAGTGTTTTTAAGAAGACAACAAAATCTATCGATACATACAGATTTAGTTTTCTGTAATAAAGGAAAATAAAAATATCAGGTTGCCTAATTTTATGTCCACGGTGGGGGGGGGGGGGGTATTTCGGTCAACCAAGAGTCGGTGTACCTACAAAAGATGATCAAGGGAAGACGATCGTGGATCCTAAATGACGAAAATACCCACAAGCGAACAACTACAAAGTCTCGTCGTGTGGGTAAGGCCAAGGGTATTATCGGCAATAGATCAGCTCAGACAACAAGGAAACTCGAAATTACGAGAAGAGAAAACGCTTTAAAAAAAAAGAAACTATTGAGAGACTAAAACGCCGCATCACGAGGGACATATCCGTCACACAAACAGAAGATGATACCTACGAGTTTACGGCCTTAACGGAAGTTTTTTAAATCGGAAAAACTGAAAATGGAGTGAAATTATCAGACAAACCTTAGATCTAATGGTCTCAGAGGGTTTTACGGCGCCGCTGGACTCCTCAAGGCCTTCCACGGTGGTAGCACCGCCGCCGCCGCTACCACCTCCACCGCTGAGAGACGTGGCGCCGCTCCAGGAAAGCGGTGTCGTGGGACTGGCTCGCGCCTGGTCTCCTTTCTTTGATCTACGTTGACGCACGCTCCATTTCAGCTTGAGAGGAGACGCGTCGCTCTTCGCCGGCGGTTCCGAGTGGCGGAGTCGAAGCAGCGCGTCAGCCACCAACGAATCGTCAGACATGGCCACTCGAATCCAGTTTTCGCCGGACATAGTCGGAATCTTCGACAGTTTTAAAGAGAGAGAGAGAGAGAGATGGTGGCGAAAAAGTAGAGAGGAAGAAATCTCTGTGGCAAATTAATGGGTGGATTTGTTGTATATATATTGAGTTTTTATTGCACAGTTTAGATTGGAACTATTTTTTATTTTTCTTTTCCTGATAAGTGTGGGTCCCCTCTTGAATACATACGTGGCATAGACCATTTGTGGCAATGTTTTTATTATTTTATCGTGTGTTGGAATAGTAGGAGAAGTAGGGTATCCTCTACACGCGCGAATCGACTGAAGAGAGTTGTTCCTGGATTCACACAATCCCATTTAGTTTTAAGAAACTTTTGTTTTTTATTTTTTCGAAATTCCGTTGGTTGGATTTTATGGTAAACATGAATTATAAGACAAAAACATGCCCTGGTCGCAAACATTTTTTTTTTAATTCAATGTACCATCATCGGGCACAAATATGGCTGAATATTAAGGTGTTACAAGAAGCTATCTTTTGAATCTAGTACTATTTTAGCACTCGTATTCATGAGTCATGACTATTCAATTTTCAGGTCACGTCAACTCCTTACTTATGGTCTTCCTCCAGTATGGAAATTTATGACTGTCATAATCTATGCTAAAGACTAATAAAGAAACTATAATTCCTTCAAAGAAAATAACGAAGCTTTTTTATTTTGTGATAAAGGGTTTAGAAAATAACGAAGCTACAAAGGAATTAAACCATTAAGTGTAGAACATAAAAATGTTGTTTTTCATCTTAGATTTTGCGGAAGGTGTTTCGTTACACTAGATTTTTGTAGTATTATTTAAGTTGAAAAAGAAATAACCATTCAAATTGAATGACTTTTAGACACGTTCCAGTTGCAATGTGGTATCCCTTTTGTTTTAACACCAGAGTGTAAATAACACGTGTCTTGTCGTTAATGTGTTCGTGCAATACACATCCTTTGTTAAGCGTTGATCTTTATTTCTTCAAATTAGTCCAACACGTACGTCTCTCTCTCTCTCTGGGACAAAGTACTTTATCGTTTCGAATGTACGAAAGCAGTCAGTGAACTAACATTTTACCTTTTCTCAATACGGTAACGATGTATTTGTCTACGTTTTTCGTCATTTTTTTCTTTGTTAAAGGTTAATTTTTTTTTTTTTTTTTTTATCTGAATTGAAGGTTAATTTTTTTAGTCATATTGTGATCATACTGTCCACATAAACGAATTTGAGTCCATCATGAAAATAACATCGACTAACTAAATGGAGTATGTTATGTCGATATTGTGATCTAGCGAATAAAACCTTATGACGTTTAATAGCGTAAGGTTTAGTTTTCTGAAGTCAGTCGTAATGATGATGGTTTAAATTTGAACCTTTAACTTTTACCGAAAGCATATAAACCGTTCCTTCTTACCCGGTTTTTAAAATCGCGTGACCAATTACGGTTTACAGATAACCGGACCGAGTCCGTCATTTCCATCTCACTTGAACGGGCACCACCATCACGTTCTTCGGGCGACCCGCCATAACCCTAAAGCTTCTGGAGGCGCCCAAGATCAGTTTCCATGGCGCTTCATCTCGCCAGACGCAAACAAAGGTTACATTCTAACCCATCTCTGATTCATCTTTTCTCAACCTCATCATCCTCACCTCCTCAAGACGGAAATGAATCTGGCGAGCGCCCCTCTCAATCACCATTGCCGTCCGATTCTAAAATGTCATCGTTGTTCAGTGGTATTAAGAGCAGCTTGAAACAGAAATCCCAGATTCAGCCCCAGGATGGGAGGAGACAGTTCGCCAATTTCGATGCCAAAGCTCCGAATCAGGCGCCGTCGTTCTCCGGTAACCAAGTCGGCGGAAATTTACAGGATATCAGGAGGAATCTCAACGAGTTCCGGAGTGGAGCAGCAGCTCCGCCGGCGATGGATTTGCAGGATATGTACAAACAATCAAAATCGGGAGGTTATGGGAGTGGTAAAGTCGAGGGTACGCGTTTTGAAAACATAAAGCAGAACCTAAGGCAGATGAGGCCGCAAGGTAACACGGAGGCCAGATGGTCCAATCTATCAAGCCTTCAGAGCATCATGAAGACGAAACCCAGTGAAAATGTCCGTTCAAATGTATTGGGAGGAGCAGAGGAATTGCCCGTTTCCGTGTTTGGGGAGGAAACGGGACAAGGGAAGATGACGGAAGAGGAGATGGAGGAGATGAAATCGGAGTTTGTCAAGCGTTATGACCCAAAAGAGTTGGGCGAGATACTGAGACTGTACAGACCACAAGGTAAAAAAGAAGAAGGCTGGTTCTCGTTGCAGGAGCTAAATCAGAGGCTTGTAAAGCTAAGAGAGGTGGAAGAGGAAGCAGCCCAGAGAACGAGGAAGGGCTTTGCCTTCGATGAATTGAGGTCTGGTATTCAACAAACCAAGGAAGCAGCAGCCAGGAAAGCACAAGCCTGTACGTTCTGAGGCTCTCTCTCTCTCTCTCTCTCTCTCTCTCTCTCTCTCTCTCTCTCTCTCTGTGTTTATATATTTGAATGTTTGGTTAAAGTCTCAAACACTCTTGGTATGATCAATTTGATTTAAGATACGGCAAAAGTGTTGATTTTTATGCTTGGGAGGTCGTTGCTGAGTTGGTTGTTTTGATTTGTTGTGAACTTGCTTGCAGTTCCGGACTTGGATTTTTTCAGCGTTTTACATGGTACCCCAAAGTATTTGCTTGAGCCTCCCAAGGAGCAGCTACTTGAAACTGTAAGCCTCTCTTTGGATCCTTAAGCTTGTAACCATTGAAGAATTCGGTTTTGTTGGCACTGATTATGTTACGCATATGTAAAATCAAACGCAGTATTTCCACCCGGATAACATGTCTTCCGCGGAGAAGATGAAACTCGAGCTTGCAAAGGTCAGGGAAGAGTTCAAGATGTCGGAATCGGATTGTGGTTCTGCACGAGTTCAAGGTAAATTGATTACTGCAAAAAAAGAAGAGGAACATCTGTTCTGATCAATGTTAGTCTTTAGCTATTAAAGAGATGTCGAAATCGGATTATTGTTTAGTGATTCTCTATGGTGTCTTTTCTTGTAGTGGCGCAACTGACTACTAAGATCAAGCATCTATCCTCTGTTCTACATAAAAAGGTGAACTTTCAATCCTTTTTACTTGCTAGTTGGTGCAGTGTTCTACTGTAACCTAATCGCGCCTCGAATAACCCAAATATAGGACAAGCATTCACGAAAGGGACTTATAGCAATGGTGCAGAGACGGAAGAAACTGTTGAAGTATATGAGACGAACGGACTGGGACTCTTACTGCCTTTCACTGTCAAAACTCGGCCTTCGTGACAATCCAGATTACAAGTTTTAGACTTTTATGTAGCAAGAATCGTCATCTCTTTTTGTTCTTTTCATCTTGGGAAAAGAGATAACCTTGCAGGCTGTTTAGGCAAAGAGGTTGAGATTTTGTGGGTTTCTTTCGTTAACATTGCCTTCCCAAATTGGTAATAAAGTTAAAATTTTAGATAACGTAATTATCTCAAACATGAGAGGTGATAACTCACATTTAATACGAGCGAAAGAGATTTAAGGCAGTGACTGGTTTTTACAGAGAGTGAACCGTTCCCTTCAATCCGGTAACAACCCAACCATCGAATAGCCAAATTCGGTTAACAACTAATCGGGATAAAGCAATTGAAACGACACTTCACGAGTTTATCTTCTTCATCTCCACAGACACAAACACATGATCCGCTTGAACCCACCCCTGACACGCATTTTCTCAACATCCTCGTCAAACGTACCCTCTCAACAATCACCATGGTCGAACTTCTTTACCAATAAGCCTCTCGTTGAGTCACATCGGAAGTATTCGCCGCCGAGATATTCAGTTCAGGAAGACAAACGACGCAGAGTTGGAAGGCCCAGGAAGCAACTGTTAGAGCAGAAGACGATGGAGGAAACACAAAGCAGGTTTGCAAGATTAAGTGGACCGTTCTTCGGCTCAAATGACCATTCTACTCAATGTTGTCACCATCTCTTGCATTAGCACGGTTTGCTATAGAAAGCATCTCAGTAGAATCTTGGCAGATTACACACCCATGACGCAGCAAGAAGTCCTTGAGTTTTCTAGTTGGTGAGAAACCCTGTACGACGATTTTCCTAAAAGATGGATTTGCGCAAACCATCCAAGTGAAAATTCCATCATCAGCTTCACAATAACTAAGGTTTATCACTCTTAAACGTGTGCAGCTCTGCAAGACTTGCTTCAGTCCTTTTGATCTCACATTCAAGCACCCTTTAAGATTAAGATGCAACAACCCTCGACATCTATTGCTGATCATATCTAGGTCTTGGTCGTCGATCCAAGTTCCAGATGCTCGCAAAGACTCCAACTTTGGAAGCTCAAAGTCTACTACACCAAGACTCCTTATGCCAGTGCATCCGCTTATATCCAAAGATCTTAGCCCGCCACAATTCCTCAAAACTCCAACAACCCCATCTCTCGTGATCCCAGGACACTGAGCCACTTCAAGAGCTTCTACAAAAGGGCAGTGGCGTGATAGCTTCTCGAGAGACTCATCGCTCAAATTGTGGTTTCCAGATATGCATAAAGACTTGATCCCCGACTTGATAACCAGTTCCTTGGAATATTCTTCCACTCCAAAATTCGTGCCTTCCATGATCATGCACTTGAGGGAAACACAGCTTTCGATGATGTTGAAGAATGCCAGACCAGTTAACTTGGAACAGAAGCTGAGGTTCACATAGGTCAAGCTGCGAAGGAACATCCCCAGTTCCATTATCATCTCATCAGAGAGGAAACTGGCTCCTTCAAGATCCAAGTGAACTAGTGTTTGGTACTTAGTCAGCAAATACAAGATCCCATCAAAAGTGAGACAGTGGCAATTGGAGAGAAGAAGCTTCTTTAGAGGAAGCTTGGCGTCGGCGATCGAACGGAGCAACTCATCGGACAAAAACGAATCCGAGAGATCAAGCTCAAACAAACAACGAGCGAATAAGAAAGCGTCGTCGGAGAAGGATTCCCTCGGCTTCCATCCGATTCCGTTGATCGCAAGAGACTCCAGGTTCTGAGAATTGCGCAGAAGGAACTCGATGCAATCGGATGAAACGAAATCGCAGTCACGGAAGAGTATTTCTCTTAAGAGGGCACAGTTCTTCGAAAGAGAGACCAAAGACTTATCTGTGATGAGGTTGTTACCAGAAACGTTAATCTTCAACAGCCGCTCGAGATTTGACGAAAGACTGATAATCCCAGAATCAGAGACGGGACTCGGGAGTGAGCCAGGATAGCTAATGTCCAGCTTCTGCAGATATGGGAAACACACTCCGATCGAAACCAGATCGCTTTCTCGAAATTCCCCAACTCCAGAACAGTTCAGTTCCTTCACGTTACTCATCATCTTCATCCCCGATTTCCCAAAATCTGGAAAATGCGGCATTCCCGAAACATCTAGCGATTCCAAATCCAAACCGGAAATCGAAATCTGCAGAAGAATCGAATTGAGATCCCCGTGGAAATCATGGAACCTGAGATGCTTCAGCTTCCGGAACCGAAGGAGATGCCGATGGAGGAAGGGAACAGTCCGATCGGTGATGATGAAAGTGGAGCGGACGCGATTGGTGATGGCGAGTAAAGAGGTCGATACGACTGAAACAGATTCCAGGAACCGATAATCATCTTCATCGATGACTTTACAGATCAATTCCCAACATTCTTCAGGTAAATCCATGGACTCCTCCAGATTTGATTGAAGAAGATAGCTGAATCAGTGTAGTGTATATAGATAATAATTTGTTTAGCCTTTAAACTTGTCCTCCATGGTGACTGGGCCCCCACATTCTCTTTTCTTTTAGTATTGCTGGGCCTGCAATAGCCCAATCAGCCCATTTGAGTGCTGCTGGGAATAGCCCAATCAATCCATTTTAAACGCTTTTCTTTTAGTATACCTGGGCCTGCAATTGCCCAATCAGCCTATTTTAGTATTTTTTGTGCCTGTAATAGCCTAATCATCTTGGGCTCGTTTTCTATGAAGGCCCAATCAGCCCATTTTTGTTACAGTAATTGTTTTGGTTTGTCAACTGGACAGCTGTGTGAGAGTCAGTGACCACTTATGTCGGTAATTAAAGTTGAAGAGGACAGACATAGAAAGTTCACATGAATAATGCTCAAAGTCTTGGAGCTTTGTCCAAATTTTTTTTAAATTGATACTGTTGGATTCACTCTTCAACCACGACTTGTCCTTTTGTTCACTAAATCCGCATGAATTGAATTTGCACAGTGACCCAATCGAATCATTTGGATCAATATACCTCGATACAAACAAAACTATAGAGATTACATAATCCATTATATATTCCTTTTCTCTACTTACTTATCCCATCATAGTACTTGTTTTTTTGCTTTACGTAGAAAAGGTTTTTAAGTAGTTTTATTTTATAGTATTCGTTAAACAACAATATTGTTTAAATGATATCACACGGCATGGTGGCATCATCTTTACCTTGGGATGTTAAACTTTGTAATTAAAAACTTGAGCTTGTTGAGATATGTCCACAATTGCACGTCTTATCACCCCACGACTGGGCAGTTTCTCTCTCTCTTTTGGTTACAACTTTTCCACCTTTTCATAACTGCCACATGAAGACCAAACCATCAAAGCAGTGTCCTTCCCCTGCCCAACAGTGTCCTTCCCTTTTGTCTCCATCTCCAGACAAGATAATCTCAGAGATTTCCATCTTGTTAAACAAGACAGACGAAGAACAAGAAGAAGAACAAGTAGAAGAGGGAGCTTCATAGTTTCATTTTCTCTGCATGTTTGCGACGCTAAAACAAACACAAACATGTGTCTCCTTCGTCATTTGCTGTTTTCACTACCCATTTGGGTTTTTGGTTTCTCCTTCTTCTCCGCTGCTCTTGTGATTAAATCGGATGAATCTTCCGTTGTTTTCGGTTCTGCTACTTCCCACGAAATCCCAATTTCTCAGGCTTCTCCGCGAATGGGAGCTCAATCCCCAGGTAGTAATTAGTTTTCCCCCTTTTCAAAATTCTCGATGTTGCTCTAGAAAGAGAAGACAATGTTCTAATTCTGGCTACTGATTTGAGTGACTGGCTTACTAGTTACCGAAACGGGGTGTGCTAGAGGAACGGGAATCGAATTTAGTTGAACTGATACTAGTTCCGGAAGAAAAATTAAAAATTTCCGATAAGAATGCGTCGAGAGGGGTTTTCTGTAGTGATGCAAGTACTGCCGAATCAGATTGATTGGAATTTAATCTGGCAGTGATAAAATAGAAAAAAGTTCACATTTTTTAAGTTTCATTTCTCAGGACCTCCCGTTGTTAAAGTGGTGCTTCGCGAGGACTTGAACAAGAAGATTCTGATTGCTCTTATAGTCTCATCGACTCTCCTCTGTTTCACAGTCATCTTCCTTCTGTACCTCTTGCTATGGAGGTACAGAAATCTTAAGAATAGCTTCACTGGGATCAAGCGAAAACCCGGTATTCAACTCCATCCCTTACAATTATATCTTTTAGTAATTTCTTGGGAGGGTTTTGTTGCTAGCAAAGGCTAATTTATGGTTATCTGAAGATTCTGTGACCAGTGTGTCCACGAAGCCCATTGCACACAAGATTGATTCTGCGAGGAAAGGAACTATCCCTGTGTATGAATATCAAATCTTGGAATCTGGAACAAACAAGTTTAGCGACAGCAATGTGTTGAGCCGAGGTGGTCGTGGATGCCTTTACAGAGCTTGCCTTGATGAAAACTCCTCTGTCACTGTGAAGAAACTTGATGGTGGTGGGGACACAGACATTGAGAAACAGTTTGAGGTTCGATCGGCTTTGACCCTCCCATAAGATCCCCACATTATCCAACCATCTCATTCGATAAACCATAACTCGGTTTTGTTTTTTTTTGTGTGTTTCTATGCAGAGTGAGGTAGATTGGTTGGCTAAGATCAGGCATCAGAACATAATTTCGCTAATGGGGTTTTGCGTATATCGCCAAACGAGATGTATTGTGTATGAGATGATGCAGAATGGATCTCTGGAGAGTCAGTTGCATGGTAAGTGAGATAGATGTTTCCAGTTTAGTCACTTATTCTTTTTTTGTATGTTCAATATTTTGATTTTCTTCTTCTTCTTGTTTTGGAAACATGAAGGGCCTAGTCAAGGTTCAGGTTTAACTTGGCAGCTTAGGATGAAAATCGCAGTTGATATAGCACGGTAAAGTCCATTCATCGATTAACATTTTAGCAGTTTCCTGTGATCTCCAAGCACATTTGTATGCTTACAAAGTTTGTTTTTTTTTGTAAAGAGGATTAGAGTATCTTCACGAGCATTGCCACCCTCCGGTAGTTCACAGGGATTTGAAATCGTCTAGCATCCTTCTAGACTCCGATTTCAACGCAAAGGTAGAAGAGAAAAAAGATTGATATAATGTAAAGTTCTTCTTATAGAGGTTTTATGAGTTGTAAGGATCTGTTGCCACATTTGCTTCTCCTCAGATATCGGATTTTGGTTTTGCCACGATGTTGATGACTCAGAACAAAAATCTCAAGGTTCCTGGAACTTTAGGGAACAGAGCTTCCGAGTATCTTCTTGATGGTAATAAGTTTATCAAAGTCTCACATTGTAGCAGCTAACAAGAGATGTTCAGCTTTTGCGCTTCTCTTATCACATTTCAGGGAAAGTTACAGACAAGAAAGATGTCTACTCATTTGGGGTGATTCTCCTCGAACTTCTCCTCGGGAAGAAATCAGTGGAGAAACCATCATCTGAACCAGAGTCCATCGTCACTTGGGTACATACACAAATCAGAAAGTCTCTTTCCTTTTTTTTCAAGGAGGAAATCCATCTGGAACATGATCTATGTTACCTTTATTGAACAGGCTGTACCTAAGCTCAGTGACAGAGCTAATCTTCCCAATATCTTGGATCCTGCGATCAAAGGAACCATGGACTTAAAGCATCTCTACCAGGTCATCATCTTCATCAAAAACTCTTATCTTTTCTTCACATAGATTTTACTTCCCAATAGCCAAAATAAAATAAATAAATAAAAATTCTGGATTTGATCCGAACAGGTTGCTGCTGTCGCGGTCTTGTGTGTTCAGCCGGAGCCAAGTTACAGACCACTTATTACCGATGTCTTGCACTCACTCATCCCTCTTTTACCAGTAGATCTCGGCGGCTCATTGCGAATTTTATAAGAAAAATCTTTCCTTTTTTGGGTTTTGTATCTTTTTTCATTTCAACCTGAACTTGAATTTACTCCTTTTTTTTGTTAGTTTTTTCCGGCAAATTTCCACTTTTTCTCTTGTGTTTGATCATTGCCATGAGATACACAAGTCATCATAGAACCGAGTTTGGAAAGTACAAATTTATTAAGCTTGGACGAGTTAACAAAACACAACGCTTTGACTATTTGACCCAAAAAGATGAGAAAAATGGAAGAGGCATGAATATAAATGAATAAACCTTGTCTTTTTCCGATAATCCGATTAATTGCATTTTCTGAAAAATTTCTACGCTAAATTTTAATGCAATTTCTCGAATCCCGAAACGAAACGCGACGAATTGGAATGTGAAAGATGGAAACGAAGCGGATAAGCAAAAACCCATCAAGATCTATCATCAGTCTCAAGGATATTCCTCCTCTTGATCCATCATCTATCCCCAATAATTCATCTCTGGTAATTATTTTTCGGATCTTCTCTTCTTTCAGGGCAACATTAGAGGGCGTCAAAAATGAAACACATAAGTAATCTTCTTTTTTGTTGCTAAATCGATTCTTCTAGGGTTAATCAAAGAGATGAAACCCTCTGTTTCCATTGTTCTGTGATTGATTTGGCTGTTTTTTTCATACTACTAAAAAGCTGTCTTAAAAACAGAAATCTCTGTCGGAATCAGGCTATATAATAAATGTTCATCTATTTCAATTGCCTTGTCTAATTGTCAGAAACCAAGAACAACGATGGTGCCAGTTCATGTGGCAAAGCAGAGATTCCAAGAGAAGAATGAGTTTGAAGAAGACATTGTCAAATCTTCCTTCTCTAATATTCAGATCGATCCTAACAGCACAAGAAGCGAAAACATCACGCATGACAAGAAGCTTGTTCCTAAACCAGAAGAAGACACCAAACAAAAACCTAAAGGTGCAATTTTTCTTTCACTCGTTATTGTTTTTAGAACCATCTTCTTCCTCTGTTTTTTTTTTTAGGTTAGAATCTCACAACTTTTAGGGTTTCATTTTAATCCGTGTAAAATACACAACAGAGATTGGATTTAGGTCTTGGTTCAGTAAAATGTTGGGTAATTCATACTGAAATTGGGGTTATACTGCGTAACGCTTAGTCCAGATGAATCGAAGAAAGGGTCAGCGAAATCGGAGTTACACGAAATATGTACTTCCAAGCGACGGAAACCTCCGGTGTATGAGTGCTGCAATGTCGATGGACCTTGCCATATGAGATTGTAAGTGAACATAACTTACCTGCACTTGCTTCTATTTCGAATCATATATAACCTTTTTGGATGAACTTGTTTTTGGGTTCAGATTTACATATAAAGTTGTGGTTGAGATTAGAGATTCTTCAGGGACAACACTTTTGGAGTGCTATGGGGATCCCAAACCCAAGAAGAAAACTGCGGCTGAGCATGCAGCGGAAGGAGCGCTTTGGTATCTTGAGCATGTAACCCGAAACCAGACAAAGCCCCATTAATAAATACAAAAAATCATCTTCTTGTCAGATGTAGAGTTTTAGTAAAGGTTTATGTTGTTGCTCTAACAGATAGCTGAGAATAATGGTTATGGTTTCTCTAACTTGTATCACAATCCTTGTGCCATTATACTTCTCCTCATGTTTATTAGTGATGGCCAAGAATTGCAAGTTTCAGCACAGATACATTGGATTAAAGAAAATCAATTAAAGATTTGAGCATTCTTAGTTTTTTTAGTTGCTTTGATGCATTTTCTCTTGCCAAGGCAGAGGACTAATAAGAAACTCAATGGTGGAATGGAACAAAGAATTCTAAGTAAATGTAAAATCTTATTACTTTTGTAAAGACAAAAACAAGAATATCTCAAAACAAATAAAGCAGCCAACAGCCACTGCTGATAAAAGAAACATTTTTTTTCCTTTTTCTCTTTTTGCAGTATTTTTCTAAATAATGAAGGTGGTTTATTATTCAATACTCTTGTGGTTTTGGTTTCTAAACTAAACTGAGAAACACTAGTTTCTGAAATCACAGGGTGTAGTGTTGCTGGATAGCCTCTATGTCAAGTCCCTTCTGCTTCACTACTGATTCCACGTGACCTTTCAAGGTATGACGCTCTCTTAACCTGAAATCAGAAGAGAAGAGTTTGTTGTAGTAAGGCCATGTTCTGAGGAAGAGAATGTTATTGGACTAATAATGAGTTACTTGAAGAGCGTTACCTTGCGACTTCAGCTCGTCTCTTGGCCTGATCTGCTATCTCTGAAAGTTCTCTGTAAGTGCTCTTGTCGTTGAACATTTCTGAGCTTTGAGGTGGCTGCAATCCGTGAAGTGTGCGTTGAGCTTGTGCCCATTGTGCTTCCCTCTCTCCCTTTCCGTAGTCTTTCTTTGACGTGAAAGCGGTCTGAACAAAAGGAACAAAGTCAGAAACAAGTTAAGCACTCAAGTGTTCTTTATCTCGTTATCTCTGTCTCTAATCAAACCGCACCTTGTTCTCAATGACGTTGTCCCAGGCTCTGCCACTTAGTGAATACCGGATGATGAACTTGAGGATGTCCAATGGGATGTAAGTAACTAGACTGTAGAGCCAGATAACTCCTGCCCATCCCCACCCAATTCCTCTGATTCTTGCAAAATTCCAGTTTGCGTACACAGCGATGAGAGTAGCAATCTTGGAATGACAAAATAATAAAACAGTGTCAGTACACGTTGATTTGTATTGTAACAAGACTGAAGCTTTAGATAACTCACCAGCTGAGCTAGGAAGAAGGCAGAGACCAACCAGAAGCCAGGACGCTCAACATATGACCAGCTACGTGACCTCGTGACGAAGATCAGCGCTTGGCTAACGATACTAACTTGGAGGTAAATCGCTGCTGTAAGCTCGTGCGGATTGCCACTGAGAGATCTCACCCCAAACTTTGCCTGCACCAGGGAACAAACATAGGATCAAACACACTCACTTCATCTGGTGAACTGAGTCCTCCTCATTAGTAAAGTATAGAGAGAGTTCTCTTACCGAGAAGAAGTCAGTGCTCTCGGCAGCCCAGAAGAAAACTACAGTCATGACTGCTAGGTAAGTGCCAAGAACAACGCCGGTGGCAAATATCTCTTTGAGTTTCCATGAATCAGGAAGCGGAGAAGGCTTTACTCTGTCCTTTGATATCGTCATGATGGTACCATCGTTCAGGATAGCGATCACCAGGACCATGAATGGTGAGAAGTCGAACTTCCATATGAGTGCAAGAAGCATAAAGCCCATGACTACACGGATTGTGATGGAAACTGCATAGATTGTGTAGTTCTTCATCCTCTGGAAGATGGCTCTGCTCGTTAGTACAGCACTAACTATGACACTGAGCCCTGGCTCGGTTAGTACAATGTCAGATGCACTTCTCGCTGCATCAGTCGCATCAGCAACAGCTATTCCAATGTCAGCTCTCTTGAGAGCCGGGGCATCGTTCACTCCATCACCAGTCATGCCACAAATGTGCTTCATCTCCTGGAGCCTCTTCACAATCTCATACTTGTGTTCTATTCAGACAGATGAAACAGATTCATTAGTGAATATATATCCATCAAGAGAAAATGTTTCATTATATTTGATTGTTTTACCAGGAAAGACACCGGCGAATCCATCAGCCATCTCGATGAGTTCATCAACAGGAAGGCTAGATATAGATTCATCCTTCTCCTGTCCAAGAAGAGCAGAAGAAGGATACATGTTTGTGCCCATACCGAGCCTACGCCCAGTTTCCTTACCAATGGCGAGCTGGTCACCAGTGATCATCTTGACATTGACACCGAGGTCAAGGGCACGCCTGATTGTCTCTGCACTGTCATGTCTTGGAGGGTCAAAGAGAGGTAAAAGACCAAGAAACTGCCACGGCTCTCCGGGGCTGTTCTTGTCTTTCGCAGAGACAGTCTAATAATAGTCAAAAGAGGCAAAATAGCATCATATTAGGAGAAAGAAACACATATTGTCTCCAAAACATTTTGGGATTGGCACAATAGCTTATTTACCTGTCTGCCAACAGCAAGAGAACGAAGTCCTCTGTCAGCAAACTTGTCAATGATGTCATGAGCTCTCTTCTTTGTATCCTCCCGAAGGTTACAGAGCTCAATGATCTACAAATTACAGAGACCCATTAGTGAGAAAAGAACTTGTAAGAAGAAGGAAATGAAGAATATATATATATTTTACTTGCTCTGGAGCGCCTTTGCTGACACGGTGCCAGTTTCCACTAGAATCAATGTAAGTGATAGCAGTGCGCTTGTCCACAGGGTTAAAAGGAAAGAAATGGACTTCAGTGATGCCTTCTCTTGCTTCTCTGGGATCTCCAAGCATTCCTACAATGCAAGCATCGATAGCATCTTGGTTTTCAACTCTAGAGGCTCTTGCTGCATTCACAAGCAGCTGGTCCTTGTCCAAGTCTTTGACAAACACCTCTACCATGCTCTTGTCGACAGTAAGCTTGTTGAGCGTAAGAGTTCCAGTCTTGTCACTGCACAAAACATCCATTCCAGCCATTTCTTCGATTGCTGTCATTCTCTTTGTGATAGCTCCTTGTTGGGAGAGACGGTGAGATCCAATGGCCATGGTGACAGACAAAACAGTCGGCATTGCGATTGGGATCCCTCCAATGAGAAGCACAAGAAGGTTGTCGATTCCATCTCTGTAGGCACGGTGCTGGATAGGATACATGACAACGATCTCAATGATCATACCTATCCCGATGGAGCAGATGCAGAAGTTCCCAATGGCAGTCAAGACTTTCTGGAAATGGCCCTCTTGGTTTGTGCTGTCTACAAGATGAGCAGCTTTGCCGAAGAAAGTATGAACGCCAGTGGCGATCACAACAGCTTCTAGCTCTCCTTGTTTGCAGGTGGAACCAGAGTAAACTTCTTGGCCAGGGTTCTTGGTTACTGGTAAAGACTCACCAGTGAGAGCAGATTGGTCAACCTTGAGAGGATCACCGTCCAAGAGACGACCATCTGCTGGAATAATGTCACCCAGTTTAATGCTGATAATGTCTCCGGGAACCAATATGGCGGCCTCTTGCTCGCTCCACTTGCCATCTCTCAGAAGCTATGTTAAGATGTTTAATACATTCGTTAATCATCCATGTTTTTGGGGGGCTTGTACATGCGTATTGAGCTACTCTTTTTGTAAAAACTTACCTTGGTTTTAGGAGCTAGACCGGCCATCAAAGCGGCTGCTGCGTTTCCGGCGTTGTTTTCTTCAATGAAGCTAATGGTAGAGTTAATAATTAGAAGAACCGTGATACCCACGAAATCTTGCCAATCCGGTGGCCTGCCCTGCAGGTTTTACAATTTGGTTACCAAAATGTGTGTTAAAGTCAGAGAGATGGATCCCCCAGGGCAGGTTTGTGCAAAGAAAAAGAAGAAATTGTGAGAGTTAAGAGAATTTACTCCTCCATTGGCCAGGGCGATAGCCATTATAGCAGCCAACTCCATGACCCATGAGAGAGGGTTCCACATAAACCCTAAGAACTTCAAAACCTTGCTTTCCTGTGTGATAGTGAGAATTGGTTAAAACAGGGTTTCTTGTGAAGGAAGAAACAGAGGAAAATGAGATACAATAATAGGTTATAAAAAGGTGTTTTTGCCTTTTTCTCTTCGAGCTTGTTAGGACCGAAGATCTCGAGCCGAGTATGGCCTTCGTCGCTCGTCAGTCCTTCCCTTGTACATCTCAGCTGCGTAAGCACCTCCTCGATCGGTATTTTCTCCTGTTTTCAATCAACGAACCCAACAATTAGCGTTTCAAGTTCAGAGTGGAATCGAAATCGTAAGCAAATGTTGTGGAATGCGTACGAGGTCGACGCCTTCGTTCTTGATATCGTCCCAGCTAGAATCTTTCCCTGCCATCTTGTTTTTTTTTTCTTACAGAAACAGGGTTTTCTCGTGTCGGTTTAACTTTGTTTTTCACTCTTTCTTGTCGAAATTTTTTCCAAGTTTCTCTGCAGCTTTTTGTGTGTTTCAAACTGAAATTTTCTCGATCTTTTTTATTTTCTGTTGTTATTTAACGAAACAGAAGAAACAAAAAGGGAGAAAAGTAGAAACAGAAAAAATAGATAGGTATATATTTTTTTTTAAAAGAAATTATTTATATAAAAATGAAGGAAAGTGGAGTTGAAGTTGCAGGGGTTATATAAGGTGGAGGAGAGAGAGGGAAAGAGAGAGTGAAGATAATTAGCAACTTGTAGTGAAGGAGCGCGAGTTTTTGCTCTCGGTAAGTCCAGGTCCTTCGCTCACTCCCCGCTTCCATCTCCTGCTTCCACTCATCAACTGCCACCTGTCTTTTTTCACTAAGCTAACCATAACCATAAAAGTTCATAACTGTATTTGCGAACAAAGAAGAAAACATTATTCGTCGTTGATCGATCATTTAAGATACTTGCATGATTCTCCGCTTCTTTCACAAGAGAAAACGTTTTGTATTTTCCTATGCAAAATGTGCATGATAATATTGTTGTAAAATCAAAATTTTATATTAAAATGTTGTAAAACGAATTCATTATGTTGTAGAGAAAATGATAGGAGAAACATCATCCGAGACAGACGGAGGATTTACTAGGGGGGAAAAAGACTCTCTAAATGGAAAAACAAGACCCTAAACACATCATCACTAAAGCAATTGGCAAATCTTCATTTTCATTTTCTGCCGGCTGTTACTCTTTGCTTCGCCTTAACCTCGGCTTCCTGCAATTCATTCAAAACAAATGCCATCGACGACATTAATACACAATGTTTGTAAAACATGATTGGTCAAATAATACTATGAGCGAGTGTGAGTGAGAGAGCACACACCTGTGGGAGATGCAAGAAAATGGTGCTTTTCGCAGTTGCCGGGTTGTGATTCTCTGCACCTTTGCTCCAGTCATAGCACGACTACAACCAAACGTTTAAACATCAGTGAGTGTTTCGCTTAAATGCTGTAAAAATCAATAAAGTGAAACCAAACAAGATGTAGTAGCATACCGCATATGCATATATCGACCCATCGTGATTAAACGAACTGCATGTAATTGGCTGACTGCACCTTGCCATGGCCTGACATTCGTTGGGAAACTGTTAGATATTCACAAGGAACAAATAAAAGAAAAGAATCGATGATGCAACATGACAATACCTTGAGTCTTTGTTTACTATCCTTGTCCCAGAAATTGAAAGCACCATCGGAGCCAGCAGTGGCAAAAGTGCCATGTACCTTTAATTACACAAGTAAAACAATCACCATTTGTACAATCTACTAGTTTTCATGGTGTTGAAGCTTTAAGAGTAGAGAGCCATGGGAGCTTACCGGGTGGAAGTTCAGAGAGTTGACAGAGTATATATCGTTGCCATCTCTGTGGCATTTGAATGTGAAGTTTCTGCTCTGCAGAGAATCTTCCAAATGATGGACACCTACCCGCCCCTCAATTGAACCAACCTATAGAGAGCATTGGATTTGGTTATGCATTGAGCAACTTCGTGTGATAAAGATAACTTCCAACATTTTAAACACTTTAGAAACTTCTCAAGAATTGAAAAGAAAAAAACATTGCTATATATTTTAAAGCGTGTACGCAGCATCAGAAACAAGCTAAATTCCTGAGCCACCAAAACACGAATGTAAAGATATGTAAGAAGACATACCAAAAAACCTTGCTGATCAGGGAAGGCAGTAACACACCTCGTCTGGTACTTGAGTGGGGATGGGATTCTCTTGAACTCGGTCTACAGTTCACCAGATTAATAAATAGGTTTAATACACAAGATAAAACAGTTAAAAAATCAAATCTGTAAGTCGAAAGCCTTTCATGTTCTCGAAGCCATGTGATGTTCAGCATTCTTAGCACTCGGAACGAAAGTCTGACCTGAGGATTTCCCAAGTTGTAGACTATCAGATTTCTATCTGCAGTCCCGACAACCATCAGAGTATTTTTCACAGACAATGCATAGCATTTATCTGGAAGCTGTTGGGTATGCGCCGGAGCCTGCTGTCTTGTGTCCCAATACCTGGAAGGAGAACCCATATACATTGTTAAATATACCTTAGCTTTATCAGTTAGGCAATTCTATCATTTTCTTGGTTCCGTCACAGAGTATAATGAACAAGCATTCTTACTTCAATGTTTTATCCCAGCTTCCAGTTACGAGGAGATTCATTCCTGGGATCCAGGCCATGTCTATAATAGGAGCATCGTGCATAGCAACAGTTACAGCTTGACCACCTGACAACAAGGGCCACATTTTTGCTTGCTTATCACAACCTCCAGAAAAGACTGCGGTTCCATCATCTTTCCAAGCAGAACATAAGACCTTCATCACAAGAAAAGAAGAGATATATAGTCAACAGATTCCAAGCAAAAACGAAAACGAAAGCAAGATCAAAAAAGCAACAGCAATTACCGGCTGATCATGCGATATTTGCGCTTTTGGAGCACTGGCTAGAGAGGTTCCACTGCGAGATATTTCCCAACAGCTCACCTGTAATAGAAGAAGCAAACTCATATATTACAATATAAACACATCCACGTCTAAGAGGGTAACTCTACCGTAGCCAAAGAACAAAGGAGCCAAAGAATTAACAGTAAACCTGATTGTCCCATGAAGTGGCCACAAGTATGTCGGCTCTTGGACTAAAATTTAAGCTCGAAATAGAATCTGCGGGTGATGGAATAACCTGCATGAAAATAGAAAGACGAGCTTTAAGAAGATAACCCAAGATAGACTGTAACCATCACAAGTATAAGCCGAGAAGGAAGTAAACTATATTAGGATGCAAAACATTAGTAAGTTAATCAAAAGCTAAATCGTTTAAGCCACAAAACAAGACACCAACATCAATAAGCCAAGGTTAGAGTTTCTGAGACTTCAATTTGGCCTTCAACATACATCATGAGATACATTACAGAAGAATCGCATAACTAAGCAAGAAAGAAACTGTTCAATCTAAGCCGTAAAACCCTAGCGCAAGTTTCAGTCAAGATGAAATCGACAGATCTTATAAGTCTGAAGCGAACATCGCGACGCAAGAACACAAAAGGATATAAGTGACCTCAGCGATTAGAACAACCAGAATAATCAAACCTCCATAGAAACATAGAAGATTTACCTCATACGATTTATTAGGGTTAGTGGTCGCGTTAGCCGCCGCACCGAAGGTAGCCATTAGCACGAGCCGAGGTCGGATATCTGTAAAAAGTTTCAATTCAAGAGACAAATCACATAAGTAATGCTCCTCTACGACTTCAATCAGAAGAGAAACCGAATGAGAAGAAAAGAGAGAAACCTAGAGAAGAAGATTCGTTCGAGATAGCCTTTTCCGGTAAGCAGAAGAGGAGGGAAAAGCAAGTTAGTCTGAGCCGAATGCGAGAACTTTTTTTTTTTTTTATAAAGGTCTCTCTCTCTGCGTCAGTTTGACGTCCGGCGAAGCGTTGATCGGACGCTGTACTTAAAATACACGCGAGCTAAATGGGCCTGCTTATTGGGCTTATTTAAAGCCCAATAATTTACTTGTATGTATTTATTGTACATTTGGTTTTTCACTGGAGAGGATTCCGGGTCGAGTGACGGATCTTAGCCCAAACTTGGCAGATCTGACAAAAATTTGAGAGCTTTGCCTCCCTTTCCTGCAGCGGCTTAGAGTGAGTAGAGGAAGGGCTTCAGGGCGGTTTTAGAATTTCTCTGATCATTGTCGCCGCCGTTCGTCTGAGCCTCCGTCCATCAGAGCCGCCTCATCAATGGATTTGTTCTAGAAACTGAAAAAAAAACTGCAGTACGGTCACAGACTCCAGGAAAGGAAAACCCTAGACTGTCGCTTTGCCTCGGCGCTGTATCGGTTTCGACATTTCGTCAGTCATGGCGTCTCTTTCTATTCTTCCAGCTCCAGGTAAATCTTCAAAATCATTTGTTCGTGTGTGCTATTGATGATTTTGGGCGTTCGGCGAGAGAATCACGTTTGCGAACTGCATCTTTACTCCTTCTATTCGTGGGTTTCTTTTTACTGGGTTTCTTCACTGTATTCTCACCTTTTGTTTTTTATTCAGAATCAATCCGTTGTCATTTCTTCTGTTCTACAGTTGATTCGTTAAGCTTCAAAAGGAGTCGTTTGCATTTCGTAGGTTTTTTGGAGTTCAGAATTTCTAGGAAGCTTTTTTGTCGGTTTTTAGTGATTATGGTTGGTTCTAGAGAGAAGATCAATATCCTCAGCTAGGTTTTTAACTCAAGTTCAAGCATGTCGTGTGCAATGTGCATCAACTTTTATCATCTGGTGCTGGAATTTTTCATTCATTCTTCTAAAGTTCCCAAAATTCTTTGCTGGCAGATATTTCAAGGATGACTACAAATTTGGACTCGCGAAAGAAAAGAAGGATCTCTTTAGATGCAAATCCTCTCTCATGTGAAAATTACAAAGATGTCAGAGACTCATTGCCAAGGTTGAATTCACCCGACTACTTCTTGAAGCCATGCATGAGCGAGCTTGTTGAGCGGGAACTTGAAAACCCTGATTATTGCAGCAGGGTTCCTGATCTCACAATTGGGAGGATTGGTTATGGTTGTATCAAGTTTCTTGGAAGTACAGATGTTAGAAAGCTAGACCTGGATCAGATTGTTAAGTTTCAAAGGCACGAGGTAATTGTTTATGATGATGAGAGCTCCAAGCCAGTTGTTGGCGAGGGTCTTAACAAGGCTGCTGAGGTGACTCTGATCGTAAACATACCAAATCTGAATTTGGGGAAAGTGCGAGCCGACCATATTTCTTATAAATTAAAACAGATTGCTGAAAGACAAGGAGCAACCTTCATCTCATTTGATCCTGATAATGGTTTATGGAAGTTTTTGGTTCCTCATTTCAGCAGATTTGGGTTGAGTGATGATGAGGCAGAAGATATTGCTATGGCTGATGCCCCGAGTTTGGATCATCCTGTAGGTCTGAATGGTGACATGGTAGCTGACATTGATAATGAATATCAGATGGAAACTTCCGAGACAGAGCTCTCCCATTCTCTTCCAGCCCATCTAGGACTTGATCCTGAAAAGATGAATGAAATGAGAATGCTGATGTTCCCTAATAAAGATGTAGACCAAAGTGAGGATTTCAGAGATCAAACCTCCCTTCAAATGTCATCCTTGAGTACACGGAATGTGAGAGCGTCACAGAAAATTTCTCAAAGAAATAATCATCAAGATACTTCTCCGGTCGTGCGGAAAACTCCGCTTGCTTTGCTGGAGTATAACCCTGGTAATGATAAAAGCTCCCCAGGCAGTATCCTGATGGTCCAACAAAATAAGAATTTGGCAGTGAGAAAGTCGAAAATGGGAGGTTTCGAGCTGGACATCAGCCGTGTCACGCCATTAACTACCAACTATTCCCGCAATGTTGTTGATGCAGCATTATTCATGGGAAGGTCGTTCCGAGCAGGTTGGGGTCCAAATGGCGTCCTTCTTCACACTGGCGAGCCAATATGCAGTTCTAGTTCCCAGAGGGTATTGTCTTCCGTGATTAATGTAGAGAAGATAGCAATTGACAAAGTGGTTCGGGATAAAAAGGGAAAAGTTCAGAAAGAGCTTATTGACTCTGCATTTGAAGATCCCTTAAGTCTCCACAAGGACCTGTATCATGAAGAAGAAGAAGTTAGGTTTGGCTCTTTCAGTCTTAAACTCAAGAAAGTTGCCACTGATCGTGTGGTTCTTTCAGATATCTGCCGAAGCTATATCGGTATAATCGAGAAACAGATGGAGGTTGCTGGGTTGTCCACCTCTGCCAAGCTGTTTTCGATGCACCAAGTCATGGTGTGGGAACTCATAAAAGTTCTCTTTTCTGAGAAACAGAGTGCTCAACCTTCAAATTATGCAGCTTCTGATAATGAGGAAGACATGATGGAGGATGTGAAAGAAGAGTCTGCAGAAGTTGACCTAGAAGCTCGTCCACTTATCCGAAGAGCAGAATTCAGTTGTTGGCTCCAAGAGAGTGTCAGTCACCGTGTACAAGAAGATGTGAGTGATCTAAATGGTTCCGGCTACCTTGACCACTTATTCTTTCTTCTAACTGGACGAGAGCTTGAATCAGCTGTGGAACTTGCCATATCTAAGGGAGATGTTAGACTTGCTTGTTTGTTGAGCCAGGCTGGTGGATCAACTGTGAACCGCAATGATATCATGCAGCAGCTTCACCTTTGGGGAAGGAACGGGCTGGATTTTAATTACATTGAGAAGGAGAGAATTAAGCTTTACGAATTGCTTGCTGGAAATATCCACGATGCGCTACAAGATTTTAAAATTGACTGGAAGAGATTCCTAGGGTTGTTAATGTGGCATCATCTGCCTCCCGACAGCTCATTGCCTGTCATTTTCAGAAGTTATCAACTCCTACTAGACCAGGCAAAAGCTCCATGGCCCGTCCCAATTTATATTGACGAAGGACCTGCAGATGGATTTGTAAGCAACACGAAGCATTCTGACCTCTTGTATTATCTTATGCTTCTGCACAGCAGAGAAGAGGAAGAAATTGGTTTTCTGAAGACTATGTTCAGTGCCTTCTCTTCAACTGACGATCCACTTGACTATCATATGATCTGGCACCATCGAGGAATCCTAGAAGCAGTTGGAGCTTTCACTTCAGATGACCTTCACGCTCTCGATATGGGATTCGTTGCACAGCTTCTCTCTCAGGGCCTTTGTCATTGGGCTATTTACGTTGTTCTTCACATACCCTACCGCGAAGATCATCCATATCTACACGTCATTGTCATTCGGGAAATCCTGTTTCAGTTCTGTGAAACTTGGAGTTCTAAGGAATCACAGCGGCAATTTATCAAGGACTTGGGTATCCCTTCTGAGTGGATGCACGAAGCTCTGGTAAGGACGCTATAGAATAACTCTTCTATTCTACTTCTGCTAAATCGAATCCTTTTGCATCTTATGATAATATGCTGATTCCTGTTTGTTATCCCCTTGTGTTGCAGGCAGTTTATTACAATTACCATGGAGATCTTGTAAAGGCTCTGGACCACTACATTAAATGTGAAAACTGGCAAAGAGCTCATTCGATTTTTATGACGTCAGTTGCTCATTCATTGTTTATGTCAGGTAAAGCTCCTGCATTTTCTTATGCCTGGCCCAACTGGTACATGATTCCGGCGTAGTGTGGGAAAGATCTATTTGGAGTGACCTGGTTTCTCTTTAAATATTGTATGCAGCTAACCATACAGAAATATGGAGAATTGCTACTTCAATGGATGATCGCAAGTCTGAGATTGAAAACTGGGACTTGGGTGCTGGGATTTACATATCATTCTATCTACTAAAAAGTTCACTAGAAGAAGATGCTGATACGACGGTAGAACTGGTACGTCTACGTTGTTATAATCGTAAATTTGAGATTCTACACTTCTAGCTATCAAATTGCTTAAACTTAAACTAGGCTGCCGTTGGGCGAACTGACTGGCTGTACAACATATACTTTATTGTATGACTGATAGTCTACAAAAATTGCTTTAGATTCCGTATGATCTTGGTCATAATGATACTTTTCTGGATGGGTAAAGACATGTATGATACAAACAACACAACGTTTTGCTTCCACAGGATCCTATTGAGAGCAGAAACGAGTCATGCAGAAGTTTTGTCGGTCGTTTAAACGAGTCATTGGCTGTTTGGGGCGATAGATTACCAGTTGAAGCTAGGTAAGTACTTCATACGTCTCACACTTGCCATAGCACTAAGAAGTACTCAGTACTTGCATGGACTTGTTGTTTGATCCATGTTCGCTCATGTCGTTGGTATAGGAACATAAATGATTCGTAGGAAATAACTTAGAAAATACATTACATAATGGAGCAATTTTTGGATGGGATGCTTCTAGAATTGATGGCATCCATAGTAATTGCTCCAAAACTAAGGCAGTTGGCTTCTGATGACTACACAGCCCAAGTTTGCTGTGTGGACAGATACGGGTCAAACATCTCTCACACACACACACATCCTATGTGCATCAAAAGAAAAGCTGCATATCTTTTTTTAATAATAATGTGGTTACAAAGTAGAGACTAAACGAACAAAGCTCTTTGTATTGGTGCAGAGTCGCATACTCAAAGATGGCAGAGGAAATATGCGATTTGCTAGTATCAGATCTGAGTGCGTATCCTGGTCGAGAGTCGCAACTAAGCTGTTTTGGGACAGCCTTCAAAGCTCCTTTACCAGAAGATATAAGATCAGCACATCTGCAAGATGCTGTCTCTCTCTTCTCTCTATATCTCTCAGAGACTGGCCAAACCTCAGCTTAGTTAAACTCTTTTAGAGAAGGATCAGTGCCTCAGGGAAACTGATTTTGTTGGCTTTTGTTAGCCTGTGTGTTATTATATTTATGAGCGTGAATTTGGTTTTGTTGTTTTAGAAGATTCCCAAATCTTATAAACATTTTGCTGTTATTAAACTATAAGATCAAAAACTAAATATATAACAAGGTTTTTGAATATTACTCATGTTTGTTTAGAATGTTTTTAACAAAAAAAAAAAAGTAATGCCGCAATGAGGACATATGATGTACCACTAACATATACAAGATTTGGATAGATCTTAAAAATTAGTTTATATCATGTACCGCAACAAATTTATTTGTGATTCATAATCAATCATACATATTTGAAAAATGGTAAGGTGATGGAAGTAAAATAAAGGCAAGTTGACCAGTTGACCCTTAAAAATAGGAAAATATCTAATTTATTAGTTTATCGCAAAAACGGGTGCGTATAAATAAAAAGGTAACAGAGAAATTGACGTGAGCTAGAGAGAGATACTTGTTTTCAAAACAGTCGTCGTCATCGTCATCGTCATCGTCATCGTCATCGTCATCGTCGTCGTCTCTTCTTTGCTTCGCCTCCGAATTTCCTTCAGCTAGAAGCTTCCGCATCGCTCTTTCCTGGTAACATATTAGATTAATTATCTGTATTGGCTATTTTTTTTTAATTTGGAAAATTCAAGTCTCAAGTTCTGTGCAATTGGCTTTAGATGCGTCGCTCGAAGAAGCCGGCTCAACCTATTTCCACGGATCTTCCTCGCTCAGGTACCCATTCTTGATAAATCTCCTAGGGTTTATATATTCTGCTGAAAGCTGGGAATTAGGTTTTTGCAAAATCAAAAAAATTGACTAGTATGAAAATCGTCTTCTTTTTCAAAGTTTGAATTTACTCACGAGAATCGACTTGATCTTCTTTAATCTTTGTGTTGTATAATATAGTATTTTCACTTTTGTGATGACTCTGTAACGATGTGTGTTGGTACAGCTTCTTCGAGTAAGAAGTCGTCAAAAGAGACTGATGCAATAGATGAGTTGTTTAACCAGTATGCCAATACTCATTCCCATGTGATTGAGTAAGTATCCCATCACATTCATCAACACTTTTGTGTATGATTTTTGAGAATGCAACTCATCTCTTCTTATTGCGTACAACAGTCCAGAAGGAATTGAAAATCTCTGCTCCAGTTTGAAAGTTTCTCATACCGATGTCAGGATCTTGATGCTCGCTTGGTGAGTTCCTCACCCTAAATTTATATTCTGTGCACAACTGCATCTATTTAATACCTTTACAACTCGCTCGTTACAGGAAAATGAAGGCTGAAAGACAGGGTTACTTCACACTGGTAATACAATTGTTCTCCCCTATAAAATATACGATAGTTCCATGATTCCATGGAATATATACGAAGCAACTGTTCTCCTCAAATTTATTTAACTCGCTTTAAACCTCTATAGGTTGAATGGAGAAGAGCACTGAGAGAATTCAAGGTTGACACGATCAGTAAATTGAAGAAAGCCCTTCGAGCGCTCAAGGAAGAGGTTCACTCACTTTGATGCTTGCTTCATCTTTTTTTTCCTTCTTCTTCTCACATTTATTGGCATCTTCTGGATATCCTAAGATTGAATCGTGTTAATCTTTCTTCGTTATCTTACTCTTTTTTTAGGTCAGAACGCCATCGAATTTTGCAGATTTCTATGCCTATGCCTTCCGCTATTGTTTGACAGGTAAATCTACAGCACCATGAACATGATATGATATATGATTTGTGTTTTCGCTTCGTGTGCTTTTGTGACCTTTGTTATAATTATCGTTATCATCATCCTCCATCCATCCAGAGGAAAAACAAAAGAACATCGACATTGAGACTATTTGTCAGCTCCTAGATATGGTCTTAGGATCAACATTCCGTGCCCAGGTTGACTACTTTGTCGACTATCTTAAGGTTTGGATCCACCTTTTCTTTTCTTCAAAGATCTTCTGTCTTATAAAGTGTTTTATCAGTTTGTAATCATATCATCCCATTATGAACAGATCCAAAATGATTACAAAGTCATCAACATGGACCAATGGATGGGCTTTTATCGATTCTGCAGTGAGGTACCTTCCATTTTTCTTTAGTTACCCCTCGATGACCATCTTCAGCCAAATGTTCTTTGCATCTAAACTGCTTGTGAATCGTTTTCTACATTGCAGATAAGTTTCCCGGACATGAGCAACTACGATGTAGAACTTGCGTGGCCATTGATTCTCGACAACTTTTACGAGTGGATGCGCGAAAAACAAGCCTGAGAGTTTCCTTGTTTGTTAAACTGTTCAAGTCTCAGCTTCGAAGCCTCACATTTTTCACAACCACAATCAAACAACTTCAAAATTTGATTATTGTTACCCTTCATGAATAGATAATGCTTACGATAAATAACATTTAATTTCTTGCATAGATACTGCCGAAAGTGATAGCAATCTAAAAGGTTTTGGAATATATTCTCCTTTATTTTCGAAAAGGCAAGTCCGTTGATTGATTTCTTCTTTTCACCTTCATTTTCTTTTTCTTTTTCTTGTTTCTGATTATTTATTTATCGAGAGTTGATTTGATATTATGATATATACTGTCATCGTGTTAAAAAAATATCCGAAAACTGAAACATAGATGTATATAAGATTACAAGCAATGAAGAAAGAAAAGGTATGCATATTAACAAGATTACAAAGCACAATAGCAATTAAAGTAAAACAAAAAAAGAAAACAGAAAATGAAAGAGTGGCCTCTCTAGTTGAGAGATCAAAAACCAAGAAAACCAAATTTAATTTTTTCCAGATTTTATTTATAGTCAAACGGAGGAAGATCCGAGAGTCAACGGGGATGAAGGTTGCATAGCACGAGGACGCCTTTTCCTGCTTCGCCCACGAACTTGAACTGAAGGAGACGAAGATAACGATGAGGGAGTAGCAATCGTAGAGCTCTCTGTGCTCGATACACTCGTCAGTTTCTTCTTCTCAGTTTCTGCTTCACATGACTTGTCTTGATTGATTCGGTTATTCCCAAACTTCGTCGCGTTTATGGTCGCAGGAAGCACACAGTTGCACATGAATCCTAAGTTAAGACAGTAGCAAATTCAACTTCAGAGCACAGAAACAGAGTCCTTTCCAAGATGGAATTTTTAAGACAGTAGCAAATGCCTCCTAAAGATGGAAACTTTAACTCTTTAAGCCAAACCCATTATAGCTTCGAAGATGTTCTTATCGATCCTAAAGCGTACATGTCAATAAACCCAGAAGCTGAACTTGGTAGAGAAGCATAAAGATGGAATCTTTCAAGCCAACCCCAAGAAAAAGAAGAAGAAAATTTAGATCACATTCTAGTCTCGAAGCTGTTCAATCGATAAACCTTGAAGCTAAACTCGGTTTACTCATGGTCTTGAAGCATGTTTATTGTTCAATACCTTACCCATCCCATTATTCTACATTTAACCAAAAAGATGAGACTTTCAAGCAACTGAGTATTAGGCATCACTATACTCATGTGCAAACATAACTACTTGATTCAGATTTCAGCCTCTCTACTTAGTCAATTTAAAACAAACTGTAAAAGATTCAGGGGAGTTACCAGAGATTTTACCGATTCTTGCAAGACGGTTAACCCAGCTAGGAATTGGATTTCCGGTTAACTTAATACAAGCTTCGTCGCAGAAATGGTTGCAGTTCTTGGTGATTAGATTGTAAGAGCTTCCTTTGTAGTTCTCTGCAAGCTGCTCCATTGTAGCTCTCACTTCCAAAGGCCCAACATCCGTTTTACCGATCAAAATCGTTTTCCTAAACGTAAATCCTTCGCATTGCTTCGGTTCCCCTTCGAAAATTCCGGTACTTGGATATTCATGAGCTCCAAAAGCATACTCTATACCATGAACTATATATACACGCAAACAAAAAATGGATTTTGAAGCTAAATATGAGTCTGAGATCAAACATGTAAAGCAGGAACATTTTAAGACTGCCAGAAATCGAATAATTAACTTCAAATCCCAAGAAAATCCGATCTAAAACGATACATTCTGCAAACTGAAATCACTATTTAGATCTAAATCCTGAACACGCATTTAAAAAATAAATAAAAAGACATTCAAGAAAATCTAAATCCAAGAATCTGAAAGACTAACCTTCAACACCAGAATGGTAAACGCCGAGACCAAGCCAGTAAGCGTAGCCATTAATGGGAGTTAGATCGTAGACATTGAGATAAACCGGAACATTTCCTCTATCCACAAAGCTTGAGTTTTTCCGGCAAAGCATTTTCCTAACTTTCAAATTCTTCCCCCTCTTTCTTTTCAAGGTTTAATGCTCACAACTACAAGTAAAGATTTATCATACTCCTCAAATTTCTCTGACCGCCGGAGAAAAAAAAGGCAGAGAGGAAAGAGAGGTAGACAGAGAGATAGAGAGAGAGAGTATCGCCGGCGGCAGATAGCGGCCGGACGGACGTTCTTCCGATGGAAGATGACTGGTTGTATATAAACTGTCCGAGTTGATGACAATTTACCCTTTTCAATCTAACATAATTACACAAAATGCCAACGATTTGTCTTTTGAGATTTCCGATGTCAATTATGTTTTCCTTTTCGATTTAAATGTTGACGGAGAAGAAAAGAAGACTTGGTTTCTCTATTAGTTTTGAATCTTGCATAGATTAACGCCTAATCATATTACTTCCATAATTTTTGTTTATATTTACTTCATTTCCGCTTGGCATATTTATGATTAGTTTTTCTTTTTTTATCACGAACGAATTAAATACCTATAGGGCTGAGTTACAGGAATCGTTATATTCAGTGGTTTGTTTATAAAATGCCTAGAAAATTAAATAAATATTGGCGGTATGCTTTAATAATTTACAGTTTATTATGGGGTCCCAATAAAAAGCTTAATATTCCTTATCTTTGGCTCAACTTTTGTCTCGAGACCACCTTTTTTTTTTAATTGACTTAAAATGGAGTAATATCTTTAAATTAATATGTGGAAGTAGTGCGGCTAATTATGATGCAAAGTGTGATAGTACACAATATGACAATAAGCGGTTTTTTTGCTTGAAAAAAACCCAAAATAAGTGCTAATTTATAGGATGTAGTAAACAAATTATTTGGCGTTTTATTCTCTAGACTTTAAATAAAAACTCTTATGTTAGACTAATGTAAAGTTATAATAACGTGTATGATGTCTTAAAGACTATAAACTTAAAGAGTTATGAGTTGTATGAAAAGTTCAACTTTCTATCTTAGAAAATATGAAATATTAGAGGCCTGCCACTAATTTGCCTTGGTTAAGTTCAAAATAATAAGTTTCCTTAAGCATAATATAATAATTAAAACAATGTTTTTAAATGCAAAAAGAGGTCCCCATCTTAGCTTACAAGTAGTCTCCAGAGCTGGAAAAAAAGGCTAAGTGAAAGAGACAGACCATTGAAAAACAAAGGGAAACTACTGTTGACAAATATACATAGTTACCATCATTTTGATTCAAGCGCGTAATTACTTGCTAACTGCTAAGTTTATTATTAAACCTTAATGTTTTGATTACAAGTCAGAAAACAACTTTACAAAAGAGTTTACTAAGGAAACCCGGTTTATGTTTTATTTTAACCGTATCAGACCGATGGGTATAAATATGATGAAAAGATAACCCGAGATCCGGTCTGATTCGGGTAACCTGGAAAACCCAGTGTGATTCGAGGTTGCGTTTTGAAACGCTGATTTGCCTTGGAAAATGCGTGAGTTGCAGAGTCGTAGTAGAGCTGTCGCCGGGAGAAATCGGGATGCTTCGGGGCAGAGGCTCGTGGGTCGGATTATCGAACCGGTTGAAACACTACGGGATCCGACGTCTCTGCACTAAAGGAGAGAATGGTGGGAACAAACTCGAGAAGACGGAATCTAGTGTCACTCCGTACAGCGAGACTGAATCTAGTGTTGTGTCTCGCTACGATGAGACGTACAAGAAACTCGATAAGCTCGATTTCGTGACCGCTGCGAAGATATTGTTCACTGAACCACCGAAGAAGAATAAATTTGGGTAATTTCTGCTTGGAGATTTTGGTTTTTAAGGGTTTTTGCTCTTGCATTAGTTGGAGGTTCGTCGATCATGTCCTTTGTTTAGTGTCTGCAACATCGGATGTTATTACTGTTTCCCCTGTTTTTTCCCACTTTATAGATAGTTTGCGATCTCTCGATGCAGTAAAATGGTCCAATTAAAGTTAAGGTAAGGAGATATTGAGAGGTTGAAATCTTGGCAATGGTAATGTGACAAAAGCTTAGAAATTTAGAACTGGGAATGTTAGCTTCTTTAAGCTGAAACAAGTGGAAAGATCACCGAACATCGTTTTCAACTGTTGTTCTGAAACTCTCTTAAAGTAAATTGAGTTCTTTGTTTGATTTGTAGTATGCCCTCATATGGGTTTTGCCTTTGTGTTGTTTAGGTTTGACTGGCATGTGGTGCAATTCATCATCGTCTGCTTGCCGTCTGTAGGTACTTCGGTTCACCCCCTTCAAATTTCTCTTATAAGTCTTGTGTTCACTGTTCAATGTTTCTGTCAAAGATCACAATGTTACTTGTTTGAATGGCTATTGTTGTTTCTTGTAACAGCTGTGTATCTGGTTGCTCAATATGCCCGCCGTAAAATGAAGATCATGGACGCAGTGAGTTACCGTTCTTGTTCATTATTAATCTGATATGAGTTTGTCAAGAGATTTGAGTCATGACTTGATGTCTGTCCTGCTTGTTCATTCTGGGCAATTCTACTTATTATCTTCTGAGCATATATGCCTCGTGATATATTATCAGGAACTTGGAGAGAAGAAAAGGAAAGAAGACGAAAAGAAAGAGAAAGAAGAAGCTGAAAAGCGGGAGTTAGAAGAAGCAGCAGCAACCAAGTCTCAGGAAGAGCTAATGGAGATGAAGAAGAGACTGGGAAAAATCGAAGAGACGATAAAAGAGATTGTTTTGGAAACAAAGAAACCTTCAGGGAACGCTCCAACCAAAACCCAAGAAGATCAATCTGCTAAACTCCCACCAAAAGAGGAATCGAAACCGATAAAAGAAGAGAAGGGCAATCTACAGAAATCGGGTGAGAGTCGAACAAATGTGGATTCTCCTACACGTCATTGACATGATGATTAGAAAGGAAACGTAGGTGGTAGATGGAGAAGGATGTATACTCTTCTGTGGTTTATTTTTCCTTTTGGAACTAATGCAGTAGTTGATGCAATTCTCTCGTTATGCTATTCATTTCTTGACTTCAAATCACAAGGATTTAACTTTAAGCTATTAAAGCGACTGTGAAATGAAAAACTCAACATCCAATCATTATACATTTCTGAACGACATAACAAAACAACGCAACACCTCAAGCTGGTTGAAAATGGTTACTTTCTAGTCCAAACATAGACCTGTCCTCCAGCCGTGGATCCTGCAAGCATCCCAACATTAAGAGGATGGCAATGGAGTCTGCATGGAATAGCTTTCATCAGAGGGTCACGCAGTTCCTTCACCGTTCGCTTTAGTTTCGGAGAGATCACATCGATCCCTTTTGAACGATTTGCGACAAAGATGTATGAATCATCCCATCCCCATACTCCCCTGCAATCAAAAACCAGATGAAAACAATGCCTACTTTTCATTTCTCATAAAAACTGGAAAATGAGTGTTTCAATGGTCATGGGAAACATACCTGAAAGTGGAGATCCACCTGTTGGTGACATTATCGTGATATATCATGGAAGTATCCTCAAAATTGGCGCCGCTTAGAACCCCAAGATAGTTGTCAACGCTACAAGGAAAACAAAGCAAGCGTTTCACAAACACTAGACATGGTTAGATGGAACATTAGCATTCTACATATTACAGATGCAGAAACGAAGTATCCGAGAGAGCTACATAGCAAATCAGTTCACTCTACACAAGTTTACCATAGTCTAAGTTGGTAACTTTTATACCGAAACGCACAGAATTAATGAATGTCAACAAATGTGGAGCATATATATATATTAATGTTTCAAACATAGCCTACAGCATCTTATGTGAGTTCTTAGGCCAAGAAGATTAGTAAAACCGATATTTGTAGTTCATAGATTAAAATGTATTGAACAGGCTGAGGAGAAAAAACAACAAGATACCTTGTAGTTGCAAGTGAAAGGCCAGAAGGTGAGAAATAAGCAGAGTGCACAGCCCTAGCATGATTTAGAGTCCTTAGTGTTTTTGGTTGTTTAGCTCCTCCCATGCTTCTCAAGTCCCAAAGGCAAGCAGTCCCATCTGTGGAACTTGTAGCCATGACATGGGGATTTTGCGGGTTGAAGTCTATAGAGTTTATCCTGTGTTCATGTAAATCCCACTGGAAATTCGACTTTCCTGCTCGGAGGTCCCATATATTCAACATTCCATTTCCCTCACAAAAGTATAAGCTTTGCTCTTCATTTGGCCTCTGCGAGAGGGTAAATATAGCTTCGTCGCTTGAATAAACCAGATCAAAAACCGACTTTTCAACATCCATCAACCGGATAAGACCGTCATAGCTGCTGCTAATGACCTGCCATGAAATGCACCAACGAAAAAGAGCTTTAACGAAACTAACAACTAAAAAAAGAAAAGAGATACTATTTCTCTTACCAAAGTTTCAAGTCATGTTAAATGCAACTTACCCTTGAGAGAGAGTTTTGCTGAAACACAAGAGATGAAACTGGGGCACTGTGAGGATGGAATAGATATATCCCATCGTTTTCCTCATCCTTGCAATCCAAATTCCAAAACCCGACATTCCCAACTTTGTCCCCTGCAGCAACCAACTTAACATTCTCGCTAGGTAAGAACTTTACAACCAAAATCCTCCCAGGCACAACACGTGCTACGTTATGCGGCTCTAAACTCAACGGTCCCGTATCAAAACCACCCTCAAACTCAATTTCCTCAGGCTTAACCGGAAAAGCAAAATCAAAAGCCTCCTTCTTCACATAACCATCGCTAGAGCAATCTGGCTCTTCCTTTTTGAGAACAGCATTAGATAAGCGAGCAGAACTCCTAGTGCTCACCATAGGAGACTCATTCTCATCTTTAACCAATTTTCCTCCACGAGACCTTTTCGCAAAATCTTCCTTCTTCACAGAATCGTCACTAGATGAAACTGGCTCTTCGTTTTTGATAGTAACATTAGACAGGCGAGAAGAACTCCTAGTGCTAACATTTCTATGAACAATCGGAGAATCATCATAATCATCTTTACAAACCTTAACCGATCCATTAACCATCGACTCGCTCGCGATACCCATAAAAGTATCAACGAATTGCTTAAGAGAACCCTCTCCATCATAAGCCGCAACGAAGGGCAGAGGAGCCAGTACACGAGCCGATAGTTTCTGGGGAGGCGATGCGTACTGGGGAGGAGGAGCCATACGCTTGGCATAATCTGAAAAATCGTCGGGCAAGCCACCGGAATCTGGATTCAAGCCTCTGGTGCGTAGAGACTTGCGTATGACATTGGGGGTTTCAGGTTTGCTCTGCTTCTTCTTCTTAAACGATTTAGATTCGTCTCGAGGGCGTTTGGTCGCGGCGAAGAGAAGAGAAGCTTTGACATGGACATTGAGAGCCGCCATCATCTCATCGTTCCGTCTGATGTTCTCCAGTCTTTTTCGCTCGTACTCCGTCGCCATTGAAGCGTGAAAGAATGTGGGGGAGAGAGAGAGAGAGAGAGAATGTTCTTTTTGCTCTAAAACCGTATGACCTAGAACAGATATCAACAACATCTAATTGGTCAGGGATGGGCGGGAGAATCACATTTGCCGCCAAATAATTATTTCTTTATCATCCATTTTTCATTTTTTGATTTTATTACAAATGAGATCAATATAAAAATATAATTAGTTTTACATTTCTCAATTGACGGTGTAGATGAGCTTACATCCAAACGAGAAACGCACCATTAGCCGTACGATGGAACTACTTAAACCCTAGAGGAAAAACCTCAATCGTCGCCATCACTAGTGCTCTGTCAATGGCTCGAGTCCTCAGATGTCTGAGAAGAACAGTCTTCTCTAATTCGTCACCTTCGATTGCGTACCGGAACCCTAAAATTGGTCTCCCCTCGAGTCACAATCCTAAATTTGCAATCAGCCGGAGATGTCTGAGCTCGGGGAGTTACGTGTCAGAGATGCAGAAATCAGCTTTCCAGGGAAACATTTGCCGACTAATCCGTAATGAGATTGACTACGAACTCGATCACTCGCCTCCTCTTCAGGTATTCTATGAATCATTTCCCCCATTATTGTTTTTGGATATTTGTCATTGACAAAAAGCTACATACTTTAATCCTTCTGGGAATCTGATTCTGGAATAGTCCTCCTACAGATGAATTGAGTTTTCTTTTTAAGCCTGTGAATCATATTATTGTCGATATGCGAACCTTAGGTTGGTACAGTTTGTAATGTGTTATCTATTGGATGAACAATGAAGAAACTGTTTAGGAACTTTAAGCATTCTTGGAATCTGATTTTGGAATAGCTTTTATCATAGATGAACTGGGTTTTTTAGCGCGGGAATCATATTAATAATGTTGATTCAATTTGTCAACTATTGGATGAGTAATGGTGAAATGTTTACATCTCTCAACTCTGCCTGTACATGAAATACTGTTAATTTCTGATATTTGTGTTGCCTACTTTGGCTAATTTGAGCACTTGGACACTGTACATATTCGCAGCCTCCTAGCAGTTTTGGTCCATTCACTGTTGATGAACGGCCTGGAGAGCAGTGGATTAGCTTGAAACGGAAATTTGGAGAGAAAGAAGACATCAAAATTGAAGCAACCATGTTTGATAGATCAGTTCCGACCTCAAAATCTACCGGCACTGAACCTGAATTTATGCTTCACATCACTTTCATTGTCAACATCTCTAAAGGTGGTGCTGGTGAAACCTTAGAGTTCATGTGCTCTGCTTGGCCAGATAACATCGAGATATCCAAGCTGTGCATTCGTAAAGGCAACAAGACTTCACCGTCTTCCTACGGTGGACCAGAGTTTGAGTACGGTGACTTGATTCTTTTCTTGTACATCAAAAAAAAATTGAGATATAGGATTACACTATGAAAAAAGTGAAATAATTGTGTTTGCCTTTTGTTATTACAGGGAACTGGATGATGAACTTCAAGATGCTCTTTATCAGTTTTTAGACGAAAGAGGTATAAGCGACGAGCTTGCAGTTTTCTTGCATCGTTATATGAAGAACAAAGGTAAGTATGAGTACGTTAGATGGATGGAGAGCGTTAAGTCTTATGTCGAGCAGAAATAGACATCAGCATGCATTGAACAATCCTTCTGCTTTCCCCAGTTTGATTCCTCAGAAATGCAGTGTGTATTAGAGTATGACTCTCTTTGGTTTGGATATGTTTAAATAAATTCAATTGCAAAATTTTGTTTGCTGGCTAGTTAGCTTGCAGATTGTGTAAGAACTAGTCTAGTTACGAACATGGACAGTCACATATACAAGATAATTTCAGCAATACATGTCAAATGTTTGTGGTGTTTTCTTGTTTGCTTTAAGTTTGTAAAATGATGACTTCTTTAGGGTAAATTTTCTTCCCATTGGGAGGGAACTTGCTATCTAACACACTGTCTGGATTGGTGACTTCCAAACCAATTCTAGTGTTCCGTAACAGAGGAGCAACTCCATAGGTTTGTTGTGTTTTCACTTTTATTTTTAGTTTTTAATTCTCCCCTTAGTGTGGATTTACTGTGAAACACCAGAAAGTTAAAGGGACAAGCCAGCTAAATTCATTTACTTTAGAAAGACATTCCAAAAAAAAAAAAAAGTTCTATGGATTAGATTCCGTATGTGGACTTCTGTAATTAGCTGTCTCATGTATGTTGTTGATTGATCTTCTTCTAAACAAAATAAAATTTAGGAAATATAGTCATTGTTTGGATCTGTTTATTACTGTTTTGCGTTGTTTATCTCTAATTTATATTTATTTATCGAGTTTGATTTTTGTTTTTAGAGTATTTGTATATTTTGGTCGATTTTCTCTTTTCGTAATCAATGATAACTGATATTGAATTAAGATGGAAAATAATCATATGTAAGAAAGGGCAATTTAGCATCTAATAAGCTTCGGCGTAGCTAGCATGAAAACGTTATTATCTCACGAATTTTGTAACTTTTTCCACTGTGAATAATGATTTTGGTATCTACACAAAAATCTTAATTGATGTGACATATTAGGATAATGTGGGAGATTAGTGAGGTAATTATGGTGCATAACAACATGATCTCTGCATCGATAACATCTTGATTTGTGGAAAATATCAATTGTTAATTGCAATGATTAGCATTATATTAATTATAACTTTAATGTAAACATCAGCTTGATATGGACCCACCCAAAGCAAACTTCACAGAATCTTTGGGTTATAATTCACTAAATCCAAGATTAATTATTAATTTCACTCTCCCTCTCTATCTCACCACATGGTCGCATATCATTACTAAAACTAGAGAAATCGTGAAATGTAAAGTAACAAATGTAATTATTCTTATAAATATAAGCGATAATGCATTTTTTGTAAATTTTATTTTATATAATGGTGATCAAATTGTGATATAATAAAAGCGAGACGACAAGATTATATTAGAAAGGACCATCTCAATTTAACTTTAATAGTCACATGGCGATGAAAATAACAACCTCTGACGAAGAACAACTCTTCACATGTAGATTAGCGTGTCTAATTCTTTTAACTACATGTAGGACCCCTCACGATAATCACATTGTATCCACTCTATATTGTTTTTTCCTCAAGAAAACGTAAAATCTTGTTTATGCTGACTTATACTGTCATTTGATACCATATGAAATCGTCTACTTGATATCATTCTTTTTCATTCAACGACTCTAAATGATCTTTCTTTTTGTTAAAAACAAAACTTGCACATGATTTAAATCGCAAAAAATTAGATTCATAATGATTTGACTAAAGTCTGTTCACGCCTAATAAATCGGTGACAATCCAGTGGGCAATAATAATGCATATATATATATATATAACGTAGGACGTGTTTTGTTTATTTTAAATCTTTAATGACTCTTTTCCACGATATTTTTGGATACATATACATTTATTATATGTGGTTAATTTCACTTGAATGTACGTCGAATACCTAACATTTCTCCATAATCCAATTTAATACAAGTTTTTGAATATTGTACTACATATGCTTAATTGAACTACAACAACATATTTTAAGAAGGAAAATCAACTTAATTAATGAGACTCTAACACATCCTGTAGTCAATCATTATATCAAACAGAGATAAGAATCAAAAGATAGCAAATTAAAACCCAAAAAGTCATAATAAAGGCTAAAAGGAAGATGACAAATGACAATTAAAAAGATCATAGCTTAAGAGTCAAGTCAATCTTCTTAAACTGATTATGATCTTCTTGCTTGCTCTTGAAATATCCAATCCTCTCCAACTTGGGAGCAATAATGTTATTGTTATTACTGCTGGCGACTTCAAGGTAAAATTTATCCTGCAACATCTTTCCGATGGCCGGTTTCTGGTGAATGTTCTGTTTGAAAACATGACTTAAATTCGCTGTTTGTCTTCCTAAGAAGGGATTATGGATCGTTGAATGAGCTTGAATCCCCAGCGTTGATCTGTTATTCGCAGAGCCATGTAATGGCAACGATGCCATGCTTGCGAATCTGCTGACCGAACCGTGGCCAAACGCGAACGCTGAAGAAGGAGAGGAGGAGGAGAGACTCATCTTGTAGTACTGTCCACGTTTGGCTAACGTGCGTTCGCGTTTATGAGCGTTTTGGTGGCCGCCTAGTGCTTGTGAGCTGTAGAACTTTCTTTGACAATAGTTGCACGAGAAAACTCGTGGATCTTCCAAATGTTCTCGATGATGATGCTGATGAGAATTAGTCGATGATGAGCTGGTTTTAAAAGCATCGATGAGATTGAGCTCTGATGAACTCGTACCACGTGGCAAAAGGGTCAAACCTAACTCAAGATCTTGATGACCTCGTTTCTTCATTTTTAACATTTCTTGATCTCCTTTGATGCAAGGATCCATGTATATTTTGTGTATATAGCAGCCTATAGAGAATATGTAAAGGGAAGGAAAGTAAAAACTGGATATAGATGTGAAGTGGTGTGGTCGTGGGAAGTGAAGTGTGAGTTCTATTTATGGAATTGGACGGACATGTGACCTTTTTTATAAGAAAATGAATGATGTTTAAAGAAAAAAAGGACACTTTTGATGTGTGCAATCTGACCTAGAGCTACAGAGCCCACACATGTAATTGTATAGTAGTGGACACTTGAAAAAAGAAAAAGAAAATTAATGTTGTAATTATCTGAATTATTGATTTATTCTGGGAACATGAATAATGAGTGTTCATGATTTCATGTTATACCTATTGTAATAAACGCTATAAGTAGCTCTATCTTAATCAAATGAGTTTGTCTTTGTTGTCACCTCGTTTTTCCTTTTTCTATTATAAGTGGTTTTCTTATCGTTTATACATACCGTATGTACGTAGTTCCATTAATTTAGGGTTTAGGTGAGACGTTTGATTCAAAACCCTAAATGAAGAAGCTGTCTTTAATTGTTTAAGTGTTAGGTAAGTTAGCACTTTTGGACAAGGATTATGAAGCCAATCAAATCTCCCCGACAATCCCTTTCGTTTCATTTTTAAAAATCCTTTCTCCCGATTTCGGTTGAATGTCTTAAAAACTGAAAAACAATTCACATCCATCTCACATAAACGTCATTAGCCATTGTTTATGATTATATATTCATTCCTGTTAACTTACAAAACCATACATGATACACCACCATTGGTATAAGTCAACTAATATGTTAAATCACTTTTTGTTGTTGTTTGAGTTGTATTTGAGATTTATCCAAAATAAAGTTGTAAAGTACAACCTCATTTGAATTATGTATATATTCTCGTACAATGTATAAACAGTGTAATCGATAAATGAAGTGTCATGCTTCTTTTCTTAGTAGGCCGATGAAAAAAAAAAATTACGGTTACTTTGGTTATAGTAAGACAATCAAATTACGAAGTACTCATAACCGGTTCAGTTTTTAATACATCCAAGTGTGTGATCTTATCACCAACATATGATTCCCCAACATTTATTATTGATTTCTTTTAAATTTAAAACCATATGCTGGAAGAAAAAAGGAGGAAACCATCCAGCTTTAGTTTCAAAAGTACATTTTTTTTTTTTGCTTTCATCGTAGTGACTTGTGAGGTGATGCATTTTGTTTTTATTTTTGCTTTGTCTAATCAATTTCGACAGTATATCTCCTCCTAGATTACCTTGTCGGTCCAACCTCCACACCAAAAATATATGGACCACCCTCTCGTTCTTTATTACATAACCAAAACAAAAAAAAAAGCCGAAAAAGAAATAAAGAGCCTCCTAAGTTCTTCTAAAGCCAAAGTTTATTACAAATTCCTCTAGTTGATTTGTTTAAGCATAAACAAATTCCTCTAATTCCTCTAATTGATCTGGTTAAGCAAAAAGAACTTTACCGTATACGATTTTTTTTCCCTGACATTCATTTCTTACATTTAACCACACTGCTCAGATATCGTGAAACAACCGGCTTACTCTTTCAAAGGTAACTAGGCCCATAAGCCCATATATGGTGGGCTTAGAGCCTACATTTTATACTTTTGGCCCGGATCGTAATTAGGTCTGGTGGGAAAGTTGTTAATAGACAAAGATAGTTAAGTTGATAAACCCTAAAATCTCAAACGGGTTCTCGGCCATTGCAACTAGCTACGATTATTGCCGCCGTATTCTTCTTCCGCCGTTGAATCGTTTCATCGCCACCGGTAATTTTGTTTTCCTTCTCCCTATTCCTCTGTAATTTTGATTAGCTTTTGGATAAGAATCTTAGAGATCTGTTTGTTTTGGTAGTAAGAAATAGTAGAGACGATAATGGCTGAAGGAGAAGCTAAGGAGCAGGGAGTAGAGACGATAATGGGTGTAGAAGAAGCTAAGGGGTTGGGAGCAGAGACAACAATGGCTGAAGAAAAAGCTAAAAAGCTGGATTACATACCGGAGGTGATACTGAAGAAGAGGAAGAAGAGGGATGAGCTTGCCTTTATCAGGAAGAAGCAGCTAGAGCTCGGAAATTTCGGCAAGAAGAAGCAGAAGAAAGTCGCGGATATCAAGAGGCCCGAAGATTTTGTGCTAGAGTTCAGGGCTAAGGTACGTCTTGAAATCCATTATTGTATTCAGGAACATTTGCTCTCTGTTTCACTGTCCATGGGTTTTACCTCAAAGCTCTGATTTTGCTTATAGACCTGTCTTAGAACTTGTTTTGTAATCCTGATTCAGGTCATTGAACTAAATTGCAAGTTATACACTTTTTGGTTTTGGTTTCATCTCGCTTTGCATTTGAACTTGTTTTTGTAATCTTGATTCAGGTCCTTGGACAAAATTGCAAGTTATACACTTTTTGGTTTTGGTTTCATCTCGCTTTGCGTACGACTTGCTGTTTGCTCTGTTAATACTGCATCATTCTTGAGTAATCTGACTGTTTCTTTCTGTTCTTCAGGAAGTAGATCTCATCCGGATGAAGCAAAGGGTAAAGAGGCCAAAGTCAACTCCTCCACCAGTAAAATCAAACCTTGTTTTCATCATACGCATACAAGGGTAATAATTGATCTTCTCCAATGGCTTTTATTGTTTAATCATCTTTATATCTCTCTCTGCGAGTGTCCTCATCACTTTTCCTCTCTTGGTGAGCAGCAAGAACGATATGCACGAAAAGACCAAGAAGGTTCTTAACAGTTTGCAACTAAGGAGCACCTTTACTGGTGTCTTTGCCAAAGCTACCGACAGTTTGTTTCAAAAGCTTCTGAAAGTGCAGCCTTATGTTACTTATGGGTACGGAGACTTCTTTATCATCTCTCCATCTTTCCTTGTTTGTCTAAAGAATTCATTTTGCCATGCTTGTTGCGCGTTATGAACCCTCCTGACCAATGTTTGCCATTCTTGAAGATACCCGAATGGTAAGAGCGTTAAGGACCTCATATACAAAAAGGGATACACAGTGATAGAGGGAAACCCTGTTCCTCTGACCGACAACAACATAATCGAGCAGGTAAAAAGAAGTTTCCTGTTCAAAATATAGGAGAGCTTATTTCAGATAATGACCATGTTGTTTTACTTCTTGATGATTCTAACCTGTGTTTACTATATATATAGGCTCTAGGAGAACACAAAATATATGGCATAGAAGACCTTGTGAACGAGATAGCAAGCGTTGGTGATCATTTCAGAGAAGTTATGAGATTCTTGGGACCCTTGAAACTCAACAGGCCCGAGGCTGGTGTTTTGCACGGTAAGAAGCAAGTTTTCAGCGAAGGAGGTGATACTGGAAACCGCGAAGACAAGATCAACGATCTCATCAATAAAATGAATTAGAAGAATCATCCATTTGCTATATTTTTTCCTTAATATCTGTATCAACCTAAAAACCAAACACTTTTGAAAAACGCTATTGCAATTTTGATTAAAAAGGCCATTCGCAGTTTTATAATGATATATCGTTGGACGTTGGCTTCACGGTTTATATATCATACACACATGGATTAGAGAAACAGAGTTACATAGCGAATGTTTTTTTTTCCCAAAGTTTGTATCTATTTATCATCGTTCATCTTCTGAAGCTCCTCTTCTCCTTGGGTGCTTCGTCTTCCTCTGGGAGCTTCACGATCGTGTATGTTCCAGCTCCTATTAAGGCTCCAAGTACTGGGGCAGTAAGGTAAACCCAAATGCCTCTGTAATTGTTTGCTGCAATGGCTGGGCCTAGCGTTCTTACAGGATTCATCGAAGCAGAGGTTGCGGGTCTGTTGATCATGATCAATAAAAACATATAATTATGCAAAAGAAATTAACAAGAAGAGAAATCGAGATTTAGATCCATCTAATGATGATTATTACCCAGCTATGAGTATGTTAAGCATGACCGTTGCTCCCACCGCTATTCCCGCCAACTCTCCCACCTGTAATTCGTAAGTAACCCATTTTTCAGACACACGAACAAGATTGATCCTCAAATGTTTTTTCTTAATTGATTGTTCTGTAATTTACAGCTCTAGTGTCGGTGGCTACGGCAGTGACAACGAACATAAGGTTGAAGCTGATAATGAACTCTAAAGCGAAGGCTTGGCTGAGAGCCACCGTCGGCACCGTCACTCCACCGCTCATCGTCGGTTCAAACACTGCTTTCAGTGCAAACGCCGCACACACAGACGCCATAATCTGAGCTCCGATATACACCGGCACCTTCATTTTACACATATATTTTCAGAACACACAAGAATCATAATTAAATCATTTTATTGTTAGTTACTAGTAGTTAGACACCAAAAGAACATATCACTCCAAATTATCAAACTATATATACCTTTGACTATCGCGTGTTAAAATTTAATTTATATATAATTACTGTGCATGTGCATGTCTATAATAAATAGATGTGGGTCTTACTCTCAGTCAGTATTGAGTAACATCCAAAAATGTATAAAAAGGGAAAAGATTAAATTACTGACGTGCTTCCAAGGGAAGTGTTTAAGAGCAGCAAAGGCAATGGTGACTGCCGGATTCAGATGTGCCCCGGAGATGTGACCGGTCGACAATATCACGATCATAACCGCCAGACCAGCCGAGGCGGCGCAGCCTATAAGCGTCACGGCTCCATCTGTCTTCTGATTCACAATCGCCGTCGCTGTTCCGGCGAAGATCAGTATCAATGTCCCAACAAACTCTGCTCCCAACTGTACACACATAGACATATATATATATATATATATGGTTTAAAATCAAAACCAATGCATCTATTATGTGCTTATATATAATATGAAGAGATAAAAGTGTAACTGTAACGAGAGTGTTATATATGTACGTACCTTGCGGTAAAGGGAAACGTTAGGAGGAGGGAGAGAGCAAGAGACCGGAGGGAGTCTTCCATCTTCGAGAGCCCATTCATTGTCAACACTGAAACATTTGCAGCTTTTCAGAAGTGACTTTGGTGTGTATTTACCATTATGCCCATTCCTCTTCCCTTCGAAACCTCCAAAGAGCGGTGCTCCTGGAGTCCCCGGGGTTGTGGCTGGGGTTGAGGGCATTGATGGAATTTCCTCGTGGTCCATTGCAGAGAGAGAGAGAGAAGAGAGAGATGATCTGAGATCTTTATGTATGTTATGTGATTGTTGTTGTGTAGTAGAGAGATGAAGAGGATGTGTAGGGTATTTATAGGAGAAGATATGAGAGTTGACTTATATGTATGAGTGAAAGGATCCAAAAGAGATGATTTTGGTATTTGGTTTGGAGTGAGGAGTGAGTGGGTTGGTAATCTCAATTATAATGCATGTGTCCTAAGAAAGACTCTATGCAGAACATGAAATGTTGCTATCTTTATGAGAATGGGTCGTTTTTAATATTTCTACTTACATGATACATGTATCGTAGTGTGCTAAAGAAGCTTTTAGCATGAAGGAATCATTGTGGATCTCTTTCTCTCACACAACATCCATTATTTGCTTCATTTGTTCTTCTCTATAAGAATCGGATACTTGGGTGCTTCTGTGTGGCTGTGAGTTGTTAGCAAATAGAATGATGATAAAAGCGATGGTTCTTGACCTTTCCTTGTCACAGTCGACTCTTTTTCTTTGTGATACATGCCAAAAAAAAAGAAAGAGAAATATTTTAACTATCAAAAATATTGAAGACTTATAATGAAATAAATGGCTTATCTTTTATAGTCCTTGCATGTATTAAGTAGTATTAAGTACCAAGGATAGTTTTGATTGATTCTATGCTGATTTTAGAATGTATATATGCTAGTTGTTGGTTAATACTTAAAACATGTAAGGACTATAAAAGATAAGCCATCTATTTTTTAAATCATTTTGTATATAATACTAGGTTTGAATTTGTATATTTTAATAAGTTATTCGTTTACTATTTTTAAAAAGAATATTTGATGACCCGTCATTGCCCTTTAGAATCACTCGGTTCGTCCTCTGCACCAAACTCTATGAACTACCTTTAAAATCCCTTATTATTTCTCTAAGGAAAAAAAAAGTTTTTAGGAAACTTATTCGCATTTACAACTTATGCCTAAATAATGCATTACATTCCATTTGTTAAATTTTATAGACTAAAGAAATAAGAGGTCGAAAAAAACTATTGTATGTCTATATATCTGGAGAATTGATACCACACAGGACTAGGACTAAGATTACCATTTAAATTTCGTCCATTCCTTTAAAGTAAAATCACATTACGTCATCGAATATACGTGGTTAAATTGACTAGGCCGCAGATATAATAGCTATAGAAATAAAGACAAGCAGTAAATAAATACAAAATATAAAACTGTGTGTGTGAGTGTCATATCATATCATATTGTGTGTGTGGTGTTGGATTGTTGGGGGTGGAGGAACAAACCAGGACCGTTCAAAGATGTTTGTTCTAAAGCCCGACGTCACATCGGAGGTTTCACAGATATAACAATTGTGCGATGTTTTTATGTTTTGGATAAATCGAGTTTTCAACTATTATGTCTAATGTAATTACTCTCATTTTCATCGGTAATTCTGACTGATGACTCTTATAGGCACAAACCCTTATTCCTTACTATACCTTCGACAGTTGCATATATATTGTGTTTACTATAAATAACGACGTTAGTGAACATATAATAGGACTAATTATTTTTCTTGCGTATGAAAGAATACTGTGAGGGTCATATATATTGTGTTTGAAGGGGATGTATCAAAGAGTAAAGAAGAGGAGAGTTTTATAGAAATGTTTGTTGTAGGGTCGATAATCTTTGTGTCAAAAGTCTGTTCCAAATAATTTTGTCCCTCACTAATCGTGGCTACCATGAATTGGTCAACTTTATTCCATGTTTTCTATTTTTGAAAAATACGAAATAGCTGGCTCACTTCACTGTAGTCGTTGAGTCTTATTTTGTCTTCTTTTCCTTTCTGTTTTCAAATTGTTTGGTTAGTATAATTGTCATGATGTTTATAAATTCAGCGTTTATGATTGAATGGATCTATTTCTAATAATATATATATTTTTCAAGTAACATAAATCAGACAGAAAAAGTTATTTACAACTAATAAGGAATTTGAAACTCGTCCCCCTATATTGTTTCTTTGAACCACACAATTAAAGCAAGCGTGACAATAGTGGTGTCAAGGAAAAAATGCGATGCCATAATTGCTTCGATTGTTGTTGGATTGTAAAAATTATGATTATTTTTGTTACAAGTAAACTCTTCCCTGCGTTGCTCATTTTGGGAAACTTTTCTGTCATAAAGCTTTGTTGTAAAAATAAAAAACCCTAATTGGTTAGTATAAGATGTCATGTTATACATTCTATGGCTACGATTAGCGATAAAAATAAATAAATAGTGGTGTGCTAATGTACTCCGAAGATAGACAATACAATTAGTAGGGATAAAAGCACAAAGTTGTATACCATTCCAATTTCACTAACAGAACTTGTACTTACCATTCCATTTTCTTTACCGTTGATAGAACTTAATTGTACTTACCATTCCATTTTGTTTACTCGTGATAGAACTTGTACTTACCATTCCAATTTCACTAACAAAACTTGTACTTACCATTCCATTTTGTTTACTCTTGATAGGTAAGTTAATTGTGTATTACGAGACTTAAAATGTGATTCAATATGGATCAGATCTTTTTAATGGTAATTTGATGTTTAATCACATAGTCAGGATTAATTTTTCTCTCAAGTGTCTATATATAAACGTTCATGTTACGGCTCTTTTTGTCAGAAAACGAAAAGTTCTTTCTCAATTTAATTCACCTGCGAGGGATTAATCAAGGTCTCTACTTCACTTTGATTACAAAACCTTAAACTTCTACTGAATCTCTCTTTGTATATATATATATGTATGTAACGTAACACCGGTGCAAACAGACCCTACAATCAAAGTTAAACTAGTATCAATTCCTCGCAGATGGATTTAATTATTTAAACACTTGAGAGAAACATTAATCCTGACTAAATGAGATAATCGAAACAATAACAAATAATAAGACATCGTGTAAGGTTGATCAGTGTATGGACGCTTGAATCTCATCTTCCTTAGGTCGCCGATTCGTTCTAAAGCTAGTCTCTCATTCAGAGAAAAGATTGAATTTAGTTAGTGTTGTTCCTTCAAGAAACTGGATTCTGTTCACTGAATTATCTTTTTGCTCACGGTTTCTTTTCCTAAATGTCTCGCGTTCTCTTTTGCAAGAGTAATTCAAACAAACATCTTGTTCTATAACAAGAGAATAATATATAATATATAGTTTGGCAAACCACGAGCTGAAAACGATAAGAAACCAGCAACATTATTAGGAAACCCTCCTTGGGCTTAAGAAGTAAGAACGATAAGTTTTCTGAGACACAAAATGAGATAGATCCAAAGACTGCTTGATCAAGTACGTTTGCGTTAGGGATGCTTGACCTGTTGCGCCATGAGAGCAACAATCCCTTCAGGCAGTACTCTGGCTTCTCTCCCTTGTTCAACATTCCACATCACAGAAATTGCGTACCGACCTCTTCCGTTAAACTCGTGGAGCTCCTCGAGTGCTGTCTTAACTGCGTTCTTCACATCCTCTCCCCACTCATGACTCAGATTCTTAAGTTTCTCATCTTCTTCATCAATTACCTCCTGCGCCATTCCACAGAATCAAGACATGTAGACTAGTATAATGGGACACATAAAAAAATAACTAAATGGAAAAGTTAGAGACATATTAGAGAAAAAAATCTTCACTTCTTCTCCAATCACCACGCGTTTGAATGGGTGCCATGCTGGATCCTTGAGGGCATTCTGCACTTCAGAGCAAAGCTTGGCATGTTCCAGCACAACGTTTTCGCCACTGAACCTCTGCTCGCATGCTTTCATGAGGGGCTTGTCATCAACTTCTCCCATCACCTTCACTCTGATCGTGGCTCCATCACCTGATAAATCTTTCAATCCCTGCATGCAGAAGCAAAAAAAAAAAGAGACTTACACAATATATAAACCCACAAAACTAATTATACCAGCACTCAAGAACACGATATTATATAAAGTACCTTAATCAACTCTTTCCGTGCTTCTTGATTCTCATCGTTGCTTTGACGTTCCTTTCGGAATAGTGCCAAGTTGATAAACTTTGAGTATTCTAACTCAGATCGCTCCTCCTGCAGTTTATCTTCCATCTCTTTCCTTAGTTTTTTCATCTCCTCAAATTCTTTCATCTTTTTTTCTTTCTTCTTTTAGGTTGCTTTCAACCCCGTTTGCTGCCGTCTTTATAAAGCAAAAAAACTGTGCTAACACATTTCCCTCTTTTGGAATGATATTCTTGGTTTAAAATTAATTTTACAGGCTGTAAAATCTTATACAGTTCTAAAACTAACTGTACAAGCTGTAGAAACCTAATAGATCTTTTTGAATTAATGCCCTTACATCATTTCTAATGTATATCTTTATTTTTTATTCTAAAATATAGTAATTCTAAAATGCAATTGAGTTTTACTTCCATTTTTTTTTATTTCAAAAAGAATATTCTAAAATAGATTCTATTTCTATATTATTATTAATAAAGATACCTTTTGTTTTTAAATCTTACGTATAAATTCTATTTCATTTTACATCAAAAAACTGTATTTCAACTCCGTTTGGTTGAACTGATCGAACCATGAATCGGTCCGGTCCGGTTGTCGTTTCTCACGGAATCCACTCAGCTCAGGGATCTGCGTTTGGAAACGCTAGTAGGAGTAATTTTCTTGGATATTCGCGCGCAACGCGGTTGAATTGCTGCCGGATTGTTTCGCGGGTCGGGTCGGATCCTTGATCCAATTGAAGCGTTTTCCAGTCTCTGCCGAGACCAAGAGCCTCTGCCGAGAAGATTGAATCTAGTGATGCTAAGAAACTGAATAATCTCTATTTCTTCTTCACTGAATCACCTTAACAAAAACAATTTTGGGTATTTTACGCCGGAAAATTCTGTATCAAAAGCTTCTTCATTTTCGTTCTCAGAGAAACCATGAAACTGGCGTCGAGCTTGATTCCCAATCAATGGCGTCTACAAGCTTTCGTCTTCTCGACAGGTACTTTAATCTCTTTTTCTCTAGTACTTGCCTGGTTTCGTTTCCCTCTACTCCTCTGACCTCTTTCTCTCACTCTTCATCAGCCTACACCACAAAGCTTCCCACGCTCTGGTCTCCAACCTTGCGTCAATGTCGGAATCTTCAGACGGCTGTTTCTCCGGTCGTCACTTCAAGCTACGTTCCCTCTTCCTACATCACTCAGAAGCAGATTGAAATCCCCACCTCCTCGGTATTATAGAATCCCTTGTTTACTCCACATATATCTTAATCTCGTTTGAAAATATACCAAAGTCTCCAGCTTTAAGGGGAATTTGGGTTTGGTTTGCAGGAAAAACAGGCGCCACCGATGCAGGAAAGTTTGGGTGCTTTTCAAAAACTCCCCATGGTGATGCCATCAATTGATCTGTATTCTTCTGCACTTAGGAAGTCCAAAAGAGTCCAACCAACAAAAGGTAATTGATTCCTTATCTTATTGTTTCTTGTTACACTCTCCTTCGAGCTCTTTGACAGAGTCTTTGTCCATTTTTGGTCTCAGGCATTGCTAATATTGCAAAGCGAGAAAGGAATAGAGGAGCTAAACAGCTTGACGCACTCATGAAAGTGAGTTGATTTCATCCTTCGCCGTGTTCGATTGAAGTTACGAAACGATTCTTGTCTTACGAAATCAGATACTGCTCTTTGTTTTAGGAACTGGCTCTACCTTTGAAAGGATACATGGAAAGTTTCCCGAGGAAGAGACTCTTGCATCCATATGAGCGCTCTCTTATCGAGCTGACACTTGGTGATGGAAAGTACGAGGAGGTATCTATTGTGCATGCCCTCTTAAGTCATTCAGCGAATTACACCCTGCAACTGATTTTAGCATTGGCTTATAAATTGAAGTTTTTTCTTAGGTGTTAGGAAAAGTTGATGTTCTGAGGAAGAAGGTGTTATCTGTTGGAAAGGAACATGCTTCTCTCTGTGCTAAGGTAAATAAAAAGATAATTGCATTTTTCATCTAGGTTGTGATTGGTACAGCTACACTAAAGGCGTCACAAGCTTCTTAACTACCTCACTGTTCCATCTTATTCTATCATATATTCAATTTAGGAAGAGTTTGAAACATTTTTGTATGCAGGCATTGTCAAAGCGAGAAGCAGAGGACCGCTTGAGCGAAGGCGTGGAGAAGCTTGAATTGGTTTTCCAGCAAGAAGGAAAAGCTGTTGATGATTTGTTAAGCATAGCAAAGGTTCCTCATTTGCTTTTCTCTTCCAGTGGTTTGAACCTTTTGACTTTAATCATCAGAACTGTGTGAAAAGAGTGGAGCGTTTTGCAGGTTTTGAGGGCTATGCCAGTCGTTGATCTGGAGATGCCAACACTTTGCCTTGTCGGAGCACCAAACGTCGGGAAATCATCGTTGGTTCGCATTCTTTCAACAGGGAAGCCTGAGGTTTGCCTTACGTCCCAATCTTCGTATACGTGATAATAATTTTGCATTTGTCTATTGCTTATGATTTTTTGTTGGGTTGTCAGATTTGCAATTATCCTTTCACCACCAGAGGAATTCTGATGGGTCACATCGTTTTGAACTACCAACGATTTCAGGTAACGTTACTTGCTTAGTTTCGTCTAATCACACTCCTCATGATTTTGGATTGTTAATGTATCCAGAAACGTCATTGTTGCAGGTGACAGACACCCCTGGGCTTCTCAAGAGACGTGATGGTAAAATCTTGTTGCTACAAACTCTCTTGTGGATGCATGATTCTATGATATTTGATTAGTGTTCTACCGTTTTTTCTTACAGAGGATAGGAATAATCTAGAGAAGCTAACTCTTGCTGTACTCACTCATCTTCCGACCGCGGTTCTATATGTTCATGATCTATCTGGAGAATGTGGGACTTCTCCTTCTGATCAGGTATTTGAAGTAAAAACCATTTGTGGATTCAACCATGTGTGTGAGGCAAAAAAAATGGGCTCTGATTCAGTTATGTAATTGTTATGAGGGCATTGCAGTTTGGGATTTATAAAGAAATAAAAGAAAGGTTTAAGGATTACCTGTGGATTGATGTTGTGTCCAAATGCGATCTGCTGGGAGGCTCTCCGGTGATGTATGCCAAGGAAGATAGAAGCAAAGATGAAGAGGAAATCATTAAGTACCGGGAAACAGGACCGGATGAATCAATTCATGTCTCAGTGAAAACAGAGCAAGGTCTCAATCAGGTATGAGATAACTTTACCAGAAACAATTTTCATGTCCAAAGAAAGCAAGAGTGTGTTTGTTTTGAGTGCTCTGTTTTCTCTACTTGGCTTTGCAGCTAAAGAGCAAAGTGAAGGAAGTACTGAGTAATGAGATGGAGAAGATCAAAAGTGGAGTGAGCGTTGATCAAAGTGTTGGTAGTTGTTAGATATAGATTTTGCTTTTTTACCAAAACCCATTTTAGCTTTTTTTGTCTTCTTCTCATTGATGTCTCCTTTGTATTTTAATTATGTGTTCTTAATCACGAAATACACTAGGATTAAAACGTTAATTGCATTGTTTATACCAACTCATTTTTCAGTTTTCACTGTAGAAAAAGGAAATTGAAATTTCTAAGCGTCCTTTTTCTGGAACTCGCTCAAGATATGCTTTGCGTGCAACTTTTGTTTTCTGCAGTTGGTTTAAGTTGAATGTTAAGGGGTTTGATAGCTTACACTCATGTTTGTTTGCTTCATTTGTAAAGAAAAATGGTGTAAGCTCTGCGTTACAGCACTTGTCGACTTTCCCCAGCTGCCAAAACTCACAGGTATGCTCTGCTCTCCCCCAGATGTTGGAGTCTTTAACCGAGTCATCGCATCTTACTCTTGTCTCCTATGGGACAAAGTTCATTTTCTCACGGATAGATCCTAGAGCTTCCTCTGCTTGCATGATTCAGTTATGTATTTGTTTAGAAGAATTAGAGAGAGGTTTAAGGATTACCTGTGACTATGCGTATGCCAATGAAGATCTCTGTTGAAAACAGAACAAGGTCTCTTGTGAGGTATAAATAAACTTATCACAAATATTTATGTCCGATAAAAGAAGAGCAAGAGTGTGTGTTTTGAGTGCTCTGTTTCTCTACTTGGTTTTGCCGCTAATGAGCAAAGTGAAGAAAGTACTACTGTGAGAGTAATGAGATGGAGAAGATCAAAAGTGAATAGAGAGAGAGAGAGAGTTGATCAACATGGTGTTGTTAGTTAGTTAGAAAGAGTAAAACTTTCTCCTAATTAATTGGGTTTAAACAAGCCCAATAACTCCAATAACTTAGTCGGTTTGTTGGGATATTATAAAATGATGATGTATGGAGAAAATAATCTGTTCGAAATTAGGGTTGGAGTTTTGAGGTTCCATTGGATCTAATCCTCTCGGAAGTCGGAAGTTTCAGGGTTTGGTGAGGTTTTCCAAGAATGTTGAAGCGAGAAGGCGATGGCCACATGAGTTGTGAGGTAATTTGTATTTTACTGTGGATGATGACCATAGAGAGCGATTTCAAGATTTGCATTAACTTGCTCTTTCTTTTTAAAGGGATGTACTCATAATCCACTTAAACCATGCCCATATCCTCGAGGGTCCTCTGTTTCCTCCGCACCATCTTACTGCTTTGATGACTCTGAATCTAAAACACCCTTGCCCTCTTCACCATCGGACACACCAACTCATGATGACCCTGACTCGCCGCGGCGCTATTCACCACCATCACCGGGGAGACGCGCGGAGGACGGTCGTATCCTTGTTTCTCTGGATGACGAGAATAAACCATATCCTCAAGGGTCCTCTGCACCATCTTACTGCTTATGGGGGGAGGAATCTGAAACACCCTTGCCCTCTTCACCATCTGACACACCAACTTACAGCTTTCATGATCATTACCACTTTTATTCTCCGAGCTATTCACCTAGTTCGCCAACTTACGGCTGTCCTTATTCGCCGCGCTATTCACCTGAGCCACCAACTTACAGCTGTCATTCGCCGGGCTATTCACCTTATGACTCTTATTCGCCGCGATATTCACCTGAGCCACCAACTTACAGCTGTGATTATAACTCTTATTCGCCGCGCTACTCATGGTCATCACCGGGACGGTGGGAGCCTGATCCATCCTCCCGCACCGAGGACGGTCGCATCCCTGCCCGTCTGGATGACGAGAAGTGATGCAGCATACAAATCTATCTTTTTCTTCCTGTTAGAGTTTTCTGTCCTGTTTGGTTTTTGGATGTTTCTTTTCTTACAGTAGTTTAACTGTTCTAGATTTACTTATTCTAAGTCTTAGCCTATATAAAGAAGTCATTGGTGCTTTGTAATCGATACTTCAGATTTTGATTAATACATAGAGCTTTGGAAAGACTCTTCTGTGGTTGAAGCAGAAGAGCTTTGGTAATGGTTTTAGTGTGAGTGATACCAAGATTCATAATCTGATTCTTCGTGGGTGGTCGAAACTGGGATGGTGGGGCAAATGCAAGGAGTATTGGGAGAAATGGATAACGAAGGTGTTGCTAAGGATTTGTTTTCGTATTCGATTTACATGGATATCATGTGCAAGAGCGGGAAGCCCTGGAAAGCTATTAAACTGTATAAGGAGATGAAAAGCAAAAGGATGAAACTTGACGTTGTTGTCGTGTTCGATTGAAGTTATGAAACGATTCTTGAAATCAGATACTGCTCTTTGTTTTAGGAACTGGCTCTACCTTTAAAAGGATACATGGAAAATTTTCCCGAGGAAGAGACTCGTGCATCCATATGAGCGGTCTCTTATCGAGCTCATTCGCGCCATTGGAGCTTTTCAAAGCGTTGAATTTGGTATCCGGGTGTTTCGCGAGATGAAGGAAAGGGGTTGTGAACCTAACGTTGCGACCCATACCACCATTATCAAGCTTCTGTGCGAAGACGGGAGGATGAAGGATGCGTATGAGATGCTTAACGAGAAGCCTAAGAAAGGTTGACAACCCGACTCGATTCTCTTTGCACGCCTGGAGAAACCGAGCGAGTATCTTAAGTCTGTTTGGTAGGATGATGAGGAGTGGAGTTAGGCCAAGAATGGATACTTATGTGATGCTTATGAGGAAGTTTGAGAGATGGGGATTTCTTCAGCCGGTTTTATCTGTGTGGAAGACGATGAAAGAGTCTGGGGATACTCCTGATTCAGCCGCTTTTAACGCTGTGATCGATGCTTTGGTTCAGAAAGGAATGTTGGATATGGCTAGGGAATATGAAGATGAAATGGTCGAAGACATTCAGCTCGATGGGCATAAGCTGTTTCCTCCTGAGTTTAGAGGTAACATTGATCATTTCAACAACATGATCAAGATGTCTAACATCACATACCCTGACCGTGTCGCTAATCAGACTATTCGTTATCTCACCGGAACGTTAAACCCTGTGTAAGTTTTAGTTAGATAGATGCCTTGCTTCACAAGTTACATAAAAAGCTCTGTTTATATGACTCAGAATCGTTTTAAATTGTTCTTCAGGAGATATGTCTTAAAATTTGTCGCGGGTGTTATGCTCGCAGTCGCTTTCCTCGGCCTCTGTAAATTCTAAAACTAAGATATTTCTTATTTCATCTTTTAAAACTGCTTTTGTTTGTTTTAGCATAATTTGTGATTCTGAACAGTGTTTTCTTGCGAGTTCTTGTCTACCTGTGAGTTGCTCTACTTTCTATACAGTATTTATATTACAGCATATCCAAATTGAATGGGTTATAATTGATGTTTGATCCTCCTCAGCGTAGTGTTTCTTGCCATCCACAAGTAATCATCATCACTTAGATCTAATAAGTTTGGACTGTCACAGAAAGAGACTAAAGACAAAAGGTAGAGAAACGTATTGTGTTACATGGCTAATTCTATATTTTAATAATTAACAAAACTAATTTAACCCCAACAAGCATAAAATTAAAACCACACTCGGAAATCATATCACAAAACAATTGTACTGCCTCTTTCGATCATCCTGCCTCTTGCGTTTTTCCTTACTATTTTGTTGTCTTTACTTTGTACCATCATCGGCTTCACCCACCGTAGTAATGTTGATGTCATGCATAGTACTGCCTCTTCTGATCATCTTACCTCTTGTGCTCTTCCTTCCCACTGCAGTATTGTTGATGTCATGCATAGACGTATTTCAAAATCCTAGAAATAGGACCTCTATAAATCCTTTGCAAGATTAAAAGTATGATAAAAAAAGAACTTATTATGTTACCCAAATAGCTTACGCCTTTGGCTCGAAAATAGCTATAGTAGCTGCAACGGGATGACTCTTTAATACTTCAAGCGTCTGTTTCTTTAATTATCAAAATGACGTGTTTCTTTAATTTTGATCCCATTCTATTTGACGTACTCTAACCCTTCCATAACAGGACATGAGTAGCAAAAAATACTTGAGTTTCTTCGCGTTTTTGTCCACTTCGTGAAATCGACAAAATACTTAACATAATAGTTTCTTTTTAGTTTGTCGCATTTCAAGATGTATCTCACAGCACTAACAAGTTCAGCGATCACAATTGTCCAGCATACCTCTACAAAAAAAAACAAAGACAAAATAAATTAACCAATATTTATTTTTATTTAGAACTCGGTTGTAACATTAATAATTAAGCATGCTTACTGTGGTCTAGTTGGTTTATGATATCGCTGATGTCTGTTCGCCATCTATTCTTTCTCACATTTATCCACATTTACATGATTGAAGAAGATATCAAAATTCAAACAAACAAGAAAAAAATAAACCTTATCGAAAGAGCTAATTTGTCCCAGTTTTGTCCGAAATGTATAATCCTAAAGTAAATATCACTCTGCTCATTATCCATTAGAATTTTTGCCAACTTTTGGCCAACTTGGTCTATAAGAAAACCATATGATCATCAGCATCAGAAAAAATATAAAGCAACAAAAAAAGGATCGCAAGTACAAACCTTATACTTGATTTATAATTATAATGAGACAAAATGCACCAAAATCAACGGATAAATGAGGTCATTGACAACTGAATTTGCTATTGAGATCCGAGACTAGTGATACCACATTGGAACTATGGCAATCCCAATTATAGAGATAACTTATCGAGACTTAGTTAGTAGAAGAAGCAAGTAAGACATAAGACTCCAAAAAACCCTATCAATATTGACGTCAAACACTCCAACTAACTAGAACAGTTTGATGCTTTGTACTTAGTGGCTGAGTTAGTAAAAAAATTAATAGAGCAAAAAATATAAAAAAATAGAATTTATAAATCACAAGAAAAAAAAATCATATAATCAAAAAAATAAATGAAAAAATTGAGAAAAATATATAGATTCTAATTAAAAAGTTTTTTTTTAAAACATAAGGTTAACAATAACAAAAAAAAGGTACAAAAGATAACGAAAAAAAGAATGGTTTTCTTTTTTTTAAATAGTTTTTTATATTTTATCAACTAATAGCTAATTAAAATTCATAATTATTCAGTGAAAAATGGGTTTAAAATAAAATTAACTCCAAAACCAAAATAAACTGTGAGTACAAATTAAGTTTTGTTTTTAATATTTTAAGTTCTTTTATGGGATCAAACAATAAAAGTTAGTGGGGTAATATTATATTTAATTAAAAAAAGTATAGATTTTCAAAAATTAGATGGGTATGAAAGTGAAACAATCACATTGGGCCAGAATGCAAATGAAGACTAAGGCCCAATACAGATGAAGAAAGCAATCGAGCCCATTATTTCTCAACAACAGTCATTTCCTTCCTCTGAAACAAAAGACAAAGCGACGATTGTACAGAAAAGCAGAACGGAAAAACCAGCTGGAGACAGCCGTGGCCACTTTTGACATCGGAATCGATATAGAAGGTCGAGAGCCTTAAAATGCAAACCTTAATACTATAAATAGAAAGACGAGCCTTAAAAGATAACTCAACATAGACTGCAACTACCACAAGGAAGTAAACCCGTCTCAAAAAGATTTTAATTCAATAGGATACAAAAACATTAGTAATTTTAATCAAAAGCTAAACGGTTTAAGCTACAAAACATGGATTTTATCAGCAATAAGCCAAGGTTAGAGAGTTTCTGAGACTTCAAGTTGGCTTTTTAGATAAGTCATGAGATACACTATAGATGAATCTCATAAAAAGTGAAGTAAGCAATTAAGAAACAGTTCAATCGATAAAGCCACCCGTTCCAACATCCCGACGCAACAACACAAAGGGATATAAGTGATGTCAGAGATTAGAACAACCCCTAAATACAAAAACCCTCGGCAAGCAAATCAAACAGAACAATCAACCTCCACAAAACCCTAATTTATCGGTAGCCGACGCACCAAATATATAAATCATCTATCACAAATAAATAAAGTCACGTATAGCTAAAGAAAAACCCTAATTTATCTTTTCCTCCTCACGCGTTTCCTTTGTTTTCTCAAGTGATTTTCTTAGAAATGATATGTGTTTCCACCACAAGCGTTTCTGCTGGGTTTCTCTAAACTCGTTTTAAGGTAGTCTCAACTCTCTGTCTTCTCCTTCTCAAACCCAAAAAGGCAGTCCCTCGATCCAATGGAGACACCATCATCTCGCAAAAGTGTTGATTGGATCAGCAAACTCCCCAACGATGTATTGCTCATGATCTTATCGAGACTGTCCACAGAAGAAGCGGTAAGGACGGGCGTTGTGTCGAAACGATGGGAGCATGTGTGGAAGCACATGTCTCATCTAGTCTTGGACATGCGAAGGATTATCAATTCCAGAGAGATGCTCGATGTGAGGCATCGGGTTGCTACCTTGATGACAAAGGTTCCCCTTTTCTCTCTAATTTGTTTTATTATCCATGTCTTGTCTTAAATCTTCATTCTTTGGTTTCTCAAGGTTATAAACAATCACCGTGGACATCTAGAGAGCTGCGTAATCGACCACTACCCATGCACGATGCTGAATACTTGGACTCAGTCACTCACCGGCGTAAAACACACCAAGCATCTTATACTTAGACGCCATGGACTAATGAACCAAATCCTAGAATTAATCGACCTTCCCTCAGACTCATTCTCATATCCAAGCCTCACATCCCTCTCGCTACATGAATACATACTTAAAACCTCACATTCTTTCAACAACTGCCAAAATCTTAAGACCCTCAAACTCCAGTGTATCTTAGCCTCCGAGGTTGGAGTCTTTAACCAAGTCTTGGCATCTTGCCCTTCCCTGGAGGTTCTTGTACTAGACATCTCCTGCTCTAAAAAAAGTGGTCCTCTCAAGATCGACAACAACATATTAAAGCTCTTGCAAGTGTCTTGCGATGAAATTGATGGCATTCAAGTGTCATCACCTAGTTTGCATATACTCGCCATCGATCAAGATTTCTCCTGTGGCAGAGATGAATTTGTTCTCACGTCCCCTCGACTCCAGTTTTATCGAAACTTTTGGCTTACAGGGACATCATTGACTCACATAAGCTACAACATATCACAGGTATGCATGTGTTCCCAAAAATGTATTTGGATATATACACACATGGAATTAACTGCGTTTGATGTATGATTAAGGAGGAAAAAAACAGCGGGCATGAAGAATTTTTGGTCAACACATCTGAGTTGTTAAGCATATCCTTGGCTGCATCCTTGTCGGTGAGTGTAGATTTATTGAATCCAACATAAGTTGAGAGGTTAAGACAAGTCTTACTTCTATGGACACGTGGATTGATGGTAGAGCTTGAGATCTTATTTAAGGTATATGTGTACAAAAACATAACTCATGTGACTACAACGTCTTAAATCTTTGTAACCAACATAACTTACTTATGGGGCATTAATTTGTTGGTATGTGCAGAATAACAAAGCTCATAGAGAAGAAAAAGATGAGTCATCACAGAATAACAAAGAACCGTTCCCAATTGCTGTATTTAGTGTGGATACAGTGTGGATGCATAACTTCAGCGGTTCAGATGAAGAGTTTGCCTTGGCGTCGTGTTTGATCAGGCAAGGGACGGTGGTAAAGAAGATGATGATCAAGACGACTTCATTTTCTGCAAGGAAGAAGCTGGAGATAGAAGCGGCAGTGGCAAAGCTACAAGCACTTGTAACGAAACGTCAGTGGCAGCTTACCATCGAATGCTTCTGATTGAAAAAAAAAATTGCCGTTGATTAAATAGTTTCCAATGTGTGTTTTAAAGGGTAACTGGGATGATGAGATGTTTAGTATTTGCTATTAACAATGTTTTTTGCTGCAATTATTATTCATTGGTTAAATCTGCATTCCATCAGAGCAGCTCTCTGTTGCGTGTACTACACTCTAGGCATGACTGATATTCAAATTTTGCTCCAGGCCGTCTGAGTGTTATATAAACATTAACACCATCAGCAATTCAAATTTTGGTCCATCGTATCAGAGTGTTATATAAAGACATTAACATACCATCAGCAGCAATAATCTAGGCTGAGTTCTGATAAATGAGTTTTTTAACATCATCAAGTCATCATTATATAACTCAACATTATCATTAATGCAATCACTAATCAAGAATGGTACTCGATCGGCTTGGTTTCGAATCAGAAAGCCGAGTGGCAGTAAATAATTCGAGATCTACCGTCGTAATCCAAAAGCAACATTTTTTACTCAACGGCACTTTTTGTTCTATAAATATACAATTATACTATTCAATTTCACCGTAACTGCATTTTCCCCCATCTCTCCTTCGCTCTGTTCTCTCTGCATGCACGCCAAGATTATCTATTTCCTTGTTTCACCATCACGTAAGTTTTTAGGTTTTGTTGACTCTTTGGAGTCCAGCATCGAACTTGTAATACTTCATCCTCTTCTTCGTCTCGCTTATGATCTTGGTTGATTTCTTCAGTCAAATCTTGTTTTCGAGAAAAGAAACCTGTGACGCACAAGATCATCTCTCTTCTATGGCATTTTTTTTTCAATTTTACCTCATTGCATCATCGATCTCTCTTTCGCTCTTTCTCTAAGACTCTCTCTCTCTTTCCCGTCACGTAAGTAGTGAATTTCTTGATTCTTAGTTTCCGCCATAGAAATTCCTCACGGACTTGTAATTCTTCTTCTCCGACTTGCTTTCCATCGTAATTCCTTGATTTTTTTTCAGTCTTTTAGCGACACATACGTCAATTGTTCTTGTTTCTTTTCTCTCGTGTCTTGTTCGTCAACCTTTGATACAGAACCCAACGGCATTTTTTTCAGCTTTCACCTACAGTTATTGGATCATCGATCTCTCTTTCGCTCTTCTCGAAGACTCTCTCTCTCCTTCCCGTCACGTAAGTATTGGGTTTCTTGATTCTTTCTATGTACGGTTCGCGATTCTCGTTTCCCTAAGTTTTTCGGGTTCTGATGATTCTCTGTTTCTCCTCGTGCAATTAATTTCTCGTTTTTCGACTCGCTTGTGATCGATCTTTCCCGTTACTTTAACTAACTTGATTCATTCATTCTCAGATCTTGCTTTTAAAAACTCGGCCGGAGGAGAAATCAGTTACGCTCGTCAACATCCTTCTTCCGCAATTCGATTTCCCTTAATTTCCCGTACGTAAGTAAGTTTTGGTTTCTTTGTTTCCGCCATGAATTCTTCTTCTCAAAACCCGTACAAGATATCTGTTGGTGAAGCATTGATTCGTCATTTGGAGTTTTGAGTTATGTATGCAGCTTTAACTGTTTGATAAATCTCTTTGCTAGAACAACCTGTTTCGCTAATCTATTCTTTATCAACTCTTTCCTAAATCAATACGGTGTTTGCTCTGATAAGTCTAAGTTGAACTTTGAGGGAAACACTCATATATTGGTTTGCTTCTTAATCTTGTGTGATTCTACGTACACTCATATAATCTTTATGTCGCAGGCCACCGCCTTTAGTTCTCTGTTTCTGGCTTATATAGAGCTTGTGATCTTCCATTCGCTTATGATCTTTAGCTGTGTCTTTTTTTTATAGGAATTAAAAAAAAAAAAAAAAGCAAGAAGAAGATGGATTCTATTGATGAATTACAGAGGAGGATCGATGATTATGAACGAAATAGGGTTCGTTATGAACGGATGATTAGACGTCTCCAAGATGACATTTTCAATAGGGATAACGAGATTCGAAGAACAAAATACACGATGCTGCAGGTACGTATTTAGATTAATATATTATAGACATAGACATTGAATCGGTGACCTAAAAACGTATAGGCTGCATCGTGTTTGATTTTGTTTCCTTTTTGTCTTTAAGGCTTTGCCAGAACTAAACCCTCCGGAAATTGATCCATTCGTTGACATAGTACGACTCCCAGGACATCTAGATAAAGAGTTCGTTAGAAGGGCGTTGCTTGAAGCGTACCTCAGGGATCCAAATGACCATAATAGCGAAGCAACGAAGGCGTTACGAGCAGAGACTATGGCTGATGTTCTGCAACCGCATTGGAGACTTAAAATCTATGGAAACTGGAGGCTTTACGTGGAAGGAGAAGATGGAGTTCAGATGGAGAATCCAGAAATTTCGGACATCAAAGACAGATATGGCGAGGAGCTCTATGATGCTATTAAGAGAGCATGGCTTGAGGCACAAGAAATGAGAAGAACAGGTGTGACAGTCAAGCCTTGGGACTACGAAGCTCAAAGAGAGCTAACGTTGACAGAGCTACTCGGTCAACTTCCCGCGCTGATCCACATTCTTAGGGAGCCGCATAATATATGAATACTATGGCTTTATACCAAACTATATACAGTAATTGGTAACTGAGTTTGGTTTGGGACTGTTTTTACTACTCTATCAGATTTTTTTTTATTTTTTTTGGGTTTGTCAAATCCAACCATAAATATAGAAGGTTTTCACAAATTTTCAATTTTCTTTGGAAGTGGCTATGCTGAATAGTTTTCAGATACACTGTAACAACAACAGATATTAAACAATATATAGGGTTTATCTCATCGTTTAATCCCATTAGAATAATATAGTTTACCGACTAAATTAAAAAATAAACAGCGCTGATGCCGAAAATATTAATAATAATAAATTGTCGTGGGCCTACAACACTTTACAGGTCTTTAAATATACTCTCGGGGTTAAGTTTTAGGGTTTTGTCTTGAAATTTTCGGTCGCCAAAAATTTGCTTTCTTCAGGTAACCTATGTTATATTCTATAACACGCAAACTGCAATTTACTTTATGGAACTCAGAATCTGCGTTGATGCTCCATTAGGGTTTTGTGTGTTACAGGCCACGAAAATAGCATATGGAGAGATCGTCATCAGCGTCGTCAGCATCGTGTGATCCGGTCGAAAGTGATGACTGGATCAGCAAACTGCCCGACAATGTACTGCTCGTGATCTTATCGAGACTGTCCACGGAGGAAGCGGTAAGGACGGGTCTTGTGTCAAAGCGATGGGAACATCTGTGGAAGCACATGTCTCATCTAGCCTTGGACATACGAAAGAAGGTTATTATCAATTCCAAAGATACGCGGGATGTTTCGAACCAGGTCGCTACATTGATGACCAAGGTTCTCTCATATTCTCCTTTATCTTTTTTTTTTTTATCCACCAATGTCTTTAAAAAAAGCAAATCATCATATTCTTTGTTGGTTTTCTCAAGATTATAAACAATCACCGTGGACACCTAGAGAGCTGCGTAATCGACCATTACTCAAACTGGATGCTGAATACTTGGATCCAATCACTCACCGGTTTAAAGCAGACCAAACATCTCACACTTAGACACCGTATTGATATGAGCAACTATGAACCGATCGACTTGCCACCAAACTCGTTCTCATATCCAGGCCTCACATCACTCTCGCTACTGTCATACTATTTGAGAAGCTCGGATTCCTTCAGTAACTGTCAAAATCTCAAGACCCTCAAACTCTCGTGTATGAACGCCATTGATGTTGGAGTCTTTAACAGAATCCTCGCATCTTGCCCTGCGCTTGAGGTGCTTGCAATAAACATCTGTTGCTCCCAAAAAAACGGTCGTTTGAAGATTGAAAACAAGAGACTGAATCTCTTGAAAGTGTCAGTTGGCAGGGAGTTTGGTGGCATTCAAGTGTCATCACCTATTTTGCATTTTCTCGCCATTGAAGATTTTTTCCCCTGTTGGAGAGATGAATTTGTCCTCGCGTCCACTCGACTCCAGTTTAATAGAAACCCTTGGCTTCCAAGGAAGTTCTATCCTCACATCAGCTATAACATATCACAGGTACAAATATACATATATATATATATATCGTCAAGAAATGTATTTGGATGTATGTATATGCAGAAGAATGAAGTAATGGTGTTTTGATGCATGACAAAGGAGGAAAATTGCATTGGGCATGAAGAATTTGTGGTTAACTCATGTGTTGAGTTGTTGGGAGGATGGCCTATAGCATCCTTGTCAGTGAGTGTAGATTTAAAGAACCCAACAGAAGTTGAGAGGTTAAGACAAGTCTTGCTTGTATGGACACGTCACATGGTAGAGCTTGAGATCTTATTCAAGGTATGTACATCCAATGCCTTTGAGAGTTGAAGAGTGATTTGATGATGTCTTTTTAACTAAACATAATCTCTCTCTTTTTTTTGTTTGCATGTGAAGAATAACGATGCTCCTAGGGAAGAAGGTGAGTCTTCACCGAAGAGGATAGATCTGTTCTCGAACGCTGGGTTCCGCGTGGATAAAGTGTGGATGCATAACTTCAGCGGTTCAGAGGAAGAGTTTGCCTTGGCGTCGCGTTTGATCAAGGAAGGGACGGTGGTAAAGAAGATGATGATCAAGACGACTTCATTTTCTGCAAGGAAGAAGCTGGAGATAGAAGCGGCAGTGGCCAAGCTACGAGCACTTGTAACGAAACGTCAGTGGCAGCTTACCATCGAATGCTTCTGATGGAGTTAATATGATTGCAAAAAGGTTTTTTGAAACAATGGAAAAAGGTTTTCTTACCATCCAGAGACACATGAGTTGATCTTTTGTACTTGTTTCATATGTTGTTGCCTTTCGTTTGTTGACGTACGTACTTGAACGGTTGGTGGGACCACTCTCTTATGAATTTGACGATTCCAAAGTCTTTTTCATCACGTATCCTTCTTTAAGTTCATTCATGCAAATTAATTGGGTTTTAGAAAGCCCAATAACTAAAGAAGTCCAATAACTTAGTCGGTTTGGTGGGATATTATAAAAGGATGATGTATGGAGAAGAGAGGAAAGGTACGTTGTTGCTGTTTCGTGTTCGAAATTAGGGTTGGAGTTTTGAGGTTCCATTGGATATAATCCTCTCGGAAGTCGGAAGTTTCAGGGTTTGGTGAGGTGTTCCAAGAATGTTCAAGCGAGAAGGCGATCGATACATGAGTTTTGAGGTCATTTGTAATTTTATTGTGGATGATGACCATAGAGAGCGATTTCAAGATTTGCATTAAATCGTGATACTGTCTTTGTTTTTTTCTTTTTAAAGGGATATACTGATATTCGACTTAAACCATTCCCATATGGGTCCTGTGCCGGCTTTGATGATGACTCTGCATCGGAGGAGGAATCTGAAACATCCTTGCCCTCTTCACCATCTGACACACCAACTTACAGCTTTCATGATCATGATGACTCTGATTCGCCGCGCTATTCACCACCAACACCGGGGAGACTGTGGGAACCTGATCCATTCTCCCGCACCGAGGACGGTCGTATCCTCGTCCGTCTGGATGACGAGAAGGAACCACCTCCGGTAATTTTGTGCTTCAAAGTCGTAATGTTGACTCTTGTTTATGCCCAAAATATGGTTTTGACTCACTCTCTCAATCAATGAGGATTACTTTGGTGAAGTTGCACTTCATTGCTTTAATGTCCTGAAGGTAAACTATAAGCTCTTTTTTTCTTCTACTAACGAAACTTTGCTTCTGGGAGTGAAGTTTGTCTTGCTTTAGGGGGCAGACATACCACTTTCGGAGATACTCAAGTCCAGTGGTCACTTAGAAGAATTGGAGCGTACCGTAATGTTTTCTGGCCATATGTCATTACTCGATGCCCCTTTCGAGTTGAAAACAAGAATTGAGTATGAGGTTGACAAAGAATTTTGCTTGAGCATGATTACAACGCAATGCAGGTTAAAACCGCTGCATCAAACTCCAAGTAAATTCTCACCTTTTGTTCAAACCATCTCCATATACGTATTTGTTTTGTGTGTGTGTGTGTGTGTCTAATTTTTATTGGTCATGTCTCTACTTGCCTAAGGCGACCTATCATATGTCTTGCCATCTGACTTTGACAAACTTGCCGTGGATGATTTATTCAATGGTCATATGCCATGGAAGTTTCCTAACGAAATGACAACGCGTCCTACTCCTAAGCAGCTTGATAAGCAGAAATACTACGTGGTGAGTGAGCCCTCCCTTTTAGTCGCGTTTCGAAGATGTTGTGATGTGCTCTGTTGACATGGCAGAGAGTTTTGCAGATGAAGAAATCAGAGGTGGAAGAAAACAAGGAATGGCTTCATCTGTACGTGGATCTCGCATTGTTCTCCCAGTGGCAATCTTTGACGGTGAGGCAAAAAGGACTTGACTCAGAAACAACAAAGAGGTGATATCGTCCGTGTGTAAGGTTAATTAATGATCTTGTCTTGTGTTGCAGCAAGTGGGGTGGGCAAAGCCACTTGAGCTTACAAGGGTAATTGTGCAAACCAGAGAAGACGTGGAGCCGAAGGATAAGGTCAAGGCCGAGAATGCAATCTTCTACATTATCTTCACAACATGTCACCGTTTTCGATTCTATGCTATCATAAGGAGAACAACGGATGGAACACCAGAGCATATGTCGCTTGAGTTCAAGTGGTTGGTGTGAAAGTCCACCGTTATGTATTATTAAGTATCCTATCGTCCCATTACGTATCATTTTATGGAAAAGGAAACTTATACATTGGTAATGAAAAAAAGGAAATTGTCCTAAAAGGTTTGAGTGGATGAGTCTATGTGTATAAATACATGTCATGTAGCTCTTGGATATATAAGAGAGAAAAGTTGCATAAAACCTCCTTGTGCCAAGTTCTTTCCAGCTTCTTAAATCTCTAGGTTCTTGCGTATTCAGATGGCTTCTGTTCACGAACTACAGAGGAAGATCGATGATTATGAAAGAAAAAGATTCCAATACGAACGCAAGATTGCTCGTCTTGAGAATGATCTTTTTGAGAAGGATCAAGAGATCATTCGTGCAAAATTCACGCTACTGCAGGTACATACACATATCTTTCTTTATGTATAATATCACTGTAAAATATCATTCAGGAACTGACCGTGAAACTTATACTATTTTTCCTTTTAGGCTCTGCCAGAACTAAATACTCCGGAAAACGATCCACTAGTTGACAAATTAAGAGTCCCGGGACACCTAGATCCAATGATGTTTCAAACGGCGTGCATCAAACATAACACACGAGATCCTGCAATGGGGAATGACAGAGCAGTACTCGAGGCTGAAATCCTGTGTAACGAATGGAGAGGCAAGATCAGTGATGGGGTTTGGGAGCTTTACATTACGGGTCCGGATCAGGAAGAAGACGACTTGGTGCAAGTGGAGATGCCAGATCTTTTGGACCTCAAAGACAAATATGGTGAGGAGCTCTACAATGCTATTAAGGTAGCGTGGATTGAGGCACAAGAAGGTAGAAGAAGAGACGTGCAGCTCAAGCCTTGGGACTATGAAGCTGGAAGGGAACAAACATTATCAAACCTTCTTGTTCCACTCCAAGCGCGGATCCAATTTCTTAAGGAACAACCACTCATCTGAAAACTATATAGTACCAACGAATAGCAAAAACTATACAAAGGCACGTCACTAGAGCATCAGGGAGTTTCTCGGGTCGTCCAGTTAAACCGCCCACACTTGACTTGTGGCTGCCCTACGAAGAAGCCCAGATTCGAATAATCTTTTATAGAGAAACTTTCAACTTATTGGGCCTGAATAATATCAACCAATGGGCCTTCTTATTTGTTAGTTACCTTCTCGAGAAGCATTAAAGGAATATACTGAGTGACAAATCGCCTATAATATAAACGTGAGATCTTTTATTTTTGTTTTGGCATTTTAGTTTATACAGAAAAATAATTTTTTAACAAAAGAAGTAAAAGAAAATTAACCATGAAACTATAAAGGACACGGGTTAACCCACTAATTGTTTTGGCATAATCTTTCACTGATTATTTAAGTCATTACGTACCATATTTCGTGAATGATAAACAGTTCAAGTTCAGACCATTCCTCTTTATCTATGATCCTAATTTCCAAAGTTAAAAAATCTGGATCAATCCGATTTTGTGATCATGCATTGCATTGCATACCCAAAAAAGAACGAGAGAGAGAGAAAGAGTTATAAGGAATTTTTATTTGATTTTTTTGTTTTGTTTAGAGAGCAACCTGACCATTTTCAACACCTAATCCATACAAAACACCAGAATATTTCTGCAAAGGACCAACGAAGAAATTCTCCTTAAGCTTTCTGAAAGTACAAGACGTGAGTAAACTATCGGAGCCAGCTTGGTGACAGATCCCAACTCTCTCCACCTCCAGCAACTCCGCGAGCTTGTTCAGGCCACCGTGAAGGCTGTTGCAGAACTTCATCAGGTGCTTAATGTCGTACACCGTCGGGAAGTAAACGTTGATCAGCTCGAAGAAGCTCGTCTGTGAATCCGGCAGGTCCTGGCATGTCAGGAGCTTCAGCAAGTACCCGAAATCGTACCCGCTGTGAAACGTGACCCAGTGCACGTTCTCGTTCAGCACAATCCCCGAGGACATCAGGAGCTCCGCGAATCTCTTGGACTCGATTCCGTCCTGAGTGTTTCTGGCAAAGTCGATGCCGGACTGTTTGAGAAGGTCGATGGAGTCGAGGGCGAAGATGTCCGAGTTCACATCGAACTCCCGGAAATTGAATTGCCAGATGCAGTATTTCTCGGTTCCACAGGTTGGGAGGTTACCTTGTTCGTTGGAGAAGGTGAGGCCGAGCTGGATTATCTTGAGGATGTTGACGTTCATCTTTAGGGTTTCGTAGTGGTAGTCGGCGTTCGATTTGAAGGTTCCCACTGGTCGGACGACGATCCCTGGGAACTCCGTGTCCATGGCGACGTAAGGGAAATCGTCCACCACTTCTCGGATCAGATCCATCTCCTCCTGCAGGTTATCGTTCCACACTTCGCGGATTTGAATCGAATCGTCTTTCAGAAACAGAGACATCTCTATGTGCTGCGAGTTTCGGGAGCATCTGGATTGACCAATATGATAAAAGACGCTGGAAATCCAAAAACCAAGAACGGATCTAGAGCTAGACCCGATCCGGTTTCATCAAATCTGCCATGAAAATCAAACACACACAATCAATCAAACATTCAATTTCAACAAATCTGAAATCTCTGCTTCAACAAAATCACCCAGAAATCCAAAATATCGCAAACAGGTCGCAGAAATTGGCAGTCGCATACGAATACACACATAAGAAGGCGGTCATATTGGTGCAACGAACCTGATTATCAAAGCCGAAGTAGATGGAAGAGAAGTCGGCGATTGTCGTGGCTAGGGTTTCAGGGGATGTGGTGGTTTATCGAAAAGGAAAATGGAAGGAGAAGAAGTGATAATATTAAATCGATTTTATATTTTTCTTTTATTTTATTTTTTTAATTGTTTTTCTCTCATCTGAATCCGATTTTTTTTTTGTTCTCCACAAGTTCTGTTGTTTCTCTCTCTCTCTCTCTCTCTCTCTCTCTCTCTCTCTCCTCTTTTTTCGTTTTCTTTTTTGGTGTGCTCAATTTAGTTTACTGCTCCTTCAAGTTCCCTTTCTTTCTGCATTATTGCTTAAAATACTAACATTGGAAATAAAAGGTTAATGGGCCTGGCTTGTCGGCCCAAAACGATTTGTTAAGTTACACAGAACTCACCGTGAATCTAAAACTGTGGATGTCCATTGTCGAAAACGCCGACCACTTAACAAAAACATATGAATTATCATCATTCATCAGTTTCCTAATTTAACAGTTATAAAACTTAAAACCAAGGACCAGATTTGACTTCTTACAAATTCATTCATATTCCCTACAAGCCCACTGAAAATTCAAATATTGAAGCCAATTAGAGACGCTAAAATAATTGATGCGTGTCCACCGTAACCGAGAGTAGTTTATTTGCCAAGTTATTGCGTACGCAGATATATTGTCAAGCTTAATATTCTTTGAGGAGAGAATGCTGCAAACCAAGGAGTACCTATCAGGTTCGTTTGCGCTTGAGATTTCTGAGTTTTATGACCTGCTGCGTCATGTACTCAATCACTTCTTTGAGGGTGGCTTTTCTTTTTTCTTTGAAATTCCAGAGTGTTGGGACTGAGTAGCGGCCACTTGGGTTATGCTCGTTGAGCTCTTCGAGTGCTGTCTTCACTGCATTCTTCACATCTTCTCCCCACTCTTCTCTCAGATTCCGAATTTGCTCATCTTCTTCATCCACCACTTCCTGCAGCATATCCATATAAACAACACCGTTACTACTACTTCTTCACCCGAATGAAAAATCATAAACAAGGGATAGATCTCGATGGAACAAACCGTCATTTTGCCTTCAGTCCCCACGCGTTTGAATGGGTGCCATCCTGCATCTTTGAGGTTTTCCTGCCATTTCGAGCAAAGCATGGCATGCTGCATATCAGCTTCTTCGCCAGTGAATCTCTCCTCGCATGCTTTCAAGAAGGGCTTTTCATCCAGTTCTCCCAGCCGCTTTATCCTGATGTTGGTTCGATCACTCAACAATTCTCTCAATCCCTGAAAAACCCAGATTTACATGCACACAATTCATCACTCACAATTGCCGTTGGAACACTTACACAGCTTCTGGACTATATATCATGGTGAGTATCTGTGAAGCTGTTTGATAGAATCCTAGAGCATCCTACTCATCATACACCAGATTTCTCAACTATCTAGCGTTTGAACATGTCACCAACATTTCACTCGCACATATTATATATATACCAGCACCCAAGAACATGGAATCATTTAAAATAGATACCGTAAGCAATTCTTCACGGGCTTCTTGTATCTCATCATTGCCTTGGCGTTGTTTTATCATGAGGGCCGAGTTAGTGTCCTCTAGATCTTCTAACTCAGAACACTTCTCCTCCAGCTTCTCATTCATGTCCTTCATTTCCTTCTTAATGTCCTCGTCATCTTCATCTTCCACACGCCTCATGACTTGCAGCTTTCCTTTCAGCTCTTGAATCTCCATTTGAAGTTTCTGTTTGCTGTTTAATTCCTTCTCAAGCTGAAGGATCTTGTTCAAAGTCTCTTCTTTTTTCCTCTGAGGTCAGAAAGAACAGAGTTCCAATCATTAGACACAAACGAGATCTAATATTTTTTTATTTTGGAACTTGGCGTGTGCAGATAGATCTAGTTTGAGCCCTTTACTGCAACACACCTTGTGTTCTTCCACAAGACTCAAGACGCGTTCATCCGTCCTTTTCTGCTCCAGTGAAGCTAACTGGAGGGAGGAGTTCATGGCATCGCTCTGCCATAACAAGAGAGAACAAAAAGATTATCAGCACACTGGAATACATAAACGCATAAGTACATTATAATTGACTAAATATAACCTTCTTCTTGTCTTCATCAAGCTTTTGTCTCTCCAGTTCAGTTAGTGCTTCCTTCTTGTCCAATTCTTTGGACCAAAGTTTCAGCTTACGCATCTTATGATCCAGTTCATTGCTCAGCCTGTCCTTTTCTTTTAAGATCCTGTCAATGTTGTGCCGCGAAACCTCCTGCATTCTTTTTGTTTCTGGAGAAGAAAAAGTAGAGAAATAAGAAGAGTCACAAAGCTAAAACCTGGATACTACCGAGGTGAAACATAAGCAATCAGTTTTGGGTACAAACCTTCTTTATAAGCTCGGTCCAGCTTTTCTTTCTCTATGAGAACCCTGTGCAGAGAGATGGCCTTCTCGTTATACTTGTATAGGACCTTGCTCAGATCCTCATTCTTCAAAGCGATTTTATTTGCTAGTTCATCAACCACAAGATTCGTATTCTGCATTTCTTCCTTGGAAATATCAGAGAAACTTCTCAGCGTTCCCACTGTTGACAGGTACTCAGCTATCGGGCCTTGAGAGTTGTAATCATCTGCGCGGGCGCACCAACCATAAGTCTTGGAACTCCAGTCGCCTGTTTTATCACTCCAATCCTTTTTGCCGCAGCGTTTAATCTCATAGAACTTGTCAAGCTCTGTGGCACTCTTGAACCCATTCATACCACTGTCAAACCTAGGGATGACGGCAACTACGGAATCCTGCTCAACCCAAAGAGTTTTCACCTCAAGAGGGTTGAATCTGGCGAGCTTCTTCAACCAGTAAGCTGAATCAAGGAGCGAGTTCTTGTCGTCGGTTACTCTGAGTGGGTTGATGACAATGCCCACCCAAGGCCAGACATAAATGTCATTCACAACTGGTTGAGACTGCTTCGGCGAGAACAAGACAAGTTGTAGGCGTGGGGCACCAGAATCACCAGCAAGCTCATTCTCCATGTACTTTCTCAAAGCGAGGTGATTTGCTTTCTGCTTAGCACTCCTGCTCGCAGATCCTTTGGCAACACCAGTCGCATGAGCAAGCAGCTCCTTGTATTTGTAGTGTTGCTTCTTCTTCCCTGAGCAAAAAGGGCACCTGAATATGTCCTCCTTCACCTTAACCTTGTGGCCCCCGTTCTTGAGTTGCTTGTAAGGTTTTTCATCGCAATAGGCATCAATCTCAGACTCACTGATCTCCTCTGACTCTTCATCAGAAGTGTTATTCATCCTAGACTATGGCCTGAAATACACAGTTTACAACGAATTTATTTGCAGAAGAAGCAAAACGAACATGAATGTAAGTATCAAACCACTTAAAGTTCAACTAGATCTATCCAAAGCAAACAAAATTTCTCTAAACAACAGGCTCTGCAATGTGCAATCACATGAATCATAGCTTTATTTTATATAGGCTTATTCCCAACATTTCAGAGCAAAAGAATAAAGAAGCTGAAGCTACCCACATTGTTCAATTCGATTGATAACGGAGAACAAACAAAAAACAGCAGACAAATAGTGAAGGTTTGAGAAAATCAAACCCTAGAAAGTAAAATGCATCAGTCGCGTGGGTATAGAGTGAGAGAGAGGTTACCTTAAGAAAGCAGTTTTGTTGAAGAAAGCAAAAATGGCGATGGCAGAAGAAGTGAAACACTGAAGCAAGTTCTATCTGGCAAAAAAAAAAAGACGCGAGGAAGATCTTTAGAGGGTCGAAAATTAGAAATCGGACCTTCGTAACGAAAATTTGTACCGGAAAGAAAGAATCGACACGGAACCCTAAAACTTACGAGGATCGCGGCGTGCAGAGAGCGCAGAACGAGAGAGTTGTGATGACAGTGAAAGAGAGGAGTGCAATTTTAGCATTTTGCTAATCAGAAAATAGAAAGGCGCATAGCAGCAATTCGCAACCGTGTGTGTATATAATAGTGTGCGTTTTGGTCACTCCATTACGATTAGCATCTGAATTATTCATATGTTTTAGATTAAATACCTTAGTGTAAAATTCGAATTGGGTGGTTCTGAAACATTTCTTAATCCCGAGACGGTGAGGCCTGTAGGCCCAACCAAAGCAATATTTTTTACAACCTGAATGTGTGGCCCAACCAAAGCAATATTTTTTACAACCTGAATGTGTGCTAGGCCCAAAATAAGAAAAGGGTCCAAACATATATCCGATGAACTAAAACACAAACACAAAACCCGTTCTTCGACACAGCAAGAGTTGACAAAAAAGTATCAGTGGTGGTTGTTCCGAAGAACGTTGATCCGGTCTCGAAGTGGGAGAAGGAGCTCGGTTAGTGTTTTCTCCCTCTGAGCATCATTTTTCCATGGGATTCTGAACACAAATGTTCTTCTGGATTCCTGAATCTCAAGCCATGCTTTTTTAATAGCATCGTAGAGCTCTTGTCCATGGGTGTTCTTGAGCTCTTCAATCTCTGGATTCTCCACCTGATCCCGCCCCACGTAAAGATGCCAGTTTTGATCTCTGAGATTCCTTCTCCATGTTCTGTACACTTGTCGACCCTCATATTCTGCTCTTAGTCTCCTCTGCTCTTCATTTCTATGGTCATTTGGATCATTGAGACACTTATTCAGGCAAGCCCTTCTGACGAGACTTGTATCTAGTTGTCCTGGGATTCTTACCACGTCAACATTTGGATCAGTACATATACTGTTTAGTTCTGGCAAAGCCTGACAGTAAAAGGAAAAGTAGTTTTGGGGGGGTCAGTTCTTAAGGTAATTAACGATATCTCTTAAACTGTGATTATTGCAGTATATATGTAGATAAAGGTGTAAGAGATGTATTGAATCGTATATTGTTCTATTACAGAGTTTGTGAATATATACAAGTAGAACTAGGGTATACACAATGATTAAATGAGAATATACAGTTGACATAAGTAAACCCATGAATGAAGGAATCAGCGATATGATTGTATTCTAACATCCCCCCTCAAGATGGAGGTGGTTTCGAAACTCTAATCTTGGCTGTGAAGTTCTGGAATGATCCTCGTGGAAGAGGTTTTGTGAGAGCATCTGCCAACTGATCCTTTGTTGAAACGTGAGTCACCCTAAGAGCACCGGACTGTACTTGAGTTCGTATAAAATGATAATCCAACGCGACATGCTTCATACGTGAGTGAAAAACTGGATTAGCACATAGATATGTAGCACCAACGTTATCACAATATATTACCGGGGTTATTGAAAGCTTGATGCCGAGTTCATCCAACAATGAGCAGATCCATTTCATTTCTGAAGAAGTGTTGGCGACAGCTCTATACTCGGCTTCTGTAGACGATCGAGCAACACTCTTTTGTTTCTTTGACGACCAGGAGACAGGATGAGAGCCCATGTATACTAGGTAGCCATTAGTGGATACAAAGTCATCGGAGTCACCTCCCCAGTCCGCATCGGAGTATGCATGAAGAGAGCTATTGTTCCCCTTTCGTAGAAAGATGCCATGATTCGCGGTGCCGGCTAAGTAACGGAGCACTCTTTTGACTGCATTCCAGTGTTCGTTGGTGGGTGAATGCATGAACTAAGACAAATGATTGACTGCGTAGGATATGTCTGGTCTGGTGAAAGCTAGATACTGAAGACTTCCAACAGCAGTTCTGTACTGTAGAGGATCAGAGAGAAGCGTACCGGAATGAAGTGACAGTTTTGGTGTAGACGCCATTGGAGTTGCTACGGGCTTTGCGTTGAGCATATTTGTGCGCTCGAGAAGATCAACAATGTACTTGCGCTGACTCATATGCAATCCAGAGAAGTTGCGTTTCACTTCAATTCCAAGAAAATAATGTAGATCTTCATGTTCTTTAACCGAGAAACGAGAGGACAGAGCATCCAAAGTTTGTTGTATGAGGCCTCTATCATTACCAGTAACCAGTATATCATCAACATATACTAAGATATAGACGATGGACTGACCTTTCTTCAAGATGAATAATGAAGTGTCGGAAATGGAGTTAGTGAAACCCGAGCTGACGAGAAAATTGCGAAGTTCCATGTACCAGGCGCGGGGAGCTTGTTTGAGACCGTATATTGCTTTCCGGAGGCGACATACATGTGTTGGTCTGTCTTTATCCACAAATCCTGGTGGCTGGGCCATGTATACTTCATCAAGTAGTGTACCTTGTAAAAACGCATTGTTGACATCCAACTGTCGAACTGGCCAATCCCGATCAACTGCAACACCGAGAACTATCCGAATTGTAGTGGATTTGACCACCGGGCTGAACGTCTCAGAGTAGTCGAGTCCAGGACGTTGATTGTACCCTTTGGCGACGAGTCGAGCCTTGTAGCGATTAACAGTTCCATCTGGATTATACTTTTTGGTGAATATCCAACGACAACCGACGATCGTAACATCTGATGATGGCAGCAGCACAAGGTCCCAGCTATGATTTCCAATTTGTGCATTTATTTCAGAGGTACAAGCCTTTCGCCATCGCTCATCTTTGAGGGCTTGTAGTGCCGTTCGTGGTTCTGTATTTGGAGAGAGGGTTAAGGCCTTTGCGTATTTAGGATTGGGTTTGGCGATTCCGTCTTTGGCTCTAGTGTCCATTTTGTGATTGTTTAGTGGATTTATTGGAGGAGGTGGATGTAACGGAGGAGGTGGAGGTGGAGAAAGAAGTGTTGGTGGTGGCGTTCTCGATGGAGATGACGATATGGATGTGGTGTTTGGAGAACTGGGCTGTGGTGTAGAATTTGTGTGGGCCGAGTTATCTGAGATGGCGGTGTTTGGTGGTGAGGAGGGAGTATGTGTAGGTTGGGCCTGTGAAGGGGAATTGTTTTGGTTTGACATCTGGGCTGTGGGTTGCAGCCCATTTTGGTGTGGAGCAGTGGGCTCAGAGAAGGGAGAAACAGAATCTGAGATAGAGTTTGGGGACGATACCTGAGACGACGAAGGCGATGCCTCTGAAGACTGCAGTGACGATTGTATTCCATGGTGAGGATCCGAGATTTGGGGTATCGACGGCAAAGCTGTGGTGACGGGAATGAGCGTTTCATGCGGTAGACCACTCGGAATTGTAGACACCGCATCGTCGTGGATTTGTGTCACAGCTCGATCAGAATTTCTGAAAGGAAAACTCATCTCTTCGAAGCACACATGGCGAGACACATACACACGTCTTGTAGGTATGTGGTAGCATAGATATGCACTTTGTGTAGCAGAATAGCCAAAGAAAGCACACTGCAGTGATCGATCCTCTAACTTGTGGCGATTGTATGGTCTTAACCAGGGATAGCAAGCGCAGCCGAATACTCGTAGTTTGTTATAGTTGGGCGTTTTTCCAAACAACCTCTGGAATGGTGATTGCATCGACAGGATGGGTGTTGGAAGGCGGTTAATTAAGTAGACTGCCACTGCGAAAGCAAACGGCCAGTATTGCTTCGGAACTGAGGACTGTGAGAGTAAAGTGAGCCCAGTCTCCATGATATGACGGTGTTTTCTTTCAGAGATGCCATTGTGCTCCGGGGTGTTTGGAGGAGAAGTAAGGTGCGTGATACCCATTGATGTAAAGTAGTCTCGTAACGCAACAAATTCACCACCATTGTCCGAATAAAAGGTACTGATTTTGGCTTGGAAAAAGTTTTCGACAAGATTTTTGAAGGCTTGAACTGTTGTTTTGACATGAGATTTCTGTTTAAGAGGGTATAGCCATGTATATCTGGTAAAATGGTCAACAATGACCAAGTAGTATTTGAAGTTATTAATAGAAAGAATAGGAGAGCTCCAGACATCCGAATAAAGATATTCTAAAGGGCGGGTTGATTTTATTGTGGATTGAGAAAATAGAAGTTTGTGGCTCTTATTGATTAAACAATCAGTGCAGGAAAAATTTGTTTGAGATGGTGTGGAAACAGGAAGAGAAAAGCTTGAAACAATGGTGTTTAAGATTGAAGATGACGGATGGCCAAGTCTTGAATGCCAAAAGGAGAGTGTTGCCTTTGATGAGACCGATGTTGTGAGAGCATGAGGTTGTGAGAGTGTCACCGGCCATTCATATAGCTCATCCCTAGTTTTGCCGGAGAGTAATCGATCCCCCGTTCTCAGATCCTTCACCTGAAAGGAAGCAGGGAAAAATTCCACAGAGACTTGATTAGCATTGCATAGGCGATAAACGGAGACAAGATTCTTTCGTATATCAGGTACGTAAAGAACATTGTTTAAGTTTAAAGCACGATTATAAGCAGGAAGAATTGTTGAACCAGTATGTGTGATAGGAATGGTGGAACCGTCCGCAATCATCACATCATCGCCACCGTGATAGGGCTGGTGAAGCGATAAGTTGTTCAGATCAGATGTGATGTGGTGAGTCGCTCCACTATCTAGGAGCCAGTTGTTTGGTGTGTACTGATTGCCGACAGCAAGATTTGCACGTGGATTCCATGGTGTGAAGGGTGAGGGAGGCTGTTGAATTGCCTTAGCTTGAAACGTGGAGAGTTTGCTACATCGTTTGGCACTGTGGCCCTGAACTCCACAAATTTGACAACGCCCAAGGTATGGCCTCTGTGTCCTCGGTTCTGTAGGCTGTTGTTGGTGATAAGATTGCCAATTTGACTGCTGTGATTGACGCCAATGATTGTTATTCTGCCTGTTGGAGTTGTTGCTATTGCGATGTTGAACAGCATGAGCAGAGGTTGGAGTATGAGAGACAATAGTCTCATTTGTCGAGAGTAACTTGGCTTCGTGATTGAGGAGACGCTTATGAAGTTCAGTGATGGAGGGTGGCGCATCTCTTCCTTCTACTTGATCTACAACAGATTTGTAGTCATCAGAGAGGCCCTCTAGGATCAGATCAATCTGGTCTTCATGATCGACTCCCTTCCCAAGTATTGCAAGCTGGTCCAAGCGTGTGGTAATGCCTTGTAGGTACACATCAATGGTCTTGTTCTCCTTCTTCCAATTTTTCAGTTGTGTCTTGAGTTGTTTTATATGCCCACGACTTGGTTTAGCATATGTTGCAGCAAGTGTATGCCAGATCTCGGAGGATGTGGTGGCTCGAGAGATAAGCGGCTGAAGGGTGGCAGAGATAGCACCAATAAGAGCACTATATATGAGTTTGTCTTGACGTTTTCACAGAGTAAACACCGGATTGACAGAGATCTGATCGCCAGTGGTGAGTGTGGCAGTCGGAGTTGTGAGAGATCCATCAAGATGGCCTGCTAGATCATAGCCATCTAGCAAAGCATGAACCTGGAGATTCCACATGAGGTAATTGGTAGCATTTAGCTTGGTAACATTTGACATGTTGATGTTGAGAAGCGTCTGGTTTGAGGCGATGATTGTGTCAGTGACTGTAGTCGGTGGTGACGAGTTATTATTAGTAGAACTCATGATGAACAGAAAAATTGAGAGAAATTTTTGGTTTCTAAGTATTTGTATGATCGATGGCTTTGGATACCATGTAAGAGATGTATTGAATCGTATATTGTTCTATTACAAAGTTTGTGAATATATACAAGTAGAACTAGGGTATACACAATGATTAAATGAGAATATACAGTTGACATAAGTAAACCCATGAATGAAGGAATCAGCGATATGATTGTATTCTAACAAAAGGTATACTTACCTGCAACACAGTAAATTTTGCCCGTCTGATCTCATTGTCCCTCTCAAGTAGTTCACCCTCGAGACGATTAATCTTAAATTCGCGACCAATCCTTTTCCTTTCGTAGTCACTGATCTTCTCTTCGTATGCAAGGACCCTCTGTTCGTACTCTACGACCTTCTGTTCGTACTCGAGGATTTTCCTCTGCAACTCATCAGCATCCATCTTCAGTGATGAGGGAAAGCGAGATTGTTACGTGTGTCACACTGACTGCTTCTCACCGACTTCTTAAAAACAAGATCTGACTTGCCACTCAAGACTCAAGAAATCTCGTCCAGTCTTAGTTTTGCTTCCGAAATGAAGTTCTATGCCGGAAACAGAGAATTAATCGCTGCTAGGTGGCCTGTAACATAGAGTTTACATGAGTACACAGCAGATTCATATGTACACAAATGTAAGAAGCAAATCCTATCAAAGCAAACAAAAAAATTCATACCGGATTTTAGTAGATATAGTAGTTGACAAATCATAGATTAACGAAATAGGTTCTGGCAGGGAATTCTGATAATTATAACAAGATTAGTTTATCGAGGCTTCTTTTTCAACACTTCAAAACAAACAAACAAAAACGAAGTCGAAGCAACTAATGGCTCAAGCGTACTCTAGTCCATGAAATTTTTCTGAGAAAGCAAGCTCTAAAACTGTTAAAGCTACATAACAAAAAACCGTAACGAAGAATCAAACATTCACGAACAAGACACCGTTAACGGAAAGAGAAGAAAAAAAAACAACAATTGACATACGTGTCGCTAAAAGACTGAATCAAATCAAGGAATTAAGATGAAAAGCAAGTCGGAGATATGATTAAGAATTAGAAGTTCGTGGGAATTTCTATGCCGGAAAAAAAGAATCAAGAAACCCAATACTTTTTTGACAAAAAAAAAAACAATACTTACGTGACGGGAAAGAGAGAGAGAGAGTCTTCCAGAAGAGCGAAAGAGAGATCGATGATGCAAATAACTGTAGCTGAAGGTGAAAAAAATGCCGTTGGGTTCTGAATCAAAGATTGACGAACAAGGCACCATTAACGGAGAGAAAAGAAACAATAACAATTGACGTATGTGTGGCTAAAAGACTAAAGAAAATCAAGGAATTACGATGAAAAGCAAGTCAGAGAAGAAGAATTTTAAGTCCGTGAGGAATTTCTATGGCAGAAATAAAGAATCAAGAAACCCAATACTTACGTGACGAGAAAGAGATCGATGATCTGCAGGTGAAGGTGAAAAAAAAATGCCGGTGGGTTCTGTATCAAAGATTCACGAACGGAAATAAAAGAAACAAGAACAAGTATGTGTAGCTAGAAGACTGAAGAAAATCGAGGAATTAAGATGAAAAACAAGTCCGAGAAGAAGAATTAGAAGTCAGAGAGTAATTTCTATGGCGGAAACAAAGAATCAACAAAATCCAGTACTTACGTGACGGGAAAGAGAGAGAGAGACTTAGAGAAGGGCGAAAGAGAGATCGATGATGCAATGAGGTAAAATTGAAAAAAAATGCCGTTGGGTGCTTTTAACCCCGTAATGAGTTGGGCCTGTAGACCCAAGCAGAATATATATTTTTTTAATTGTATTTTATATATCAAAAAAAAAATTATGGAGTTTATCCTCTTCATCTTCACACTCCTCTCGGACGGCTCTCAAACTCAATTTGGCGACAGTACTGGGTTTCTAAATGTGATTTTCCGGTTTAGGTATTGCTTTGTGAGTTTAAAGGAATTTCTCATGACGCAATCAAATGGCAAGGAAACATGTCTGGGTGAGTTTTATTTTGGATTGATATTCTGACTCTGCGAATCTACTGATTAGGTTATGGATATTGCGTTCTACGGTTTTTTTCTTTTCTTTTTCTGGGTTGTGTTCTTCAATTCATTTACTTATATATCAAATTGAATGCTACTTTCCATTGGCAATTGAAGCTTCAGAATTTTGTTACTATTTTTAACATTTTTGTATCCGGAATTTTACTATGGTTACGAATAACGATCGATCAGCATATATGCATTTGTCAATCAATCTCTCTATTGGTTCTCTCTGTCTTGACTGCCAAATTTGTTAGTGAATGGTTTTCTGGTGTTTTGAGGATGCTCTTGATGTTCTGTTTCACAATGCAAATGTTCTGTTTCAATCTTTTACCACTCACTAGATTAATTTCATGTTCATTGCCGCACTGTGTCTTTGGCCCATAAAATCCGACTCTTGCTATCATCTTCTGCTCCTGTTGCTGAGTCAGCTGCTATTCCGGGGGACATGGATCTGGTGACTGCAATGGAGCTGACTCTATGGAAATTCCACTCTTTGCTGCGTGACCAGAGGTTTCATGAAAGTGCTAAGCTCATTGAGAAGCGTGTCGCTCAGCTATGTCTGGTCTTGGCTGAAGACTGCAACTAACCTGATTGTGTCAAGCTTGTTAAAGCTCTATGTGCTGATCATAACATCATGTTGCTTACCGTTCCAAGTTACAGACTCTAGTTCTGTGTCAAACTTGTGGGGTTCTGTGGTCGAACGAGAATGCTTTTGCCTGTTGCAGGGTTACAGAGAGGAGACAGCTGCACTCAACATCGTTAAGAAGCATCTAGAATCTCACTAAACAAGCATTAGAAAGCATTTCAATGTCAAATGCAAGAATAGATTATGCTTGCTTCAAGGATTGCTCTCGGAAATTTCTTTGGAAGTGCGGAACCATAAGTTTTGATGTTATGTAGGCTCTACTCTTGGCCAACATTTTACAGTTGTTAGACATCATTCATGATGGCTTCTTTCTATAAAGATTGGTCACGTCGAGATTGTTTATATGTAGCTTTTGTAAACACAACTGGTAACAAGTAAAAGAAACTTCATCTTATCAAACTACCAGAGAGGAAGAAAGAAACATGTGTATTATGTGATTAAAAAAAAAAACAGAAAGTGGATTTAACTTTTTTTCGGTAAATCATATTACATTTAGCACAAGTTTGAAAACAGAATCTTTATTTTGTATATGTAAATATCTCTACTTCGTTCTTCTCGAGTTTCAAATTTTCTATCAACAAAAAGCAGCACCATTTGATTCCGAATAAAGAAGCAATTATGGAAACAAATTTATCATGATCATAGTTGCTCATATCAATACGGTGTCTAAGTGTGAGATGTTTGGTCTGCTTTAAACCGGTGAGTGATTGGATCCAAGTATTCAGCATCCAGTTTGAGTAATGGTCGATTACGCAGCTCTCTAGGTGTCCACGGTGATTGTTTATAATCTTGAGAAAACCAACAAAGAATATGATGATTTGCTTTTTTTAAGACATTGGTGGATAAAAATGAAAAAAAAGAAAAAGGAGAATTTGAGAGAACCTTGGTCATCAATGTAGCGACCTGATTCGAAACATCCCGCGTATCTTTGGAATTGATAATAACCTTCTTTCGCATGTCCAAGGCTAGATGAGACATGTGCTTCCACACATGTTCCCATCGTTTCGACACAAGACCCGTCCTTACCGCTTCCTCCGTGGACAGTCTCGATAAGATCACGAGCAGCACACCTTCGGGGAGTTTGCTGATCCAGTCAACACTTTCACACGATGATGACGACGGTGATGACGATCTCTCCATATGCTATTTTGGTGGCCTGTAACATACAAAACCCTAAAAGTAAATTGCAGTTTGCGTGTATAGAATATAAGATAGGTTACCTGAAGAAAGCAGAGCTTTGGCGACCGAAAATTTCAAGACCAAACCCTAAAACTTGAGTGCGGCACCGTGCAGAGAGCTAAGAGTGATGTTGGATTGGATTGGAGAAAGAGAGGGCTTTTGATTACCTCAGAAACATTTGTTGTTACTTCTAATAAGATTCTATTGGACAGTTTCGTGGCACCATCATATATGTTAAAGGACATTTAATTTTTATTTGCTTCTTGTGTTACTATAGAGTTTTCTGTTGCGTTGATGCTAGCTCTTTGATATCACCGGGAATCTCCATCATGTTGATCTGTGAAAGAGAAGAGTGAGCCTAGAATATGGAAAGCCAAAGTTCAACTAATGAAGCTGCAAACATTTGTCAAGAGCTGCCCCATACCAATACTAAAGTCTAAACTTATCATTTCCGTTAAAACGTACTTTGCCTGTTAAAATCACTAATACTAATCAAAACAACAACCACCAAAAGGTAAAAGAAAAAAAAAACAGTTTTAGCTTCGGACCAAAGTCCATCATCAAAAACATTCGATGGTAAGCTGCCACTGACTTTTCGTTACAAGTGCTTGTAGCTTGGCCACTGCCGTTTCTATCTCCATCTTCTTCCTTGCAGAAAGGGATGTCGTCTTGATCATCATCTTCTTTACCACCGTCCCTTGCCTGATCAAACACGACGCCAAGGCAAACTCTTCCTCTGAACCGCTGAAGTTATGCATCCACACTGTTTCCACACTAAATACAGCAATGGGGAACGGTTCTTTGCTATTCTCCTCCAACAACTTCTTCTGTGGTGACTCATCTTTTTCTTCTCCATGAGCATTGTTATTCTGCACATATGACATACCAACAAATCAAATTAAGTTATGTTGGTTAAAAAGATTTAAGACGTGGTAGTCATGAGTTATGTTTTTGTACACATACCTTAAATAAGATCTCAAGCTCTACCATTAATCCACGTGTCCATAGAAGTAAGACTTGTCTTAACCTCTCAACTTCTCTTGGATTCAATAAATCTACACTCACCGACAAGGATGCAGCCAAGGATATTCTTAACAGCTCAGATGTGTTGACCAAAAATTCTTCATGCCCGCTGTTTTTTTCCTCCTTAATCATACATCAAACGCAGTTAATTCCTTGTGTGTATATATCCAAATACATTTTTGGGAAGACATACATACCTGTGATATGTTGTAGCTTATGTGAGTCAATGATGTCCCTGTAAGCCAAAAGTTTCGATAAAACTGGAGTCGAGGGGACGTGAGAACAAATTCATCTCTGCCACAGGAGAAATCTTGATCGATGGCGAGTATATGCAAACTAGGTGATGACACTTGAATGCCATCAATTTCATCGCAAGACACTTGCAAGAGCTTTAATATGTTGTTGTCGATCTTGAGAGGACCACTTTTTTTAGAGCAAGAGATGTCTAGTACAAGAACCTCCAGGGAAGGGCAAGATGCCAAGACTCGGTTAAAGACTCCAACCTCGGAGGCTAAGATACAATGGAGTTTGAGGGTCTTGAGATTTTGGCAGTTGTTGAAAGAATGTGAGGTCTTAAGTATGTATTCATGTAGCGAGAGGGATGTGAGGCTTGGATATGAGAATGAGTCTGAGGGAAGGTCGATTAATTCTAGTATCTGGTTCATTAGTCCATGGCGTCTAAGTATAAGATGCTTGGTGTGTTTTACGCCGGTGAGTGACTGAGTCCAAGTATTCAGCATCGTGCATGGGTAGTGGTCGATTACGCAGCTCTCTAGATGTCCACGGTGATTGTTTATAACCTTGAGAAACCAAAGAATGAAGATTTAAGACAAGACATGGATAATAAAACAAATTAGAGAGAAAAGGGGAACCTTTGTCATCAAGGTAGCAACCCGATGCCTCACATCGAGCATCTCTCTGGAATTGATAATCTTTCGCATGTCCAAGACTAGATGAGACATGTGCTTCCACACATGCTCCCATCGTTTCGACACAACGCACGTCCTTACCGCTTCTTCTGTGGTCAGTCTCGATAAGATCATGAGCAATACATCGTTGGGGAGTTTGCTGATCCAATCAACACTTTTGCCAGATGATGGTGTCTCCATTGGACCGAGGGACTGTTTTTTTGACATTGAGAAGGAGAAGACAGAGAGTTGAGACTACCTTAAAACGAGTTTAGAGAAATCCAGCAGAAACGCTTGTGGTGGAAACACATATCACTTCTAAGAAAATCGCTTGAGAAAACAAAGGAAAAAGAAGAATAGTCGCGTGAGGATGAAAAGATAAATTAGGGTTTTTCTTTATATACGTGACTTTATTTATTTGTGATAACTGATTAGTATATTTTCCACACAACACCCGACCTTGTAATTTTTTTCTTACTCTGCAATATAAATAGGAAAGCCCTTTTTTCGACAAAACAAAAAAAAACGACGGTCGAGGGTTTTCCTATCGTATGTGACCGTATCGCCGCTTTCTCCAGTTTCTAGAACAAATTCATTGCTCTGGCGGACGGAGATACTGACGGACGGCGGCCACAATGATTTGAGAAAACCTAAAACCGTCTAGAATCATTGCAGAGTTCCACATAGAATTTTTAAACTTTTTTATGGGAAATTGGCACCCATAACAAATTTTTTTTTATAATTAGCTATATAACCAAAGAAAAAAAAGTTGTAATATTTTTTATATAAATTATAATATATACGATTCTATTCGTAAAAGTACCACATTATCATCTCTTTCATCTTTTACTAGATTACTATCTATGTTATGTACGGGTTAAATTTTTTTTTTGTTGAAAGAATATTTATTCATACGGAGTTAATATAGTCATGGTACAAAGTGCGTATTATCCAAACAGGTGGAAATTTACAACCAGAAACAAAAGAACAATTGTTTAAACTATGTTTGGCTATTAGGTGGGCAGCCTCGTTTCCAGTTCTAGTAATATGGTCGATCTCTATGTGTTGGAATTTAGAAATCCAATAATGAATGTCGTCCAAGAGGTTTGAGATGGTAATATCAATAGTTTTATTTTGGAATAATCTGATAAGAACTTGGCAGTCACTTTCAAAACATATATTTGTGTATTCCATACTTCATATATTTTGTAAAGAAACCAAAAGTGATTTCGTTTCAGCTTCGAGACTTGAAGTTGTTGTTCTAAATGTTGTGCTTCCTCAATATTTGCAGTTTTCTTCAGAGTCACGTACAATCCATCCGATTTAGCTCTGGAGTGTTTGTATATCAAAAGAGGCATCATAATTGCATTTAAGTATGTGTAGAAGAGGATGGGACCATGCACGGGTTAAATTTTACTTATAATTTGTTACTAATAATAATATAATTTTTTTTACAATTATTTATATTAGTACAATATATTATTGATATTAGCATTATATTGTATATATTATTATATAATCTACAAACTTCATGGAATATGCGTGTAATTTAGTCATGATCGGTAATGTGACGTTTTATAAACTAATTTTTTGACCATAATATTTGATGTTTGTAGGATTAGTTTATATGGTCAGTTCAATCAAAATTGAATTTTTTTTATTAGTTCGTACCTTTTGGTTTATGTGAAACAATGCATAAAAACTCATTGTTTACAACATTTTAAAATTTTGCTGTTTGTCAGTAGATCATAAAATAGAAGCTGTGTTGACTGATAACAATGAATTAAAAAAGGGTCATAAATTTATAGTCACTTATTTTAGCATATAGAAATAAAATTAAAAAATTTTAACTTTATTGACAACAAATCACATATGAAATTAATTGATAAAATTTAAAAGCTAAAAAATCTGCAAAAATAATTGATGATAAACTTTATTTTTAAATCTAGAATATGCTCATGTATCACACAATTAATTGATAAAAAGAATGTTTTTATAAAAGAAACATATATTTTCAAATGAGGAGTGCATCGATTTAGGTTTTATGATATTGTAGCTTATCCAGAAATCCTCTATATATTAAAAGAGAAGCATTTTTAATGAATAACCTTAATTTTGTAAAATATTACAATGGTGTCATTTTGCTGATGTGTCATCACCAAAATTATTTTCAGCAAAGTTATAAAAATAGACTTATGTTACCAGATTAATTACATGTTATGCCACTAACATTAATTTGGTTATACATTAGTTTATATCAATTATATTGATGATGATTCATCAAGATATTCTCTTTTCCATTTCTTACCAAAAATATATCATATTAATTATTTCTTTAATACTATATTTTATTTTTTTATTTTTGTATGAAAATAAATAATCAAATCATTCATATAGTAATATATATATATATATTTTCTGTGTTATAATTCGAAATTCATAAAAAAATATAAATTACTCAAATGATTAATAAATATAAGTATGTTTTGAAAGATTAAAATTAAAAATAAGGATGTGTAGATAGATGATTCATAAATCAATATAAAAATACATAAATGATAATAAAAACAGGAAGCTTAATTTAATAGATATTATTATTATAATTATTTTTGGTTTCATATGGTTTTAGAACCATATAAATTAACCAAATAATATAAATATTTAAACTTTATAATAAGTACAAAATATTAATTAAAAGTTGAACTATAAAAAATAGTTGAATATCTTAATAGAATATAATATTTTAAATATTTTCTTTTATTAAAAAGTGAAATATCATAATTTTTTAGTTTATACAAAAAAGTAACTTGGTAAAAATTAAACTATTTTTGTAAGGATATTATATAATAATTTTATTAAACTTTTTTGATATTAAAAATATTTTTATGGAATCAAAATGTTAAGAATGTAAAAGTATTGACTCAGTTATATGCAATTTTAAATAATTTATTAAAAAAAATATATAATCTATTTTATATAATTCTTATGTATATTTAGTATTTAAAATAAATTTCACAGTAATTTTTTTCTTAAAAGTTAATATTTTTATGACTATAGTTTTTGCGGATTAATCTAAATATGCATTCACATTCGTATAAAAAATAATTAAATCGATTATAAAATTTTATAATAAAATTTTTATTTTTACAATTTTAATACTCTCTATTTCCAAATATAAGTCTTTTTGCATCAAAGCACAAAGATTAAAAAGCAACTTTTCTTTTTAAAAAGTAATCATTTAGTATATAAATTAAATATAATTCAACTAATTATAAAAAAACGAAAAAATATAATCGGAAAGTAGTAAAAAAATAAAAACAATTATATTGTTGAACATAACAAAACCTCAAAAAACTAATATTATGAAACAAATTTTATTTTTACAATTTTAATACTCTCTATTTCCAAATATAAGTTGTTTTGCATCAAAGCACAAAGATTAAAAAGCAACTTTTCTTTTAAAAAAGTAATCATTTAGTATATAAATTAAATATAATTCAACTAATTATGAAAAATTGAAAAATATAATCGGTCATATAGTATTCATAGGAAGTAACTATATTGCAAAACAAAACAAAACCTTAAAAAATTAATATTATGAAACAGAGAAAGTAGTAAATTTTTATTATCATAACGCATTAGATACTTAATAATTTAATCAAAATATACTCCCTTTATTTTTTTTAATTTTAAGCTCATGTTATTAATCATGGGTTATAGAAAATATAAAGAGTGACTTTGTATTTCTATCCAGATTGCACATATATATTTAATTTTTAAACTAATTTACATTAGAAATAAATTACCCTATATTTCATAAAATAAACAAAAAAATCATTTTATCAATATTGCAGCATAATGTTATAAACAATTCATATAAAATCAATTGTATTTTGCTTTATGATTTTGAAATTATACTATATTAAATAAATAGTTATTATTTCACTCCGCACAGGGTGCGGGCTATTACCTAGTTTTGTATATTGTTTAGATTATTTCGAAATTTTAAGAATTAAATATCATTTTATATCTGGAAGTTTTTATATTGTAAAAAACAAATTTATAGATATTTTTGATATTATATTTATATTATGTATTTCATTTATTGTTTTGATCGGTTGTTAAGATTTATTTTTGGAAATACTTATTAATGGCAAAAAGTACTTATTGATTATACAAATTAATTGAGTAAATTGATTGAATGGTGTAGATTAAGTTAAATAGCAATAATATCGGGATTTAGAATATATGGCTTTTGAAAATAGAAAGTTAGAATCTGTTTAAAAAAGTTTTAAATATTTACAAACTGATATTATTTGCTATATAATATGAATATTCAAATAATTCAATGAAAACTGTAGAAATTTGTTGATTTTTTGAACAGATATTTAGAATATATGGTTAGTTTGTTTTAAAAAAAAACAATTTAAGATTCAAGTAGACTAAAACTTTTAATAATTTAATCAATTATTATTTATGTCTTTATATCAATTCACTGTTTATATAATATAGAAACTATATTTAATAATAGTACATATTCAATATAACAAATTATATATTGCAGCAATATAATTTAGGGTTTGGATAGTAAAAAAAAATTAGATAAGAAAATACATTATTTCTGCAATGTAACTTAATTTATATTTTTTAAAACAGATATAATTTTTTAATTTGTTAAATTGTGTTGTTAATAAATTTTTTTATTCCCTATATTAATTTTTTCTTGTCCACTCACATTTTGCCACATGTCTATTCTTAACTAAAAAAAAAATATTTTAGAACATGATCTTATTTTTATTTTTAGACACTCTTCCCAATTTTTTTAATTCAGTTATATTGTTAAAAAACACTTTATTAGACCCTGCAGATCACCATTATCAGATTGGGTCAAATCCGTTTCTTGACCCGACCGGAATCCTCTCCAGTGTTAAACCATATATAAATACAAGTAAACTATTGGGCCAAAAATAAGCCCAACAAGCAGGCCCATTCTTCGGGGTATTTTAGTACAGCATTCCTATCAACGCTTCGCCGGACGTCAAACTGACGCAGAGAGGGACCTTTATAATAAAAAAAATTGCAAGAGTAGATTATGCTTGTGTTAGTGGATTGCTCTCGGAAAGTTCTTTGGAAGTTTGGAACCATAAGTTTTGATGTTATGTACACTCAACATTTTACAGTTGTTAAACATCACTCATGTTGGCTTCTTTCTACAAAGATTGGTCAAGTCGAGGTTGTTTATATGGAGCTTTTGTAGACAGAACTGCTGAACTGGTAACAAGTAAAAGAAACTTCATCTTATCAAACGAAGTGGAAGAAACATATGTATTATGTGATAACAAAGAAAAATGGAATTAACTTTTTTTCGGTAAATCATATTACATTTAGCACAAGTTTGAAAACAGAATCTTTATTTTGTATATGTAAATCTCTACTTCGTTCTTCTCGAGTTTTAAATTTTCTATCAACAAAAAGCACCACCATTTTATTCCTCCGAGTAAAGAAGCAATTATGGAAACAAATTTATCATGATTCAACTCAATCAAGATGTTAGTTGAAAGTAAAAAAAAGAACCAAAATTCCCACAAATTTCCACTTAAATGAATCGATCTCTTGTCTTTTTTTCCTTTTGAGATTTATAATTTTGTAATTACAGTTAGTGGTAGTATATATATTTTGTTTTGCATGTTTAGCCTCAGAACCACCCGAAAGCTCTCTCTTTTATTGCTCTGACCTTAGGACTTGAAGCGTTGCGTCGATTACAGGTTTTTTTTTTGGGTGAAAACACAGTTTGATGTTGCTTTTTGGTTTTCTAGGGTTTTGAAGATTGAGAATTTCTGGGGAAGAAGAAGAAACAAATGGCTTCCTCCATTGTTGGATTGAACCATCTCTCGAAAGCACTCATCGAGGCTGGAAATAGTCTTCTTGGCCCTCATTCTTCCACTGACGAGCTTCTTACCCTTCTCGATGTACGGCTTCTCTTCTTCCTTTGCTAATCTTTCTTTGTTAGGTTGGGATTCATGAAATGCGATTAGGGTTTCTCTTTCTTGCCGATAAGGAAAGCTTGATTGTTGGTTTTAGCTGATTGTTTGGGTGAAATCTTGGTGCTTTACGATGAACTCGTTGCGTTTTCTGGGAATTCCAACTTGTTAATTTGAAGCCTTTCTTTGTAGAATGTTCTAATTTCAATTTGGACCACTCAATTTTCTTCTCTGCGTAGAAAACTGAGACTCTGCTCAGAAATGTGGACCAAGATCAACCGCTGTCAATGCAAAATGCCCTAATTCCCTCGAAGAATGCTTTGGTATCACTTGACCTCTTGAGCCATCCCGATTCCGATGTTAGGGTTTCGGTTGTGTCCTGCTTAACCGAAATTTTGAGGATAACTGCCCCAGAAGCCCCTTACAGTGATGACCTAATGAAGGTAAAAGCTAATCAAATCCCACAAACACTCTATTCATTCTCTCTCTCTCTCTCTCTGTTGAAATCTGCTTCCTTGGTATTGCAGGAAGTCTTCCGGTTGACTATAGAAGCCTTTGAGAAATTAGCTGATACATCCTCTCGCAGCTATTCGAAAGCTGAGTCTGTTCTTGATAGTGTATCAAAGGTCAAATCATGCTTGGTCATGTTGGACTTGGAGTGCGATGACCTCATTCTACAAATGTTTCGGATGTTCTTGCAAATCATAAGGTAGATTAAATACAAAACCTAATTTACAATATCTGAGAAACTCTTTAGATCATATCCTGAATTGGGGTTTTGTGTGTGTTTGTGTGTGTTTGTGTGTGTGTGTGTGTGTGTGTGTGTGTTGCGTCTACTAGATCTGATCATCCACAAGCGGTGTTTTCGTCAATGGAAATGATAATGATTACGATATTAGATGAAACCGAAGAAGTGTCCACGGATTTGCTCGATACTCTATTAGCTAGTGTCAAAATGGAAAAGCAGGTGAGCCTTCTTCCTATTTCAAGTAAGTTCTCGCCGTCAGCTAAACTATCTTGGGATTTGATTTGTCTCCACTTCATGTTTTAGAATGTTTCACCAATGTCTTGGGGTCTTGCGGAGAAGGTTCTTAGTAGATGTGCCCGTAAACTTAAACCATACATCATCGAAGCCTTGAAGTCTACAAGGACCAGCTTGGATATGTTTTCTCCAGTGGTTTCGTCCATATGTCATACTGTTTTCGCCCCTCCTAAAGTCCACAATGTAGTTAGCACCAAAGAAAATGAGGTATTCTTGATACCCTGACCTCAATGTTTTGTTGGTTTGTTATATGGTCATATCTTGAGTCTCATGTGGTCTATACGTTACGAGCTATCTTTTTCATGATTCAGGCAACTGAAACGAAGTTGCGTAGACAAATAGCCCCAAGTGATTCATCAAAGGTATTACTTTTGGTGGGCTTGTTTATTGTAGAGTTTCAGCATCTTTTTTTAACAGTGTTATCTAACCAACTAGCTTGATCTAGGACAAATTGGGTCTGGGGCATCCTCGCAAGGAGATTCGTTCTAAAAGTAGTTCCAAGAGACCTGCGAGAGATGGAACTCAACGAATCAATGTGACTGAAAAAGCAAGAAACGGAAACAATCCTGATTTTCTGAAACAGAGCCTGAAGCAAGTGCGGTCTGGAAGTGCGGATGCAGAAACAGATTTAGGAGTTACAGGGAAGAGAGGACGAAAGCCCAATTCTTTGATGAATCCCGAGGAAGGTTATGACATTTCTTGGATTTCGGGGAGAAGAGATTTTTTAAAGACATCTTCAGACCAAAAGTTCCGGAAAAAAGGAGAATCATCACTTGGAAAGGTGGCTGCCAGGAAAACTTCCCCATCCACTAGTAGGGCTCTGTCAGTTAAACGAAGCCGGGTTAAGATAGACGAGAGTGATCTTGATTCAGATTCTCTTTCTTCACCGAGATTGAAGAAATTGGAATCATGCTTCCGGGATGAGGAGCTTCTTGAGAAAGAATCAAACCAGGAGAGCTATGACTATGAAATAGCAGAAGATGACAGAAACATTGGGAATTCAAGCAAGAAGACAAGGTCCCAGAATGGTGTAGAGAAAAGTCAGAGAACAGCGAAGAGGAAGCCAGTTGTAGAACCTAAGACTGTGAACTCCAGCGGAATAAGATCATCAGCTCGCTCAGTTGCTAAGAAAAAGAACTTTGATGGTGCTTCTCCGGGTACTCCTGTTCCACGATCATCAAAGAGAAAGGTAAAAAAACGAGATGATCATGGATTTCACTTGTCTAGTTAATGATATCATAAAACTTTGTGTGTTGAATTTCATGTTTGGATGCAGAAGGTTTCTCAAGTTGCAGCTGGACCATTGGCAGAAGAATCTGAAGAAACTTCAAAGAGCCATCCGACGAGGAGACGGACAGCAAGAAAAGAAGTGGTATAATAAGCTTTGTCGCCTTCCGTTCCCATTATTAGACTTTACATATCTGTTACCAAATGACATATGTATCTCCTCTTTTCAGGAGTCTGATACGAATGGCTTTGGCGAGGATTTGGTCGGTAAGAGAGTTAATATCTGGTGGCCGCTCGACAAGACGTAAGTGTATTCGAAATTTCTTGTTTTTAAGTTTATCTTAATCATTGCTTTTCCGTTGATGGTTATGCATTGTGCAGTTTTTACGAAGGCGTCGTAGAGTCTTATTGTAGTCGTAAGAAGATGCATCGGGTGAGAAAGCATCTCTGATCTGATACTCAACTCTGTTCCTCTTATCAGAATCACACCTTTTGCTTAGTTGATTCATATGGAATGTTTGTTCCCTCACTCGTCGCAGGTAGTATATTCTGATGGAGATTCAGAAGAGCTTAATCTCGTTAAAGAACGTTGGGAGTTACTCGAGGATCTCACTTCTGCCAGTGAGGTACGAGTCTCTTTTTTTTGTTTCACAAGAAAGTGTTATCGCAATACTTAATGATTTCCCCCAAAATCTATCAGCAGGAGGATATGGAGATTGATCTGCCAGAGTCCATTCCATTATCTGACATGTAAGTAAAACGTTTTATGTCATTACTTTGATCTGTGTAAAGTTTTTAAGTCCTTTAACTCTTACGGTCTGCTGTTGTTGTGCTCTTGCAGAATACAGAGGCAGATAGTCAAGAAGAGCAAAAACGTGGCGGTGTCTGTGGAACCGACTAGTTCCTCAGCTACAAGGTGTGTGGGAATTTGCTAGAAATTCTAGTTTTTGCTTTGTATGAAAATTTTGATTCCTTGTTCTGAATGAATTGGTGTGTATATTTGTGGTGATAGATCGTCCAGTCGAACAGCTATGAAGAATGATTCTGGCAAAAAGGCGAAAAGAGGCAAAGGTGGATCGAAGGGTGCTGTTGTAGGCGAAGAAATAGAAGGAAAGAATCTGAAATCCTTGAAAGAGTTGAATGATCAAACTGACAGAACAGAAGAGCAGGAAGTGAGTCGAGATGTGGACCATGAAAGCGAAGATGATTACAGTGAGAAGCAAGAACAATCCGAAAACAAAAGTGAAGAGAGCCTGAAATTGGCTGATACAGAAGCTGAAACTAAGGAAGAAGAGAAACAATCTCCAAATTCAGAGGCTGAGAGTGAGAGAGATGGCTCAGAGTCGGAAGAAGAGCCGAAGTGGAGAGAAACAGAGGATATTGAGGACGAAGCAGAAGAGAGTGAAAAGGTTGATGAGAAAGTGACAAGCACAAGTTTTTCTGAGGTTGAGAAAGAAGAAGATGAAGAGAGTGGCTCATGATTTATAGTTTATACTTAGGGATATTGTGAGCAAAAACCATTTCAGAAAGATTCTTTCTGCTTAGACTCTGTGTTTTCTTTTCTTTTCTTTGTTACTAGATTGTTGTTATTGAACTAGTTTGAGATACTGACGTCATCACCTGGTTTGTGTTGTGTCTTGAGAGTGTGTGACATTTTATTAGAAAGCATAATCGTTGTTTAAAAATATGGTTATATCTTATGAGCCACGTTTCTCTGTCCGTTAAAAAATCATTTTCCACGTGCGATGTTTGAATCCTCCTGAACATGATTAAGAAACCACTTGGAAATTCAAAGATCTTGGACTGGACGGTTTGAAGAGACTAATCTTGTCCAAATATTCAGCAAAAAAGTAATAAATAGGTGAATAATACTCAGAATAGAAGAAATAACTTAAATCAGTTGTCAAAAAGAAAGAAATTACTTAAATCACAGTTGACTTGAAACCTAATTAACCTTCTTTTTTTTGGTAACTATAATTAGCCTTCTTATATCATGTTCAAAGATGACTAGAAAAGACTTTGCCAAGAAAACAAACTATAGGAATTGAATTACTATGCATCTATCATAGTCATCGATACTTGTATACAAGAGATGGCAGAAACAACTTAACATGATTGGTGTTTTCTTTATTGGAGTACAGTATAAATTTAAATAAATGACTTTATTTCGTCGGTCATTTTTTTTCTTTTCAAATTCGCTATCAAAAGGCCATATAAATCTAACGGTCAAGATAGATGTACGTACTTTTATTGAAAACAAAATATATACATACTAATTAATCTTCTTCATGAAGTTATTACATCAAATTAATAATCGTGATTAACAGATTCAGGGAAATTTCCTATCAGAAAAAGCTGGGGCTCGGATTAAAAGTTAGAGTCAAGGTCAATATTCTCAATCTCACCACCAATTGTTATTTTTTAACGTAGAATAATGACACCAATGAGAAATAATTAAAAATTAAAAAGCATTGCTCCTAGATTTGAACAGAAGATCTTAAAGAGCGTACGTACGATTACTAACTTTTTTATCAATAATGTCTTCCAGATTTCCATATGTATTAGAATTATAAACTTATTTAATACTATTGTTTTATAAATTTTCCCTTTCTTCTTTTCTTGTTAAAATATATATAGCAATTTCGTATTCGAAATTATAGAAGCTAACCAATTAAGGCTTTCCATTTGGCAGATTCGGAAAAAAAAAATGTAGAAGTCAGATTCACAACACCTTTAGTTGACGATTTCGTTTGGCTTTTTTTCGGAATGCATTTACACTAATCACCTAAAACTTTGAAACTATTGTACTTCTCAAGTGTTCTTAAAGAAACTATTAATCCCGATTATTCTTCATTCACCAAACCCACACTCTTTCAATAGACCAGTACAAAATATATTTAATCAAATTTTTCGGTTTGTACCTTTTATATATTATCTTAGGAAGACTCACCAACTCTTTACCATGGTTAGGTGAAACACGGCCAAGTAATAAAAGAGAAACGGTAACTTCTTTTGAAGTCTCTATAAATACAAATCACAAAGTTTCTCTCAAACGACACATTTACATATTACTCTCTCTCTCTCCCTCACTCTCTCTCCTAGCCCTTTTAAGACCTTCTAACCTGTTCAGAGGCTTTTGATCCAGCAACAGAGAAGCATGCCTGTCGACGGAAAACTCGTCTGCGTCACCGGAGCCGGCGGCTACATTGCTTCTTGGATCGTTAAGTTACTTTTGGAGAGAGGCTACACCGTTAGAGGAACCGTACGGAACCCAGCTGATCCCAAGAACAATCATCTCAGAGAGCTTCAAGGAGCCAAAGAAAGACTCACTCTTCACAGTGCAGATCTTCTCGACTACGATGCTCTCTGTGCCACAATCGACGGTTGCGATGGCGTTTTCCACACCGCTTCTCCCATGACTGATGATCCCGTTAGTAACTAAATTTTTTTCTTTCTGAAAACCGGTTAATCCATATCTTGTGTTTTCTTTCGTAACTTATAGATGTGTAAATGAAATAGGAGACAATGTTGGAGCCGGCGGTGAACGGAGCCAAGTTCGTAATCGACGCGGCGGCTAAAGCCAAGGTCAAGCGCGTGGTGTTCACGTCATCGATTGGTGCCGTCTACATGAACCCTAACCGTGACCCTCAAGCCATAGTCGACGAAAATTGTTGGAGTGATCTCGATTTCTGCAAAAACACAAAGGTACTTTTTATCTGTTGAATTTATTTTTCCTAATGTAAAACCGATCCACACGCCCGGCAATACCGAAATCCAAATAACCTAGTAGCTCTATGTTTACGTGTTAGCCTTAAAACCTCAATTTTCAACACGCTTACTTTTTTTATTTTTTATTTTGCCTTGTAGAATTGGTATTGTTACGGGAAGATGGTGGCTGAACAATCAGCATGGGAGACGGCGAAGGCGAAAGGTGTGGATTTGGTGGTGCTAAATCCGGTTCTAGTTCTCGGACCACCGCTCCAGTCAGCGGTCAACGCGAGTCTAGTCCATATCCTCAAGTACCTCACCGGCTCAGCCAAGACCTATGCTAACTTGACTCAGGTCTACGTGGACGTCCGTGACGTGGCACTAGGCCATGTTATGGTCTACGAATCACCCTCCGCCTCAGGTCGCTACATCCTCGCCGAGACCGCGCTTCACCGTGGCGAGGTCGTTGAGATTCTTGCTAAATTCTTCCCGGAGTATCCACTTCCCACCAAGTAAGTCTCTTTCACTTTGGTCAAAATTATATCAAAGTCAAAACGATTGTGTGGGTCTAATAAAGACAACCCCTAGATTGTCAAACTATATGAACTTGATTTCTGTCTCTGATACTTTAATAAACCTAATTAAAATTCATAAATATAATCAGTTAGGATAAAAGGGACATGAGTGGGGGTATTTGGTAGTGTGAATTGTGACTATTTGTCCCATATATTAAAAAAAATATTATTTTTAGTACTTGTGGTGAAATTGGTGTGTAACTCTCACATCACAAGGTCCACGTCATGTATCACCTACTGCTGACGTGGAGATCTTACAAAATCTTACGTGTACACGTGTTTGTGTTTGTTTTTTGGTCTGTGTTTAATATACTACAAAAGTGTAGTCGTGTTACGGAATACGGATCTGACTCCATTTGACAAAAATGAAAGTGAAAATGTTTTTTCCTTCACCTACTCCGAAGTTTGGTCACTAGTTTCATGACTTGTGTCTCCTTTGGCTAGCTAAATATTCGATACGTGACTTTAGAGTGATACACAAGAAATCGCATCCACATTTCTTACGTTGTTTAACATATTGTGTGTTTTTTTCACTTTTTTAGGTGTTCGGACGAGAAGAATCCGAGGGCAAAGCCATACAAGTTCACTACTCAAAAGGTTAAAGACTTAGGCTTGGAGTTTACACCCATCAAGCAATCTCTCTACGAGTCTGTCAAGAGCTTGCAAGAGAAAGGCCATCTTCCTCTTCCTCAAGATTCGAACCAAAACGAAACTTCATAATCGAATCCTAGAGCACACGATACGACGTCCAAATATGCTGATCATACCCTCATTAAAAGCTTTATTCTAGTAATACGTTTGATTTGACCAAGCTATTTGTTTAATCTTAAATCATTATATATAACGCAAATATATAATGCAAGCTGATTGTCTTTCTATCTTTTTTTGTGTGTAACGGAAAATTTGTTACTCTCGTATGTATGATGATATGATAATGGAAGCAACGATTTTATTATCTGAGGTTAATTATTATTATGAACCCTACGACAGTCTGAGAAAAAAAACACACAAACCAAATCTTATCATTCTAAGTACTATCTTTGTGAACTTGGCTTGGGTCTGATTCTGTCGGAATCTATTTGTGACGAGATTCAATCAACATCGGGTGTTGATACTTTACCAGGTAACTGCATATCGACAATGTCTTGCCTTGGAAGTGTCTCCTCAGTTTGTGAGTTTCTTGATGCAAGAAGATGAGTGGCTTCTCTGTTTTTCCGGAATACAAGGTAAGCTATGGCGGCTAAGTAGATGGCAATGCCTGAGAACCCAAGAATTCCACAGAAGATGACAGCGACAAGTTTCATGTGACTATGGATAAGCAGTTTTATAAAACTGCTCACTAGATAGTATATGTTTATTCCCATGATTAAACCACCAATGACCCAAGTCAAAGCTGAAATCTGTAAACAAAGGGTGTAAAGTTCAGAGAGAGAGAGAGAGATGAAGCTTTTCGTCTTTTTTTTCTTTGGTTTAATGAAAATGTGTTTGATTTTTTACTTACCGCCGTTGGGTTGACGTAGGAACCCATCTTGGTTTTGCAGCTAGTGAATTTGAGAAGAGGAACTAGCGCGAACGGGAGCTCGAATGATAAGATCATCTGTTTAAAGATTTATTCAAATGATAATTTGATTTGGTGATGGGTGTAAGTCATATAGAGATGAGAATGAAAATGTTACCGAGGCAATGATGATTAACTTTCCAGCTCCAGCTGAACCGCCAATGAGAGCAACGATGAGACTCGGGATAATAGCTAAGCATCTTGTTAGAAAGTTTCTGAGCCATGGCTCGAGTCTCAGATCAAGAAATCCCTGCATGACGTATTGTCCAGCATAGGTTCCAGTTATCGTTGAGCTCTGCCCTGAAGCAAGAAGCGCGATCGCAAATAGCTTTGAACTCCATTTACCCACAACGTTCTGTTTCAAAACAGAGGAAACAAAAACAAAGTTTTAATGTTGTGAAACCATTATAATAAAAAAAAAAAAAAACATCAGCATGCAGTTTCATTACCCGTAGCAGAAACGAAGCCTTGTTCAAATCCAAATCTTCACAATTAGCTCGATCTGTGGGACTCAAGTCTGGAGCATTACAAACAGCACCACTTACTGATATCACAGAGACATTTATGAGAAATGCCACCATTAGAGCCAATCCGCTTTCTATCAAGTAAAACCGGCAAGCTTCCTTGATACCAGTAGCAGAACGTGGGATTTTTCTAGAGAGAACCAAGGCCGAGTGGAGGAAGAGGTTGTGGCTATGAAAACAAAAACAGACGGCCTCAGAAGATTTACCAAAGAAATCTTATGATGATGGATGAAGAAAGATAGAGAGAGTGAGAGAGCTTACGGCATAACCATGGCTCCAAGCAAAGAAATTGCAAGACCAGTTGCACCATTTCCTTTAAGCTGAGGAACAAAGAGACCATGCAAGACTTCTCCTGGGTCTGGTTTTGAGTAGTGGAGCTCAATGAAGAAGCATATAGCAATGGTGAACACAAGGAATGCAATTAAGAACTCCAGCTTTCTCACCTATAAATCCACACATACACACATGAGTTTGACAATACAAAGCACCGTCAAATCAAAAATGATCAAAGGTACTATATAATGAAATACCCCGTATTGCTGAAGTGCGAGAAGCATCAGTGTACTTAAGCCCGTAAGAAGAACACCAATCCATACCGGTATGCTAAAGAGCATGTTCAGAGCAAAAGCAGTTCCGATTACTGTATAAAAGAAACCAATTAATGGCAATTAGCACTAAGAGAGAGAGACAGATTAAAAAAACATTAGTTATTGAAACACACTAAGAGTGATGAAAGTTGATGCCTTCTGGGATGTCACAAGCCACTACTGCGATCTCGGCAACAACCCATAACATAAAGTTTGGAACTTTGGAGTATTCGGCTCTACAATGCTCAGCCAAGTGTTTTCCTGTGATCTCGTATAAGCCAAAATTTAGCAAACTTGGTGGTATATTAAACGTAGAAACCAAAGAGTGTGACTTTGTATTACTGTTGAAAGATTTAACCTGTGACAACACCAAGATTTGCAGCCAGAGATTGAATCACCAAAGCCGCACAAGAAGCCACCAATATGATCCAAAGCAACTGTTTTTTTACAGAGAAATAAAGTTTTGATCGAAACTATAATTAGCGCAAAGGAGAGTAACGTGAGAGTACAAACGCACCTCATACTTGTATCGTGCTCCGGATTGCAAATCAGTCTCAACTGCAAAACACAGGAAGAAGAAAGAAGCGTCAATAATCTAAAAATTTACAGAAAAACATGACATAACAAAGTGACGATGTGCTTTTTATTATCTTACAGTTTCCAGGATCGATATACGCGATGGAAACAAGAAAACCAGGGCCTAAGTAAGCGAAGAAATTCTTCCAGCTTTTCTTCTGCATATGTGTAAAGAAATCAAACAAAGTTATTGATCAATCACAATATCTCTGCCATTTATGAATCTAAGAGATACCGAAACCAAAAAGTCTCAAATGTTGACTCGGAAACTGTTACTCGATTTGATTACTTCGGGTTGATTAGTAATAATATGACACAAATCAAACCAACAGTTTTCAGAAGATGAAAAGACGAAACAAAAACATGTTTCAAATGGGATTAGGTGTATTCATGATGGATATCATAATCAAGGGGTGTGGGCCAAATCATGAGATTAGATATTTAAAGAGAGATTATAAATTCAACAAGAAAATCAAACCTCAGAAACAATAATCTGATTGGAATCAGAGTTCTCGATGAGTGGAGAGTTGGAGAAGCTTCTGCTTCCGCCGGAGCTCGCAATGAATTGAGGTCGTCCTGCAGCCGCCGCCATCACCGTCGTCTGTCTCTCTTTTCTTTTGTTGACTAGTATAATAACTAGAGCGACGATATATATAATAAAGGATGAGGGATTTGAGGGAGAGGTTAATTAGTGAATAATTTTAATTGTAAACCAAAGTTGGTGTGGTGAGGGATTCTTTAATAGGAATTAAGTGAATTGTTGACTTAGTTGTAATTGTAAAAGCCTAAAAAAAAAAGGTTATTTGCAGAAACCTCGGAATCTCAGAACAAGAAGAAAAAAACAGAGTTAAAAAGAAGTGTATCTGTAAGAAGAAAAACTAAAAAGTGAAAGATGTCTAAAAAAGGGAAGTTCATTTGGCTGTGACTAGACTGGAACACAAGACGGAGTTTCTTTGTTGGGACCTCAATCTAAAGTGCATTAAAGACGGTTTTGTTTTTTTGTTTTGTCTCGAGTGTCCTTTCTTTCTTTCTCAATTTTGTTTTATCAGGATATATGTATTTTTGTTTTATCAGGATAAATATATATATATTGTACTTATCTAAGTATGATCCAATCCAAAAGCATCGTAGGGCAATTTTGAAGAATATTATTGTGATAATCGTAGAAATTTAAGTTACTTTTCAGATAAAAAAGTACAGATACATGATGATCCAAATTTATTACAGAAAATTGATAGAAGCCGCCGAGTAGGCTTTTTCTTTAATTAAAAAGAGTTCGAGAATAATAAACGCTTGTAGTAGGAAAGGAACAACTTGATGGTGGGTCCCAGATGTGAAGCTACGAGTGTGTGTGTGTGTGTGACGATTGGATCTCATCGACTCGATCAAGGTTGGTCCCACTCACTTTTCAGTTTTCGTAGATTCTCTGTAAAAAAAAAGTGTAATTGGACGGCGTTCGTTTGACCCGTAACCAAACAGTCCTGTGTGTTGAGATTGTTCGAACATGTAAAATCTGAGTTTTGTTTGTTAAAGATTTTAATATGTTTAGATGATTTAGATGATTTATTTTGTTTTTTTTTTTAATCTCTGAACCTAACTTTTGTTGATTATGAGGTATCTGACTTTTTTGCTAGTTTTAAATTATGATTTAGTCAGTTGAGAACATCCCTATTGGTAAGTTTTTAGAAGATATCTTAAGATTAATATATTGAAAATAAAGTAAAAGTAGAAGAGAGAAAAAAAAATGTTGAGAATCTGTTTTCTCATGAAAACTTCTAAATAATATGTGTCTATTTTTAATTGGTTTGATTTTTCTATTTCAATTAAACTTTTTAAAATATCATTATTAAATGGTTGGAAACCTCTCTTAAAATTTTAAACCAATGTGGATGCTCAAAGATTCTAAAACAAAACTAAAAAAAAAATTGCTCTCTCGTTGTTAAAGCTAGTACTGTAGTACTTAAGCTCTAGCAAGAATAAATGCTCTAACTGATGACCAAAAGAATGAGGAGGAATAATGAATTTCTTTTCATTTCTTAACTTTTTTACCATTCACTAGTAATATTTGTTCCATGTTATTTCCTTTTATTCCTTATTATTTAAGGAATTATAGAACAAAAATATTTTTTATAAAATATAGAGAAAAATAAAAAAATATTCTTTATTTCTTTATATATATTTTATTTCTATTGATTCCTTTTTTTTTGTTTCTTTTATTTTTTTCCTTCTTATTCTTATTCATTTTTTTTATGTGTCACCAGTTAGAGTGAAAGAAACAGAAAAAGGGATTGAGAAAAGGAATATTAATATTGAAGACGGAAGAATAAAATGTTAACTGTACGCTCTAACTCTAGAGATAGGAGCCATTGACTACAGAATAAGGTCGGTATCGAGAATATGCCAATGTTCGACCCCCACAATCTACGGCCATTATTTTACCAAGACTAACAAAATTGACAAAACCATTTTAAGATGGGATATCAGCATAAAACTGTTTCTGTTTAAACTCTATTTGGTTTTGGCTTATTTTTTTATTTAAAAATTAAAACCACGTGGTCTTAAGATTTCATATTTTGATTTGTAATCAATTAAAAATAATATAATAGATATGTGATAAAAAGAAATTTGGTGTAATTTAAAGGCGATATACCAATAGAGATGCTACACAAAGACTTATGTTGCGGTTCGAAAGTAAAAATAGGATACCTGTTTGTTTACAGTGAAGATAACAAAACCAGTAGATATATATGATTTTTTAGCTATATATATGGAAGTTGACTTTCGCTTTTATCGAATTCATTGTACAGTTATTGTAGTAAACTTGTAATCCACTGAAAAATATACACATTTAGAGAATGTACCAGTGTAGTGTAGATGTTTATGAAATGATCGTGGCAATGACAACCTATACATCTTTGATCACAATTCTACCGGTGTAGACTGTAGTCTGTATAGACTATAGATATGTAAGTTGACTTGCGCATATATGCGTTCTTATCGTATTTATTTAGTGTGCGCGTTTCTTGTAGTCCATTGAAAAATATACATATTTACAGAACCTACCGATATAAATGTATATGAAATGATCGCGACGACGACAACCTACATATATAATTATATATCATGGTAACAAGATATGTTGAACCGACATGAAGATAAGTTATTATTAAGAAGATAAGTACCATATATATATATATATATTTAGAGAATCTACTACCGGTGTAGTGTAGACTATATATAATTAAAGATGTATGAAATGATCGGGATATATATGTGTAAACATTAATATATGGTATTATATACTATATGATAACAGTATTTGGAAAATCTACGGGTGTAGAGATATATGAAATGATCGCGACAGTGTGACGAAATGTCTTCATATTATATATATAGGTAATACATAAAGTCACTGGAAAATGCTTTTTTCTCATCTTTTGAAATGGTGGAAATGACTTTTGATAGATAAGAGTTAAGTTATTATTATCGAGACAACGAAAGAGTACTTTGACAAATGGTGGGAGGAAATTTGACTGGTGGCGTATTTGGTGGTGAGTGCGAATCCCAAACCCAGAGTATGTGATGAAATATAATGGAGCTGGGATTGGATCAATGCGTTGATGTAAATATGGGCTTTCATGTTTAATTTTAAAGGTTGGGCTTTGAAAACATACTACATGAGAAAGCTTATGGGTTTGGTTCAAAACAAACTACAATAAATAATTGGGCTGACTGCTTATATCCCCCTCTATAATACAGCTTCCGTCTGATTTCCCCTAAACTTACAAACTCTTGATTTTCTCTCCTGAAATAGTTCATTTAATTATATTCCCACCTAAACTATTTTTCTCTGCTCAATTCTACCTACAAAACTAATAAATATAAATTGCAATCAATTAAACAAAATCGCGTTTAGCAAATACGATTGCCCATAACCCAAAACACAATCCGACCCAATGACCAAACTGATTAGAGAAAAAGAATACCGAATGCTAAAATTGAAATTGGGAATTCGGTTTTCTTTTCTGTTTCTTCTTCTTCGCCACAAAGAAAAAGAGAGGATACAATCGAAAAACAGAAACTCCACCACCGGTTTCATCACCAACACCTGAATCCTTAACGGATTCTCCACCACCGTCTACTCAGCTGGAATCTCCGTCACCATCTCCATCTTCTTCTCTGTCTCGTGGTCACCAGCACTTGTTCATGCTCCTTCCGACGACGATTCAGATGATGTCGATCCCGAGAAGGAGACAAAGTATTTCCCTTCTCCAACACCATCTCCATCGCCGGAAGTGGGACAAGCAGAGGAAATCAAAGAAAGCGAGGACAGAGATGAACTCGATGAAAAGATAGGCGAAGATAATGGAATGAGGGGATTGAAGAAAGCTGGGATCGCCATTAGAGCAATACTCGGAGTAGGAGCGATTGTAATCGGAGCTCTTGTTTACAAGAAACGAAAAGACAACTTAACCAGAGCTCGCTACACTTATTTTTTATTGAATATCAAAAATATAATATATTATCTCCTTACATTGTGTTTAAAGCAAAGCGAGAATAGTAGTTGTTATTGTTCATCATCTCTTTAAAAAGAGAGTATTTGTGAGGGAAAAGGTCAACGGCCATGGCTTTGACAGGTCTAAAAGGCTCAGAAGCAGACATTTTCTTGGCTCTAAGTTCTATGAAGGAATCTGCTCATTGTCTTGAACCGTGGCTTCCATTTCAGATTTATCTAAGTACTCTACCTGTAAAAGACAAAGCTAACGAACATTACTACCATGAAGAAGAAGATAAATCCATAGTATTAAAGATAAAGAAACCAAACTTAGTGTTCGAATACATACCTTTGAGCAAATGAACTTCCAGTTGCTCATACCATTGAGCTTTGCATTTCGTTCTGCATCTGATACAGCCGGCGCATCTATTTCAATGCCAATCACCTGTTAGGAGCCTTAAGAGGTTAATTACCGAACTCATTAAGAAGGTAAGGATTGTGTTCATAGGTTCTGCAAGTTTAAAGAAGCGATCATTACCATACCAACACGATGTGCCAGTGTAAGCCTGATTGTTCCGGTTCCACAGCATACATCAAAGAGTAAAGTGTCGGGACCAAGATCAGCCCAATCTCCAGCAAGTGAATATAGCTTCTATGCGGCTCCGATGTTGGTCCAGGAGACAGAGAAAAAGGTGTACATGGTGGCGGAGATTCTGGCTGAGTAGGAGGAAGCGGTGGTGGAGAATCCATTAGGGATTCACGTGTTGATGATGAAATCGATGGTGGATTCACGCATTGTATTTGATTTGTCTCTCAGCTTCCTCTCTCTCTGTATGAGTATCCTCTCTTTCTCTTTGCCCCGAAGAAGAAACAAAAAAGAAAGCCTAATTACCGATTTCAATTTTAACTTTGGTTTAGTCGATTTGGTCATTGAGTCGGGTTGTGTTTCGGGTTATGGGCAATCGTATTTGCTAAACGCGATTTTATTTAATTGATCGCAATTCATATTTATTAGTTTTGTAGGTGGAATTGAGCAGAGAAAATAGTTTAGGTGGGAATATAATTAAATGTACTATTTCAGGAGAGAAAATCAAGAGTTTGTAAGTTTAGGGGGAATCAGGCAGAAATTGTATTATAGAGAGGAGTTTAGGCAGTCAACCCTAAATAATTTGTTTATAAAAGTGTCAACAATCTAAAATATATTAATTAATTGGTCAATTTAAAACAAACCTAGCACATATTTTTTTCTATTGTTTAATTATAAACTTAAGCGCATAAATATATATTTGTGTGAAAATAAGTGGAATATGACACTAATAATGATCAAAAGACAAAATGCCATTATCTATCGATTTACATAGTATTGTAATTTTAGCACTAAATTTTTTATAGTAATTCTAACAATCTAAAATTAATTAATTGCCCAATTATATTTAAACCTAGCCTAATTGGTTTAAAGGATAAAAAGTATTATTGAATTAACTATATAAACTTAAGCTCATAAATATACATTTGTGTGAAATTAAGTAGAATATGACATTGATAATGATCTGACATACACAATATTGTAATTTTAGCACTAAATTTTTTATAATTAATTCAATAATATCAAAAATAATTAATTGACCAATTTAAATTAAACCAAGTAATTAAAGAATAAAAAATATTATTAAATTAACTATATAAACTTAAGCGCATAAATATATATTTGTGTGAAAATAAGTCGAATATGACACCGATAACGATCAAAAGACAAGATGCTATATTCTGTCTATTTACACAGTATTGTAATTTTAGCACTAAAGTTTTTATAGTAAATTCAATAAATCTAAAATTAATAAATTGGCTAATTATATTTAAACATAGTCTAATTGGTTTAAAAAATGTTATTAAATTAACTATATAAACTTAAGTGCATAAATATATATTTGTGTAAAAATAAGTGGAATATGACATCAATGATGATCAAAAGACAAGATGCCATATTTTGTCTATTTACACAATATTGTAATTTTAGCACTAAATTTTTTTATAGTTAACTCAATAATATCTAAAATTAATTGATTAGCCAATTTAAATTAAACCTAGCCTAATTGGTTTAACGAATAAAAATATTATTAAATTAACTATACAAACTTAAGTGCATAAATATATATTTGTGTGAAAGTAAGTCGAATATGACACCGATAACAATCAAAAGACAAGATGTCATATTCTGTCTATTTACACAATATTGTAATTTTAGCACTAAATTTTTTATAAAATCAATAATTCTAAAATTAATTAATTGGTCAATTATATTTAAACCTAGCCTAATTGGTTTAAAAATATTATTAAATTAACTATATAAACTTAAGTGCATAAATATATATTTGTGTAAAAATAAGTGGAAAATGACATCAATAACGATCAAATTTTGTAATTTTAGTTGTCTATTTACACAATATTGTAATTTTAGTAGTTAACTCAATAATATCTAAAATTAATTAATTGGTCAATTTAAATTAGACCTAGCCTAATTGGTTTAACGAATAAAAAATATTATTGAATTTACACAGTATTGTACCTTTAATAGACCTATTAACCCTTGTGTCTTTTCTTTTAATTATAATAATATTAATATATTTGAGAAAGAAACTACGTTCCTGAATTTGATGGAGAAGAACCATCAAACCGGTAGCTTTATCTTATAAGAAGTCAGTAAAAAGGGTGAAATATGGATAATAATTTAAGTTTCTTCAACATAAATTTATAAGAAAATATCTATATATTGAGAAAAAGCCCATTAATCTTTACAATTTTGGAAGGACAACGGAAAGAATAGAAACATTTTAATTATTAATAGCTTTCATTTTTTTAATATATCAGTATTTATTATATTACCAATTTTTCATAGTAGATATTTTGTTTAAAGTAAACAACGTATAATCTTTCTTCGTTAATAAAAAAAAAAACGTATATGATCTTTCTCGAATGTTTATCTTGTTTATAAGCACGTTCATGCACTGACTAATATTTTGCAATGAATCAAATATAAACCGTGGGATCTAGAGCAGACAATTTTTATTCATGATTCATGAACAAGCCCCTTTCTGTCTTGGTCGGCCATCTACCCTAAAGAAAATAAACTATTTCAAGAAAACGAAACTGACAAACGACAAAATAAATGTAAAGCCAAATCGAACCATCGGAATATTTAGTATCAAATACAAACAAATAAATATCAAAGAAACAACGTGTAATTCACGGACTCACACTGTTCCTGTGATGGCTAGCTAAGAAGAGTATAACAATGGAATGCGTATACATATCAGATTCCAACTACCAATGTAAAAAACAAACTTCTAGTTTCAGAAATAGAAGATGACTTTGCATATCGAAGAAAAGTAAAACATCGCAAACAAGGTAGAATCAAAGATTTTGGATTAGTCGTTGGTTTTCATACTTGGTCGTTAAATTAAGTGAACGTGGACATTAAACGACAAAAAAACAAAAGACCATTTCCAAAAAGGCAAGAGGAACTAAGAATATTATATTCGTAATTTAATATCTAGTAGACATTTGACAACACATGTTTTAGAAGTTTATATATGATCAGTACGTAAGTACATGAACCCTTGAATTGTACGGCCTTTTGGGTCCTTTAACCACATTCATTGTATCTCTCGTGTACCTATTACTGCTTAACTAACCAAGAAAACCACAAACAGTCTTTTATTTTAATTCCAGAATAACTTCTTCTCTTTTGCATTGTCTCTAAACTTTTAGTTCAGAATCTTTTTGCACGTCACAAAATTATCGTTATAACACTTTTAACACAAATTGATAAATATAAAACGAATCTCCTATATTATATTGTTATAGCCTATAGAAACAAATTAATTAATTCTACATTTCTTAATAATTCTAGAATCATTTATATACCGTTACCATTGTTATATTTTACACTTCTAAATAATTCTAGAAACATATATATATATATATTATTTGATCAAAACTTATGTTAAGTTTATAAATCAAGTTCCATTGTGAATTGTTTATGTTCAAATAATCGTTTTTTTCTATTGTCTAAGGGTCTCATACCTTTTTCTCCATATTATATATATATATATATATATATATATGACGATGATAATTTTTATAAAACAAAAAAAAAATTGGATGAGGATAATTTTTTATTTTTTTGCATAAAGAGATATTTAAACCAGAAGAAGAGAGAGGTGGAACTAAACCAAACCACTCGTGTGTGGATTTTCGGAGTCAACGTGGTCAATGGTCAAAGAGGTCAAAGTCTTTAAAATACAGGAAAGGAATTGTGCTTTCGAGAATAGTTTTGCTTTTTGTTGATTTTTTGTCCACTTGTATTTTCATTTTCCTGATTTCATCATCACCAGTGACGACGTCTGAACTGAAGTATCATCACCGACTTAAATTTTTTTCTTTTTTTCTTTTTGGTCTCTACGATTTCGATTAGTTTTTTGGTCGGCCAGATTTTTGTTTGGAACCAAACATAGTGTTTGACAAAAAAGATGATGTATAATTTTATTTTACTTTAAAAAATTCAAGCCATCAGCTAAAGTCCACTCAACATAAATTTTACTTTGTTTATTTTTACATGGCTATCGTTGATTGTATAATATTTCATGTTATGAGTTTTTTTTTTTTTTGTTTTTTTGCCTGATTAACAATTTTTCATATTATATACTTTGTGTAATAACTTATAAAAACCAACCTAGCTATTTCAATTCAATGTGTTTCTTAATAAATAAACAATTAGCAGCCATACTTTTCCCTTAGGATCTTAGTCAAGAGGGAATATAATGTTCGTTTTTGGACCGATTTATATTACCGTTACGGTAGAACTGTGCCTGAGATTTATGGGTCCAATACAAAATTTGAAATCTGAACTCTAAATAGTATGTAAAAATAACAAATCGTTAAAATTGATTATTTTTAGAAATAATAATTCCAGAAGCTCATTATAAATATTTTATAAGTATCACTGTGTCAATTAGTTTAGCCTTATCTCCATACCGGGATAAACAACGATTTTTTTTTATCAATACTCGACATTGTAATTGCATACTATCGTGCGTGATTTTTTATATGTATATTATACATTTTTTAATATTGTTATGTGTACTCCAAAATTATATAGATATTAAACTAATCACTTGCAGGCGTATAAAATACATGTATATGTATACAATGATGCCAGATACTATTTCGATTGTGGAATGAGATGTGAAAGGAATACAAGATACATATGAATGCATAAAGAAGTCCAAAATGCATTACCCGAAAAAGATAAAGCAAAGAAGTCCGAAAATGATCGCTATACATGAAGATTTTATCTCTAGCTCGGTCAAGTTTCCATTTCAGATAGTGGATAGGTTTGAGGTCAGAATATACTTATATAATATATTATGTTTTTTTGTTTGTTTGTAAGCCTAAAATATTTGCGTTATCTCTATTATTTACACATGCTGTTGATCCAAAACAAATAATTAAACTGATCTAAGTTAGAAAAAAAGATCATCGACCTAGCAAACGTATTTATCCAATAGAATTAAAAACTCCAGCTGCTGTTATATATAGTAACATGGATCAACAACATTACGTACGATATAGAACTGTTAAAATTTCCTTGTATACACAAAGACTATTATTTATACTACAGTACCTAAATGGGGTTTCTTCATAAAAAAACCCCAAAACTAGGAAGAAGGAAACTGAGATTTGTTAACGTTCGTCATCGTCAATTGTCTGGTTGTTTTCGAAAAGCCGTGTCGGCTTGACTTTGACCAAAGGAAGCACACGTCTACATATTATAATAATACTACCGAAGAATCTCCCAATTATTATTATAGTCACACTCACATTCCAACATACAAACCACGTTCCGCACACTCTATTATACTATTAACTACATATACAGTTATACACACCCAACTAATAGTACTATTATTTTTTCGCCAACCGTAACTAATTAAGTCTTATTAAACTTTCTAATTAAGCACGCCTTTACTACTTTTTATTAGTATTATAACTACACTCAATCATTTCTTTTTATCCCACATGTCGTTCGTTATCTTAGGTCTATTAGTCCTCCATTTTTTTAAAAAAAAATTAGATGATGATTTTAAAAATCAATACAAAATTATTTTTTTAACTGTGTTTAAATTTTATATGTTATTTTTCTATTGATTAAATTGTGTTGGAATTAATAATTATATTTTAGAAAAGAAAAAAGTAAATAATTTTTAAATTTATATGTAAAACCTTAAACATTATATATAAAAACAGAGGAAGTATATAAAATAATTACGAAGTCACTCGCTGATAAATATTTATTATTGTTTTTTTTAATTATTCAAACGAGCTGAAGTTGTAAATTATATACATTTTGAGGGGGGGGGGGATTTTTTTGTTTGCATGTTCAGTTCATTATCATAATTACAAATTCTAGATTGGCACAAATTTTTTTTTTTATAAATTCTAGATTTAAAACAGATTAAAGCTTGTTACATGACATGATAAGTTATGTATTTCTACCAGTGTAGAAGATTCTAAAAAATATATAGTATTTCATCCATTTCATAATAAATGTTGGTTTACCATTTAAACTTTTTTGGTATAAAACTTAATTTTATATTGTAAGGTATTTTGCAATAAAATTTTACTAATATACGTTTTTCCGTCAATTATATAATTATATTTGTCTAAACTATATGCCTTAAAACTAATATCTCAAAGAAAACGTGAAAGAATCATAGTATAATTATATTTGGTAGACACTAGACAGCAGAACCAATCACGAACCATATGTATATATATATATTTTAGAAAGAATGTCAACCATGTATATAAAATAAAAAATCAAGAGTAGAAAACACAACACACATATTAAATGTATGGTAATAAGGATCGGACCAAATACGTGTGCTAGTGGGACCGGAGAGAGACGAGTTGTGAGTCTAAAGACTAAAAAAGTAAAAGGAATCTGATAAGTCGATTAGTTTATTGCATGAAAATGAAAAGCACATGCTGCTCTCTCTTTCCATCCAGTTTCCTCTTAACACTTCCTCTTTATATAAAGAATCAAAAACCATTCCTTCTTCCACAATCCCAGAAAAGAGATAATAAAGAAGAACCCAAGATCGACTCTTTCTACGAATCTCTCAACTTTCTTCCTCACCTAACGGAACTCCTACACATATACTAACATATATATATCCCACAAGAACCCAGATCGAAGATTCATCCTACATATATAGACATGGACCAGTATTCATCTTCAATGGTCGATACTTCTTTAGATCTCACTATCGGCGTTACTCGTATGCGAGTTGAAGAAGATCCAACGGTATGCTTCTCTCGTATTCTGATTCTTTACTTCTCTAAACAAACGCATATCCATAGAAATTGTTAGTATTTCGTTTATGAAAACATTTATATATATATATAAGATCGCAAATATCAACAGATTTAATATATAGAAATTTGATTGCAACAGCAGATCATAGGTTATATAAAGTTATATTGTGTTATCGTTACTAACTTTATGAAATATATATAAACTGCAGACAAATGCTTTGGTGGATGAATTAAACCGAGTGAGTGCTGAGAACAAGAAGCTCTCGGAGATGCTAACTTTGATGTGTGACAACTACAACGTTTTGAGGAAACAGCTAATGGAATATGTTAACAAGAGCAACATGACCGAGAGAGATCAAACCAGTCCTCCCAAGAAACGCAAATCTCCGGCGAGAGATGACGCAATTAGTTCGGCGCTTGTCGGTGGAGTGTCCGAAAGTAGCTCAACGGACCAAGATGATCAGTATCTATGTAAGAAGCAGAGAGAAGAGACAGTTGTGAAGGAGAAAGTCTCAAGGGTTTATTACAAGACCGAAGCTTCTGACACTACCCTTGTAAGCCTTCTCGAAAAAACTGCCAAATTGGTATTATATATTTAGTTTACGTGGTTTATTGATTTTAGAAGTTGTTTCTTTAATTATAGGTGGTGAAAGATGGATACCAATGGAGGAAATATGGACAGAAAGTGACTAGAGACAATCCCTCTCCAAGAGCTTACTTCAAATGTGCTTGTGCTCCAAGCTGTTCTGTCAAAAAGAAGGTAATACATAATAATAAGAAGCAAAACAATCGTTTTTGGCTCAAAATATGAATTGGAATAACGCAAATTTGCTAGGCATACTTAATCTGATTCGGATTCTGTGTTGGTTTTCTCTTCAGGTTCAGAGAAGCGTAGAGGATCAGTCCGTGTTGGTAGCGACTTATGAGGGTGAACATAACCATCCAATGCCATCGCAGATCGAATCAAACAGTGGCTTGAACCGCTACATCTCTCTTGGTGGTTCGGCTTCAGCAGCCAACAGAAGTAGTAGTAGCTTGGCTGAGCATGTGACTACCGTTGATCTGACTGAATCCAAGAAAGTGACGAGCCCATCAAGAATCGATTTTCCAGAAGTTCAGAAACTTTTGGTGGAGCAAATGGCTTCTTCCTTGACAAAAGATCCTAACTTCACGGCAGCGTTAGCCGCAGCTGTTTCCGGAAGATTGTATCAAACCGAGAAATAGCTTAGTTTCAAAAGTCCGTTAGTGTTTTTAGATTTAAATTTATCATGAAAGAGAGAAAGAGTAGATAATAATCATCCCTCGTGATACTGAAAATGTAACACGTAATCGTTTTCATACAATCTCCAAATACATTCGGCTTAGAAACTCCTCCTAGTTTGACAATAATTAAAAAAAACATCTGTACAACGACTGAAAAAACGCAAGAGAATAGCAAAACTAAGAAGCACATGTGTTAAAACTAATCTCCTCCCCCATGGTTTGTCTTCAGTTTCCGGTCTCGTCTTTTGATAAGCAGTCTTGGTGTCTGAAGCAGCTAGTGAGATGGTCGTTGGTGAGACCAGCTGTTTGCATGAAGGAGTAGATAACCGTTGGGCTAACACTGCGAAAGCCTCTGCGAACAAGGTCTTTGCTTATCAACTCGGCTTTGGAAGTCTTCACGGGGACTTGCCGTGGGTACCGGAATTGGCTCTGCGTAGGCTTTTGGTTAACGAAGTTCCAAATGTACTTGTCAAATGATCCAAATTCAACTACTATCTGGATTTCAGAAAAAAAAACCAATAACTGTAAGGTAATTTCTATAAAAAAAACTATGGTCTAGTCCGGTATATAGATGATAAATGGTACCTTGCGAACTTGGTTTGCATTTTCGAGGATTGACCGAAGCTTTTGCTCTGATAGTAATGGAGTGGTAGCAATCTCAAGGGATGATGCTATCTTTTTGTTAGTTAGTTCGGATATTGCAATTGGATCAAAGTCCATGAAAACTTCCCTGTTTCAGTAAAGCGAAAGCACAAGTCAAGAAGATGAACAAAAAGAGTTAAACCATAAAGCAAGCTCTGGTTCTAGTTACCTGAATAGTTGTCTTTTGGAAAGAATGTCTTTCCAGGATAGTTCGGCAAGTGCACCAGATAGGCTTAATAACTCGAAAAGTTTCCTGCAAACGGAACAAGAGCGGTTTACAATCACAAACAAAGAGCAACAAGTTCCTCTCGGATCAGCAAAAAGAGAAGTCATCACGTACTTGTCATCATGGACAGGAACTCCCCACTCTTGGTCGTGGAAAGCAATGTAACATTGGTCTTCAACAAGTAACAAAACACGATTCAAGCAGGGAAAAAAAAACCTATTAGTATAGAGAAATGACAAATAAACTATTCTCTACAATTCCTGTTCCTCTGTTCGTTATTTGAGCTCTTACATTCAAATACTAACTTTCAAACTCAGAATCAAACTGACACTTGCATTGCATATGCTAACCAAATATGAGGAAGAAATTGTATTTCCTACCAGATTTGGGAGTGATCCAAGCGCATCTTTTACGACCATCAGAGAAGCAATCACTGGCCTTTTCATCTCTCTCCTCCGTCAGATTCCTTCTCAGTGACGACGAAGAGTTTGACCCGCTACGCCGCAAAGCCCTCTTCCCGCTCGAAGTAGACGCCATACTCAACGGCGACGATTCGCACGAAGACGACGCATCCGACGAATACGATGCGTTCATCGAGATACCGTTTCGCCTCAGAATTGAAGGGCTTAGAGGCGAGCATTGCGGCATTTTCTTCGCCGGAGACGCCGTAAAGGTTAGATTTTTCGTTTTACCATCAGCCACAGGCTTCTTCACCGGCTTTGACAACGGTTTCTGCTGCAGCTTGTTACCGGCGGGACTAAGAACTGATCGGAATTCTCGGTCGGCGGAATCCACAGACCGGACTCGCGGTGGAGCCGACATTTGACCTAATGCCCTCTTCAAATCAACAGCTCTTAAACACTGGATCACGACTAAGAATTGCAATTTCCCAAAAACCTCAAACAATTTCCAAGACCACCTAGAAAACAAGTAGCTGCATTTACAACCTAAAACGAAAGTCTTCACCTAAAATTCCCCAATTCTTACTTGAGAAATCTTCTAGAGAAATCAGGGCGAGTCCCAAGTTGCTCACTGGGATCACGGGAATGAGTAAGGTTTACTTACATAGATAAGAAAGTGAAAGCGAAAAAACGCAAGAAAATCTTTGGAATAGTGACGGGAAAATCCTTTTTGACTTCGGAGAAACCCGAAAAAAGAAAAAGGAGAAGACTTTTCCGATCGAGAACGAAAGGAATCGAATTGAAGGAAGAGAGAGAGTAAGAAGAGTACGATGGAAGAGAAGTTGTCGTTAGCCAGTCACAGTTTTACACGTCATCGTTCGGTTCCTCCGCTTTTTCGAGTTAGGAGTCGGACCCGACCCGGATAAAGCGGGACAAATCTGAGAAGGTTTCAAGTTTCAATTGAATCATTCTGATCCCAACAATGGGTCTTACTCCGATAACTCCCAATATTTGAAAAGTATTTTCTCTCTAAATGATTTGTACAGATGAGGAATGTTTTGTCTTATATTAATTCTTCATGCCAAGACAAAAGTTTTAGTTAGTCCAGAGACAAAATCCTTTCTAATATCATAATGTCGACAGTTGTTGAGTTCACTACGAAAAAAGAAGTTTTGTTTATTACAGATAGTCACTATGGTGTATGTTTATTGCAGATTTTCTCTTTTTATTTTGTTCTCATACAATAGTTTTAATTTATTACAAATATTAACTATGGTTTACATTTATTACAGATGTTCCCTGGTATCTTTTTCATTTTACGTATATATCTTAGAATTTTGAATAATTACATAAAGCTTCGATATTTCTCATTTATTACAAATATTTCCTACAGTTTTATTTATTACATTATATTCCACAGTTTTAATTTATTTTAGCATTGCTCCTTAAAGTTTTGTTTATTACATTTGTTCCCTTTACCTTTTGTTTACTAAGTATGCATAAGCTTTGGCATAAACTAGCAGATACCATAAAGGATCATTAGCTTTGGCACATAGGGAAAGATAATCTCATAGTTGCTTCAACAACAATTCCGTAGATTACCGAAACCTCTGAGAAAATGTATAAACTCCAACTGCATTACTGTAAAATCAGTTTGGGTACAAGAGACTCTCAGAGAGAAAAACAATCAAACAACAAGATCGTGGGTGGCTTTCATGATGGGAGCTAAGCTCTTCTAACTAGTTGTGTTATGCAGAGGAATCAGGAGACAGATTTGGCACGAGCACTTGGATCCTCTTTAGATTCGACAAGCATCATGAAAACGTAGCCGAGGCACCAGAGGAGGATGTACAGGAATGGAACCCAAGAGAGGCAAGCCAACAAAGACATGATACTCCCAACATACTGTGGATCTCTGATGACTCCAAATGGGAACTCTGTGACCCACGGTATCGTCTTCCCGAATCGAACACCGTAATAAGTTCCAGCCTCACCTAGCAGTTGATATACCCTGCAAAGATGTCACCTTTAAGTTTACATAACGTACAAGTAGTGTTGTTTGCATATCAAACATCACTCGGGCGGGTCTATCCATTTTTCTGATTAAATCACTCTGCAAAGATCATCTCTTTCACAAGATTAGACTAGATTCGATGGTTGAAACTTGATAAAGATCATCTCTTTCACAAGATTAGACTAGATTCGATGGTTGAAACTTGAAAAAGATCATCTCTTTCACAAGATTTAGATCTCGCGGAGAAAGGAAGGTGTGTCACAAATGCGATTTTCTTATTTTCATCAATCTCACAGCCATTCGATTCAACAAAATGAGAGAGAAGCATTGGACTGGACCTGAAGTTGAGGAACTGGCCAAAGGCCATGAGGGGCCAGAAGTAGAGCGGAGGCGGCCAGGAGAGAGAGGCGACGGAGAAGAGAGAGAGGAGCTGAGCGGCCTTGAGCACGTGAGATACACGCGCCATCACCATCGATGGGTCTCTTCCTTGGCCGCAGAGATTCACCCATGACTGAGGATTCGTCCACAGCCACCAGTAGAACGGAAATGGCAACAGAACTCCGATCGCGGCCACTACTCCCATTTCGCTTACGCTTTTTTGGTTGTACTTTTTTTAACCGATTTTTCTTGCTCTTTAGTGTTTTTAGTGTTTCCCTGATTCTCCTTTGAAAAATCTGAGTCTCGTTCTTGTGTTTTTAAATGGGCCTTTAACTATTTTTGGCCCAATACACTGTCAAGTCTATCTTCTTTTTCTCTTTTCACCATCACATCACAATCAATAAATTATGGAGACATCAAATTTTCTTTATCGTATGATCTGGTTTTGAAATAATAGTGTTTTCTAACCTGATGTTCCTGATTTGAGATTTGAGATTGTTTGGTCCTTGATGGTGGAGTCATCACGTTTGCTCTAGAAAGAGGTAAAATCCGATTCTTGCTCACAATTGTTTTCTTCTTGTTTTTGGTTTATTTTGCTTTGTTTTCTCGCCGGTAAAGTGTGAAGTTGTGTCCGATGAATGTATGTAGAGAATATAAAATAGAAAAAGGGAGAAAAATGTATGAATAAATAATAGATCACACGAATCTGAATAAAGGATATTAATTAGTTTATGGGCCTCTCGATGCTATGTTATCTGAAATGTGCAGCTTCAATTCCAACAAGAAATGGTTGCTGCAAGTGCTGCTCTACCCACAAACTACGTCTTCAAGCCATCTCCATACTCTCTGGTATGATTTTATTTATTTGTTTCTTCAAATCAATTGGAGTTGTCTCGGCAAATGTCATTTTGTTTTAGTTGGGTTATTAATTTTTTGCTTCTTATTTTTTTTCACTAAATAATAATAGTGTTTTAATAGAATTAAAACCACTAGAAAAAGAGGATTTCCAAAAACTTTTTCCTTCTTATGATTTTGTTTAAATTATTAGAGAATTAAAGAATTTTGATTACTAAATTGTATAATTGTAAAAACACACAGAGTATTGCATCCAGTCATTTGACGGTTAGAGTTGTCATATATTCAACATGTTTTCAAACCATATTGTAAGGTTTAGTAATTAAATTTCTGTTAATTTTCTAATAAAAATATTTTCTCTTATTCACTAATAAAAATAGCTTTTAATATTAATTCTTTAAAAAATTAGTATTTTAAAACTTTTCTTTTCTTTTATCACCATTTTTATTATTAGATGAATTAAAGAAATTTGATTAATAAATTACATAGTTGCGAAAACAAATCGAATATTGCATCCAGTCATTTGACGGTTAGAGGTGTCATATGCTCAATATGTTTTCACACCATATTGTAAGTTTTAATGATCAAGTTTCTATTAATTTTCTAATAAAATCATTTTTTCAAATTTACTAATAAAAATAGCTTTTAATATTTACTCTATTAAAAGTTCGTATTTTTAAACTTTTCCTTTTTTATCACTGTTTATATTATTAGCTGAATTGAATTAAAAAAATTTGATTGCTAAATTACATAGTTGTGAAAACAGACCGAATATTGCATCCAGTCATTTGACGGTTAAAGGTGTCATATATTCAATATATTTTTACATCATATTGTAAGTTTTAGTAATCAAGTTTCTATTAATTTTCTAATAAAATCATTTTCTCTACTTTACTAATAAAAATAGCATTTAATATTTACTCTTTTAAAAATTAATATTTTTAAACTTTTTATCATTGTTTATATTATTAACTGAATTAAAGAAATTTGATTGCTAAATTACATAGTTGTGAAAACAGCCCGAATATTACATCCAATCATTTGACGGTTAGATGTGTCATATGTTCAACATGTTTTAATAAAATCATTTCTCTTGTTTACTAATAAAATAGCTTTTAATATTAGTTCTTTTTTTTTATCTCCGTTTAGATTATCAGATGAGTTAAAGAAATTTGATTGCTAAATTACATAATTGTAAAAACAGACCGAACATTGCATCTAGTCATTTGGTGGTTAGAAGTGTTATATGTTCAATACCATATTGTAAATTTTAATAATCAAGTTTCTATTAATTTCTTAATAAAAATATTTTCTTTTTTCTCACTAATCAAAAATAACTTTTTAATATTATTTCAATATTACTCTTATAGCAAACTTTGTTTACTTATGATTATTAGTTTAAAATATTGTGACCCTTGTTATTATCAAAAAAAAAGAAAGAATAGTATTCAAATTACTTAAATATTAAAAATGCATCTAATACTGTTCGAACAAATGATAAGAAGACTAGAAGTGAACCTACTTAACCTCTTAAACTACAAACAATTTATGGAAAATGTGGCCTATAATTTTGTTTTATATTATGTGGCCTAACACTAATGCTTCACCAGAGCAGGGACGGGTCTGCTCGGAGATCCTTAGCTTATGACAATGAATGGTGGAGAAAGGATTTAACTTTCTTATGATTAAACCAGAAAAAAAAAGAACCTTGATGTGACTCTTTACAGTTAGCTTTATGCTCTAAAGTTTTAGGTATTAAGAGAGCATTCTATGTACTTAACTTAATTCCCCTGTATCAGGAGCATCAAAATCAGGTTCTGGTGGCTTTTGCAGATTCATCAAACTCTTTGAACTCTCGGAGACTCGTAGCTTATGACCCTTAAGCGCATTGGCAGCAAATCTTGATGCAAATACCGTGGAACGCAATCTAGAACTTCAACCAACAGAACTATCACTCCTTGTAATCATACCCATATTTTCATCATAATCATAATCATCTTTATAATCCATTTCTTCTTCTTCTTCTTCTTCTTTACGTATTTTCCTTCTAAGATGTCGACGCCAAGCAGCTTGAATAAAACAAGCAGCCCAAGTCCTCCATTGCTGAGAGTAAAACCTGAAAGTCTGTTGAACCTGACGACTATGAAGACGCCTAAACTGACTTGCCACAAACTTTAGCTCTTCAGCTTCTAAGGCAAAAGCCTCTACTTCAGTTAGTGCCTTCACAGTTCTTGTGGAAGAAGGTAAGTTTGAGCCTGCTTTAGGGTCAAGCGCCCAAGTCAGAAGCTCTTCACCACAAAAGTCACCTTCTTTCAGTAACCCTCTGTTGAAGAAACCGCTTCGTCCACCATCTGTCGTTACACTCTCTAACCGGCCTCGGATTATGAAAAGCATCTCGTTAACCGGATCTCCTTCTCGCACTATGTAAGTGCTCTCCGTGTATAGACTCGGCTTCAGTCTCTCACAGATCGCGTCTAGCAATCTCTCATCCATATTAGCAAACAGAGGAACCTATAAAAGAAAGAAAAAACACGTTGTTCCTTGTGAATCAAGTATAGAATCCGTAGGCAATTCACATTTTCATGCTCATTTTTAGTAAAACTTCATACCCTGCGAACTAAATTCAGACATAGATGGCGTTTGATGTCTCTTCTGAGATCCTTTGGTAAACTCTGGACAATGTTTTCCTCGTCGACTCCTCTTGTTTCCAACCATTTGTATTGATCATAGCGTCTGACTCGTTCTCTCAGGTTCTGTGGAAGTGACCTATGGTGCATCCACTGTTCGGAATCGCGTCTTTTGATCCTCATTTCCTCGAGACGAACCGTAAGTGACTGAAGATAAGTCTGCATATTCCCGATGAGGAGCGCAAACAGGAGAAGCCCGGCTACAGCAATTGCAATTGAAAACAGAACTTCTCCTGGATATGTACTTGTTTGCAGCCCTTGACCTAACGTGCTGTACCCGAAAAACACCCTAGATGTTAAAAATTACTCCACAAGCTAACAGTTATTCGTCGATTTCAATGTTTTTTCACCTGAGATTTTGAAGACCCCACCAAAGACAATAGCAAAACTTGGAGAAAAACGTCGTCGACGATACAATTCCTGAAGACACAGCCTGGCTATAGATCCCATAGTTGAATTTTGAATCATCGCTTTTTGCAGAACAGTTGTTCTTGAAGAGATCAGGTACTGATTTGGTCCACTCGGTATCACGGTTGCTCATAAATTTGCTGCCACAATACAGAATCTGAACACAGAGTTTCGGATCTGGCTGGACTTTACAAGCGGATCTCAAGCATGTATCGTTACGTTCCACTGACAACATGTACCAAAATGCGCCAGTTATCTGCCAAAGGTGTGTATAACAACCTATTTTAAGAAACAGAGACAAACAACAACAACAAAGCTAACCTAATGCTGAAGGGGTAGATTAAGAAACGCTTACGTGGCTTGCAAGCATATACCAGAGGAGATAATAAGCAGCACCAGCCCAAGCACCTTCAGCGAAAGCTCCTGCGGTTTTCTTGAGCTCTGATGTTAATGGAATAAACCTAACGAATCTTGGTATGTACTGAGTGATGACTATGTGTAATATCGCCTGTTTCGTCGGTAGTACATCAGTTCCTTTAGAACCATGAAGAAACTTCCACACCGCAATCTGAAAGAACAACCACAAGATTGAAGCTTTAGCAGAAAGTAACACAAAAGATTGAAGCTTTAGTAAATAGTAAAACACCAAGTATGAAGCTTTAGTAAATAGTAAAGCACAAATACTGAAGCACAAATAGTAGAACACCCAATTTGAGTAGAGTGAAAAGATAAAGATTGAAGCTTTAGTAAATAGTAAAACAGAGAGATCAAAGCGCTTCTTCATAGCCACCTGAGGTAAAGGAAGGACCGCGAGGAAATCGACAATGAAGTAACGAGTCAAGTAACGATCGGCGATCTTTGCAGGGTCAATCACAAGCTCACCTCTTCCAAACACACGAGAAGAAGGAGCGATGTAAGATGTACGGAACTGAAGAGCCATTCGTGTAAGGTAAAAGACATCGATGATTGTTCTCAGAGTCGTCGTTGTCACAGCTAACTTAGAGTCGATTCCAATGCAGTTCCCTGAGTTATCGACAATCGGGAGGTAGAAGAAGAGAGGATCAACAGAGACTGCAAGGATACAGGAGATAACGAACATTCTGTTCCATAACAAAAGCGTTTTGTCTTGAGGATCAAAGATTTTCTTTTCCGACACTCTTAAATCTTCGGGGAAAACAGCTCTCGTCACGCCTGATGTCAGCGATTTTCCGATCGTTTTTAGTCCCTCAGATCCGATTTTAACGCCTTCCCTAAAGGATTTGGATGTGTTCTTCGTCTTTCCTCCTCCTCCTCGAGCAGTTAGGTTGAACAAGCCGAAACAGGATCGCTTCATTCCCGTAGCTGTAGAAGCCATTGATACCCTCGAATCTGTATCATCTAACCTGTAATTAATTACGTACAAAACTAACTAAGATATTAACAAGGTCGATTCATATATCACGAGGGGATTAGAGAAGACAATCGTGAAAGAAGGATCGATCTCGTTGATTATGTTTCTCTTTTACCTTACGAATTTTTCTCTCTGGCCACCTATATATTGGGATTTGTACATTTTTCTTTGAGGATCGATTACATATGTACGAACCAAATTTCAAATTATTGTTTCCATGAAATCAAGAAACAAACCTGATAAAAACATATAAAAAAAAAGAAAAGAGGTCTTTAACGAAAAGCAGTCAAAAGCTGGTAATGTAGTCTGATTTTTTTCTAGGATCTAGGGTTTGAAACTTGGGGAAGAAGAAAGGAAAGAATTACGCATTCCCCCACCTTACATGGCGGAGGAAGCTGAGAGAAAGGGACGAGTGCCACGTACACATTGCTGTAACCAAATCAATTTACTGGTTTAAAGCCAAATTCTGAGGACCACGTGTTTTTGATATTTATTGTCCGAATCAATAATTTTCCCGAGTAAATTAATATAATCTATAGAAGAAATCCGCATAACTTAAGAGTAAATTGATGACTTAGTCTTCAGTGAATAGGCTTGTCAAAGGAATGTCTAGGGCATCAACGTCGCTTGAGGTTCTGCTACAAGCAGCAAGAGGCATTTTCCAAGTAGAAACATAGCGAGCAGCGTCTGGGTCTCCTCTCTTAGCAGCAAAAGCTTCGGGTAGCCACGACCTCGCATAGTTCTCCATCATTTATGGAATATGGAATATAGAATTGTTTATATATAAAACTTCTATAGTCTATAAATATCCTTTTATAGTATATAAAACAAAACAATACCAAACGGGTCACAAGCTAAACTGCTAAAGATCAGCAAAAACAAAAGGGACTTTAGTTGAATTACGAAGAGCATTGAATCGTGTCAACAGTTCACCAACTTCTAAAAAGCAAAAAAAAAGAAGAAGCAATTGTTGAAATTGAACATTGTAAGAGCGCAACACAACCAAAAAAAGACAGTGGAGATTATTTTACACCCTCTTTGTTATTATTATTTTTTGTGAAAGGAGGAAAAAAAGATTCAAAATCTGAGTGCACATGACACTGTTGGTCCACAAACACCCCCACTTATGACTTTATCATAACATAAAGAATGGGACGTTCCATAGAGCTTTTTTGTTTCTTTATGACCTTAAACATTGTATTTGTCGTAACAATAGCAAAGTCGTTATGTTTCTTTCATATATACCCATGACAGTATTCACAAGTTTCTGTCCAAAATCTCTCCAACTAAACATAACAATCTTTGAGAGTCGTGCACATTTTGCGAAACAGCTATTACGTCTTTTTCAACCGCGAGTGTGTTCAAAGCAATGCTTTACTTCTATGGTTAATGCTAAAATATCTTTTTTTTTTTTGTAATGTGCATCGTGGAGACAAGACTAGAAAAGTGGGATGGGATGTGTGTATATTAAAAAGATATGGGGTAAAATTACAAAAATCAATAATTTGAGCATAACTCCCGAAGCAGTCAAAGCGGATCTTGGACACTTCGCCTCCCAACTCGTTAACTAAATTGCTTCTCCTTTTTCTTAAATCACGTTAACAAACTAACTAATCACTAATCTCTTCTCTTAGTTACCCAAATCATCCAAAAAAGTCTATTTATATTTTCTTGACTAAACAACAATCTCAAAATCTACTACATTAGCAAGTAAGTGACTAGGACAATAACAAATAAAAATCTAATCTTAAACATCACTGTATGATCCACTACCCAAAAGCAAGTAACATCATCATTAAAAAAACAACATTATCATTTCCTAACTCTCTTTTTTTAATGACATTTTTTTGTCAAATCCATCCACTATAGTAGTATAAACCTTTTCTTTTTATATTTCTCTATACGTAATTATTACACAGTTTGAACCTCGATTTTCTCAGTATATGATGATTATATATTTTTAAAAACGTGAAATAAAGCTTTTTAATTCTCAAAGTAAACTATAAAGAAATAAAGCAAACTCATGAACAGCTTTTATCCTCGAGACATTCTCAACGACTAGATTCAGAGATTATACCTGATCAGAGAGAGATACCGAATGTTCACAAACGATTCCATCTTTCAACAGAGACATGCCTTCAAGACCAAATCCAATCCGACCAAAGCCATTCATTAACAGAACAAGAGTTCTCTTTTTGATCCTCACAATCTCATCTTCTCTTGTCATTTTCTTCGCAATCATCTACTTCATATATCACCTCTGGATTTCTCTTCTCAACCGCTCAAGAACCATCCCTTTCTACGACGTTGGTGCGTCGCCGTCAAAGCTTCAGCTTTTCTCTTACAAAGAGCTTAAACTAGCAACGAACGATTTCGACGAATCCAACGTGATTGGAAAAGGCGGCTCGGGGACTGTGTTCAGAGGCATTACCAGAGACGGGAAGCTTTTCGCGGTGAAGAGACTCGATAATCTCTCTCTTCAGACAGAGACCGAGTTCCAGAACGAGTTACAGATTCTGGGCGGGGTAAAATCGTCATTTCTGGTGACCCTTTTAGGGTACTGCGTGGAGAAGAATCTCAGGTTCTTGATCTACGAGTATATGCCCAACAAGAGCCTTCAAGAGCTTCTGTTCAACGAAGATGGGGATTCGTGCTTGAGTTGGGAAAGGAGATTCAGTATCGTCCTCGATGTAGCGAAAGCTCTCGAATTTATGCATTTCGGGTGTGACCCACCAGTGATTCACGGAGATATCAAGCCCAGCAATGTTCTTCTCGATTCTGAGTTTAAGGCAAAGATTTCGGATTTCGGTTTGTCTAGAGTGAAAGTGGAGGGAGGTTATGGGATTGATTTGTTCAGCCAGGATCTGGGGAAAAGTCAAGAGCTTTCTGGAAATTTCGGAGGAGAGAGCACTCCTCAGACCGCCATTGGCACTCCAACGGCTCATGAGGTAGATTTCGCTCTTGCTCTGCAAGCTTCTTCGTCTTCGAAGAACAGCAGAACGAGTCGTAACATCAAGGCGATGAATCTGAATTCGATGAGCTTAGTTATAGAAGGCGAGACGAAAGGCAAAGAGGTTTCGAACGATGTGGATGATGGCTCGAAAGTGAATCAGAATGTGTTGTCGTGTGAGGACCATGAGTTTGAACAGAGCAAGGAGATGAATTTGAGCCCTAATTCGGTTCTTGATGTGGGGAAAGGGTCGAAACAGTGGGGCAGAGATTGGTGGTGGAAGCAAGAAGGGAGTGGTGAGTTGTGTAGTAAAGATTATGTTAGGGAATGGATAGGGAGTCAGATTCACACGGTCAATCCGGATTGGGACGACGAGAAGAAGATCATCAACACTCCTGAGCTGGGAGTTTCGACTAGGACAATCGATAAAGCTGAAGATCGAGATGGGTCTGGTCTGAACGAATCTAGGTTTGACACTCTTGAAGAGAAGTTTGCAAAGGAAGAGATCAGCGAGAGGAAGAGCAAGAAACCGAAGAAGAAGAAGAAGCATAGGAATATGGAGGAATGGTGGAAAGAGGAAGAACATCAAGACGAGATGAAGGATAAAAAGAAGTTTGGAGTTCTGAGAATCAAGTTGAAGAATCGTTTAAAAGTCCCACATTTCCGTTACTGTTTCCGTGGTAAGGGAGAAAACAGCGTGCCCGACCGAGAAGGAGAAGCAGCGGGAGAGTTTAGCTTCAGAAGAGGATGGCGGAGGAAAAGCAATAGCAGCAGCAAGAAGAAGAAGAACAACAACACATCAATGGGGAGTGAGATGTGGAGTGGAGATTTGTTCAGCCGCGAGTTAAGCAGCACGACGAGTATGAGAGGGACACTGTGTTACATAGCACCAGAGTACGGAGGCGGTTGCTGTTACTTGATGGAGAAGGGAGATATCTACAGCTTTGGGGTACTGATTCTAGTGATAGTCTCCGGGAGGAGGCCTTTACACGTACTTGCATCGCCGATGAAGCTTGAAAAAGCGAATTTGGTGAGTTGGTGTAGGCAGTTGGCTCAGTCAGGGAACGTTCTCGAGCTGGTGGACGAGAGATTGAAGGAAGGGTATAACAAGGAAGAAGCAGGATTGTGCATTAACTTGGCTTTGGCTTGTCTACAGAAAACGCCAGAGTTACGGCCTGATATCAGTGAAGCTGTGAGGATCTTGAGAGGAGAAATGGAGATTTCCTCGACTGCTTTCGAGTTTTCTCCATCGCCTCCAGCAAAATTTTATGGCAGTAGATCGAAGCGGAGAAGTTGAAAAACAGGGCAATGCAGAGTGTAGAGTAGTTCCAAGTTTGATCTGATCGTTTTTTTCTTTCTTCTTTCCGGAATTTGTCAAATGTAACTTGAGAGGGTTTTAGCTTTTGTCAAATGTAACTTGAGATTGTATTATGTTGTAATGTTTGTAAACTATGGCCGAGATGCAAAATTCCATCAAAACGCAGAAGAATATAATATCAAATTATAGTTCAACTGCAGTTTCATCTTGAAACAATTCTCAATTGCGCTGCTGCAGTTCCTTTTGTGTTTAATGGACATATCCTCTCAAGTCTCAGTTAGATTTTTTTGGTCAAAAAAGCAACTAAGCAATAAAGTATCAAGTTGCAACTAAAGTAAACAAGACATCAATCAAGGGACCCATTACTTTCTTGATGATGGAAAATAGTGACTCCTTAAAATATGGCATGAACATTGCAACACTCAAAAGAATCCAAGGCCGTATCAATCAACACAGAAGAATTCTAGAAAAACAAAGTCATAGGACAAAAGAACACAGAAAACGACAAACTGGAAAATGTACAATGAGAGAGCTCTATAGATCTTGCCTTTGAAACACACTGAACTCAGCCTTTGGCTGTTGAGCGGTCTAATTCATATCATAAACACATTGTACTCTGACTTCCTGTACTTGAGCGTGCAGCGATGCGTGGACGTGTTTGCCTATAACAATCAAGAATCAAACTAGTTTCTAACGTCTTTCATGTAATCCGGAAAGAGATTCCTGAATCAGCATGTATCACAGTTCGGAAGACCACGAGGTCTGAGAAACAAGTTTACTTGAGTGATCGTTTGATCTCAATCTTCATCAAGTCTTACCCCTATCAGTTTCTTTTTTATATATTGATCGTTCACCTTTGTTGCCTCCCCGAGAAGCCATTTTTTGAACATCTTTCCTCTTGCTATTTTTGAACTCCTTCACCTTTTGCTCCTCAAGAATCTTCTGGAGCTTAGGATTTCCTGGGAATCCTTTTGATTTCATATCTGCATATATCTCTCTGGCCTTTTCGAGCCACCCGCATGTCAAAAGGCCCTGTACTGTAGCCAGGTAAAGAGCAGGACTAGCCGCTACCTCAAAACGACCCATCTCTGCCCACATCTTCAGAGCATTTTCAGGTTGTTTTTCCCTGAATGATTTTCCAAGAACGAGGAGAAAGGTGTCTTCTCTAGGACCTAAACAAGAGAGCTTCATTTGGCCAAAAACCTCTAAAGCCTGATCGAAATTTACAGCCTCAATGAATGCATGAAACGTATCAACTGTTAGGCTTAGGTTCTCTCTTATCATGGTCGCCAATACATTCCTTGCTTCTTCCAGCTTTCCAGCCTCACAAAGGGGCCGTATCATCGAGTTGTAGGTGACTGAATCTGGCTTTAACCCTTCCTCCTTCATCTTTTCCATAAGCTTCATAGCTTCATCAAAGCAATTCTCACGGGTCAACACATAAACCAAAGAATTGTAAACTCCAATCCCTGGAGCCAACCTTCGTTTCTTCATTTCGTCGTAGAGCCTGAGAGAATCGAAAAGGTTCCCAACTTTAGAGAAGCAAGAGATCATGTGACAGTAAGAGTCCTTGTTAGGCGTGATACAGTAATTCCCCATCTCTCGCCAAACCCTCTTGGCTTCAGTCACATCAGTCCAAATGTTACACCAACCATTAAGAATGATGTTGAATCCTTCAACATCCACCGGAAAGAGCTTTTTGCTTGCAAGCATGAACTCTTCAGCTTTTTCAATGTGCCCATGTCTACACAAAGCATACAGCAATCCTTGAAACGCTTCATCATCAGGAATGTGCTTAAACTTATCCATGATATCGAATGTCCGAATAGCTTGGCTAGTATCATTAGCAGCAGCATATCTACATCAATACACAAGACAACCAAGTCAAAACAAAAGAGGAACTTTCCGTCTTCTCTAGTTGAAGGACAGAAACTCTAACCTGTCCATCATGAGAAACATGGCCTTTCTAGTATCCCTTGAAACATGAAACATATCACGGATCAAACACCAAGCTATGTTGAACTTTTGATGATTACCCAACACCCAGATCATCAAGTCACAAGCTTTCTGATCATCGCAGCCGCGCTTCTCTCCCCATTTGAATGCCAGAAAGGCAAGCCTCCATTCATCTCTTAGTTCCCAGATTAAAGAGTAGAGAGAATCATGATCGAGATCAAAGGATGACTCCTCTAGAGAAGCCATGGCATCGGCCTCCGACTCTAGCTCCGAGACCTGTCTGATTAAATCAACCAGACCATGTTCCAGCGGAGCAAGTGCTTGCTTGATAGCAAATGTCTCGGAGGTGATTTGGGTGGAGAATCCATTGGACGAGACAAATTGTGGGACATGGCTAAAGATCTGAGAATGCACAAGACCCGCTCGATGAAATGCTGAAGAGAAAGAAGCAATGTGTGAAGATGAGTAAGAAGACGATGTTAACACTGCACGTAGCAGGTATCGATGTTGAACAATCCACAATGGTGGCGTTCGCGTTAGCTTCCTAACAATCGCAGCCATAGCTCACCGGGACTGAATGGAAGGGAGAGTTTGATTGATGGAATGTTTTTCAAAAATCTGGTCTTTATGGGACGAGGAAAGAAAATTCATAGCTTAATGGGGCTTACAAATAATATATAGTAAATATGGGTCTAATATGGTGATAGATAAGGTTATGTTAACGGGCCTAAATAAAGCCCATTTTAGATGGTTGTTAACTTGTAAGACCTCCGGAAAGCTGGGATCTAATATGGTGATAGATAAGGTTATGTTAACGGGCCTAAATAAAGCCCATTTTTGATTGTAAGACCTCCGGAAAGCTGCGACCTTCACGGAGAAATTCAGTTCCTGATAAACCCTAGAAGAAAAATCTGAGTCGAAGATCGAGAATGGGAAATGAGAGCAAGAGCAGTGGAGCTTCAAATGTGGGAGGAGGAGGATTTAGGGCAAAGATGGAGCACTACGTCTACAGTGGGGAAAAGAAGCACGTTTTGGCTGGGATCGGAATAATCACCATCATCTTCGGGATCCCTTGGTATCTTATGAATCAAGGTCCGTTTTTTGGGCGCTTTTTGATTGAATATAACTTATTTATCTTTGGATCCTGAGAAATTAATCTAGAATTAGAAGGAAAGTCCAGGTTTTTCATTTCTTTTCCAGATGAATGTTTGTTGAAATGATACGTGCGGTACTGATTCGATCACATAAGCTAGGTTAGGAATCTACTGATAACAGCTTGAAAATCAAAACTTTCTTCTCAAATGAAATCAAGTGCTGGTTTTGATGGATTGACTGAACAAATGGAGTGTGAGAATATCTAAGAAATGAGTCGCATTGTTTTTTCTTGTTCGGATTCTAGACTTGTATGATCACAATCCTACCGTGTTTCTCTGCTTTTCCTCTTGACAATCCTGTTTGTTTTGTTACATCTCATTGGTTTATCTAATTTGGTTATCTGAGGTGTGTTTATTTTTCCCCTTGGGGTTATGTTTAGGCTTTAACTGTTGTTACATTCTGGTTTCCTTCAGGATCAAAGCATCGGTCTCATCAAGATTACTTGGAAAAAGCTGACAAAGCTCGAAAAGCCCGTCTCTCATCATCTTCGACCTCTGAGAAGTAGTTACCTCCAATCTCTTTTCTCAGCCTCCCCACTTTGGAAACCGTTTTGCAGACTCTCTAGTCAGATACATGCCGTGAATGATCCATTCTGTGTTTTTTCGTGTCCATAGAAACATAACTCAGTAAATGTCTGAGCCAGTGTGGTTTTAGTTCACATACGTTTCGTTTCACTGAAGTTTCTGTATCAAATAAATCAAAGTTTTCTCAAATTCAAAGGTTGAAGAAATTGCTCCGAGTTAAAAGCTTCATTCTCATAATATTTTCTCTAGTACACTGTTTCCATCTTGTGAAGGTCAACACAGATGATTAGTACAAGCAACATAAACAGTTTAAGCAAATCGTCTACTTGTTATGATGTCCTCACAGAGGCATGAGCCTCCTACGTTTGTAGAACCAGACGAAAGCCAAGAATACAAGAAGACCACAGACTCCGGTAATGGTCAAAACCCATTTGAAAGCGCCTGGCGTTTCAAAGAAATCTATCTCGAAATTCATCCCAAAGATCCCGGCTACAACCCCGAAGATGGCTACAACAAATGTCGCAGTAGTTAGCAGCAGTTCGAACTGGATCAGCTGATTCCGCACGTTATCCTGCAAATTCCAGATTTTTTTCAGCAAACTCTTATGGTTTTATAAGAAAGTAAGGTATAGTCAATGATTCAAAGGTATACCAATTGAATGTTGATAAAATCCTCAGTATCATCGATGTACTCCTTTAACTGAAGAGTAAAGAAAGGATTAAAACGCTTGTAACTGCTGTTGGAACGAGATAATGAATATATACAATATAATAAAGGACCGGTTTTTTTATGTTACCGAGGTTAGCTTGTTGAGAGTGCTATCGATGACAACAAAGTACGCTTCAAGCAGCATCTCTAGCTCCTCTATGTTCTCGGTTGCGCCTTCTGAGCTTCTTGCACTGTCATGCCGGCTCCTCGCAATGCTCAGGCTTTTCTCAAGTCTCCGGGAATCAGGAGGAGAAGAAACAGGAGAAACTGGTGCAGAGAGAGAAACACCATCATTTGATCTGTAGCCAAGCAAGGACTGATCACCATATACAGATCCTTCCATTCTCTTCTTCTTCTCGGTTAGATACATTTCCGCCATATCCCCATCGTCGTCCATTAACTGTTCAATCTCATCCCGAACCTTCTGAACTCTTCTCGTCAATGCTACAAGTCTGCTCTTCAGTCTACGCACACGCTCCAGGTTTAAAGTACTGATCTTTGAGGTAAGCTCATCCAATAATGGATATGCCTCGATCTCTAACTCTGAAGCCTACAAAAGGGTAAAAGTCGAATCTATACCCAATGCCAACATACCACATTCAATGAGCTCTGAAAACGATGACTGACCTGGGAATCAAGGAAGGTACAAGCAGCTTCGAGGGCAATTTCAAGAGCCCTAAACTCGAAAGGTAAATAATCAGGGGACGAGTTTTGAAACGTATTGTCTAAACTCCTATTCCTCCTCTTGCTCAGTTCGAGGCTGTCCTGATTCCAAACCTCACCTACAGCACTTGCTTTTAGTCTCTGCTGCAGCTCAACCACATACCGAAGCACATAGTTGTCGAGGGAATTCAAGAGCAAAACCTCATCCGCAGTAATAATACAACGGATCTGCTCTAAGTTTACAACAATAGCTCTCTCTCGGCCCAGGATAGTAGACGGATACACAAACAAAGGATCAAGCAGGCGCAAATCACGTGCTGGCAAGTCGCATCTACGCATCATTGAGAACTTGTCGACCTCAATGACCTGTGTATTGGCAAAGGTATCAACACGGATCCACGACTTAAGCCCTTGTCCACGCTTCTTCAGGCCCAAAACATCAACTCCAAGGAGAGGTTGTCTCCCTGATGCAGAAGGCCGAGACGCTGCATCGCCTCTGAGGTTGATAGCTGAAGCAGGCCTTGGAGGAAGCAACCGCTCTTTGAGGTCAGCCATTGTTGCTAATCCCCAGATGCTACAAAAACGAACAAGAACAAGGATGAAGTATATATATATATATCAAGAATCTCTTCAAGGTCTATCTCTCTATCCGATGCAGAATCAAAAATGGAAATTTGAAATTTCCCAAAACAGGGATCGCCTTCCACAATAACAAGCATCAAATAAAACGGATCAAAGAAGTACAGGAAGAAGCATGAAACCTCCGGTTCAACAAATCAAGACGTGTTCTTACTCTATCCTAACCAACTGTAATCAGAAAACGAAGAACCAGCCTCAGAAATTGATCAAATATCAAAGATTTCGCACGAAATTACGAAGAAAACAACTCACACACCACAAGGCGATGATCAGAAAACGAATCAGAGTTAAGATTTAGCGGTCATATCTGGGCTACAAACGCCGAAATACCCCCCACAAGTCATGGAATCGGATTGGGACCAGAAAACAGAGAAAAGATCACCAAAAAGGTCTCAAATTGTACAGCAGAATTCACACTTACTTACGAAAATCTCGCGACGGAAAACCCTAAAAACTGGAACTGATGTTATTTTCGAGAGAGGAGTTCGATGGATTCTCTTAACTAATTTGCTTGAGTGAATGCGAGAGGAAGCAAAAGCAAGCACCTTTTGCCCTTGTGGAAGAGAAGCTTAAAACCGAAATGCAAACCGATTCTTAACTAATTTACTTTTACTGAAGACTCAAAATTACCGGTTTAACACTTAACTTCCATTAGTAATGTGGTAGATATATAATTAAAGTTGTCCTTGTCCATTCCGTAAACAAATTAATTAAGCATGACGACTAAAAGTAATTAATATATAGTAGCAAATATTATGACCGGTTCTATTGTTTTTAGATTGAGATGACAACGTGCAATTAATTAAAAAAAAAAGAGAAGAGTCCGTGGAAAAAACAAGGGATGACAGATGGATGACGTAAGACGGTGAGAATCTAAAAGATTCTCTACGACCCGAACCATTAGATCCAGACCCGGTAACTTTATCGACCGACCCGTTTACCATGCTCATTTCCTCTCTCACCACCAACCTTCCGAGGTTTCGCGGAGTTTTTCTGCTCAAATAAATTCGATCGGTTGAAATCTAGTCATATAACGAGTTTCGAACAGCAGATCTAAGTCCTCAATCATCTGAAATCTTGTTTTAGCTTCAGTTTGTGATTCTCGTTCTGGACATTGAACTATTGCAATAGCTGGAGGTCGATCACTCCGTGGTCTTTGTTCTTAGGGTTCATCCTCAAGGTGATCAATTTCCTTTTTTTTTTTTGTTTATAAATCCAAATGAGTTATGCGATTTATGTACTAGAATGATCAATTTACGACGAATTATCTATCATGCGATGATCTTAACACCCTAAGTCGTAATTTTTCTGGTGATCATTTTTCATTTTACTGTATCTGGAAGATCTATGTTATTGCATCACGTGTCTGCTGCGTTGATGTACTCGAGAAACCCTTAGTTATATGAAATGTCTAATAGACAAAGAGTTGTAGTATTGCCTGATTTCTGATACACATTTGTTTGGTGATTTAAGGTGTTATGAGCTCTTAGAAGCTATGGGAATGGCGTCCATGAGCTGTGGTAGTGAAAGCCTTCGACTTTGCGTGTTTGACTTGAGGAGGGGCCAAAACGAAGGACAGGAACTTGACAAGATCTTGTTCTTCTATCCTCCTGATCTAACCTTCTCGACTCAGCTGTCGGTTATCGGGCTCAGCGAAGGGCTTATCACATTCACGAGGTCAGCCGCTAGAGATTTTCCTTCTTTGCTCATGGATTCATTGGTTTTGTCTCACTCTGGATCATGTTCACATGAATTTTGAGTAAAACATTCTGTTTCCGTTGGGGTTTTTTGGCTTTGCCTGAATATTTTTGGGTTTATGGAATATATAAATACAGACTTTTCTCCCCTGAGGCAGCTTGTGAGGTAATAGAAGCAGAGAGGCATTCCCATGTTTTCTTCGAAGCCGAGCCCGATATATGGATGGTCATGGTACAGTATTATCGACTCTTTTACTTGTTACGCCACTTGAACTGCACGTGTTTCAGATGCTTAGAGAAAAGAAACATTTGATACTAGAATTTGGCAGATTGTAGAGAAAAATAAGGAGATTGAAGCTATATGGAGGGTTGATGCATTGCGGAGAATGCTCAAAGAAGTGCACTCCCTCTTTGTTATGTTTCACGGATCAATTAGAGCATTGCTTGAAAAAGAACCAGCAGGAGGGCTTATCCGATCGCACTTGCATCCGTTCATCACAGACTATCTAAATGGTAAGCAATATCCACCAATATGAATTCCCTGTGATCTATATAGCACTTGTCACAATGTTTTTAATTTATTTTCTCTTGAGGGCAGATCTTTCTGTTGGGAAGAAACTTCAGTTACCTTCCTTCCGTGAAACTTTGAAAGAGCGCGGAACAGTTCAGATGCTTACTTTAGCAAGGGATGCTGCACTTGAAGTTCAGGTTTGTTTCTCCATCTCGAAATCCGTTTCGCAGTAACACATCCCCTTTTATTGTTCACTATTTTGACCAGTGGTTTCTTTGATGTACTACAGTCTCTTGTCGGAGTGCTAGATTCATGTGCTGGGACCGTTCGATGCCACTCATTGATTCTATTTCATGACCTGCTGGTGTCAACAACTCTCTCACCTGTAAGTTTTCAAATCCATAAGTCGCAATATTCTTACCCAAGACTGTTGTGTCGATAAAACTTTTAGTATATAGGCCACCAATACTAAAAGTTTGAATCTTTGTCAGGATGATACCGTGGACTTGTTTACATTTTCTGTCATGAGACTGACCACAAACGCGGTATCCTCTGGCACGAGTTCATGGTCATATCTACGCAAGGGATCCAGTTTATCTCAAATCTCGTCTAGATCTAACTCAGGGCAACTTCTTGGTTCAAGTGATCCATTGCCTTCAGGAAATGGTAATGACGTAGGTCGTGTTATTAGACCATTACAGCAAGATAAGTGGTCGAAAGGGAAAGATGGGTTTCTCGTAACCGATATATGGGGTAAAGATGCCACCCCGAGAATCTATCTACAGCAGACGCAAGAAAGAGTTTACCTTTTAACTTATCAACACAAAAGCCTCACCTTGGTTCTTCTCGTGCCTAGCGCTGCCATTGTTAATGGAGAGCTAGACATCTCATTCGTGAAGCACCAAGTTATTGAAAACGTTAGCTCCTCTCTTTAGAGACCTCTTCCTTGCTTCACTGTGAAATATATTCGAGCTCCATCTCTCATCATTTGATATCTATAATGGCAGGCATCTGCGAAAATCTTGAAAGTCGAAGAGAAGCTATCGAAAGGATGGGGCGGTGAGAACGCTTACCATGTAAGCGGTTACCGTTACTTGCTAGTTGATAATGACATGGAAGTTTCAAGAGCTTCTCCGCCGGGAAAGGTAGCAACTTTGGCAAAGGTAAGATTATAACTCCCATCAAATCATATGCATAACCAAAAGTGTTTCAAACACTTGACAAAAATTCCTACATAATGTTCGTAGGAGTCTTTACTCGCACTAAGCAAGCTAAGGGAAACAGTGGATTCAGAGAAGAGCCGCACGAAGCAAGAGAGAGAGATGGAAATATGCATTCGAGCGAAGAACAACGCGTGGGCCATCGCTCGCCTAACCAGAGGTAAAGAGCTTTACATGGCTTTGGAGAAAGCAAGTGAAACTCTTCTTGATGCTACAGACTCTGTCCAAAGTTTCAGCAACAGGTAAAAAAAAAAACCTTTTTGTTACTACTACTAAGTACTAATCTATAAAACTGGAGTTTGCAACAAGATGTTAAATTTATTTGGTAAATCACTACAGGTACTGCAGCGGAGCATTCTCCATGGATTAAGTTCTGCTATGTTTTTTGTAGAAACTGCAAAAGAACCGACTTTTTCTTGAAGAGGATGTTTCGAATTCTGTTATGAAACATAAAGAAACCGTTGAAAAGAGAATGATGATTTGGTCTTTGCATTTGAATTGACTGAAAACATAGAACTTGACTCTTGACGATTTGAAAAGGTCAAATACTTAAAGCTAGTAGTATTATTCTTTTATTAAGCCCCAGTTCACTAATCGTGAATGTTGAGATTACATCAAAGGAGAAAGTGACTTTATATACATGTTTTAGTAATCATTCACGAGACAATATCACCTAATTACATCGGTGCTTATAGTCTCTCTTGTTATTTATGTGCATCGCATTCGAATCATTTCGAAATTTGTGAAATAATCAAAAGCCTTTAAGCGTAAGGATTAACGTGAGACGAGTAATCACGGGTTCCTGCACCTTCCCATCCCATCCATTCCTCCCACGTGTCGCAGTCTGGATCGTTCATTCCATTGAAACCCTCGTCAGATACATCGAACGCCTCAAATTCCTCCGTTCCCTCCATCTGATTCTTTATTTGCTTCAACACAATCTTCAAAAACCCAGCAAGAGAAAGCAAAGATCATCAATTCTCAAATTTTCATCACACAACTGTTAAAAAGTAGATGCTTTGATAAATAAACACACACTTACATTGTAAGCTTCGTTAATTGTCTGAAACTGAACCCCACAGTTGCTTCCTCTACACACATCGGGATGATACTGCAAAGAACATAAGCAAACGAATCGATCAGAAAGATGTCAAATTGAATCTCTTCGCAACAAGGATCAAAACCAGATCTAAATAATCGACCAAACATAAAAAAAAGTCAAAACCTTTTTGGCGAGTTGTCTGAAAGCTTTCTTGACCTCATATTCTGATGAATCGGGCCGGATCCTAAGAGTCTTATACGGATCTATTACGGAGGAAGAAGAACAGATGACTCCAGTTCTGTTCAGCATCTTGGTGTTCTTTCTTCTGCTGTTTTTTAATCGCAACGATGAAGAAGATGATGAAAAGGACGATCCGGGTAGACCCGAGAACCCGTTTCCTCCGATGGTTAAAGCAATAGTCATATTATTTTTTCTCTTCCCAAGACGGAATCAAACGGAAAAAACTAGAAGAAGGTTATACGATCTCTAGAAAGAAAAGAAAACTTGAGAGAATTTCTTTGGGTCAAAAGTAAAATTGAAGTTTCAATAATTGGATTTGTGGATAAAAGGGAGAGAGGCGGGATTATATATATACAAAGAGAGAAACGGTGACTCATTTTTTTGTCATCTAAAAGTGTCCTTATCCATAACGCTACCGCTTTCCATGGCCAATTGGTTTTTACTATTTATCCACTCCTATTATTTTGTTTTATTTTTCATATATATTAAATAAATGTTTTTTATCCACTACTATTATTTTGTTTTTTTTGTTTTTCATCCGACCTTTTTTGTTATTATGTTTTTAGAAGTTTTAATAAATTTTCTCCAAATAAAGAAATTCTGGTGTGGCTAAATGTGAAAGACAAGGGAAGTGTTTGATAGGTTGGTGGTACTTTGGGTATTATTGTAATCTAAGATGTTATTGAGTACAACAATTCAGTTTTTCTTTACTAATTACGTTGTTGATAGTTGATACTGTGGGTAGATTAAAACCACAATCTGTTTTTATTATTTCTTAAAACCACCATTGGTACTATTCTTGTTTTTTAAATGGTGATGATACTGACATTTCCAAACAAATGACTGATATTATTGCGTTCTTATCCAAAATTCCATTTGTAGAACAAAAATACTGGAAAGATTCCTTCGCAATTTGATCCTTTTCACGATTCAAAATATCTCAGGATTTTCATCAAGACACGCAAACAAGTCTAAATATTTTGTGGATCACAAAATGCACCAATACATATCTTATTACATATCTCTGCTCTGCCCGATCACATTTATCTTTTGACAGTTTAATTGAATAGGTATAGTATATTATTTAACGCAACACAGACGATTGTATGGTACTTTTCTATAAAAAAATCGGATCGTAATTCAATGAAAAGCATCATTTAAACTTGAAGAACAAGTACATAACAAACAAAAATAAACATTCCAGTTCACAACCATAATTGCCTATGTAAAGTCAAGTTGAATAACCAACACAAGATTTGAAAATTTGAAGAATTTTGGTAGAATTGAAACAAAACAGCCTCTCAAGCCCTTCTTCTTCGCTTCCTCTTCTCTCTGTCGCTTTCATCCGAACTAGAAGAAGACGACTCAGAATCAGACTCGGAACTAGAACTGTCAGATCCAGACGATGATCCTGATTCTGATTCCGCAACTTGCTTCTGTTGTTGCATGATCAGGCGTGGCATGTTCTTCAGGTACTCTCTGAGATTCTCTGTGATGCCTCCAAGACCAATCGAAGTAAAGAAGTTGATTGCAAACCTCGTGTTCTTCGGATTATCTTTAGGGAATATGGACTCGAGTGATTCCTGCATTGTTGGATCCTGAAGCCTCTCGTTAAGCAGCCTTATCCCCAAGTGTTCTGACAATTCCTGCAATCAATGCAAAGCAGTAACCCAATAAGTACAAGACTCCCACAAACAAAATTCGCTAGCAGAGTCCTAAACGTGCACTAACATATCCATGGTTTCTGTTTATTGACTACTTCATCATATGAAACAAAGGAATTAGTACTCAATCACATGACGCATATCCAACCAAACCAATGAGATAAATAGCTGTGCAACGGTAAAATGAGTGGCATGAAATGTGCTGTTGATTCTAGTTACCTGAAAAAGGATCTTAATAAAGATACGAGATGAGGAAGTTGTGTCCTCCTCGGTTAACCGAATGTAGGCAAGCACATGCCAGGGAAGTGCATCTGTGCCCAATAAATGGGCGAAGAACTTGGCCACATTACGCAACTTGTTCGTCTCGAGACGATGGATCATGGAATACTGCTGCACAAAACATTTCTCAAAATTCTCTTGATGAATTTTGTTGATCATACAGAAACGCTGGCCCAACAAACCGTAGTAGCGCAGATATGTTCTCTCCTGAGAGCAACATTCCAGGAGCATTATGCATAGTTCCATCTGCAACATTGAATTGGACAAGAATCTTATAAGACTTGAAATCACAAACTTTAAGATGGATTGATCGAAACAATAAAGCAGAAAAAGAAGTGATAATCAGAGTTTGGAGGGAGTTACCTCTTGACCTGGTTCAAGTTTAATTTTAAGCAACTTGTGACCTGCTTCCTCAAAATCAACGCTGGACATTATGGTCAGGTATATTGTCCTCCTAAGATTAACAAGGTTAGTCTCTGTCTCGTCTCTTATTCTCATCTGTTCTTCATCTTCTTCATCAGACTCATCTTCCTCCTCATCATTGTCCTCTGAACTAGCATCAGATCCATCTTCATCCTCAGACTCATCCTCACCGAGTAACTCCTTCTTCAGGGCCTCGTATTTCTTTTCGTTCTCAAGGAAGTCAGGATCAGGTTTGAAAACATCTACAAACAGAAGAGAAACGTATAATATTAATAGCAGTTTCATTAATACTAAAAAGTAACCCATCTCTCTAGAACCATGGGGTGGACCTTTAAGTACCAAGCTTACCAAGAGAAGTTTCAGGATCTATTTGGTCATCAATGGATATATCGTGCGAATATTTTTCTTCCACAAGATCTAACTCAGGACGAACAGCTGGATGTCCCTGAAAGAAAACCATTCACACAATTTTATGAGCATTTTCCATCTGCGAAAACAAAGCATGGTATCATCTCTGCTAAGATCAGAATATAATTCAAGTTGTCTAAAGTATATTTACCTGAAAGTTCGCCTTCCTAATAGCAAAGAGCCCTTCAATCAAATACTGAACTCTCTTATCTATCTCTCCCTCGTGCAGTATACCTCGAAACCGCTCAAAAATTCCTGAAAAAAAAAAGTGGAAGCTTAGAAACACAGATAAAAAAGAAGACCCGTGGCAGTATAGAACATGCATGCCATAAAATTTCAACGTTATCCTGCACCAAGGGATGAACTAGATTACAATAGCAGCATGTGTTAATAATCACTGATTTGTGAACTAATTTGATGGATTCGGTGAAAAGACAAACACGCTTAATGTTTCTCAAAATAAAAATAAAACAGATTTTCACAAACAAAAAGAGAGGTCGAAAGGATTTTTACCATGCACTCCTTTTGGTGTAAATTCCTGAAGCATCGCACCACACTCTGTCACAAACCCAACAGCCACCTCGACACTGTCATCAGTCGGGATATCCAGAAGTATAGCGACTAATTGAAGAGCAATGATCTCCTCAGCGACTTGCTGGTTTACTAGATGTGCAATAAATTTTACAGCAGCGAGCAATTGAGGCTGGCAAAACAAAAACGAAAGATACAAACGCATAAATATGACATGTACCAGTTTAAATGATTGACAAGACTTGCAGATTGGGAAAGCAAAAAAGACAAACCTTGTCATTACGCTTATACGCTCTCTTTAGCTGCAAAATGACCCTTTTCAATAGAAGTTCAGCAACTTCAGGGAATTTGGCGTTAATAACAGCGACTAACGCTGCAAAGACATCAGTGAATCCAGGAGATGCCATTTGTGACTTCATACATGACCGACAGAAAAGTCCCCTTCCTCTGATGAGATTTTCCGCAAACAGTTCAGGGATTATGTTCTTGATGTTGCTTGCATTGACCTTATTCACCAGCCCATTGATACTTTTACGAAGAGCGTCCCATGTAAGACGTTGATACTCTACACTGCTCTTGTCTTCCACCTCCTTCATCATGCGTGCTAGCTTGAACGGAGGAATATAAACTCCACCAGTTTTTCCCAAAGTCATGGCATTGTTATCAGAAGGATTGAGTTCTGGCAACTTTGGCTTTGCAACTACACTCGCCTCTTCCTTTCTCAACTTGTCTCTCTGGCTATCATCATATCTATCACTGTGTCTCCTCTCCTTTTCATCTCTAACTCTATCATCCTTCCGATGCCCATCCCTCCTTTCAGCATCTCTCCGACGGTTCCCGATCTCAAGCCCATCAGACAAGTCTCTCTCCCTCCGATCCCTCTTTAGGAGGCCTTCATCACCTCTATCAGTCCTCTCTTTTCTTCTTCTGTCGCTCTTAATCTCACCTTCTTCATCGTCGTCAGATGCTTGATGATCTCTGCGTTTCCTCTCGCTTTCTCGCCTACCTCCCCTGCTCTTCCGCCTATCATCTTCTTCATCGGAAGGTTTATCTGCTATGACTCTACCACCCCTATGACCCCTCTCTCTATCATGCTTCTCCATGTCTTTGGGGATTCTCTCACTGCTTCTCATCTCGTCGTCATCCTTAACCTCTTCGGTTCCCCTTTTGTTCCCCTTCAAATCACCATCTTCATCAGAAGAAGTGTCTGCTCTAACTCTATCCCTGCTTCTTCCTTTGCTTACCCTCCTCTCACCATCTGCATCCATTCTTTTACCTCCATCTCTCTCTTTGTCATCGTCAGAGCCAGAGTCCACTTCTCTTCGATCCCTTCTCGACCGCCTGGCTGATTCCTCGTCGGAAGAGGTATCAGCTCTCGCCTTATCTCCACGGCTCCTCTCTCGTCCTTTCCCGTCACGCTTCGGCTTTCGGTCATCCCCATCTGCTACACCACCAATCTCGAGATCTCTTCGCGAGCTTTTATGGTCATCATCGCCAGAAACCCTAACCCGACGATCCACATCTTCACTCTCCATCCTCGAACGCCTACCATCTGGGCTTCTCTCTCTTCTTCTTCTATCCACCCTTCTCACTCTCTCTTCTTCCTCGGAGGAACTACCGTGTCTACCCATGGATGTGAATTCCCAGCTAAGAAGACACCCAACCCAACAGTGAATTACGGATAAAGGAAGAACCTTTTCTCGATAATAACAGAAAACCCTAGCCTATCGCAAGAACCCTACTGAGGTTATCGCCAAGATCTGAATCGCGAAGTAAAAGTGGTGGTAGACTGAAAAATATCTTTTCTGATTTGGTTTTAGTTCTGAGAGTTACGCCGCCCTTTAGCCGGCACGATTTCCTGTTCTTAATTCCCAGAACGGCATAATATCCTCATTGGGGGGCCCAGAACGGCATAAATCTAAGCCTAATGGGTCAAGGCCCAATAATAAATGACGGCTTATATGATATTAGTCCTAGAACAACTAAGCCCAAGAGTACATTTTCTTTCAATTGGGATAAATATAATAATTCCAACTTCGTTAAGGTTACCGAATATTTGCAGACGCAGATTCCAAGAAATTACTAACTTCAAGAAAGATGCCCTGAGTTCGTGGCATATGCTCTCTGCAGACTGCAAAAGTCCACAATTTATCTTTACCCTCATTAATAATAATTTCATTTTTCATGTTAACAATTTTTTATCTTATGAAGATATAAACGCTATAAGAAGTGAAATACAGAATTGCTAGAATCGAAAGAAAGAAAACAATAAAAATCTGACAAAATCAAAGAAGACATTATTTTGAATAAGTCTCGACGGGATCATTGATTATAATATTACCTTGACTATAGTAAAATAAAAAGTAATCATATGTTTTATACTTTGTTTAATCATATGATTTTTAAGGAAGAACTATGCGGGGAGACGTATGATCATACTCAATAAATCATTTAATGATCATTATACCGTAATTCACTCCCCAGCCATATAACTCAGTATCAAACCAATTATAAAGCCTAGAATATGTAAACAGAAAATAAATTTACTAGTATTAATCAGTAAATACAGTTTACTTGATATCCAGAACATTCTACATATCGGAGAACGGTGCACGTGAAAAATCACGAGAATTATACGGTCATAAATGTGATTTATGTAAAATGGTGTGCAAAAATCATGGTTAGAAATATTATTATGATTTTGTTTTTGTTTCAGTTTAAGAAAAGGATTAAAAGGATGCATGAAAAATAAGCTAAGGAAGAAGACGAAAGGGTCCCACAGAAGAAAACGATAAGACAACTGTTATCGACTTCGTAAAAAAAAAAGAATCAAAAGAAAGACATTTTCACAAGGCTGAAGAACAAAGCAAAAGCCTTTCGTAGTCGTGACCGAAACGCCAAATCATTACCGTTCAACTGAAATTCAAGAGAGAGGGGATTTTGGGTCCCTTGTACGTTATCTTCTTTCTCTTCTTCTTCTTCTTCTTCTTCAACAACTTATCTTTCTCCAAATCGTGTGTCGGTTTAACTTGTGGGGGGAAATTTTCAGATTAAATGGAGAAAGGGGCTGGATTTGAGAGAGAGAATACGAAAAAGAAGAAGACAGTGAGTGATGGGTTTGTCGGCGGTTTTTTCCCTGTCTCTACCACTAAGATCGCGTGGAAATCAAGAAAAAGATCAGGTTCTCTCTCCTTCTCTGTTTCTTGTTTTCTCAGATTTTCATCTGTCCTTTCAAATTATTTTGATCTGAAAGATTTTTGGGCTTATTCATCGTTTAAGCCATGCTTGAAATTAGCTCTACGTGAACTGTTAAAGTCTCTGTTCTGCGATCGAGGCAGGGATCTTCATCTCTCTGTCTTAACTCTTAAGCTTGGAAAATCTTAAAGGCTTTAGCTTTAATTTTGGTCTAATCCGTTATATGTGCGTTTGGAATCCAAAGCATTAACGACTTCGACTGCAGCATCCGTGAACCCAGACAAGGCACAGGAAACTGCTATGGAGGTCACGCCAGAGAAGAATGAGACAACAGCAATGGAAACCGAGAAAGTTGGGGAACCAATGACTACAACTCCTGTTCTGTCCGAGAAAAGAAAAGCTCTGTTTGAGCCACTCGAACCCATTACAAATTTGAACGGAAAGCGACCAACAGCGGCTGATTCTCTGTTGCCACCGCCAGATTTCGAGTCTGCAAACTACCCGAAAGGCTGGTTGATCGGTAAGAAGAGGAAGCTGGTGAATGTTGATGTAGTTGAGAGCATGCGGAGAATCGCTGTCCAAGAAATGAACAGAAAGGTAAGACAAACCCACACACAATCCACATTTTTGCTGGTGTTTTCTTCGTTCTTGTTGGAAATTTTGACTTAGGGGTTGTGTGACAGGATCGAGAGATAGACGGGTTAAACGAGCAGCTAGAAGAGGATTCACGTTGCTTAGAGCATCTGCAGCTTCAGCTGCTACAAGAGAGAAGCAAGAGAACAGAGATCGAGAGAGAGAACACAATGTTGAAAGAGCAAGTCGATATGCTTGTGAACATGATACAACAAGAAGAAGAAGAAGGAGCCGAAGAACCATAGCTAGTATTTCATCATATGTACGTTCTATCGACCTATAATATCCAACTGTTCTGTTTGTTTATTCATTTGTCCATTAGAAGGAAAAAAAGAAGAAAGCTTTACCATAATTTGTTATCTGGTTAAGCTACTGTTGTACCCCCCCTGTTAGAACAAATAAGAATCAAGCACGTTAAATATTCTAAGGTCTCGAGTTCTCCTTCAAGATTTTTAACCTGGGAATTGATTGATCTTCACTGTTTGGGGTGTGTGTGTGTCTGTATCTAATGTTGCTTCAGCAGGAGGCAAAAATATACAAATTTCAGAAATGGGAGATGTATATAGAGATAGATATGTTTTGGGTATACTACTAAACGAATCGTGTTAAAAGTGTATCCTTCTCCTATGAATAAATGAAATATACGGACCACGAATTTCGAGTGTCCCATATTAGCTTTTGCAAAACAAACCTGCACGAACACGAAAGAGATTGCTTCAGATTTACATGCCCAAAGTTTCCATCCCAGCCACAGCTTCTTTTCTGATTTATTGAAAACTCACTATAACACATAGTTTTTATATTAAAAAAAAGACACAGAGAGAAAGCTTTGAGTTGTGTAAGCAAACTTTTGTTTATTTTTATTATTGTCACAGATCCATTATTCAATCACGGTCATGGTTTTGTTCTTGGTAACGACTACAACATTACAAACGTTCTCAGGCCAGTAAAATTTCATTCTTCTTTCTCATGGAAAACACGGAGTTGACTAAGATTACCATTGAGAGTCGCGTGGTATATCCTTTTGTCGCCAAGTCCCAAATCCGATAGAATCAAGTTACCCTGAGAGCAAGCAACAAGAGAAATGCAGAGCCAAGAGTGGGTCAACGATGACACACACAAGCCAAAAACTATATAACATGTCTCTAGTTTAACTGCGGTCAAGAAGCAAATACCTCTGTGGCCATTAACCTCCGAACATTGCTAGCATAGAGTTTGGGATCATCTTTCTCTTCTTGTGAAGGGTAGTATACAGGTAACCGTATCACCTCCAAGTGATTTACGAACTGACAGAGAAGGAAAACAACGTGGCGTGCCTGGAAAAAAACAAGACTCAGGTGATTTGATTTTTAAAGCGAAATCTTCTAAGAAACCCGCGAATTTGTCAGACAGAAACTACTCACCCCTGATATTGTATCCCATGCCACACTGAAACGCTCGTACGGATATTTTAAAATCACCGGAAGAACAGGAGTTCCGGCCAAAAATGCACCTGTCTTGAATGTAAGTAAGTAGTCTCCATTGGTAGTTGTTCCTTCTGCAGTGAGTCCAAATCTTAGTTATAAGGAATCAATGATGCCTTTGGTCGATAAAACTGATTAAAGGAGCAATACTGAACCTGGAAAAAGCATAATAGTTGGAGCAGATTTATTTCTGTGAGCTTCTCGAACTCTTTCATTTACTGTGCCTGTGAAGAAGAAATAAACATCGGTTAGATATATAATATTGCGACTATTAGAATTGTGAGAATTAAGCTTAAAAAGAAGTTCTCAAGCAAAAATCATATACCAGATACACCCTTGAAATCAGGCGATTTTGCTTCTCGTTGTACATAGACGCAACCAAGGCATTTACTGTCAGAACAAAATACAAGAAAATATAACCAAATCTCAGATGATCGATACAAACAAACAACATAAACAATGACATCTTAAGATTGTATCACCATAAACTTAGATAAGACATTCACAACTAACCTTATGAGGCCAACAAGAGGAAGTTTCCCCACTGATCTCTTCAGCAGCAAAAATCATGGAAGGAACACAGACAAAACAAATGTAAATTGTCATTGCCAGAAAAAGATACACAAAATTCTGTAGTTCAGAAAGTAACTCAACAGAAGTATACCCAATAGCATAATTCTATCAACTAACCTTGGCAACAAAACTTGGGAAAGAAGCAGACATATGATACAAAATGTCCAGGTACGAAACGTGATTGGACACAATGGCTCCAGCTCTTTCAGGTTCCTCCTCGGCGGTTTGGCCTTTCTGGTCAACCTGTAGCAAATGGCAGAACGAATTAAGAGAAGAAACAAACGCCAAGCCATCAGTGGGAACGAAACCTTGGATCAATTTCAGCAAAAAAGAGGTCCCAAGATAATAAATTGTACAACAACCAAACTTCTCCTTTCAGCCCTAAATTGTCGTACAGACTACGATCCTACCAATAAATAGCCTCCAAAATACATCTTCTTACAACAAAGTCTCACGCTTTAAGGTTCCTGCTTAAAACCACACCTACAAGTTCCCTCCCACACTAGCAAATCATAAACTTAGCTATGGCTTATACCTCAGACGAAGTGGTTTTATCCATGGCTGAATCTCGATCTGGACGGCTCTCGTGAATCCAATAAAACCCAAACACGAAAAGCAAAACCCTTGAGAGAAACCTCCCACACCGCACGATGACAGTCCTTCTCCATCCTCCCATGTGAGCATAGTCTTCCTGAAACACCACTCCACCTTCTTCTTCCTCTTCCTCTGCTCCACGATACGGAGCCGAAAACAGCGTAAACACCCTACATATCAAGTAATAGAGAAGCAAGATGCCCATCGCCAGAATAAACCGCACTGGAACAAGCGTCACCATTGCCACCGCCAGCTTGATTTTCTCCGTCGCAGGAAAAGGACCCAGACCCATCGTCCCGTACAAATCCGTCCTCGCGTAAGGCGCGAACTTTTTGTCAAGCTCTTCAATGGCGGCAGCCACATCCGATTCTGATTTGAGCAACGGCCGTTCCTCTTTGCTCGACGGTGGATTCGAATTCATATCCTTTAGCTCCGATTCCATTATTCGTTTCACCTAACCTAAAAATCTAATCTTTTTTTGTTGTTGTTGTTTTTTTTTTATATATAATGAAAGAGAGGATTAAGTTTTTTGGGAATCACACAAGGAAGAGTGGGTTGTTCTTGTGATGTTTGGATGACGACAAGATAGATCGCGGATCTGAGGAAAGTGTCATCCTATATTCTTCGTCGTCTCTAGATTTCCCGTGAAGATTTCAGCTTTCGCGCACACGTAGATTCGCCGTAAAAGGTAAACATGAAACGAAAACCAGGGGCTATGATTCCCTGAAACGACGTGCATGGTAATTTATTATACGCCCACTGATATTAACCGTTAGATGTCGTACTTTGAACGAAAGCGGACCACGACTGTTTAATTCATGTTTTTTTTTTGAACTTATTAATTATGCTTGTTAAGGATAATAAGGAAAACAAACTGAAAATTGTTTTCCAGATAATAATGTCAATGAGATTTTCCTTTTATTTCTCTCATCTGAAAATTTGAGTTTAATTACTTTTTAATATCAATTTGAAACAATATACAATTCTAAAAAGAATACTAAGAAAACAAGGAAAAATTTTAGGTGAACAATTTTGAGGTGAGATTATACTTTATTTTTTTACCTTCAAATACAATAAAATAAAATTTTACAATACCCACAAATCATCATATTTTTTATATAGCCCATGTAGAATGGATGATATTTTATCGGTGATATTGTGATACAAAACTCTTAATATTTTTTATTATTAAAAGAATCGATTTTTTCTTTAAAAAAATTGACAAATCAAATAGCTCATGCGTAGAGAACCGACTCTATCTTTTAATCTCGTCACATCATTTTTTTTTTCTTTTTTTTTTAGAATCTTACTAAAACTGTCTATTACTATGCTCTAATTTCGAATCAAATATTTAAGACTTTACTAATTACTACTGAGTTATTCTCACACTTTAGTGGCAAACACAGAGCAACGCGAATCATGTACTCAACTTGCCCTACTTAAAAAAAACCGTACGCAATTCACAAGGCATGTCTCCTCCTTTCAATTCAAGAGCAAGATTAATCATTTTGTTTTTTTCCATCTCTTACTAAATAATTAAAATCTCGAGAAAAGAGAATAATTGGACATTAACGATCAAGTTGCTTAATTATTTAAAAGTTTGCAGAGTCAAAGACATAATCATCATAGCTATTCAACCTCCATGGCTCTATCAATAGTTACCAGTATGACTGAAATCTTGTGAATAAGACACTATATATAATACTATAGTTGGATTTACTGAAACTCTCGCAAAGAAACATCATTTAAAAATGGTCATGGTAAAAAAAAATTTGCCAGCAAAAAAAACCTTAGTTAACAAGCTAGCTCACTGTTCTTCTCGGACAAAACCTAAAAACAAAAAGTGGAAGTTGGCGACAGTTAGATTCCCTTTCCCTGTGAGGTTGAGAAGTCTTTTCATCTGTATTTGTTTGTTCTTTGTCGAAAACCAATCAGAAGCTTATACTATGATGAAAACAACGCATATACATCAATTCAAATCTAATGTCATTGTCTTTTCTTTTAGCAGCGTCATTATTATTAATTAGTGATGATGTATAGTAATCATTACGAAACAAGTTTTTTTTTTGTCAACCATATGAAACAAAACAATGTTAAATTGTTATCAGGACCGGGTTATTTAGTGAGCGACGTCTAAAAAGAGTTTTAACATTTTTACCAATTTTTTTTGTATAGTAGGCAAAACAATTTATGTATTTATATATGTACCTTTTTTTGTTTCCATAACCATATATGGATTAAAAATTACACAAACAACTTTTTTTGCAAACTTTTGTTTTAAAAAAAATTCACAACAAAGGGCAAAAACCAAAATTATGGCCAAAAACTCATAATAATATTGGACCCATACTGAATGTTATAGCCTCAAGTTGCATATAGACGAATATGGTATTGTTTATAAGATTCTGTTGTAACATTAAGGTAACGAATTTCGTTGTATCACACACCGTTTGTTAATTACATCTGCATAATCAGTACGTAGACAAAAGATCAAAAAATATTGAGAAATTGAAAAATCCTCCACTTGCACTAGCGGCCAACACTGTATGAATTAACAGAAGTAGCAGTGTAGCACCACCATCCACACATTTTATTTGGTTTTTCACAAGAACGAAATTTTATCCTATTTTGAAACCCAAAAAAAACATGGTAAATTTTGTAGTAATTAGGTAACAAAACAGCAGTAATTCACGTGAATCCCCAAATAATTTTCTCATGCACACACACTAAGTGGGGTCCTATTTTTTTTTTTGCTTTGCCACTTCTCGCCAGCCCTTCCTCTTTTGTTCTCTTCACTACCTCCAAACTTCCCAAGAATCTCTCTATTTCTCTCCTTCCCTCTCTCCTCTCCTTTCTCTCTCACCTCTTATTTTTCCCTCTGCAGAGAGAATCCTCCTTACAAAAATGTCGAAGAACGCAACTCTTTCACTAGCTCCTGTCCTTCTTGTTCTTCTTTTCTTCTGTGTTGTTGTTCATGGCGCCCAAGAGAAGAAGATTCTTAGTCTACACAACTATATCTGGTCTCCCAAGAAATCTAACGAAGCTTCGAGTTCATGTTTCTCTCACAATCTTGGTAAGTTTTTGTTTGTTTCACCTCAAACGCTCACCAACCATAGAGAAAAGTCAGAAAAAGTATAGATAGATACTGTCTCTTTGCTTTAGTTTATTATTAATGGCGTGATTTATGGTTAGATTAGCAAAAGCCTCAAAATTTGTTTAAACACTTAATTTAAAGTCATTATTATACCTTTTTAGCTCACCCTTTCCTTGAATTAATAGTTGTTTTTCTGAAGTTTTACAATATATCTTGAGATTCTTTCCTCCATGGGAGATAACTCATCTAATATAGTGTTTGAATCTTTTGCGTGTAAACTCTGTTTTCTAATCCAGAGTGTTCGTATGCTCTGTTGCCTCCTAAACCTCTGTTTTCAATATCCTCTTGTTGACTCTTTACTCTGTTTATGTTAGTTGTTTATAGCAAATAGATAAGACCTGTTCATCTTTATCAAAAATTGTTTACTTTTTTTTTTTTGAAAAACTTAGGAAAGGGAAGAGAATCCACTACTACGCTGGAGATGAAACATAGGGAACAATGCTCAGGAAAGACTGTAGACTGGGGTAAGAAGCTGAGAAGAGCACTAGTTCTTGATAACCTTCGAGTCCAGTCACTTCAACTCAGAATCAAAGCAATGACCTCGAGCACCACTGCACAATCCGTTTCGGAAACTCAGATTCCACTGATCTCAGGGATAAAACTTCAGACTTTGAATTACATTGTGACAGTTGAATTAGGAGGAAAAAACATGAGTTTGATCGTTGACACTGGAAGTGACTTGACTTGGGTCCAATGCCAGCCTTGCAGGTCCTGTTACAACCAACAAGGTCCTTTGTATGACCCATCAGTCTCATCTTATTACAAGACAGTTTTCTGCAACTCATCCACTTGTCAGGATCTTGTAGCTGCTACCGGCAATCGGGGCCTTTGTGGGGGCAACAGTGGTGTCGAAAAGACAACTTGTGACTACGTTGTCAGCTACGGAGATGGATCGTACACTCGAGGAGACTTGGGCAGTGAAAGTATCCAATTGGGCGACACGAAAGTCGAAAACTTTGTCTTTGGTTGTGGCCGAAACAACAAAGGTCTATTCGGGGGAGCTTCTGGTCTAATGGGTTTGGGAAGAAGCTCAGTTTCTTTAGTCTCCCAAACTACTGAAAATTTCAACGGAGTCTTCTCGTACTGTTTGCCTTCTCTCGAAGATGGAGCTTCTGGCTCATTGTCATTCGGTGACGATTCCTCTGTTTACAAAAACTCAACTTCAGTTTCCTACACTCCGTTGGTACAAAACCCTCAGCTTCGTTCCTTTTACATTCTGAATCTCACCGGTGCCAGCATCGGTGGCGTGGAGCTGGAAGCATCAAGCTTCGGTAGAGAGATTCTAATTGACTCGGGAACGGTTATCACAAGACTGCCACCTTCCATTTACAAAGCCGTGAAGACGGAGTTTCTGAAGCAATTCTCCGGGTTTCCTTCAGCTCCTGGTTATTCAATCTTAGGCACTTGCTTTAACCTCACAAGCTATGAAGACGTGAGCATTCCCACTATCAAGATGTTCTTCCAAGGTGACGCTGAGCTCCAAGTGGATGTCACTGGTGTGTTCTACTTTGTCAAGCCCGATGCGTCCATAGTCTGCTTGGCCCTGGCGAGTCTGTCATATGAAAACGAAGTCGGTATCATCGGAAATTACCAACAGAAGAACCAAAGAGTAATATATGACACCAAACAAGAGATGCTTGGAATTGCAGGAGAAAACTGCAGTATCTGATCACTTATAATATCCTTTGTATCATGAAAGCCAAATCATCTCTTTTGGCAAAGCCAATTTGAACTACTCTTATATATGTCTGTATCGGTACAGCAGTAGGTTACAACGAATTGTAAGAAACAAATCTTTGATGATCTTCTGCGAGGAAAGAAAATTATCTAAACCAGAAGAACAAACAATGAACAGAGAAAAAAAAACCACTGAGAAACTTGTTAAATTCACAACAATACTACGTCCGCTGTAATTTCAGTGAATCCACTTGCCTAACAACAGAACTGATTCAACTCAAGCTTCACTACTTATCAGAGCAGTCATCTCTATCTTCTCGGTCTCGATTACAGCTTCTCTTCTTCTGTTCACTAACATCTCAGCCGGAAGAATGGTTGAGTTGGGATCAACGTTCGGTATCAGGAAGACCAATCCAATAGGAATTACTCTCAATAAACTCCTGATCACAATAACCAGCCAGAGATTATCAAACTGAGTACGCGTAACGTTCAAGGCATGGAGTAACACTCCTCCGCCCCATGACGACAATAGGTGTCCAACATGTTCAATCGACATGAGCAGAGCAAAGAAAGTGCCTTCCATGCCGGCAGGGCAGAGCTTGGAACTGAGAACAAGTAAAGGCAACCACTTGATTCTACTGATCATATGGGAAACAAACTCGTCGACCACAATGAAGAAGTAATCAGGGACTCCAAGCTTCAGATTTATGCGCAGCACCAAGATCAAATCAAGAAATCCTGACAGGACAGATAGGGAAAGTGCCCAGAAGACTACATTCCGGAAAGGAAAGTTCTTGAGAAAGTTCTGATAAAGAAGTATGCCCACCAGTGAGCCAATTGCACCAAAAGACAAAATGGATCCAACGGCCTCCTAAGGAAGCACAAAATAACTACGTTAGCCAACCCAAAAAGCGAAAGCTCCATTATTACGCGAAACAAGTCAAAAGCACCTTTGAGAAGGAAGGCCCATCCTTTGCATCTGTGTACCAATAGAACATGCCTTCATGAATGTGCAAGCTCACTGCAGCTGACAACAACATGAACAAGCATGGCCGCCACACCTCACCATACTGAAACGTTTTCCAAATTGCACTTCCGGCATCTAGAAACTTCTCATTCACCTGAAGTAACAGAGTCACTCCATTAAGAAAACGATATGAACCACACAGTTGGCTCAAAAGGGGTAGCAAAAACTTACATGCTTGCGTCCTAAACTCCGGGAAGGAGATTCTTTCAGAAGCATCCCAACAACAACAGTCAATCCTGCAGTCAAACCGAGTAAACCGTACACACCCTGCCAAGAAAATAGACAAAATGGGTGAGAAAACACTTAGAACAATGCTCTGTAAGAGGCAACCTTTAACATTTAGATTCTCTAACTTCAAGGAGAGCCGACCTGGGACCCAAACAAGTGCACCAAAACGCCGCTAAGGGAGAAACCAACCAAGGATCCAATGGACGAACTCATGCCACACAAGCTTTGCATATCTGCAGCAAGCGTGGGATGGCTAATGCTACACTGTGTTACACAAGCATCGATGGTTACATCAGCTATAGCAACTCCAGCACTTGCTGCCACAAGACAGGACAAAGCAAGCGCAAGATGCAGATTCTTCTGCAGCCATAACACCATCATGGACAGCATAGTAAGAACACCTATCAAACACAAACAAAAAAAAGATGACACCTTTCCTTTATTAGGAACCAAAGAAACTACTATTATAAGTGAATTTTTTACCGGCGAGTATGAAATAAGGTCGTCTCCTGTAACCAAAAACCGGGACAACATCGGTCAATAATCCCCAAAGAGGTTTAATGATCCAAGGAATCTGAATCAAACCAACATAAACCTGAGCTTCAGAAGGCTGTACCATCTGCTCGTCTTTGAGGTAGTACTGCGTGCCGACTTTGCTGAGCCCTTTCCCAAGCCCTTGGCTAACGCCATAGACGACAATCACACCAAAGAAGAAGCTCCAGTGAAGCTCTTCAATGAGCATTCTCAGCCACCGTAAAGGCCGTTTCAACACCAGATCTATAACTCCTTCTTTCTCCCTGACTTGGTGACTCGGCCGAGAATCGCTCTCGTACTCCGCTTCCTCCGATCGGTTCGCCATTGATACGATGCGAACAAGGGATCTGAGTTCTGACTACATAGGCCAATGGAAATGGGTATTGTTGTTTATATATATGGCACACAAAAGCTTAAAATCTGAGAAATTTCTTAAATAGCTTATGACGTCACGGATCATGCACACGAATTTGAAACTCGTGACGAGAGAGCTTGGGACTTCAACGATCAAAATCGTACATTTTCCCGATTTACCACAAACTTCGTCTTCATCCCTGAGAACCGTGAGTTGACGGCGTTGAGTGTTCTTACGTTAAGTTGACTGTTAAAAATAAGTAGGTCCTCGGAAATATTTGTTGTCTTTCATAACAGTGAAATTTATTACTGGTAGAAAAACTATCTTGGTGGTTTTTATTTACTCGTTAACTAATGTGTTATTATTGTTTTTTGGGTCAAAGTGTTATTATTGTTATCAACAGTTAATATGCGAAGATAAAAATATATATATTTTTTTTTGGTATGAATGTTAATTTTTATACTTTTTTGTTTTTGGGGAACAATGTTGTTGTTGAACAACTTATTACAGGAAGAGCCAGAACGGCAAAACGGAAGTTATAGTGCAGAAAAGCAAAGAAAGAAGACCTCTAGCAAAGAAGGGCGCCGTCGCTTGGATCGGGGATAGAGAAGAGGCGATTCCTCACTGATCGATCAATAGCCACGCGAACTGCAGCAGTGTTTGTGGAAGCTGAGTTGAAGATCCTCCTGTTGCGCTCCTTCCAAAACTGATAGATGGTAACCTGAAAGAGCAGTTTCGTTATTACTCCTCTCGCTGAACGACGGAGAGTTAGATCATCGGAGATTGCTGAAGCTACAGCATGGAGGGTTTGAGGTGGTGATAACCCAGAACCCGCTGAGAAGAAGCTCCAGATTTGAGAGGAGAAAGAGCACTCAAAAAATAAGTGGTTGTGAGTCTCCTGATGTGTAGCACACAACGGGCATTCACTGGGAATATTAACTCCCCATCGTCGAAGCCTGTCCTTAGTTGGCAGTCGTGCTAATAACGCCAACCAGGTAATGAAGGAGCATCTCGGAATTGCTTCTTTAAACCAGATAGCTGGTGACCAGTGAATCTCTGGAGATCTTACTCGCAGAAAGTTCCAAGTTACCTTAGAAGAGAAGGAAGGCACAAACGAGCCTGCAGCATTGCGCCAGAGAAATACATCCGGACCCCTTGAAGCATAGGGGAGAGGGGGTGATCGTAGACAGAACAACTTGGAGCGTCTCCGCTTCCTCTGTTCTTGCTGCAGGTAGGGCCCAAAGTCCGTTCGATGTGGCTTTAATAACTGAAGCTTCCAACAGAATTCGCAGTTGACGAAGGCCATTTACCCTGAGAGCAGTGATTAACTGACCCATGTCATTCCAGTTGTCAAACCAGAAGGAAGCCGTATCACCATTCCTTACCACGCAATGCATTAGGTGAACTAGAACATGCCGCTGCTGCAGCATGCTCCTGATCGAGCTGGAATACCGTGGCAAATCCGCGGTCTGCCAAAAGCTTTTCCTCACAATATTTAATAATGGTAAATAGATTTTTAATAATGGTAAATAGATTTTTTGACCTGTCATTACCAACTACAATTTATTCAAAGGCAATTTAGTTGGTAAAATTGGATTCTATTTGGCAAATTTTACCATAATTGTTGACAATTCTTTCCACCTACAAAATAATTTGGGGGCAGGTAGTAGACACATTGAATTTAATAAATTGTGACTTTTGTTCATACAAAAATTAAGAAAACAGATAATAGTTTGGAAGTTATGAAATTGGGCAAATTTATTATATAAGATATAAATATATTTGTCCCATAATGTAAAAGTCTTTTATATTTGTGTGTGTGAGCTGTTATGCTCAAAACCGTTTATCTTACGAAGGGCAAGTAAATACATATTCAAATATTTAATTGAATAAATATTCCAAAAAGATATGAAAATATGTTCAAATCTTTTTGGGCATCACATCTCTCATGGGCCGACTAAGAAGAGATAAATCTTGAGTCATCCAATTTTGTTTGCCTACTATCTCCACGCGTCGAACTCTAAGTAGGTGAGAAGATAAAAACAGTAATTCAAATGTAGATTTTATTTGCTAGCAGCGCTAATCAAACTTAGAATGGTTTATTCTAATTAGAGAATTTCTTAATGGCGAATAAATAATCAATCTAACTAAGAAAAGTGCAAAAATGGTATCATATATGAAGAAAAAATATTTATAAGGTAATTAGTGCCTAAAAAATAGATGGTCTGATACTCATGAGATCCAATGGTTTTATACTATGATCAAACATGCTGTATATATATTTTCACACGTTCAAATCTGAATTATATATACATTCAAAGAGTAAAACCATAATAAACTAACGAAAATTTGCATTTGATTTTTTTTTTTTGTCGTCGCATTTAAATTATTGCTCAGAAACTAAATAAATAGCAACCAAAATTGTTTGTTACAATTAATTTTTTTTTTTTGTAAAAATAAAATAAAACAAAAAAAGAAACGAAAAGAATTCTGTGAAGCATTGAATATAAATACTCAACCATTCCCAACTATCTTTTTTTCTCTATCAAAACTCCCTTTTCACCATTGTCCTCTTTCACCGGTAATGGCAAAAGTGTCTCAGCGGAGCAAGAAGACGATCGTTGACGACGAAATCAGCGATAAAACAGAGTATGCGTCTGCTGCGTCCGTTGTCTTCAAATCCAAACGCAAACGGAAGTCGCCGCCTCAAAACGCTCCTCCTCAACGCAGCTCCTCTTACAGAGGCGTCACAAGGTCTCCCCTCTCAGACCAAGAAAGAAAACGACATCGTTTTACCTTCACCATCCTTTTTTTGTTGTTGTTGCTGATTTCTTTTTGATTCCCGAGTGAATAGGCATAGATGGACAGGGAGATACGAAGCGCATTTGTGGGATAAGAACAGCTGGAACGAGACGCAGACCAAGAAAGGACGACAAGGTTTTGCGTCTATACTTACACACATACATACACATATGGTTGTTAAGTTGGTTTTATGTATCTTAGATTGGATTCCGATGATGTCGGAAACTCCTGTTTCTCCGGGACAGACTTCGTCCTCACTGTTCTTGATTTGATTTTTAATCTAATTTGGGGTATTTTTGATGGTGATGGTGATGTGGAATGGATGATGAATGCTGACTCATCAACATGTACAGTATATCTAGGTCAGTATTTTTAAGCCAATATCCATACATTTTTATATATAAGTGAAGAAGATACATATATATAATAATTTGAGAAAGTATTGTACTTTTTTGTTTTCTCTTTATTTCCACCACTTTTTCTTTTAAATACTCATGAAACAAAGTGATGAAAAGAAAAGTCCACACATACATGTGTGATGTGGTTATCAATTAAAGAATGAATTCCACCGAAATTAGTAGAGCCCGGTTTCTGATTATTATTAGCTGTTCTTTTTGGGTCCAACGCAATTCGTATTTGTCCTTTTTGTAGTATATTCTTATTAAACTATACTATATAATAATATATGGGTTTTATGGATAGGGGCATATGACGAAGAAGATGCAGCAGCACGTGCCTACGACTTAGCAGCATTGAAGTACTGGGGACGAGACACACTCTTGAACTTCCCTGTAAACTTTTCTCCATAATCCATACTTTATAAAACATAAAATTTCACTAGTCGTTAAAATTTGACTTTATCTCATGATCTTTGTCTGCTTCACGATCTTCTCGCCTACTAGTTTTTAGAACACAAGAAACAAGAAAAAGCATGAGTATACTTATTATGCAATGCCGATTTAATTTCTTCATCAACATCTCTTCTTCTTTTTTGGGTATATATTTAAAATATTACTGAACTGTTGTTTCTTTGGTGAATATTTTTTATTAGCTGCCTAATTATGAAGAAGACGTCAAAGAAATGGAAGGCCATTCCAGAGAAGAGTACATCGGATCTTTGAGAAGGTAATTTAACTAACTAATCAATCCTTAATGTCAAATATGAGTAATCATAGTTTTCTAATAAGGTTACATTTTATTTTGATGTAGAAAAAGTAGTGGGTTTTCTCGTGGTGTATCAAAATACAGAGGCGTTGCACGGTAAATAGAAGTTCGATATAAATAACCAAATGGACATATTAGATTAAGAGTATAAATACATCCTAAATAAGAGATTGAAGCATGAATTTGCAGGCATCACCATAATGGGAGATGGGAAGCTCGAATTGGAAGGGTGTTTGGCAATAAATATCTATACCTTGGAACATACGGTATTTAATAATCCCATTTATCCTTACTTTAGTATATTTTTACTTTGGATAGTAATATTTTATGAAAAATTGCAATTTCCTAGTTTAGTTAGTAAATCCATTTGTAACAAATTCAAAACCTTGAAATTTGGGATTAGTATTATAAAAAGTGGAGTTATTCTTACTTAACAAGTACTTCGACCACGACATGGTTTTTATATGTTTATTTTATTCACACATCGATTAAAAAAATATTAGAAATGGTAGAAACAAACGAAGGTCACGTCACGATATGGCATGAACGTGGTCAAACAAACATGGTAGATTTTTTTCTTGTCAACAGCTCCAGGAAAATTTAAGTCACGCACATGATCGTAGATCTCATAAAAAAAGAAAATATATAAGGTATATATTAAATTCCCGTTAACCAAAACCAAACTATATATTTCATTAAACTACAGTAGTTGATTCATTAATTAAGTATATTAAGGTGCTTGATATACGGACTCACTGTTTACGAGCCTTTAAGAGGGTAATCAAATCTTGTTGGTTGGTAACTCGATCACCAAACCCATCTACTCATACTCAAAGCTATTTACACAAAAGTCTTATAGTAGAAAACACACCGACAAAACTTTTAACCAACTCAACTAACTTTGTAACCGAAAATGTAGCCCAAAAGTTATACCTATTACTGTGGCTTAAGGCCAATGCTTTTGTACCACTAAGGGATGGATGACTTTTGTCTCTGTATAACACAACGATAGACTTAACATATATATTAGTATATTATACAGCTTGATCATTTCTTAACTATATTTAGAAAGTTAACAAAAAAAACATGCGCATGAAATTTGTCTATATAGCCAAATGTTTTGGATTGTGACATTTTGAACCTTGTTCAAGTGCAGCTACGCAAGAAGAAGCAGCCAGAGCATATGACTTGGCGGCAATAGAGTACCGTGGACTTAACGCCGTTACTAACTTCGACGTCAGCCGTTATCAAAATCTACCGGCACCGGAAAATCCTACCGCCGCCGCCGCAAATCATCTTCCGGATGAGTCCGATTCTGATTCCAAGCATGGATCACCCGATGATCAAGCTTCGTCTGACGATAACGAATTCCCGAAAACAGAGGAGATAATCGAACCGTCTACGCCGCCGGAAGCTATTCCATCTCGCCGGAGCTTTCCCGACGATATCCAGACGTATTTTGGGTGTCAGGATTCCGCCAAGTTAACGACGGAGGAAGACGTTATTTTCGGTGGTTTTAATTCTTTCATAAATCCTGGTTTCTACACCGAGTTTGATTATGGGCCTTAGATCGTAACCTTGCAAGTTTTGTTTAACTATACTTCTGAATCTCGTATGTTACGCATCAAAAGTTCCTTCTTGGTGATAAAGTTTTCAAATTTGTTCAATCAAGATGTAAAGGTACCAACTTTTATTACAAAACACACAAGCATTCAGATCACTCTTTCAAATCCAGAATTTGGTTATTACAAAACCTTATTCTCGCTGAAACTGAAACATTGCCTGAGACAAATCTCAATTCATCAATGCATCTGCTAAAGGAAATGACGGAGATATATCCACCGGTACCTATAACACAAATAAACCATTAACGCAGATCATTATATCAACTGGTTTTTATCATCCTGTTAAGAGACTGTACCTTGACGCTCTCAAGCTTCTCCAGAGCGGTTTTCAATGGCCCTGTGATAGTGCAGTACTTGTTTAGAAGCAACATTGCTGCGTTTTTGTCACCTCTTCCTTGAATGGTTAGTATCTCATGGCTCAAACTCTCAACCGCACCTTCAACCTTTAAAATGGGGGAAAAAAACAAGATTCTGGAACTCTAGAGTTTTGAAATGAAGAACCATAAAGTACTCACGAAAGAAAACAAGAACTTGGATGTATACCTTAGCGAAATCAACGGAGAATGTAGAGTCCTTGTGGAAAACAAAGGCTCCTTTCTCATACAACCAGTTGAATTGCAACGCTTGTCCTTTCCTGAAGCAGAAAGAGACAATTGTTTCAGGAGCTACACATATAGGAGGTTGGATTATACAAGGCAGAGATTCTCTGTATCACTCATTACCCATGAGCTTCTGTGAGACCAAACCGGATGGATCGGAAGCATCCAGCTAGGAAAGAAACATACATGCTCTCCACCATACTCTCGGAAAGCAGACCCTGTTGATTCACATACAGACACAGACCGGGAAACAGTGGTGAGTAAAGCAAGGTTATGCAAACTGGAATTAGATGAACTAAAAGTTTCGATAACTAGTAAAGTTGATCATTGACCTTGGTGATGAGAAACTTTAATGCCCAAAGACCAACTATATCTGCCTTTGCTTCTTCCATTGCAGAATGGACTTCTTGCAGTTCCTAGACCAAAGGAAGAGACCGAGATAAGAAATGGTATCGCTTTGTGGTTAAGATGTGATAACAGGAAAGACTCTAGTTAGATGTCTGATTCTTGCAGAAAGAAGTAAACCTTTCTCACTGTAGAGGTTTGACCACCGGGAAGTGTTATGGTATGAGGACCAATGCCATGACAACATTCATGGCAAATTGTGTGAGTAAAGAAAGAATCAAAATCAACAAATCCTCGTTGTTCCTTGCTGATGGTGATTTCAGCTATAGGCTTTAGAATATGCTCAAACCTGGAAAAGAAAAGGCTTGGTAAAAATTCGTAACTGTGACATTGTTTATAAATGAGACATTGAGGAAGAAGGAAGCATTACTTTGCCTCTTGAACGTTTTTGAGCATAACCATTGATGTTCCTCTATCTTTGACGATTTTCTCATCGTTGGGTAAATTGTAAGCAACAGTCTGAGGACCCTTCACATCCTGTCACAATCAAGAAAATAGTGAACAGAGAATAAAGACAAGAGAATGTTTTTTGTTTTCGTTCAATCTCTCAGATCATCTTTGAATATTCAGGGGAGCTTACTCCGGAATTGTAAATTAACTGAATGACCCGAATTGGAGCAGCAGATACATCTGTTGATTTGTATATACGGTCAAGTGGGAGATGATCTTCCAGTAGCTACCGGAAAGTGGAAAATAAAAAATGATTTTTAGAGAAAAGAAAATGGAAAATGTAAGCAAAAGCAACTTTGATTGAAGAGAGCAGTACCTTTAGATTGTCACCAAAGAGTTTCAAATCAGCTGTGGCTTTATCATCTCGAATACCGATGAAGGTTTCAAATGAAGCCTTGGATGAAAAACAAAACAGATTAGAAAGTAGCACCATGCAACGAATTAAGAACCTATACTAAATGGTTACAGGAGCTAGCATTTCATGACGGTTAATGTACAAGTGCAAAGCTGAAGGCGAGGATTGTAAACACTAGCATTAGCAAATTTGAAAAAACTTTTTACCTTGTACCCAAATAATTCATCCTCGTATGTCTCGTATGGACCAATGGTAATATCCAACTTTGAATCCTACAAAGATGATCAAAGGAAGCAAAAAGAGACTCAAAACTATAGGAAATTGCAGAAACTATAGCCTATTTTATAACAAAGGAAAAAAATACAAAAGACTTAAGACCATGAATGGGTTAGAGAAGAGTTACCAAGTCCATCCATGCGATGTCTGACTCATAGTACTCATTTGAAAGGAATGCTTCAGCTTTGCTATGCAGCAGCTTCTTCAAGCTATGGAAAAGCATTGTGAAGTACTTCAATATACTAAGCTACTCGAATGGGCGAATACCTTTGATATGTTAAAGAAATGAAACCGTATGATATATATATACCTCGCTGAACTGACCAAGTCCCCAGCTTTGTACAAAAGTTCTGAAGCTTTCGTGAGGAAAGGTCGATAAATTTCTGAATAGGGAATACTATACAGATCGAAAGTAGAGTCTGGTAACTTGTTTATGCTGCTGGCGATATGGTCAGATAGAGATGCATCTTGATTAGCTTCACTGCGCCTTTTTATAACACTGAAGAATCCTGTTACAACATGCTTTTGCTCTTCCGTAAGACTATTGAGCCATAGGGTGAACTCCTGTAAGATTTTTGAAACACATTTCTTACTATATGTTTATGGTAACCAATGATAAAAATGGAAAACAAACATCAGACATGTATTAGTGAGTACCGCTTTATCCATATCGGGAGGATAGAAATTAGCACCAGGTGGTTTAGTCACAGGAAAGGCTGCTCTATATTCAAGACCCTTCCAGCCAGCAACGGACTTTGTTGCCTCAGGAACCAACTTAACAGCTGAATCTGCCGTAGTCAAGAATGCTTCATTTTCATCAAGTGACGACCTGGAATGTAAAACGAAACATCAATCTCTTGGACCGATCTCTCCAAATCGTCATGAAGAACACACCAGATACAATATCTTAATGATTTCCAACATCATTTCAAAATTTTAATAACAGACACATTTGTAAAATTCTGCAGCATGTCCATTGATGAATCCCAACCCTCTCTCAAGAACTTAGATGTTAGAACAAAGCCAGTTTGATGATACTCACCATGGACTTTTGTTGATCAAGAAGTAATCCCATTTGAGTTTATCCAGCTCTGATGCATTGGCATGATCCTTCAGCCAATCTCTTAGAGCTGGATTGCTGTGCCAAACCTGATTAAGGAAAATTTCTCTAATTTAGTTTAAGATCAATCCTAAGATTTCATGTTCATGACACAAAAAGAACAAAATTCGGAGAACAGATCTAACAACCTGCTCATAAAATATATCGTCCACAATTTTTGCAGCCTTCACAATTAGACCCAACGCTTTCTGATCTGCCTCAGAAAGTTCTGTCAACTGCATAGCCAAGAAAGGTATGCAAATTTACTTCATGGAACGAAATGGAACTGAGTTATTTGGTACATCAGGGTTAACAACGAAATCACAGTAATATGTATGACAAATTAATACATTTGCTTCGAGGGTGACAGGAGAATATCTCTGGAGTTGCTTCTGCAGAGATAAACTACGCTCCTCAGTGTTTACTTGACACCTTCAACAAACTCAAAAGAAACACTCTGTGTAAGATGAGACATTTCCATATAAAACCTGTATCTCAGCAATAGTTGGCTCATAATAGTTCTCATTTGCTTTTCTTCTATATCATGAAAAGTAGTGGATATCAACAAGAAAGAAAATAAATAAATCCTACAAAAATCAATGAGAGATAATATACCTCTGTCTGATTATGTCAAATAGTTTGCCATACTCTCCATTCACATCATATGGCACATAAGCAGGATCTTCCTTAGCCAGGAGGTTTTTATATTCGTGGTAAGGTATGTATTTCACAGCAGAGACTTCCTCTTCCTAATATAAACAAGAGAGTGAAAATGGAGAGGTGACTTAAGAATCCAAGTGGTTTATAGTACGTAAACTTAAGAATCCAAGTGACAGCAAAAATCTCACTTGAAGAGTAAAGGCTTCTAATGGGATTGGTTCCACAATCGTAACAAGGTACACATCATTGAATTCATTATTTATGAATTTTCCATCGTTTGTGACACTGTAAAAACCACACAAAACAAAAGCAACACACTGTTGGATAAGAAAATCTCCGTGAGACAACTCAGTGTGGATATTTAGATTAGAGAAACCAAGTAAACTTCAAGTTGCAATGACCATACAACCAAGCTAAAGACTTTCAGCAACAAACAAACAAAAGATTTGAAACAATAGGCCAAGAAATCGAATGTATAAACAAACCATTCTTGCAGAAAAACGAATATTTTCTCAAAGGCATCCTTTGGGAGTTTTACGCCTAGCTCTTCCTGGAGCTCCCGCCTACACAGATCATCCTGAAGCTTCAGCAAAAGGATAACAGAATTAACGAAATGGCACAATCAGATTTACTTACTGAGCTGAGATAAGCGATGGATCACCAGCTGATATGTGGCCAGCACTTGAGATGTCCCATTGTCCAGGCCATGAATCTTTAACATCAGACCGGAGTTGGAGAAGTAGTTCTTGAGTGCTCTCCACAAAGATCCAGACATGAACTGCACGATGGTAATCTCCATCTCTGTGAATCTCTCCTCTACAGGGACAGGGTTCAAAAAAAAAAGAGACGAAATGAGTGCCATTCAAAAACAAAATGCAAGTAAGTTTCTTCTTTCACTTTCGATCAGAGAAACAGGGGATGAAGAACACTAATCCCAAAATTATAAAATTTCTACGAGTGACCTAAAACCGTTGCGTCGTCGGAATTGTTTAGTTAACGGGTCAACGAAGCATCAATTCAAACCAGAAAAAGGCTGACTTTTTCCCAACAAAGACGTGAATTTCAGTGGTTAAACAAGGGCTTGATTCAACTAAAGTCACATCTCAAATCACTTTCAGTACGCATCGATTCCCAAGTAAGAAAGTGAAAAGCACTCAAGTCTCAACAATATTAACACATGCCTGGGTTTGGACACACCGGTCTTCTCGCCGGATTTGGTAAGAACGTCGAAGTGCTCCTCCGCCATAGCTCTCTCTCTCTCTCTCTCTCTCTCTCTCTCTCTCTGTGGACAAATGGCCCAAATTTATAAACGAGAAAATGTCCGTCAAAAACAAAGGCTTTTTGCTAAACCGGACTCTATTCAATAGAATCACGACCCAGCTCGACACATCCACATTCGAAATCGAAACATCATAGTGGACACAAGAGATGAAGGCGACATTTGTACATATACATACAAAAAACACATGCATTTCATTTCATTTATGGGTGAACAGATCATCGATACTCATATCATTCAACCACTCGGCTAACTGCCCAAGAGACGCGCATCTACACTCAATTTTTTCCATATTTGTGAATTATACATTATATCCAAGGCAAATACAGAGAAAACAAAGATCAATATTACAAGTTGTTTTGTGGCCATATTAAAGACTCTTCTTAAATATATGGATTATTGCAACAGAGACCGGCAACTAACTACATTATAGTGGATACAATGACTGGCATTGACGTAATAAGTAATAACAACTCCTTCGCAAGGTGATCAATAACACAGTATACCATCATCAACACAAGTTAGCCAAGCTTTTTGGATTTATTTTTCTACAAACAACTTATTCTACCTCTGCTTTTAAGTTCTAACAATAATAAAAATTCCAAAAATCCTTAGACCTTGGTTCAAAGTTTAGCTTTTCTCCCAAAGACTTTTGTGACACTTTTGTATTTTCATAGTACATTTATAAAAAAAAAACAACTTATTAAACAATAATGAAAATTCCAAAAATCCTTAGACCTTAGTTCAAAGTTTAGCTTTTCTCCCAAAGACTTTTGTGACACTTTTGTATTTTCATAGTACATTTTTAGGCAAGAGAAAAATTCAAAGATATGCATGTGACATGCTTTCTACCAAACTTTAGAGTGATTTTTTATTTGATTTAGGTAAAGGCAAAAGTACAATGAAATTAAATACTTAGCAGAAAATTGAGAAAGAAGAGAGGTAGATTCACAGTACTTGTCTATGTTACGTGTGTTGATGATGCGTGTTCCAAGTAATTATTTACAATCTGCTTCAAGTTCTAACAATAATGAATTTTAAATATGCTAGGAAGATATTTCATTCAAATTATTCAAGGAAGGCCGTAGACGTAGTATTCAAAATTTTGGATTCGTTCCGGAGACTTGACTTCATTACACTATGTTATGATTGGTGATAAGAAAATAAAAGTCACATTTCTATGTTACTTGAGTTGATATGTGTAAATTGTAATTATTTACACCATACAACTTATATGATTGAGAAAGAGATAAAGAAGACGAAGACCTGTTGCTGTTTCCAAGTAAACGCAATTTTTTGTCCTCACAAATACCTTACAGGATCCGCCTCTGCATTTTACCAAGGAAAACACTCAAGAAAAAAGGAACAAAAATTTCTTCACAAGCATCATAAACATGGGCTCGAATAATAGTTTTTCTCTTTTGATTCTCTTCTCTCTGCTACTTTTGTTGATTCTTGATTCAGCACCTCTCACAGCTTCAAGGTGGTCTTGCCCTATCCACTGTGGAGGAATAGAGATCCCTTACCCCTTTGGAGTGGGAGAGGGTTGCTATCTCGAGAAATCGTACGAAATTACATGTGCTGGTAATACCTCTATTTCAGGGAAGGTGGTCCCAATGCTTTCCATAATTGGCAAGGAAGTTGTGAATATCTCTCTTCCAAGGTCGTCAATTCGTATAAAGAATCCAATAGCTTCAAGGGGATGTTCAAGCGATGGAGAAGACTTTGAATCACTTTTGAATTTGACGGGTACCCCTTTTTACGTTGGCGATAGTAATACAATGATAGCGGCTGGCTGCAACAACACGGCATCGCTGACAAATGTCCAGCCAAGCATGGTGGGATGCACATCTAGCTGCGGTCTAACATACCATACGCCTACTAAAGATTTCCTTGCACTAGCCGATTGTACTTCCCGTTATGGCTACTTAAACGACGAGCATTGTAGTGAAAGCAGCATTCTGAATGTAAAAAGCTGCAGCGGTGTTGGATGCTGCCAGGTAAACATGCCTGAAACGAGTCAACAGATTGTTGGTGTCAGAATAGATAACACCACGACAACGGGAGGGTGCAGAGTTGCCTTCTTAACAGACGAGGCATACTCTTTGTCAAATGGATCTGACCCGCACAGGTTTCATGCTAAAGGATATAGTACCGTTGAGCTAACATGGTTCATCCATACCGCAAATCGTTCTTTTGTTGGCTCTCTGGGATGCTTGAATTATGATTTGCATATAAGAGGAAACCCATCATATGGAAGCTCTTACGAAAAAAGTTGTGCGTGCGACTTCTATTATAATTCTTCAGCCTATGCAAGCTGCAAATGCACTTCGGGTTACAGGGGCAACCCGTACATTTCGGGCGGATGCAAAGGTTAGTAATTGTGTTAGTAGTTCATTTTTTTATTCAAATCTTCTATGACCATCCATAATCACTGTAAACCTATGAGATGCTGTCGAAGAAGAGAAAAACCCCTAATGGGATCATCGTTTGATTTCAATTTCATTATTATCTTAAACCAGACATTGATGAATGCCTAGAAAACATGCATACGGACGGAACTCCCATCGACTGTGCGGGCACTTGTGTCAATTTGCGGGGAGGCTTTATGTGTATATACTCATCCTTGTCTAAAACTCACTCGCGGCCAGTAGTTGCTATAGGTAAGCGTGGAAATTGTTATATAATGGTGCTGATCGACTTATAATTTACCACCGATCCAAGCCAAACAAATTTTTATTCTCTTTTTGGTTTTGCAGCGATTGGTTCGAGTTTTGGCTCATTGATCTTTGTTGGTGGAATATACTGGTTATACAGATTTATTAGAAAGCAAAGAAAGTTAAACCAAAAGAAGAAGTTTTTCAAGCGCAATGGGGGTTTATTGTTGCAACAACAAGTAACCTCAACGGACGGCAACATCGAAAAGACAAGAGTGTTTAGCTCAAGGGAGCTCAAAAAGGCCACAGAAAACTTCAGCTTAACCAGAATACTTGGCCAAGGTGGTCAAGGTACGGTGTACAAAGGAATGCTCGTCGACGGCAGAATAGTAGCAGTGAAAAAGTCCAAAGTCGTGGACGAAGACAAGCTGGAAGAGTTCATCAATGAGGTTGTCATCCTCTCGCAGATCAACCATAGGAACATCGTGAAACTCTTGGGATGTTGCCTTGAGACAGATGTCCCCATGCTCGTCTACGAGTTTATTCCTAATGGCAACCTCTTCGAACATCTTCACGACGAGTTTGATGATGATAACAACATGATGGCTACTTGGGAAGTGCGTCTCCGTATCGCTGTAGATATCGCAGGAGCTCTCTCATACTTGCACTCATCTGCATCGTTCCCAATCTATCACAGAGACGTCAAGTCTACAAACATAATGTTGGATGAGAAGTACCGAGCCAAGGTATCTGATTTTGGAACTTCGAGATCGGTAACAGTGGATCATACCCACTTGACAACCGTAGTTTCAGGTACGGTCGGATATATGGATCCGGAGTACTTCCAGTCCAGCCAATTCACAGACAAAAGTGATGTTTATAGCTTCGGAGTGGTGCTTGTGGAGCTTATCACAGGAGAGAAGTCAGTCTCTTTCTTGCGGTCTCAAGAAAACAAGATACTGGCAACTTATTTCATTCTTGCAATGAAAGAAAACAAGCTTCTTGACATTATTGATGCGCGGATCAGAGATGGATGCAAGCTAGATCAAGTGACCGCAGCGGCACAAATTGCAAGGAAGTGTTTGAATATGAAGGGGAAAAAACGACCAAGCATGAGGGAAGTGTCCATGGAACTGGAGAAGATTCGTGCGTCTTCTTCGGTAGATATGCAGCAGGCACATGATCAGTACGTCAGCGAAAACGAGGAAGATACTGGAAAAAGAGTTAACGTACTAGAGGTTGAATCATGGAACAACGTGGCTGTCACAGCTCCAGCTTCTCAATACGACATCGCTTCATCGTCTTTGTCATCGTCCGATATTGAGCCTTTGTTTCCTCTTCAAACACGGTAGAAGTTCAACCTCGCATACCACTACAAAAATTCAAGTCTTTGCTTTTACGTTCTGTTTCGGTGTTTGTGTTCATCAAGGTCTCCAACAATTATCTACATTTTCTCAATATATTTGAGAAGTTTTTGTCATCTGCACATGAAACAATTGTTTACAGACAACTTTTCGAGGGCTCGACCGTTGACATTTTATTCTGTTAGTTGTGTCATGTGTGTGGTGGTGTATAAAATATTACATTTGCTTGCTTCCATCCATAGAACTTCTTTCGTCCAACGAGGCGTTCCTCAATAATTGCTAACTTTCTCATACAAAGGAAAAGAAAAAGAAAACTGTAAACCAAAAACATACTACAATGAAGAGAGAGAGGCTTTTCTTTTGTATTCTACTGTTTCTCCTAACTCTGTTCATCGATGTCCCTTTCCCTTTGATAACAGTTACAACAGCTCAAAATCTCAACTCTTCTTCTTCTTCAACTTCCTGTAATCGAATCTGCGGAGGAGTCTCGATTCCTTTTCCTTTCGGAATCGGACGGAACGACTGTTATCTCAACGGCTGGTACGAGGTCGTCTGCAACGCCACTACCTCCGGCTCCGGTAAATCTCTAGTTCCTTACCTCTCTAAGATCAACAGAGAGTTAGTGAGCATCACTCTTCGAAATAGCCTCGACAGTTCCTACGGAGTCGTTCACATCAAATCTCCGGTGACTTCCTCCGGCTGTTCTCAACGACCTCAAAAGCCTCTTCCTTTAAACCTCACCGGTAAAGGAAGCCCCTTTTTCATCACCGATTCGAATCGCCTCGTCTCAGTAGGTTGCGACACCAGAGCGTTGATTACCGATATCGAATCTCAGATCACGGGATGCGAATCGAGCTGCGACGGAAACAAGAGTCGTCTAGACAATATCTGCGGTGGCTACAGATGTTGTCAGGCGAAGATTTCGGCGGAGCGTCCACAAGTAATCGGCGTTAGCCTAGAAAGCTCCGGTGGTAACACAAGTCAAGTAGGGAACTGTAAAGTTGCTTTCTTGACGAACGAGACTTACTCTCCGGCAAATGTTACAGGGCCTGAGCAAATTTATACTAATGGGTATACTGTGATTGAGCTTGGATGGCTCTTTGACTCATCGGATTCTCGGTTAGCGAATCCAGTGGGATGTGTGAATTTGACGGAAACTGGGATGTACACCCTACTCTCACCGAGCTGTGTTTGCGAGTATGGTTACTTCTCTGGGTTTGGTTACAGTAACTGTTTCTGCAATCATATTGGTTACCGTGGGAATCCGTATCTTCCTGGTGGTTGCATTGGTGAGATTTATGGTTTTCTTCACCTGAATTGCTTAAATGGGTTTTTGTTAAGCTAGTTACGGATATGTTGATTTGATTCTGCAATTTTTTTTTTGTTTTTGAAGACATTGATGAATGTGAGGAAGGAAAAGGAAGAAACAGCTGTGGAGAAAAAACTTGTGTGAATGTCCCTGGATCGTATAGGTGCGAGGCGAAGGAAACAGAGAAGATCAAGCCTGTGATTCAAGGTGAATATGGAGTTTTTTTTTTCAGATTCTAAAGTTGTGTAACAGAGCAAAAAGGAGTTATTTAATGGGTTTTTTCGTCATTGTGCAGGTCTTGTTCTAGGTTTGGCGCTGTTGTTCTTAGTTCTTGGGATATGGGGATTGATCAAATTCATTAAGAAGAGAAGGAAGATTATCCGAAAGAGGAAGTTCTTTAAACGTAATGGGGGTTTGTTGTTGAAACAACAGTTAGCTACGGAAGAAGGAGGTAATGTGGAGAAATCGATGATATTCAGCTCGAAAGAGCTGGAGAAAGCGACGGATAGCTTCAACAAGAATAGGGTTCTTGGGCAGGGAGGTCAAGGTACTGTCTACAAAGGAATGTTGGTGGATGGACGAATCGTAGCTGTGAAAAGGTCTATAGTTTTGGACGAAGACAAAGTTGAGGAGTTCATCAATGAAGTTGGTGTTCTCTCGCAGATTAACCACAGAAACATCGTGAAACTCTTGGGTTGTTGTCTCGAGACAGAAGTTCCTATCTTGGTCTATGAGCATATACCAAACGGTGACCTATTCAAGCGGCTTCACGATGATTCTGATGATTACACAATGACTTGGGATGTGAGATTGCGTATTGCTGTGGAGGTTTCAGGAGCACTTGCTTACTTGCACTCGGCTGCATCTACTCCTGTCTATCACAGAGATGTCAAGAGCACTAACATACTTCTGGATGACAAGTATCGAGCCAAGGTGTCGGATTTTGGTACTTCTAGGTCTATAAACATAGATCAAACTCACTTGACAACACTAGTTGCTGGTACTTTTGGATACTTGGACCCAGAGTACTTTCAGACTAGCCAGTTTACGGACAAAAGTGATGTTTACAGTTTTGGAGTTGTCTTGGTTGAGCTTATAACCGGAGAAAAACCGTTTTCTGTAATGCGGTCTGAAGAACACAGAGGGCTTGCATCTCATTTCATTGAGGCCATGAAAGAGAACAGAGTTGTTGATATTGTTGATTCTCGGATCAAAGAAGACTGCAAGCTGGAACAAGTGTTGGCTGTGGCGAAACTTGCCAGAAGGTGTTTAAGCCTAAAAGGGAAGAAGCGGCCAAACATGAGAGAGGTTTCGATTGAGCTTGAGAGGATCCGTTCATCACCTGGAGATTTAGAGGTACATATCGAAGAGGAAGAAGACGAAGAAGAAACCGACATGGAAATCAACATAGATGATTCTTGGAGCGTCGACATGACTGCTCCAGCATCCCTCTTTGATTTATCACCCAAGTTAGATGTTGAACCACTGGCTCCTCAACGAACATGGTCATGATGGAATATGAGAGACTGCAAAAATGTACCTTTTAAGTGTTGTATAATTGTGTGAAACAGGATGTCTCTCAAAAAATCGTTCAGCATTACATTCCATTATAGACAATTCATTTGTACAAATAACTGTGGGAATAATCTTGGGACATAACTCAAGTAAGATTAAAAAAAAGAGTGTACGTTCTGATTAAACATAAGCCATTCTTTTAGGATGGCATCTTCTTAGTTTTATTATGTTACTTGCCTAGATATCTATACAGTGATGATGGATGTCCTAATTACTGTGGAATGCAAATACACGATGATTCTAGTAATATGGCGTGATTGGTGTAGGCGTGATGGTGTTGATCGGAGTAGGTGTGTGTGTATCCATATTAATATTATTAGTTTATTACAAGACAAAAAAGAATGTCTTGAAACGCAGTGGAGGTCCGTCTATTGTTGCAACAAGAGAAGGCAACGTCCGAGACTACACACGGCCAAGTATGATGAACCTCCGACGCTTCCTTCTCCAGCAGAGCGACGACAAGATACATATGGTAGAGACATAAGCCAAAAATGTCTCTTGTCGTCGCTCTGCTCGAAAACTAACCGTTGGTGGTTCCAAATGTCTAGTGTTGGATTTCCTATGTATGATTGTATACACTCTGTACTGTACACTTCTCAAAAGAAAACGCAAGGACAGTTATCATATTTTGATTATTACACAAGCTTTTCTGGCAACAGTTATTACAGAATTTACATAGCTCTTATATATTTGTAGTTTGTTTTTTGTTATTGTCAGTTAGTGGAGGAAGAAGATGCAAAAGATGGAGGACTTGACCACACTACACTCTGTTTTCCACTCACATTTTTTCGCTCCAGTAATCACAATTTTTGGATTCTTTCGGAGACTTGACCTGTTGCTGTTTCCAAGACCCACACAACTTATATGATTGAGAAAGAGAAAAAGAAGACCAAGACCTGTTGCTGTTTCCTCACAGTACAAAACCAGTCACTGCATTATAGCAAGGAAAAACATTCAGAGAAAAAGGAATTCACAAGCATCATAAACATGGGCTCGAATAATAGTTTTTCTCTTTTGATTCCCTTCTCTCTGCTGCTTTTGTTGATTCTTGATTCAGCACCTCTCACAGCTTCAAGGTCTTGTTCAGGCGAATGTGGAGGAATCGAGATCCCTTACCCCTTTGGAGTGGGAGAGGGTTGCTATCTCGAGAAAGCGTACGAAATTACATGTGGTAATACCTCCATTTCAGGGAAGGTCGTCCCAGTTCTTTCCATACTTGGCAAGGACGTTGTGAATATCTCTCTTCCAAGGTCAATCCGTATAAAGAATCCGATAACTTCAAGGGGATGTTCAAGCGACGGAGAAGACGACTTTGAATCACTTTTGAATTTGACGGGTACCCCTTTTTACGTTGGCTCCAGTAATTCAATGGTAGCGTCTGGCTGCAACAACACGGCATTGCTGACAAATGTCGAGCCAACCGTGGGGGGATGCAAATCTAGCTGCGGTCTAACATACCATACGCCTACTAAACATTTTATTGCAACAGCTGCTTGCAATGAAGATTATGGCTACGAATACGACGCGTATTGTAGTGAAAGAAGCAGCACTTTATATGAAAAAAGCTGCAGCAGCGGCGTTGGATGCTGCGAGATAAGCATGCCTGATTTGGGCCACCAGATTGTTGGTGTCAGAATAGATAACACCACGACAACGGGAGGGTGCAAAGTTGCCTTCTTAACAGACGAGGCATACTCTTTGTCAAATGGATCTGATCCGCACAGGTTTCATGCTGAAGGATATAGTACGGTTAAGCTAACATGGTTCATCGATACGGCAAATCATTCTTTTGTTGACTCTCTGGGATGCTATGGTATGAAAGAGTACATGCGTCTAAGGGCAAGCTCATCATATGAAAGCATTTACGAAAAAAATTGTGCGTGCGATTACTATGATAATTCTTCAACCTATAGCTGCACATGCACTCAGGGTTACAGGGGCAACCCATACGTTCCGGGCGGATGTAAAGGTTAGTGTAATTGTGTTAATACATCATGTATGTTTTTTATTCAAATCTTCTATGACAATCCATGATCAAAGTAAATATATGAGATGCTGTCAAAACCTCTGTATGGGATCATCGTTTCATTTCAATTTCACTATTATCTTAAACCAGATATTGATGAATGCCTAGAAAAAAAACACGACAAGTTGGGAGATCCCATTCCCATCAATTGTATGGGCACTTGTGTCAATTTGCAGGGAGGCTATAAGTGTGTGCCCAAAACTCACGCACGGCCAGTACTTGCTATAGGTACGCGTGGAAGCTTTTAATCCCAAATACACTCGTAGATTTTGTATAATGGTGCTCATCAACTTATATTTTACCATCTATCCAAGCTAAACAAACTTTGTTTTTTTCGTTTCGGTCTCGCAGGGATTGGTTCGAGTTTTGGCTCATTGATCCTTATTGGTGGAATATACTTGTTATGCAAATTTATTAGAAGGCAAAGAAGGAAGCAGTTTTTCAAGCGCAATGGGGGTTTATTGTTGCAACAACAAGTAACCTCAACGGACGGCAACATCGAAAAGACAAGAGTGTTTAGCTCAAAAAGGCCACCGAAAACTTTAGCTTGACCAGAGTACTTGGCCAAGGTGGTCAAGGTACGGTGTACAAAGGAATGCTTGTCGACGGTAGAATCGTAGCAGTGAAAAAGTCTAAGGTCGTGGACAAAGACAAGCTGGAAGAGTTCATCAATGAAGTTGGTGTTCTCTCGCAGATTAACCATAGAAACATCGTGAAACTCTTGGGTTGTTGTCTCGAGACAGAAGTTCCTATCTTGGTCTATGAGCATATACCACACGGTGACCTATTCAAGCGGCTTCACGATGATTCTGATGATTACACAATGACTTGGGATGTGAGATTGCGTATCGCTGTGGAGGTTTCAGGAGCGCTTGCTTACTTGCACTCGGCCGCATCGACTCCGGTCTATCACAGAGATGTCAAGAGCACTAACATACTTCTGGATGACAAGTATCGAGCCAAGGTGTCGGATTTTGGTACTTCTAGGTCTATAAACATAGATCAAACTCACTTGACAACACTAGTTGCAGGTACTTTTGGATACTTGGATCCAGAGTACTTTCAGACTAGCCAGTTTACGGACAAAAGTGATGTTTACAGTTTTGGGGTTGTCTTGGTTGAGCTTATAACCGGAGAAAAACCGGTCTCTGTTATGCGGCCTGAAGAACACAGAGGGCTTGCATCTCATTTCATTGAGGCCATGAAAGAGAACAGAGTTGTTGATATTGTTGATTCTCGGATCAAAGAAGACTGCAAGCTGGAACAAGTGTTGGCTGTGGCGAAACTTGCCAGAAGGTGTTTAAGCCTAAAAGGGAAGAAGCGGCCAAACATGAGGGAGGTCTCGATTGAGCTTGAGAGGATCCGTTCATCACCTGAAGATTTAGAGGTACATGTCGAAGAGGAAGAAGACGAAGAAGAAAATCAATGGGAATCAACATAGATGATTCTTGGAGCGTCGACATGACATCGCCCAAGTTAGATGTTGAACCACTGGCTCCTCAGCGAACATAGTCATGATGTAATATGAGAGTCTGCAAAAATGTACCTTTTAAGTGTTGTATAATTGTGTGAAACAGGATGTCTCTCAAAAAATCGTTCAGCATTACATTCCATTACAGACAATTCATTTGTACAAATAACTGTGGGAATAATCTTGGGACATAACCCAAGTAAACATAAGCCATTCTTTTTAGGGCTTTTTGTTACACACACGAATGCTTTAATAAGGGGAATCAGCTTTGGCTGACGCACACTAGAAGAATTTGAGTTTCCCTTTGGAGAAACTGGCTTGGACGTGTTCCATTTGACACATGGCCTTTGCTTTTCCGGTCATCCCTGAGCAGGTCAAGTGCCTAGCGCCCAAGGTGACGGCAAAGTAGATATAAATGGTGCAGAGGAATGCCAAAAGGATCATGGCGGTTAAAAGGAACCGGTGCCTCTGGACGACAGTGTTGCAGCTACCCAAGTCCTCCCATTGCTTCTTCAGCGCATGTGGCCTCCGTAATGGCGATGACACAATCCCATCAAGAACCATAGCTTCTAACACCGACCAAGCCTAGCTTAATACCAACCTGAAACGATGATACTTGGGTTTGAATTCACACACATGGTTGAAGTAACAAACAAAAAAACAGAAGCTTCTTCAAGAAAATACAATTGCAGATAAGAGGTACTAATGGATTGGATGTAAATTGTGAATATTTCCATCATAAACCATCTATACAACTTCTACTATGGCTAAATTTCAAAATCATCTTCCTTGAAACCACCATTAGAGAGAGAGAGAGAGAGAGGAAAAAACGATGTTTTGATATGTGGCAACAAGGTTAGCAATTTTGACAAGATATTAGTCTTTCATTCAACATTACAATTTACAAACAAGTTTGAGTCTTTCACATGAAAATTACTATGCAGAGGAATCATCCATCTATCAGGACAATCGTTAATCGGAACTAAACGAAACATATGATTCTCAATCGGAGAAAACTCAAAACATCACGCAAGTAAATCAAGGAAACAGATCGAATCAGGGAAAGAGACAACGAACCGGCGAGGCAGCTAAACGAAAAAACGAACAGAGATCTGGAGAAGAAGAACAGCTGATTCACAGCTCCGTCGACCAAAAAATAAAAAATCACTAATTTCGGAGAAAAAAAATTCCTCCTGCAGCTCTCGCAATAGCAGACGATTCCAATTCGGCGGCGTGGCCAAATAGAAGATCTATCCTCTCCGTCGAGTAACGGCTAGAGCAAGGAGCCGATTCGCCGGTAAACGCGGTTTGTCAAAAGAACATAGTCCGTTACATATACCGAAGATTTAGGAAAATGATTTGAAAAAAAATAAGAAAATAGAAAAAGAGAAGAAAGAGAGAATGCGTGTGTTCTGGAATTGATGAGCTATTCTCCACTTACTTGTGACTTATAAATGCTCTCACCATGTGGTGGTTTGTTTATTCTAGCTGGCTTTTAAGTCTTCGACCGACATTGCATGATGACTACTGGTGTGTGTAAATTCAATTGTTATGGTGATCTCAATAAATGTCAAAGTTTCCTGAAATTGCTTGCTAAATACCGACCAAAATTAATAAGTTTCTCTAATTAGAGTTGTTAGTCTAATTTAATGCCATTAGTAAGTGGGGCCTAATGTGATGAAAATCTACAGTAGTAAAAGGGCCTTATTGGGCCATTAATGGGCCATATATATGTTCGGCGCGTTTTTGGTTCTCGATGCTTTTTTAATCGTAAATTTCAGTAAAGCTAGAATGAACATCGAGTTGCTGTTGGGCTTTCCAAGGAAAAAAAAAACTTGGGATTTGATACGAAATTGAGTTTTCCATATTTGCTCTTTGTTTGAACCAATTTTGTTGATGGGAAATTAGCATTTGTTAATTGTTAGTTCAAATACTCCTTCCGTATTTTTTTTATAAGTTGTTTTAGAATTTTTTTTTTTCATTATTAGATGATGTTTTCAGAAATAAATGTAAAAATGTTTTATTCTATATATGATTTTTCTATTGATTGAATTGTTTTGGAATTGATGTTTTGTTTTAGAAAAAAAAAATTAAATAACTTCTTAATTTTTGTACAAAACCTTAAACATCATATATCAAAATATGGAGGGAGTAGTATATTTCCACACACAAAAAAAGGTTGGCTAAAACTTCTAAAACTTTTAACTGGTTATGGTGAATAATTTTTATCTTTGTTACTCGAGATGACAAAAATAAACAAAAGGGAAAAAGGATTAAAAAGGAATTACTAGAGAGTTTAATTTGTCTGGACATGTGTCACGTGGATTGCACATGTAGATCTCTTGCCGCGTTTGAAATCCGAAACGCACTGTTTAACTACGGGTCGGCTTTTCTGTAGCTTCGCTTCGCTCTCGATCTTGTCAATAGTGCTTTTTCTAGGCCGCTCTCTGACGCCGCCGTCGATTCTCGTCGGGAATTTTATCGAGCCAGCTCCGTCAATTTCAACGATGAAGCTCACCGTTAAGACTCTCGTGGGTCGTCAGTTTGAAATTAGGGTTCAGCCCTCTGATACGGTTAGTCCTCGTCGTATGAGTCATTTTGCGTAGGAGAGTAGAGAAAAGTAGCTTCGAACATCAGATCCACAAATTTGAAAATGTTTAATGATGACAATATCGTGTGGTGGTGAATTCAGAATTGATTCTATTAGTGTTTAATAGCTTTCCTAACAGCTCTAGTCTCATGTCTCGAGAATCCTTGTGTTTATATGAATCTGGTTTAATAATGTAAGTCTTCAGGTTTGTGAATCATTGAATTCGGGCATGATGTGCTTTGGTTTTGAAAGGTAATGGCGGTGAAGAAGAATATAGAGGATTCGCAAGGAAAAGACAATTATCCATGTGGGCAACAATTGCTGATTCACAATGGAAAAGTTTTGAAAGATGAAACTAGTATGGTGGAGAATAAGGTTACCGAGGAAGGTTTTCTTGTCGTCATGCTTAGCAAGGTAAACACTATTCAAGGATCACATATAATCATGTACTTTTTTTCTATAGATTCCATTTCTTGCAAGCTTAGATCAACAGACACTCTTCAAATATCGTTTAAGCTTTAGATCAGTAGTTAATACTTGAACAGTGAAATGCTCGAAGAGATGCTAAGAGAAGAACTGTATATTCTGGTGGGCTCCCTTAGACAAAGGATAAAAGCTGATGAATGAGTGTTCTTAGGCTTATGTTGCTTTAGATGTCTCTTTCATGATTGTTACCTAGTTAATGAAACATTTAGCTTGTCATTGGGCACTGACATTGGCTTTTACCTTTGGTTATGATGAACTGTAGAGCAGAACTGCAGGTTCAGCTGGTCAGTCGTCGGCTCAGGTAGCTTATTTATTATTTCTCATATTTTTGGACATCACTGGTTTGCTCTGATAATTCTCAGCCGAAAATCCTTCTTCTATTTCCCAGCCTGCTTCCACTTCTACGTCTACCACATCTTCGACTAAGGTAACTTTTTTTGCATGTATTCACTTTTGGAAATATGCAATTAGCAGCTCCTTCTGTTGGCTGTTTTAATACAAGCTCGTATTGGAATTTGGTTCAGCCTGCAGCTCCATCTACAACCCAGTCTACAGCTGTCCCTGCTTCACCTATTCCTGTTCAAGGACAACCACCGTAAGTTTTATTACTGAAAAATGAGGGAGTTTTTTTTTCTCTCCTTTTCTTGTATACGTTTTCATTTTCTCTTCCGCGGGTCTTGCCCACTCTTTTATGGCTTTCCGAATGTTTCCATGTACGACCTCTAGTATAAATTCTATAGCTTATTTGTTTTGGATTTCATCGATACACTTCAATCTCCACAGCTTAAAATGGTATGTGGCAGGGCAACTGACACCTTTGGACAAGCTGCTTCAACATTGGTTAGTGGCGATAGTCTTGAGCAAACGGTGCAACAATTAATGGAAATGGGAGGTGGAAGCTGGGACAAAGAAACAGTTACTCGTGCACTTCGTGCAGCTTATAACAACCCTGAGAGAGCGGTGGATTATCTCTACTCTGTACGGGCTCTCTCTGTGACCTTATTATTGTTCCCTAAGGGTTTAAAGGATGAAACCATTGACATTTTATTACTATAGGGAATTCCTGATGAAGTAGCTGTGCCAGTACCTGGGACTGGATCTGGTGCAGCCCCTATCGCACCTGCATCTGGAGGTCCAAACTCATCTCCTTTGGATTTATTCCCTCAGGTATTTTTTAGTATTATTTGTGTATCCAAAAGAGCTGATAGGTATATTAATTATTGAGTTACCTTCTCACTCTATGGTTTAATTTTCACAGGAAACAGTTGCTGCTGCTGGCACTGGTGATCTTGGGACGCTTGAGTTTCTTAGAAACAATGATCAGGTTGCTATTCTAACTTTATCTGTATCTCTGCTCATTGCGAAGTTATTTTCTTATAACCATTTGTATCTATTGAGTGAATGATTATGGATATGAGAAGATGGTCATCTAGTTTGGTTAGAACCACATTTCATTCACTTAGTCGGAAATGTTTTTTTTCTTTCTATTATAGCCAAATCTAACAAGGAGGGATGATAACTTATATATGTGTTTGACTTTTTGTTCTAACTTTGGTGAATTTCATCCACGTACTCATCCCCTTATATTTGCTATTGTATTAGTTCCAACAATTACGCACCATGGTCCATTCCAACCCTCAAATTCTCCAGGTAAGACCGGCCTAATTTTCATTATTCTGGTCCAGTAATCTTTACAATGATTCTAAGCGTCTTGTATTGAAAATCGCTGCCATTTGTTACCAGCCCATGCTTCAGGAACTTGGAAAGCAAAACCCTCAACTTCTGAGGTTAATCCAAGAGAATCAAGCAGAGTTTCTTCAGTTAGTAAACGAGCCCTATGAAGGATCTGATGGGTGAGTCCTCTACTCTGTTTATCGTAGTCGAAGGTTCAGTCAGATGTAACAGTATGCACCTATAGCTATTTTCCTATCGACATTTCATTAAACTATGCTGATTCACAAACCTTGAAACTCAAAACCCATCAGGGATGCAGATATTTTCGAACAACCCGAGCAAGAAATGCCACATGCCATTAACGTCACCCCAGCAGAGCAAGAAGCGATTCAACGGGTAAACACCATTGATTGTAACACTCTGATACTCTTGTTGTTGTTGTTGGAAAACTTCTTAATTACACTGTCTTTGACAGCTCGAGGCAATGGGATTTGATAGAGCTTTAGTAATAGAAGCCTTCCTCGCATGTGACCGTAACGAGGAATTGGCAGCTAACTATCTATTGGAGAACTCAGGTGATTTTGAAGACTGAGTTCCACAACAAATTGTCTCCTCCTTTGAAAAAGTTTTGGCCCTCTTCAGCTACATCCCTTGTTTCTTACGTCTCCACGTTGTGTTGGATTTTTATTTTACCTTCTGAGAATTACTGTGTGGGATTTGCGCTCTATTTCGCCGATTTTTTTTTTTTTTTTTTTTTACATTTCTCCGTGTGCGTTTTCAAGCGATTTGGGCGGTTGTCACTGTTGTGATATGATAGATTTTTATGTGTAAAAGAAGCAGAGATACAAAGCGTGATCACGCAATTCTTGAGGGGATAAACATAAAGTGTAATAGATATTTATCATTTTATTCAAAAACAAAAAGAAAGATATTTATCCTAACTAAACTGTTACTATGTTGTTGTAATTTATGGGGAATTCACGGATTTTCCGATGTTGAAAGGTGAACCATTAAGATACTACTACTAGACTAGGCTCACCGGTTTCGTCTGGTTCAGGCAAACCGATGGCCTCCGGGTTTTGGGTAGCAAAATGTGCTAATATAGAACAAATTTCTTAGAGGTAGCGTCTCCAATTCATCTGGTTCAGGCGAAACCGGTGACTTAGCCGGCTGTTTGGTACCAATCATTCTATGTAATTTGAGATTTTTTAACCTTTAATTGTAATTTTCTGTTCTTATCCCATGGAGGTTAAATATATTTAATGAAATATGGAGATCAGCTATTTTAGGATAAATATTAAATGTTTGATTTGTAAATAAACAAATTTGAAGGATGAAGAAAAAGGCAAAAAAGCAGAAAAGGACCTAAAATGGCGGGATTCCAAATTTAACAATATTTACAGCAAAAAAAAAATCCCTCTCTCCAATTTGAGCGATCCGATTGTGACTCTCTCTCTCTCTCTTTCTCTGGTTTTCGTTTTAATATCTTTCTGGAGAAAATTTTGATAGAAAGTGCAACGAAAAAGCAAGAAGGTTGGTTCCTTTTCTCTCACTCTTTCTCATTAATCATTGTTTCCTGATTGATTTTCCATGGATGTCGTGATTTGGCCGGTACGATCAATTTTTCCCACATCCTTATGCGAATAATTATCATGACGAGTCGACGAGTTATCGGATTCTCTCTGGGTTTCGTTTGAAATTTGTAGGTTTTGGTTTCTGATTTTCTTGGTTTAGGGGTTCTGATTATCAATCAACAGGCGTGATAGTTGTTTACCTTGACCTTGACGCTTCGATGATTTGGGAATTAAGCAGTTGAATTAGCCGAATCCCGCTTAGGGGATTATCTCTTCTCTTCATCCACTTCAATGTTATGCAGTAGTTTGTTCTGAGTCTTTGGTTACAACTTGGATTATTGTTGCAGAAATCGTCCACATATAGCAGAACTTGGATTAAATGTATAGCGATTGACAAAATTGATTCCTTGTTTGAAATGATTGGATTGATGACTTGTTTGACCTGTAACTGAATTTGAGCTTGTTGGTTTGGTTGAAGCAGGTGGCAAAAGCATTGACAATCCTCACTTAATTACCACTGAGGCTCAAGCTCAATCTCTCCTTAGCACAGTTCTGCTAGAGAATCAAGTAAGTTTGTTTTAAGCTTCATGACTTATAGTGTTGTACATGCTATATGGATATCACGAAGGCTTTGTAATCAGGGAAATTTAAATCATTAAGTTTGTGTTACAATACGTAGACAGCTTCGAATCCATCTGCAATTTGTCTTCTTCCTGTTATCTGTACTTATTTGACTTTCTCCTCATCAGAAGAATCAAATGATTCAGATTCTGATAGGTCCGAATTCTGAATCTTGTTGATTTGTTTTGACATGACTGTTTGAGACTTAGAACTTGTGAGACGTGAACTTAGTATGTTTTATACTAATTATTTTCCTGTCCATGCAGGTTCGTTGAGAAGATTAATATTTCAGTTGGTCAAGATCCTGATTCCAAGTACCTGATTGGTGACAAACAGGTGCTGACTCTTTAACATACAGAATTTTCAGCTCGTCTCATGTGGTTGTTTTAACATATATTGTTTTATATTGGTCTGATCGATTTCAAAGCCAAAGCAGTGCTGTTTCTGACGTATATAACCCTGTTGAATGTTATACAATTGATGAAATATATGTAGTGTGCAACTGATGAAACTTATCTGTAGGAAAAGAATTTAGATGAAGCCAAGCATGTTCTTGAACTTAACAGTGTTTATATTTGAGTGAATGTGTTTTCTTGTGTTCTTTTCTTTTGTTGCTCCATTTCTGCTTTGATTCTATTGAAAATCGCGTCTTGTGCAGATGCTCTCTGCACCAGCAAGTGAGAAACGGTTGTGGCTGCACGAGGTATGTGTTTTTCTCTGTTACAAAAAATTACTTCTATAAGCAGATTATATCTTTCCAGTCTAAAAATAGTGTAACCAGGGGAAGTCTTAGAGCTGTGACAAAAAATGTTCCTGAGCATTGTGGTTTGTATACGTATCTGTATGTGTAGCATAGAAAAGTCGTTTTTATTAAGCGAGAAAATGTTCCAGTTACTTCTTGTCTACGTAGGAACACTCTCCAGTTGAGTTTTTTTTCTTCCTTTTATGAATTGATCTTTAGTGAAAACAAAGATCAAGATACAATGGAGAAGAAGAAGTATCCGATTGGGCCAGAGTATTACACCCTTTACGAGGTGATCGGACAAGGTGTTAGTGCTTTAGTGCACCGTGCTCTGTGCATTCCCTTCGATGAAGTCGTTGCTATTAAGATTCTTGATTTTGAACGAGATAACTGCGATCTGGTGATTTTTCTTTTGCTTGCCTCTTTACTCTTTGAATGAGAACTCGTGGTGGTTTTTCCATTGGCTAAGCTAGTTACATTTTTTTCTTTTCAGAACAACATTTCTCGTGAAGCACAGACGATGATGCTTGTTGATCATCCCAATGTGTTGAAATCACATTGCTCTTTTGTTAGTGACCACAATCTGTGGGTCGTGATGCCATACATGTCTGGTGGTTCTTGTCTTCACATACTAAAAGCAGCATATCCTGACGGTTTTGAGGAAGCTATTATAGCGACAATATTGCGTGAGGCGTTGAAGGGATTAGACTATCTCCATCAGCATGGCCACATACATCGGGATGTCAAAGTCAGTAATTTAAACCTATATATATATATATATATATATATATATCCTCTCGTTAAGCATAATTTTTGTGGTTATAAATATTGTTGACTATATATGAAAATGATGTTGTGAATATAACTTTCCTATTCTGATATCCTTTGTCGTGATTGTTGTATTATGTCTTCATTTCAGGCCGGCAATATTTTGCTCGGTGCTCGAGGAGCAGTCAAGTTGGGAGACTTTGGTGTATCTGCATGTCTCTTTGATTCAGGTGATAGGCAACGGACGAGGAACACATTTGTTGGGACACCTTGCTGGTAAGTTTTTTTTTTTCTTGGATGTGTTTGTGGAGGACTTCAATAGTTTGAACTTAGTTCTCATGTGCATGACCTAGTGTTTCTTATGATGTTTCACAGGATGGCCCCTGAAGTCATGGAGCAGTTACATGGTTATGACTTCAAGTTAGTTAATTCTTTCTTGTATTCAATGTTACATCATTCTATCTACTTATCCTTACTAAAGGAGTATATAATATTTCTAATTTGACATCTACTTCAGGGCTGATATTTGGTCGTTTGGCATAACTGGGCTAGAGCTTGCACATGGCCACGCTCCTTTCTCTAAATATCCGCCAATGAAGGTTCATAGCCTTTGTGATATCTAGATTCAATCTCCAAAATTTTTTAATTCGATTCTAAAACAAATATGGTTTCAGGTTCTGCTTATGACCTTGCAAAATGCACCACCAGGGCTGGATTATGAAAGAGATAGGAAATTTTCTAGGGTATACTCTCGGCGGCAAAAGTATAGATTCTGGTTAGAATTGTTGGCTTCTTACTATCATCTCAGTTTTGCCTGTTTTTCTTGGTATTTTCAGTCGTTCAAGCAGATGATTGCCAGTTGTCTAGTGAAAGACCCTTCTAAACGCCCATCTGCGAAAAAGCTGTTGAAACATTCATTTTTCAAGCAAGCAAGGTCAAGTGATTACATTGCACGAAAGCTTCTAGATGGGTTACCAGATCTTGTTAATCGTGTTCAAGCAATAAAGGTTGGTTTTATATATATAGCTAAGTAGATATCTTATAGTTATTTCAATATTATCAAATCGAAAACTAATGGGGATATGCTCTCTACATGTAGAAAAAGGAAGAAGATATGCTTGCACAAGAGAAAATGGCGGATGGAGAGAAGGAGGAACTGTCGCAGGTTTGTGTTTCCAGTTTCCAATTTTGGCTTTATGTACAAGTAATTATGTTTAAAGCAATTTTGACTTTTGATTTCCAGTTCTAGTTGTTGTGAAAAAGATTAGCCTTTAAACTCTTGTCATAGTAACATGCAGAATGAATATAAGAGAGGTATAAGCGGGTGGAATTTCAATCTCGATGATATGAAAGCCCAAGCTTCAATGGTATAAGTTTGGTCTCCTCTACTAATCCATACAAAGTACCCAACTGTAAAGCTCACTGAAGCGCTTCATTTTATGTTGTTCTTATTTCCATCAGATCCAGGACATAGACTGTGGTTTATCAGAGAACAGTTTATCCGGAAGTACCACTTCGTTGCAGGCTCTAGATTCACAAGATTTGCATTCGGAGTCTCAGGTGAACTCTTGTAGCAATCGTTTCTTCACCTTCTTGTGTACATATTGCTAGATGTTCTGTGATAAAAATATTTTCTTGTTCTAATCTGCAGGAGGATATTAGTCAACTGGCAAATAAGTATCTCCAACCCCTAATTCATCGAACTCTAAGTATCGTGAGGTTTATCTCTAATTGGAATTTTCATTTCGTTGTCTACTTATCTATGAATCAATAGAGGTGAATAAACTGAGCTAGTACTACTTTTGGTGGTCAGGGATAAATCGGATGATGATTCAAGTCTTGCCAGCCCCAGTTACGATAACTATGTGTATTCCTCTCCCCGTCATGAGGATCTATTTTTAAATCATTCAACTGCTGGTAGCACGCAAGCAGTCCATTGGAAATCAATGGATTCGACATCTATCCCAACCAATCAACAACCAGAGATTCTAGCAGAGAGGTTAGTTCTTTAACATCTTTGAAAAATTCTTTTATTCCACACTTGAAACTGACTTCAAAGCTTATATTGACACTGAATTTTAAAATGGTTTGTGAATTCCCAGTGATAAAACCCAAGATGTGCTTCAAAATGGCAATGGGATACATCTAACAGTTGGAGGAGATGAAGTACCAACAGAGCTGACTGTTAAACCACCTAAAGCAGCAGGTAAGTTTTGACAAGACTTTATATGTATATTAATCCAATCAAAACAGTTCTATTGACCAATGCTTATCGTGTATCTGTATCGGTGAGCCTAGATGAACCTGAGGACAAATCAAAGCCGCCAGTTGTGCAGCAAAGAGGGCGTTTTAAAGTAACTTCTGAAAATCTAGACATCGACAAGGTAACTTTTTGTTTTGTTTTTGATTTGAAGAGAGGGAAACAAGCAGTTTCATGTTTGTTTACTCTTTTTTTTTGAGGTTTCCTTTTGTATTCATATTAATTTTCTCTTTAAACAGGTGGTGGCTCCATCTCCAATCCTGCAGAAGAGTCACAGCATGCAGGTTTGTAATAGCTTAGCTTCAGCTGCAGAAAACAATCAATGTTTAGTACCACAACCATTCATCTCAGTGACAACAACAAAAAAACATTTTTGCGGTTATGTAGGTGCTCTGCCAACAATCTTCTGCCTCACTGCCTCCCTCGGTTTCAGGAAGTGATGTCACGTTGCCAAATCTAACCAGCTCTTACGTTTACCCGTTGGTGTATCCAGTTCTGCAAACCAATATATTGGAAAGGGTATATTATGCCTTTTGAATTCTTAGATTTTACTCCTTTTCTTATGAAAAAGTTCGTTGCATAATAATTTACATGCTGACCCAAAACAGGACAACATTTTGCATATGATGAAAGTGCTCACCAACAGAGAGTTGACAGGTTCGTTTGTGCAACTTTAACATCTTTATTCTCTCTTTTGATTATAAATTTTCATGCCACGAGATTTGAATTTCCCTTTATATCTCTGATGTAGATGGACGTTCAGCTGACTCAGGAAGCGTTCAGCAGCCTATTGTAGCTCCTACTGAGAAATCAATGGTATGTAAATCATTTGTACTGATGAATCATATATCTCCAAAGAGTTTGGAACTTAGCAGAATTGTTATCATGTTGAATTACAGCTTGAAGCAGCACATGAAAGAGAGAAAGAGTTGCTCCATGACATAACCGACCTGCAATGGAGGTAACTTTAAACAATTGCCCTACTTCCGAAAGTATGTCTTTGTGTAACTCAAAATCCAACATTCTTTCTTCTTTAATGTGTGTGTGTGTGTGTCTATAGGCTCATTTGTGCTGAAGAAGAGCTGCAGAAATACAAAACCGAACATGCCCAAGTAAGTCATCCTTTCTACAAAACTTTTCATTTCAACTGTACCAAAACTCATACTTTCCTTTTCAAATTTCAGGTCTGATTTCCTAAAAAACTTGAGAAGATGTGTGGCCAAGTGTTAAAAAAACAATAAGTATTTTAATAAGACAATACATCTAATGAAGGTAAGATTTGCTTTCAGTTGTTTTGTAATTTGATTCATGGATACATCACTCCCTACTATCATCACTTCATATTATGTTTTTTAGTCTTTTAGGTTTGTTTAAGGAATTTGTGTTATGTACCATGGTGGCTATTTTATAACTATGGTTACATAATGATTTGTGTAATGTTGATACAAAAAGGGTTATTGAGAAGCTTTTCCTAATATGACAGCTTAGACTTAGGGGTTTCGATGCGTGTAAATGAATGCATCTCTCACCAACTCAATAGGACAACTAAGACTTGTCCTCATGTAGCATAGGCCAACACACAATCCGTGAATTCCATTTCTGTCATAATTGCTTCTCTCTTTAATGCTCAAATGTGTACATATACTTTTTTCTAATATAAAATTTATGTCCTAGAGAATCTATATAATGTATATGGAAATGAACATAAAGCTTTTTTTTTTCTCTTACACAATTTTTGAAATGAACTTGAACTTGCCTCAATCTGTATAAAACTGAAATGATTTTCAATAAATTGAATAATAATTTTATGTTAGTTCTCTTATACTAATTGTCTGTCTCAAGCCAACCCAAAGTTAGACTTGATTTTATTAAAATCTTAGAAAATTAAAAACATAAACCAAACTAAAATTAAACATCTTTAATGCAATTGAACTAGATATATTATTTTCAAATGTATGTCAAAGATTAACACAACTGGAAACTTAAGTAATCATTTTTAGGCAAAAAGTTATTTTTTTACAATTTTTCAGCTACATAATTTAGGTTTAATAAAGGCAGAAAGGGACGTTGTGACTGATTAATAGTTAATGCTTAATTAATTATTAACTAAATGAGCCAAAACAAAACCAAATAAAAAAAGATATTACTATTACTACTTTTTATTAACAATCAAATTCGAAACATTACACGTAGCCAGATGACAGCAAATTCGAGACGCTGACACGTGGCAACGCGTAATTGGATGAATTTCTGGTGGAGGAGGGTACGATGCAGCCAAGAACCAAATTTTCCCACAATTATTATTCAGAAATATCTCAAAGTGAAGGGGAAAAAAAAAAGATCTCACGTGCGGAAACAAACTATGGCCTTTTTGTCTGATCATTTCGTCTTCCTCTCTCTCTCACAATTGTTCTTTGCATCACAGCTTCCTCTTTCCTTGCTTCTTTTTTTTTTTGACAAAGATTTCAATTTTTTTATTCTCTCTTCGAGTAAGTGGAGTAAGTTAACATTGGGGCTAGGTGGTAGGTCTACTAATACTGGCGTCACTGTGTTCAAAGAATCGTAAATCAATTCACAAGAATTTTATTTTTTACAGATGTGACGTTCTGTTATCTCTCTTTTCCTTTTTAAATCTCTTGCAATGCAAAAGTACGAGTTTTTTTTTACCAGAAAAAAATAGCAGCTTTCCCGAGAAATTTTTTGAAACCAGGTCCTAAAAGCTAAAGCGAAAGCTAAAGTAGTGTGGATTTAAAGTCTCGGTTTTTGAGCCTTTATAAGCTCGTTTCTGGATTTCGTTTTTCTTGTTGGCATCTTTATTACCCGAGGAGATTATACCGTAAACCATTGCCGACAAAACCCCCCAGAAAAATCGTGAATTTCGATCGGAAATTTCAAAAGTTTGAACTTGGTTTTAAAGCTTCGACCTCTTTCTCCGGATTTTTCAAAATGGGTCTGTGTTATTCAGTAGATAGGACCACCGGGAAGGAACCAGGAGAAGCAAGCACCACCACCTCTGCGGCGGAGACGGCGGAGGAGAGATCAGGCTCCGGCCGGTGGCGGCGGCCGAGAGATTTTAAGGGCGGCGTCGAAATAGAAGGGAATCAACAGGTTTTGGGTCGGTTGAATTCGAATGGTTCAAGTAAAATTGCATGTCTTTACACACAGCAAGGCAAGAAAGGAACCAATCAAGACGCTATGCTCGTTTTCGAGGTTCGTTTCTTCACATCCTCTCTACACTCTCTCTCTCAGTTTTTTGCAACTCATTCATTCTGATTTGATCACTACTCGACAAGAGCAAATTAGGGTATTGTGTCTCATTCGATCAGTTTCAGGGATTTTGGTGAAGAAATGTTGTTCAATGTGTGAGTAAAGCTACCTGATTTCTTGCACATGTGTCTTGTTGCAGATCAAATGGATCTTCAGAACATGCTTACATTATTCTTTTGTTGCTAGTGCTTAGGGAGTGAGAGAAACTTGGAATGACGCATGTCTATATCAGTTTTATTTTTGGGACCATCACAGAGCTTAGAGCTTTGAAAATGAGGTGGCTTTGTTTGGCCATTTGTGTTGTTCTTGTGCTGTCTTGAGTCTTTGACCTGTTTCCACATAGTTGTGCAGGGACCACTAGTTACTAGATTCTGTATATCTTCTTACTTGTTTTTGTGCTACAGTTTGAGATATAAAGACAATATATAACTTATGAAAGCTAATTTAATTTCAGAGCTTTTGTTCGAGAGACGACACAGTGTTTTGTGGTGTATTCGATGGACACGGACCATTTGGTCATATGGTCGCGAAGAAAGTCCGAGATACATTGCCCTTCACACTCTCAACTCAATTGAAATTGACGTCAGAGTCAGAGCAAAGCGGCTTTGTGAATGAGAATAGTTTTGAGAACAAATGTACAGAGGAGGAAGAAGAAGCGCAGAGAAGCGAGTCTGTTGCTACTATGGATGAGCAGTGGTGTGAGTTAAATCCAAATGAGAACAAGGATGAACTTCCGGAGATGTATCTGCCTCTTAAACACGCGTTGCTCAAGTCTTGTCAGCAGATGGATAAAGAGCTGAAAATGCATCCGACAATTGATTGTTTCTGCAGCGGAACAACTTCAGTCACCTTGATCAAGCAGGTAAATGCTTACATGTATTTGGTTTTTGATCTCGTTCATCGCTTGGATCTTTCATAATGATTCCTATTACCATTAGGGTGAGGATCTGGTGGTCGGAAACATTGGTGACTCGAGAGCTGTTCTTGCAACCAGAGACGAAGACAATGCTTTGGTCGCTGAACAATTAACCGTAGACTTAAAACCCGATTTGCCAAGTATGTCATCACAAGTTGATCTTAGACTCTCTGAGGAAAAAAGTTTCGATTTTTCTTACTTTCTCTCGATGATGTGTACTTTCAGGTGAATCAGCGAGGATCCAGAAATGTAAAGGACGAGTCTTTGCATTGCAAGACGAACCTGAGGTAGCTCGTGTTTGGTTACCAAACAGCGATTCACCTGGTTTAGCAATGGCTCGAGCTTTTGGCGACTTTTGTCTCAAAGATTACGGTTTAATCTCCGTCCCAGATATCAACTACCGCCGCCTAACAGAACGAGACCAGTTCATTATTCTTGCTAGCGACGGGGTAAAATTCAAATCTTCAACCTTCCATTGCTTGCCACTAAATTGCAATATTTTTTTGAAAAAATGTTTGTTTTTATGCTGAACTGTATTAAGGTATGGGATGTGTTGTCAAACAAAGAAGCTGTAGACATTGTTGCTTCAGCTCCTAGTCGAAGTACAGCGGCTCGAGCTCTAGTGGACACGGCGGTTCGATCATGGAGAATCAAGTATCCAACTTCCAAGAACGACGACTGTACTGTGGTCTGCCTCTTTTTACAGGATTCATCAGTAGCCATGGAGGTTTCAATCAATGTAGTGAATGGTTCACACAAAGATGACTCCATAGAGAGTGTCAGTGTCAGTAACAAGGAGGAGGACGAGATTGTCCCAGTTAAAGACGAGATCACCCCAAAGAGTTGCGAGACTGAGAAGAAGATGATGACAATGACACTTGCAGAGTGTATTTCGGTTGCACAGGATGATGAAGAGTGGTCGGCTTTGGAAGGATTGACCAGGGTTAATAGTTTACTGAGCATTCCAAGGTTCTTCTCTGGTGAGTTTAGATCAACTAGTTGGAGAAAATGGTTGTGACTTTCTTTTTGGCGACCGACACAAACACCGCACATCACCATGTTCTTTGTTTCATATTCAACTTTTTTGTTTTCTCTGCTTTTTTGTCTTTCCTTTTTTTAATTAATCTTTCAGACATGTGAAATTGTTCATGTTGCAGATATAATTCACTACATGACAACAAGATTTTGATTTAACAGTGTTTTTTTTTAATGCATTTTGTATCTACATGTAGTTTTATCATTGGTTCAATTTTGTATATATCTTTTAATATGAAATATTTAAGTATCTCTAGATTTATTCATAAAGATAAATGTAGTTTTTTGAAACATTTAAAAATGGATGGCTCGATATATTTTTTTTTATTGTGTTATTATTTTCTAACAAATATTGGATTTTGGCAGGATCCACTTGTGATTGTGTATGTTCCACTATCTTCTGTGTCCTAGCATAATGATGAAAGGTTGCTTTGATTACAAAACAGAGCTTAACGGTAACTTAAGTTTACATGATTAGAGAGATTAAATGATTACTTTAGAATTGGTTATATGGAATTATATTGTACTTATTTGGAGATCAGGAGATGTATCTCTCAAATGTATTAATAACTAAAGTAATTTGAAAAACAGAGACATAAGAACCGTTAAATTGACTTGCAAGGGAAGGAAATTTGGTTGAAAGCGAACGAAACCAACTTTTCTTGGTGTCACTCGTGTTCCTATTGGCACACTTCCACACACTATTTATTTCTTGAAGAGATAATGATTAATCTTGTCTCATAAGGAAGCTACTTTAATCAATTTGTTGTTCTTTCTCAAAAAAAAGTTCACTTAAATATCAAACCCAAGAACTCATGTCTCTTGAGGAACAATGGTGGCTGCTGCAACAAGCACCATGACCGCTACTTGGCGGTTGCTCTTGATCTGTGTCGCTTACTTCTTCACTGTTTTCTCAATGGTTTCCTCAGTCACTGACCCTCGTGATGGTATTCGATGAATTCTTGTATTTCCCTTGCATTGAATATGATCAATGGAAGATGATTGTAATGCATCTTTAATATATGTTTTGTTGGATTTGTTAGCGGCGGCTCTTCGTTCTTTGATGGATCAATGGGACAATACGCCGCCTAGCTGGGGAGGCTCTGATGATCCTTGTGGAACTCCTTGGGAAGGTGTCTCCTGCAACAGCTCCAGAATCACTGCTCTGTGAGTGTTGCTTAATTACTACTCAAATCACATTAGACTTGGTAACGTACTGAGCAAGCAACTGTTTTGTGTTCAGGGGCTTGTCAACAATGGGTCTCAAAGGAAGGCTTAGTGGGGACATTGGAGAACTAGCTGAACTAAGATCCTTGTAAGTCTCTTTCATCTGTAAATGCAAAGATCAGAGGAACAACGTCTCTCTCTTTTTCTGATATCTGAATTGGCAAATATTTTCAGGGATCTTTCGTTTAATCCAGGGCTCACAGGTTCACTTACTTCCCGCTTAGGAGACCTGCAAAAGCTCAACATTCTGTAAGAAAGAAAGAACCTTATAAGCCATCTTTCTTCTTTCTCTTTCTTTTGTTTATCAATCTAACAAGCAGTCGTATTGGATTTTCAGTATACTTGCTGGCTGTGGCTTCACTGGTAGCATCCCAGATGAGATTGGTTATCTCAAGGATCTATCTTTCTTGTAAGGAACAACATGTCTCAAAGATACTTATTATCGCTAATCGATCCATGTCTGATGGGCTTCAGGGCCACTTTGGTTCCATGATTATCTTTTCAGGGCCTTGAACTCGAATAACTTCACGGGTAAAATTCCTGCCTCTCTTGGAAACCTCACCAAAGTCTATTGGCTGGATCTTGCGGATAATCAGTTGACTGGACCCATTCCAATTTCATCAGGCTCGAGTCCTGGTCTTGATCTTCTTCTGAAAGCCAAACACTTGTGAGTATATTTGTATTTTTCTCTATTAGACATCTTCTGTCCGGAGCTAATAAATGTCAAAATCTACAACAGTCACTTCAACAAGAATCAGCTCTCAGGCACCATTTCACCAAAACTTTTCAGCTCTGAGATGATACTGATCCATGTGTAAGTCAAAATAAATAATAGTACTAAACTTCTTTCAAGCTTTATAAGGTTACTGATCATCACAGCTGATTGGTTTCAAATGTCAGATTATTCGATGGAAATCAATTCACAGGGAGCATACCTTCCACTTTGGGACTCGTTCAGACACTAGAGGTTCTGTGAGTAACATACCTTCTCTAAGTCCCTTAGCTTCTCATTTTTCCTCCCTCAAAAAGATTATTAACTCTCTTGGATTTGCATCAGTCGCCTTGACAGAAACACTCTGACCGGAAAAGTTCCAGAGAATCTCAGTAATCTCACAAACATCATTGAACTGTGAGTCTAATCAATACCTTGTAATATCTACAGATCCATCATTTTTAGGCACCGCTATTCGCTAATGACTGAATACCTCTTCGTTTTACTTGTGCTTCTCTCAGGAACTTAGCCCACAACAAGCTTGTAGGATCGTTACCAGATTTATCAGACATGAAATCGCTCAACTATGTGTAAATTTCGAAATAGCCCCCCTTTGTCTACACTTGTGTGTTCGTATGTCCTGACAAAAATGTGATATCTGTTACAGAGACCTCAGCAATAACTCATTTGATCCATCAGAGTCTCCTCTCTGGTTCTCAACCTTACCTTCACTGACCACATTGTAAGTGCTGCTCTGCTACAGTTTACACTCTAGAAAACTCCCGCATTTTCTCATCTGTACATGTATCTTCTTCTTCTTTTTTGGGGATATAGGGTTATGGAATATGGAGCTCTTCAAGGACCACTGCCTAATAAGCTCTTTGGGTATCCACAACTTCAACAAGTGTAAGTTTCAGCTTTTAGTCTCCACGTACGAAAGTTGACAACAGCTTGAAATATTATCTACCTACTGATTTGGATTTACACAGGAAACTGAGAAAGAATGCATTCAACGGAACACTAAGCTTGGGAGACACAGTAGGTCCAGAACTCCAACTCGTTGATCTGCAAGATAATGACATTTCCTCTGTAACACTCAGCTCTGGATATACCAATACATTAATGTGAATATATATCTTCTTTCAACTACCAGTAATTATTACTATGAAACTCTTTTTAGCAACTTATTAAAGAAGCTCTCTTGCTGTGTTGTTGTAGACTCGTAGGAAACCCTGTGTGCACAACAGCTCTCTCGAACACAAACTACTGCCAGATTCAGCAGCAACAAGCCAAACGAATATACTCGACCAGTCTTGCAAACTGTGGAGGAAAATCTTGTCCACTAGACCAAAAGTTGAGCCCTCAGAGCTGTGAATGCGCCTACCCTTATGAAGGCACACTCTACTTCCGAGGGCCAATGTTCAGAGACCTGTCCAACGTGAACACATACCATTCACTGGAGATGAGCTTGTGGGTGAAGCTAGGTCTCACTCCAGGCTCCGTCTCTCTACAAAACCCTTTCTTCAACAACGATGATTATCTCCAGATACAGCTGGAGCTTTTCCCATCTACGGGAAAGTATTTTAACAGAAGTGATGTACAAAGAATTGGATTTGACTTGAGTAACCAAACATACAAACCTCCTCCCTTGTTCGGACCTTACTATTTCATCGCATCTCCCTACACTTTCCCAGGTAGCATACGTACACATAAAGCTTATTTGAAATTAAAGACCTTAAAGGCTCTAACGATCTGAAAAACTTTTTGCAGCGCAAGGTAACGGACACTCATTAAGCTCTCGGATGGTCATTGGGATAATAACTGGTTGCAGCGCTTTGGTCCTGTGCCTTGTTGCGCTAGGAATATACGCGTTTTGGCAGAAGAGACGTGCAGAGCAAGCTATTGGTTTTAGTAGACCCTTTGGTAAGTTGTAGAAACAATATAAACATCTCTGGAGAAACACAATGAAGAAAAGCCTAAAGTAGATAGATTGTGAGCTCCACTGTAAAAAGGGGGAACTTAACATTCACTAATCATTATAAACATGAAGATTTAAATTTTAGGTTTTACAAAGAATCTTTTGAACAATCAGTAATATTCTCTCTCAGTTTCATGGGCATCGAGTGGAAAAGATAGCGGCGGCGCACCGCAGCTGAAAGGGGCACGATGGTTCTCCTATGAAGAACTCAAGAAGATCACGAACAACTTCTCCATGAGCAGCGAGTTGGGTTATGGAGGCTATGGAAAAGTGTATAAAGGAATGCTTCCAGATGGGCAGATGGTGGCGATCAAAAGAGCACAACAAGGATCAACACAAGGCGGTCACGAGTTCAAAACAGAGATTGAGTTGCTTTCTCGAGTTCATCACAAGAACCTCGTTGGGCTTGTCGGGTTCTGCTTCGAGCAAGGCGAGCAGATTCTGGTCTACGAGTTCATGTCCAACGGATCACTCAAAGATAGCTTAACAGGTACTGCACAATCAATCAAATCAATCACAATTTAGTTACTGAAACAGCATCAGTGATGATCATCACAACACACAAAAACTTGACCATAAGCTCCTTACGCATTGTTGTTTAGGGCGATCTGGTATTGCGCTCGACTGGAAGAGGAGGCTGCGAGTGGCTCTAGGGTCGGCAAGAGGACTGGCGTACCTCCACGAGCTAGCGGATCCTCCGATCATCCACAGGGACGTGAAATCAACGAACATTCTCTTGGATGAGAATCTCATGGCCAAAGTTGCTGACTTTGGCTTGTCCAAGCTGGTTTCGGACTGCACCAAAGGCCATGTTTCAACCCAAGTCAAAGGCACATTGGTAAAGCTTTCTTCTTCCTTTTCTGCAGAAATCAATGAATAGTGATTTGATTTGACTTCAATTTGAGAGCTTTGATAGAGTCAATTATAATCTGATGGCAGGGATATTTGGATCCAGAATACTACACAACGCAGAAACTTACAGAGAAGAGTGATGTGTACAGCTTCGGCGTTGTAATGCTGGAATTGATCACGGCGAAACAGCCGATCGAGAAAGGGAAATACATTGTTCGAGAAATCAAGCTTGCACTGAACAAGAGCGACGAGGAATTCTACGGGCTGAGAGATAAGATGGATCGGTCGCTGAGAGACGCCGGACCTCTGCCGGAGCTCGGCCGGTATTTGGAATTAGCCCTGAAATGCGTTGACGAGACGGCGGCTGAGAGGCCTACGATGAGCGAAGCGGTGAAGGAGATCGAGATTATCATCCAAAACAGTGGAGCGAGCACTAGCTCTTCCGCGTCTGCCTCGTCTTCCGCCACAGATTTTGGAGCCGTGAAAGGCGGAGATAAGCTTTTGTACGGAGAACATTTGAGGAAGAAAGAAGCACGAGACGGTGACGGAGCGTTTGATTATAGCGGTGGCTTCTCTGTTCCGACGAGAATTGAGCCCAAGTAACAACAAACTAATGGACTCATATCTATCTCTTGGGCCTCTTCTTTAGTTAAAAACAAGACTTATTAGATCGTTAGTGCTTATTGCATTAATGGAGCGGAGTTATCAGGCTTCTAAATCCAACTAAAGCCCAAATCAGATGGGAAACTGAATTACCAACGTAATGCTTAATGGTTTAATTCTCGTTTATGATATTACAATTCCTTTAAATTAATCCAATCCAAACATAAGAAAAGGAAAATTATCTACTTTTTTAGTTTTTTATATACTCAAATCATTCGAAATTTATTCTGTGTCTGTGTGGTGGATTCCGTTTCTAAACCTTCATGTTGTAATTTTGTAAATCGTGCTACATTTTAAAAAATCGTGATTACAATCTTAATTATACATAGAGCAGTTGGGCCAAATTAGTTCTATTGAAGTTAAAACTCGTAGGCCCACTAAAGCCCAAAACGGAATCTACCTGAGAAGTCAGAACAGTGGGGACGCGGATTCCTATAAAACGCAAAATGCGTCCTCATAAAGGAAGAAGTCTATCTCAGAAGTTAAGCGAATTTTCATTTACTCACTTTCGTGAATCTGTGGGAACAAAGACAGCAAAAGAAGAAGAAGACGAACACGAAGAAGAGCAAGTAACATTGATAGAAACCCTAGGTTTTTTAATTCGGCGAGTCGTAATGTCGGAGCTGCAGATTTCGCCGGCGATTCACGACCCGCAAGGGCAAGAGAAGCAGCAGCAGGCCGCCGGAGTCGGGATTTTGCTTCAGATCATGATGCTTGTCCTCTCTTTTGTACTCGGTCATGTCCTTCGCCGCCATAAGTTCTATTATCTACCCGAAGCTAGTGCTTCGCTTCTAATCGGTTTGTTTTCCCGTCCTCTTACTCGTTTGCATTGCGATCGTCCTCCTCGATGTTTTCCCTTTTCCATCGAGGTTTTTGTTTGATTCCTTGTGAAATTGTGATAATTAGGTTTGATCGTTGGTGGTTTAGCTAACATCTCGAACACGGAGACTAGCATAAGGTTCGTTGAAGTTTTGATCATTTTTTTAGTATATTCGCATTTTTTTATTGCTATTTTTGTCTCCCTTCTCGACTGACCTGGAAACTCATAGGAGTGTAACTATTTACATATATCATACATGAATTAGTTTATATGTATGCAAGTATTGCCCACTGCTAATCAATTTTTTTTTCGCACTTTGTTTCAATTTACTTGGCAGGACCTGGTTCAATTTCCACGACGAGTTCTTCTTTCTATTTCTGCTCCCACCGATCATATTATATCCTTAATCGAGTTTGCATCTGCGAGTGTTCTTGCCTTTTGTTTACATACGTGACTATGGTACATAATCTTTTCATGATTCTCAACTTGGCAACGCAATATGTTGTTAATTTCCTTGACGTACTTGTCTGCACCCAGTCAGGATTCAGTCTACAACCCGTAAGTGCAGAGGGCTCTCATGTCTTTAATTTTTATTGGGTTTCTTGTTTTATCATCAGAGATCGCTTCCTTGCTTTTGAATTATTGACGATGCTTACGTTGTCATTGGGTTTTATGCAGAAACCTTTCTTTTCAAACTTTGGAGCCATTGTCACTTTTTCCGTACTTGGAACCTTTGTAGCTTCCATTGTTACTGGCGTGCTAGTGTATGTATCTCTGTCCTGTGAATGGTTTCTCTTTGTTGACGGAAACGGTCCACTTTTCCGTTATTCATAAGTTCTTTTTCTATTGCAGGTACCTTGGCGGCGTGATGTTTCTCATGTACAGACTTCCGTTCGTTGAGTGCCTCATGTTTGGCTCTCTTATCTCAGCTACCGATCCTGTCACTGTATTGTCTATATTTCAGGTATTTTCTCTTACTGCTTTACTGGAAGACTCTCAATTATCTGGAGAGTAGATTTCTAGCATTTCTTACTATTGTACTGTTTTGCAGGAACTTGGCTCGGATGTAAATTTGTATGCCCTGGTGTTTGGAGAATCAGTTTTGAATGATGCTGTTAGTAGTTTTTGAGTAGTGATTTCTGATTCCTTATATTGGGATGAAAAATATCACATTACTTATCAGATTTTTCTCTTTTTATGTTGCTTTCGGCAGATGGCCATATCTCTCTACAGGTATGTAAGCTGATTCAAAATATGCTGTGAAAGACGATAGTCAAATTTTATGGTATTTTAACAAGGCTATAAATTGCGATGCAGGACAATGTCCTTGGTGAGAAGTCACTCAACTGGACAGAATTTCTTTATGGTGATAGTCAGGTTCCTCGAAACCTTTGTCGGTTCAATGTCTGCAGGTTTGCTTTTATCATCTGCTTGCTTTTCTCTATCTCTATGCTTCATGCATGGTTTGTCTTTTCCCACTTAAAATGGCATGGTATCGCTTGAGTTTGAAAATGCTTCTAAATAACTTGAAGTTACGAACAAGTTAGAGCAACCTAAGAAAAAGAACGTACGAATATCAAACTAAGTTTGACCTTTCAAGCATTTCAACGTTTTCCTATACCATTACATATGTTTTAAAGAGAAAAATGTTTGCTTCTGCAGGGGTTGGAGTTGGATTTACTTCTGCTCTCATATCCTTTTTTTGGTTTTATTTTCTTATGAAACTTTTTTACTTCATTCCATACTCATAAACGAGTTGTTAGCCTTAATCTAAAGCACCTCTTCAAGTATGCAGGGCTGGATGTTGACAAGTGAGTGACCACAGTTCTTTGTCTACATTTTTTTATTTATTTCGGGTTCTAATTGTCAGGTTAAGATGTTTTAATCTGATACTCTCGCTCCTCCTTTTAGTCTGCAGAACTTGGAGTGCTGCCTCTTTGTGCTTTTCCCATATTTCTCGTAAGTAATTATTTGGACTTCTCTCTCCTAATTAGCTGTATGACTTCTTTAACTATGTCATTATATTAATTGTACTGTTTGTTAACTTTGTTTTCCTTGTGCTAGATACATGCTTGCTGAGGGTCTCAGTCTATCTGGCATTGTATCGATTCTATTTACTGGGATTGTGAGTTTCCATTCGATTACATGAATTTTGTGTGAGATTATTCTCAGCCAAAACTAAAGTAGACAAGTAGTATATTAAAAACTGCCTGTGGCTTTCAGGTCATGAAGCATTATACCTACTCAAACTTGTCTGCAAATTCTCAGCGATTTGTGTCTGCATTTTTTCATCTGATATCTTCCCTGGCAGAAACATTTGTGTATGTATTTGATTCTTATACTCATGCATTTTGTTGGTAAATTTCCGTAATATGCGTCAATGACCTGACCTTATAATATCAAATGAACAAAACTGCAGGTTCATCTACATGGGTTTTGATATTGCCATGGAAAAGCATAGTTGGTCACACGTGGGATTCATCTGTTTTTCTATTGTATCCTCTTTCTCCAGTTTTACCGGTTTCAAATTCAGCTATTTCTTCAGTTTTATATAAACTGCCCTTGTTCCTTAACTTTCTTTTATCCTTCGTGTCAAACCTCAGCTGTTTATTGTAATTGCGAGGTACGCTTTTTTGTTTCACTTCAGGATCTTTCCACATCATGTTTGTGTGTATAATTAGATACATTCATTTCCAAGTTGCAAATTTTGTGTGTGTCTGATAGTGTTACTCATTGGCATATTTTATCTTAACGCAGGGCTGCGAATGTGTTTGGTTGTGGATATTTGGTCAACCTTGCACGACCTGCTCATAGGAAAATACCAATGACTCATCAAAAAGCACTTTGGTACAGTGGTAAGATACTGCTCTCTGTTTTTTCATATGTAGCTATCGTTTTGGAATCCTCAGTAAGAAGTAACAAGTCATGTGGATTCGTAGGACTTCGAGGCGCTATGGCTTTTGCCCTTGCTCTGCAATCTGTTCACGATCTCCCAGAAGGACATGGTCAAACGATCTTCACAGCAACGACAGCCATTGTTGTTCTGACGGTAGGCCATCTTTGTTTAGGATTTAACGGGTTGCTTAAAATTGAGCGCCCCGGTCGAAGAGTTTCCTGTTGCTGATGGCTGAGCCAAATTATTTTGCGTTCTTTGTTGATACTGGAACTGATTACAGGTGTTGCTAATTGGAGGATCCACTGGTACAATGCTTGAAGCCCTAGAGGTTGTAGGCGATAGCCGTGATACATCCCTTGGTGACGTAAGTCGCATTGGTCATTATACATAGAATCCTCAGTGTGAAGTTAATATTGGTCTCTCGATGCAGAAAACGACATGGTTTATATGCTTTCTATTTTGGTCAGGGCTTTGAGGTGGTTAACAATCGTTACATGACAAGTTATGATGATGAAGATTCACCATCAGGAAGTGGATTTAGGACAAAGCTAAGAGAGTTCCATAAGAGGTAAATTATTGATTAACCATTATCATTCCACTTTCGAGTTTCTATTGAGACGCAAAAAAAAAAACTCTCATTCGTTTTTGTTATTTGGTTATATGCAGCGCGGCGTCTTTCACAGAATTAGACAGGAATTACCTAACACCGTTCTTCACAAGTAGTAGCGGAGATTATGATGATGAGGGTGAGGGTAACACCGAGCAACACCATGGTAACAACATATTTAATTAGTAATCAAGAATGTCCACATTTATATGCTTTATGGATTCCCTGCACCCACGAAATTTAAAACGGTTTACAACATTGGTTTTTTGTTTTGCAGAAGAGCGAATTCCTTTTACTAGAAGAGGGAATTTTAATAACCGCGGCTAAATTTAGTGAAGAAGCCGGTCGTGTACATAAAACAAGATGGATCGGTCCGAGGAACAATGGGGAGTAGTAGGAGTAGTAGTCATACTCTGTGTTCTTTCTCTGAACCTCTTAGTGGATATTATTGTTTGGCTAATTACATTCACACAACAACAAAAGAAGCCATGGATGGTGGGTTATACTTTGTCAATTAAACGAATCTTCTCCTGTAGGTTTCGTTTCGAACTATGTCAAATTACAATAATTCCTTTTGTTCTGTAGTAGTTCCGGAGTTGGGTTTTGTAATAGATATAGACAACATTCACGTCACGGCACGCCAAAAGTGTGGACCTTGTTTTTCCAGCTGAAACCAAGCTTTGTAACCAAAAACTCTTCCAATCTCTCCCTCTCTCGCTCATAAATATCTCCTCATCTCCCTCTCTCTCTTTCTTCTTCTTCTTTCATGGCTGTTACTGGCTGAACAATCACAATCTGAATTCTTTCTTCTCTCTCTCTGGTTTCCGCGGAGTTTTGGGGGCGTAACACGATGAGTCTGGTGGTTGGTCAGTCGTTGGGTTTAACTCTAACCGGCGATGGTGTTTCGTTACGCAATTCGAGAAGAAATGGCGGTAAATCTAAGTTCTTGTTGGTGAATCGGAGGAGATTCGCGCGTGCTGCTCTGGTTCAGGCTAGGCCCATGGAGGATGGAGCGGCGGCGATTCCTTCACCACCGTCGAGGGCGGCTACCGCGCCGGTTGTTCAATACCGACGGGCTGAACTCGCGGATGATCTTCAAGCCGAGGCGCGAGCTTTGGGTCGTGCTGTTGATGCTTCTATCTATTCTCCGGAGCTCATCGCCAGGAAACACGGCTCTCAGCCCCTCAAGGTTCGGTTTTAGGAGTTTGAATTTCTTTGTAAAATTCCGAATTTTCAAACCAAAAACAAAAAGAGGTGAAACTGAGAGATGAATGCATCGCAATTTTCGGAATTAGGCTTTGCGGAGAAGTGTGGAGATATTGGCAGCTTTGGGTGGTTTCGCACTGAAATTGGGGATTGATCAGAGGCAAGGCAAGCTTGAGCAGAAGATGAAACAGAGAGCGGGTGAGCTCCGCCGGATTTTCACTCGTCTCGGTCCCACTTTCGTTAAATTAGGTCAAGGTCTATCCACCCGACCCGACCTCTGTCCACCGGATTACCTTGAAGAACTCGCCGAACTTCAGGTTCGCCTCTTGATTTTACTCGATATATAATAACTTTCAGGTTCACATCTCTAACTTTGTATGTTCCTATGTGCCCAAGTATAGGATGCTTTGCCAACTTTCCCTGATGCAGAGGCCTTTGCTTGCATTGAGAGAGAGCTTGATCTGTCTCTAGAATCCATTTTCTCGTCTGTGTCCCCTGAGCCAATCGCAGCAGCTAGTCTGGGCCAGGTTTACAAAGCCCAGCTGAGGTATTCGGGTCAGGTTGTTGCGGTCAAAGTCCAACGCCCTGGAATCGAAGAAGCCATTGGTCTTGACTTCTACCTTATTAGAGGCGTTGGGAAACTCATTAACAAGTACGCAGACTTCATCACTACCGACGTCCTCGCCCTTATCGACGAGTTTGCCTGCAGAGTTTATCAGGAGCTCAACTACGTCCAGGAGGCCCAAAATGCTAGGAGGTTCAAGAAACTCTATGCTGATAAAGCAGATGTTCTTGTACCTGATATATTCTGGGATTACACGAGCCGCAAGGTGCTGACGATGGAATGGGTCGAGGGAACTAAACTGAACGAGCAAGTTGCCATTGAGAGTCAGGGCTTGAAGGTTCTTGATCTTGTGAACACAGGAATCCAGTGTAGCTTAAGGCAACTCTTAGAGTATGGGTTTTTCCATGCCGACCCTCATCCTGGTAATCTCTTGGCAACACCTGATGGGAAACTTGCCTTTTTAGACTTTGGTATGATGAGTGAGACACCAGAGGAAGCTAGGTTTGCTATCATAGGCCATGTTGTTCATTTGGTCAACCGAGATTATGAAGCCATGGCCCGAGATTACTATGCTTTGAAGTTCTTGTCCCCTGACGTTGATGTTACTCCCATCGTACCAGCGCTCAGAGACTTCTTTGACGATGCACTTAATTATACAGTCAGCGAGCTCAATTTCAAAACACTGGTTGATGGTCTAGGTGCTGTCTTCTATCAGTATCCGTTTAATGTCCCCGCCTACTATGCTTTGATTCTGAGGTCGCTTACTGTGCTTGAAGGTTTGGCACTTTACGCAGATCCTAACTTCAAAGTGTTGGCTGCATCATACCCGTATTTTGCCAAAAGGCTTCTCACTGATCCAAACCCGTATCTAAGAGACGCCCTTATTGAGCTTCTGTTCAAAGATGGAAAGTTTAGGTGGAACAGACTTGAGAACCTTCTACAACAGGGAAGTAAAGATAGGGATTTCTCGGCAAAAGATGCTCTACAACCTGTTTTGAAGCTGCTGCTGGATCCAAACGGCGAAGAGCTTCGACTGTTAGTAATTAAAGAAGCTGTAAGGGTCAGCGAAGCAATGGCTCTGGGCACTGTCGTTGATACATACAATTCCATGCCTGAGTTTTTGAGATCTCTTGTCTTCAATGGAAATGGGAATGGCCCTCTTACAATGAATGCCACGGAACTCGAAAGCACGCTCGAGCTTCGGGACCAGGTCTCAAGAATCTGGGGCCTTCTTCAGTCTTCAGAAAGCTTTGATCCAGCGATTTTGCAGCCAATAGTACAGGTAATCATTTCATTGACATTGTGCATTATCCTATAACGTACTTGATCTATGTGCTAAACTCTTAGTTTGTTAATCAATCAGGTGTTACAACAGCCGGAAGCACGAAGACTTGGAGGACGTGTTGCAGGCGGTGTAGGCCAACGTCTTGCAGCTCGGTTTCTGCAACAGCTCCTTCGAGCTACAACACCATCTTCGTCACCAGTCACATAATTCCTCATTCTCTTGTCAATGAAAATGGTAAATTGTATATTAAGGCGAGACACTCTCGCAAACCACAGGATTGCTTCATGTTATACAGTTATAGTAATAGTATCATTCTTTCTCTTTGTAATTTTACCAAAGTATTAACAGATGAGAAATGTCCCAAAAAATCAAAGAGCTTGTACTCATCTTGTTGCTGTGGAAAGGTAGGCTTTGTGTGAGTTTCTCTAGACCAGCTCTGTTACCTCTTCACTATAGAGTATACGGAGATTAATAAAAGACAGCCAATAGATAAACTTATTTACAATTCACAAAGATAAACAGAAACTTCAAATATACTCCCAAATTGTAATAAAAAAATGGATATCACTTAGCTTTCTTCTATTTCTAATAAATTAACAAGTTTCGCAACGTTAAAGGACATTTCCTACGTTTCATATAAAGTCAACGTAGCTACAAAAATATTAGCTGCCTGTAAATGTTCCACGTTTGTACATTACAAGACACAAAATATCCATATCACATAACTTCACCGTTCATCCAATAAACCAAAAAAACTACATCCTTCCATAAAAGTCCTAGCCCGACCTTCAAACTCTACTTCCTGCCTGCACACATTAGTCAACAACTTTAGTTTTTATGGAAATGTTTTCAAGTTATTTAAGAGAGATAGATTTGAGACATTGTTACCTCTGCTTTTTCTTTTACCACTGTTTCGCAACTTACTAGCTTCTGAAACATTCTCCTCTTGTTTCTTGTTTATTTCAACATCATTCTCCTTATCATTCCTATCTGACTCATTGTTTGCTTCATCATATACCCTAATGATATACACCTGAACAAGCAACATGTTTCAACGTTAACGTTAAAGCAAGAGTCCTTTGCCTTAACTCTCTACTGGTCTATTTTTCAACAAATCAAGGCATCTTAAGTAAATTTTCATACCTTGAACGTTGTCGGATTGACAAGGTGAAACACAACAGCATCTCCATCGACTAGCTGATGATCAATGGCGAAACCTCTCCAGCCTGCGCTAAGACCATTCTTGCCAGCAATGTATCTGGTCACAGATTCCTCATCATTTTCATCAACTAAAGTGATCAATTCATCGCGGTGTGGCAGATGTTTCCTGCAAAACTGACGCTGCAGGCCCTGAAAGAAAACATATAAAACCAAGGCTAAGCTTCAGACATCTTTTAGCATTCTCAAGTGTCTTTGGCATCTCCCGTACCAGCCAAAATCCTCCGGTTACGTGTGATTGGGACATTTGTTTTACAAAGCTTGGGAATTCGGGTTCCAGGCTTGACTGAAGCTTCTCTGCCCTGTCGAATGCATACTCTTTTGCATCGTCTGGGGCATATACCCGGTTCAGCAAATCTCTTCTTTGACAGCTCCTGCAGAGCAAAATAACTAAAGGATAAATCACTTCAAAATAGTTTTAGAGACAAGTATGGTTTGATATAGAGTACAGTGACTGGACAAACCTTCTTGGTCTTTGCAGAGGTTCTAGCCCCATCTGCGAATATAGAGGAAACAAGTCTGCTTATGAGTGATGATGAACTATATATTTCTTATTCAAGATTGTCAGACTCTGAAGATTTGCATACTGTTATTATAAGCTAACAACAAGATCTGATTATTCCAAAAACAGACTCACAAACTAACTATATTATAGTATCATTCATATGAGACTAGAAAAATTTCTGATTCGTCACCTATTTTAGAATCTAAAAAAACTTGCACAAAAGATAGAGAGCATTTACTCAATCAAAACGATATAAATTGGAGAAAACCCACTAATTCCACATATTGAGAGTAAAGATAAATGGTGGAAAAGACCTCTCTGTAACTCGGAGGCGGATTCTTGGCACGGCTTGATCTCCTGACCTCCGACAAGTCCACCGGAATACGCAGCGTCCTTGGCTTAGCCTGCATTCCCAATAATAATTATTAAAGAAAAAAGGATTGATTTTTTTCCTGAAAAAAGAAAACAAAGGAGAAGAGAAGAGAGAAAAGAGTAAACTTTAACTGGAGAAGGCTTGGAAGAAGAAGAAGAAGAGACGCGAAGGGATTGAGAAAGCTTGTTGAGATTAAGCTCAAGCATCCTCTTTTTGTTCTCTTCCACCCTATTCAAACGAATCTGTTCATAGCTTAGCTCCGATTCCACCATCTTCGTAGAGTTAGGGTTTTTTCTTTTCCTTTTGACCATTCTGAAACACAGAGAAACAAAGAAGAGAGATGAAAATGTATTTGATATGCGCTTGAAGTGACCGTTGGCTTTCTTCTCTCGCCTTCCCTTCTTTTTTAGTTTTGCTAGTAATTAAAAAAACATTAATCAAACTAAAATTTCAATTTCAATTTCAATTTCTCTCTCAACAGTGGACATCCTGTACAAAAAAGATTTGTTTTTTTCCCTCCATATTAACAATGGTGTTTTCAAATTTAATTTGATAGGCCACGGAGAATCGAACAAACGAAAATGACGAATCAGAGAGGGTTTGGATTTGCTCACCGGTGGTCGAAGCGCCAAGGTTGCTTCCATTTCGCGGTTCGCAAATATGGAGCAATCGTCCACGGATCGAGGCTCCTAGTTTCACTAAAAGACAAAACTTTATGCTATTGGGCTTTTCTAATTTATGTGGGTATATATGAAACCTAAGCTCCTTGTAGCCCAGTGGGCAGCATAAAAGTTAGCCCAATGGTTGTCGAACTTGAAAATTATAGTATATCTTGCACACTCGCATAGTTCCACTCGGCCTTTGGTTAAATTTGTAAAACCTGGGCGCGTAAATAAGATTTTTTAACTGAGAGTTATTTCACTTCATTCAGAGATTCTCTTCCGGAATCAACTGTATCAATGCTTAACCTTACAGAATCAAATGTGACTGACATAAAAAGATTCACACACCAATAAAAAAAATCGCTTCTTGTTGTGACTTTTGATCATTCCGTCTCTGCATCGTACAAGCCACAAGTTCTTAATTAATCTGCAGATGAAAGATAGATAGTAATACAGCTTTTTCTTGAACCAGGTGGGAGCAATATATAGAGACAAATGACAACTTTGATTACAATTCGTCAAATACAGATTATGTACTTCTTTTTTCTAAGGGTTCACGCAGCGATTTTCTTCTTTGTGTCACAGCGGAAGAAGAATCAAAGGAAGGGAAGAAAAAGCCAAGAGCACAAAAGAGGAAACAGATAACAACCATTCGCATAGAGGAAATAAGAGGATAAACTTTCATAAGTAATCATCATATTGGCATTACAAGTACTTGACCAGCAGCCAAATCACAAGAGCAAGCCCAACGATTCCAAGCACTGACAAGAGCATGGACATGCACGAGCAACCGCCTTTCATGCTCTTGTTCATCACCGCAAGGCTCTTCTGCACACGCTGCCATCATTAAGAAACACAATCAGGGGGGAGATGTGAATCACTCTATTGAAAACGCTAATCGCACACTAAACTATAAAACTGTTGCTTTTTAAGATGAAAAAGCAACTCAGAGAGGTTCTTGGAGATAATAGACCAGCGTATGCTTCCTACAACTGACTTGCTTCCCTTCTAATGCACGGGCCAGCTTAAAGTCCTTGCTCTTTTATCAATGGACCAACTTAAGCTCGAGACGAATTAAGTTTAGTTTGTTCAAAGAATATACTTACCCGTAAGCGTGAGTCGGTTACATCCACATGGTAGTCTAAGTCATCCTGCACGCAGGAAAGTCAGATTTGTTAGAAACAAGGAATTAAATTCGTCCGGAAAATACAATGAAAAAAAACAGCAGATACATACGATAAGCCTCGTCTGCAGAGTGAGCTCTTCATTGACAGCGAGAGCAATGTGTTTGGTACTCATGACCGTTTCCTCCAATTTCTCGAGCCCTTCGTCTTGTTCTACTCTTGGAGAAAATCCAAAACAAAGTTAGCAATCAAAAGAGAAAAACAAATATCATTACACCACAACGGTCCCATGATAATAAACGTGACAGGTTACCTCTCATAACCTGTCGTTGGAATCCAACAATGCCTTGGTTGTCCATGGCAGAGACTCTGTTCATTGCATCATCCGGCTTTGTCTCAGGCCCAAGCAAGCTGTCTCTGTTTGCAAAGTTCGACATGTTCAAGGCAGATGCCACCTGGTTCGCCTTTGATCTCAAATTCCCAACCATATCCTTGCGCCGATTCATCTCTTTCTCTGACCTGCGTGTATCAAACATTGGCATACACATACATCACAACCACACATACCAACGTGAAAATATGACTGTTGTTGTTAAAAAAAAAATGGGCTTACACATGTTGCTTCTTCCCAGGAACCTTAACGAGAAGGGATTGCAGACTGTCTAAGCGGGTGCCCAAAATGGTGATCTTTCTTCGGATTGCAGAAGCGCGACGTTGAGCATCAGGCCCCGTTAAACCCGACGAACTCCTTTCTGACATCATGCCATTTATATCCTCTGATAGCTTTAAAGCCTCGTTGTACTCTCTCACCCATGCATCCGAAGAAGACGCCATTCACCTGAAACAACAAAATTACAATACTCAAAATTTGAGACGGCTGAGGCAAAAAAAATTACAGTATGAGAGAGGAATTAGCCACTTAGCAAGCCCAAAGTCTGCGACTTTAATAATCAGGGAAGATCGGAAAGATTTCGCGCCCGAAAAAACCCCCCAAATCAAACCACAGGCGGAATTGACCTAAATTACATGGTGAGAAGAATCTGATAAAAGCTTACCCAATGAATAAATTACTTTAATCGGAGATCAAAAGCTTTATGATTTTCGCGGTTCTTTCAACCTTTTGAAGATCGAAAGGCTATTCTCGTGCTGACTTTGCACAGCGAAACCAGGAGGAGGAGGAAAGAGAAACAAAAACTGAGTCAATCATTCAATCAAAGGAGGTTTTATTTTGAAGAATGGGGTTTTATACGAGCTGTATGAAACGACCACGTTTTATGCTTATCCAAGCTCTTTTTTTTTGTTATCCAAGTTCTCAATGTTAATAGTTGTGGGCTTAATATTGATTAAGAAAGTCAATATGGTTGAGATGGACAGAACAAAAAGAATTCAGGGTTGAATACAAGGACTAATAATAAAACTGGTTCTTCGGCGTTGGGCTTTTCTATAATTAACGGGCCGATTTTCAAATGCGGTATAATTTGTGTTCAGTACGAAACGACGTCGTTATCGCTATGACGAAACGCACCGGATCGGTTGGTCTGGTCTGGTCTGGTCTGGTTGCCAAAATTTAGCATCTAGCCAGCGACTTTTTGTATCCTCAATAGTCAACTTAGCCACCAGTAGTTAGACACTTGTATGCCCTAGGTGTCTGATACAACCATTTTAGAGTTTTTCTTAATTTAAACGTAAACTATATTAAAGAAATTATGGTATATATATACTATAATATCCGGAAAATGTCGATGAATTTCCCTCCTTGTTCGAAATAAAAACTACGGTATATTTAAGGAGCTGATCCAGTCATCCACCTGAAACGAAACTGTGTACAACACACACATGTATCTCTTTAATATTTATACTAGCTAATAGCAGCGTATCACACTTACTCATAATGGGGATTGTTATAAAATATCAATAGAAGTTTCAGAACATGTCGGTATCTGTATGATTAAGCCCTTCATTAATAAGTGTTTAATGCATGACGTCTTCGTGAAGGCAACGGCACATCTCAATAAGACAACTATAATTAATTATTAATGTTTATTGGGTAACAAAAACTTGTAAGTTTCATAAATTGTCACGAAGAGATTATTTACCGTGAGAATCCAATGCTTTTATGTGTTTCGTGTACATCTTACATGGAATTTAGGATATTAAAGTTGCCATAATATCATATTCGTATTTTTCCTTAATTAGTATTTCGAATGGCATAAAAAGAAGAAGAAGAGAAAATGATCAATTTTGGCGCGAATCTCAAGACGAGGTTAAGTCAAACGAGGGACCTTGAATTGTGGATTTGGTGTTGGACCATCACGTGCTTCTCTCCACGGCCTTTCAGGATTTTGCTTCTTCTACCGCACGTGCCACTCCCCCTCTCCTACGTACGGTTTCCTTTATGATCTTCTTCTTTTTTTGCATTCGAAATCTTCTTCTTAGTCTTTATGTCCACTTTTTATAAGTTTTAACATGGATGATTTCGTAGATTCTATATATATATATCAGAAAATTATATAATTTACAAGATCCCCATGCCTTGTATCAGCGTACACATGTACATGATTCCTTCATGGATATATATGTGGGGTAAATTCTTCTGTTTGTAGAACATTATAAGCTTGTATGTGTATGTAATATAAACTATGTGTTCACTAAAACGTGAGTGGAAATCATATGGTTAATCTTTTCACTTTTATCTCATAATACATTTACTAGTTAATTTGGTAATCGGGGAACAAATTTGAGCTAACTTCTATGTTTGTATATACTGTATAAATATCATTACGACTTGGTTAATTAAATGAGTAGTACTAAATTTTTAATGAATCTGCACTGAAATTTATGCAATAAAAAAAAAGTAAATGGGAGCATAATTCAAGGTACGATACATCATTTTTCTTCCCAACATTTGACTGCAATTTGAGGGTATAGAAGCTTCAATTCTTGTTTTGTTTTGTCCTTGGGATACATAAACCATATCTTATATTAGTATAATATTTACCCTGTAGTTTATAGTATTCGGTTTTATAAACTAATTCCTACTTGTATTCAAAGCAAATTAGTCAGTCTTAATAAAGAACAGCTGTAAGCCATGGTGACTAAAGTTAATCTTCATAATTAATCATAATCACGCCACACACACACACACAAGGGTATTTCTCTAATAGATATACATACACATTCTTTATACATTTACATTTGTATACTTATATACGATTAGTAAAATCGAATATACACCATTGAAAGAGTATACAATATCATTGATTGAAAAAACGGAAGATACTGTAAAAGAATTATAGAAAAATATCAATATTGGTAAAATCATATATGGTATAAAAATGGTAAAGTTGGGAAGAAGTAAAACTGGAAAAGTGATTCGCAACATAAAATACCACAAAACAATTCAATATGCTGTATGCTGAATCTGCAAAAAAACAAAAATTTATCATACGATTTATAAGAATTACATATTCTAAAGATGATATCTATTTTTAAGTTGGTGTATGTACTATAACAAGAAAAATGGTATAATGGAAATTGCCTCCACATTATATACAATAAAGTAATTCACATATATTTCTGTGACCAGCTTTGGTTTATTAAATTTAATACAAAATAATAGCGGCACTAATCCATAGAAGCTCAAATCTCTCTTTCTCTCTCTCTCATCTCATTCTATCTCACAGAAGAAGAAAGAGAGAGAGAGAGATAGAAACCCTAAACATCGTGCCCTTGAAGTTAAGATATCTTCAGTTTTGTAGGAATTCATTTTGCTTGCTTCACTGCCTTCTCTCTATCATTGTCTTCTTCCTCTTGCCTCTAACAGAAGCAATACTTTCCGGCCTCCAAGGTTTGGTTTATTTCCTCATCCATCATATATCTTTCATTGTTGTCATCATCATCATTTGCATCTACATATATATATATATACACACGCCCTCACTCACACACCCTCGTATAAATATATATGTGTAATTTTCACTTCAAGCAAGTCTCTATTTCATTTCTTCTTTTTGAGATGACTAAGTCTATCATCAAACCTCTCTTGTTTAAGAAGACAGACCGTTCGGGTTTCAACAGCTTTATGTTTCTTTTGGAATATTCAAGTTTATTTATGCATACCTATGTAAGAATGTTCCGGCTTTTGTTAGTGGGGAAAAAGAACCTTTTGTTCTTTATGAATATGTGCATGCATGTTGAAACTAGGGTTTTGATTTTAGATCTAAGAACAAATCATACAGCTGACCCAAAAAAAGAAGAACAAATCATACCTTGAAAATCTCTTTTATTCTTACATGCTCGAGAACCCATTCATTGGTCATTTATTCTGTTTACCTTGATGTAATTTGTGTTCTTGATTATATATATAATTGATTAGGGCAAAGGAGAAAAAAGAATCATATTGATTTGTTTAAAGAAGAGTACGGATAATGGAGATAGGCTCGTCGTCTACGGTGGCCGGTGGGGGACAGCTTTCGGTGCCTCCGGGTTTCCGGTTTCATCCAACGGAAGAGGAGCTTCTATATTATTACCTCAAGAAGAAGGTTTCTTATGAACCAATTGATTTAGATGTTATTAGAGAAGTTGATCTCAACAAGCTTGAACCTTGGGAACTTAAAGGTAAAAAATTATGATGCACTTATAATTAACTCTTGAGTCCTTAATAACTGTAACTATCACAACCTAATTGAAACATTAATTGTCAGATTATTATTTATTGGCCAGTATTATATAGCATATCACAGTTAACATCATAGATTTCTGATTAATTTTATATAGAAAGAGAGAGACGTATAAGATAGAACAAATTAGGGGAACTATGTTGGTGTCTCTGCACAAGACTACAAGTTAGATGTCAAAGAAAAAATTCATGGATTTGGTAATATTGTCTAGGGTTTTGTTTGTGTCTCCATGGAAACATGCATGTATCTACTTATAAATGTCTTCTAAGTTAGTTCTCATCCTGATAAATTATTTTCCTGTTTTTATGGAACCATGAAGCCTTATACGCGCGTGTGTGTGTGTATACATCAAGAAAGAGACAAAATTGTCTACTCACTTATGTCTTTAGATTAGTAACAGAAGACAAATGTGTAATGTCTTGTAGTATATGACTAGAAATGTTGACATACTATTTTTATTTATTGTACCCTCAAAATAAGCCAATGGTTTTTCACATTGCAGACATATAACAACCCATCGCCGTAAGCTATTTATATTTAATAGTATATATTTAAAAACAGAAAATAAAATTTTGATTTTTCTTTTACATTGTATGAATAAAACTATTTTTGTTGGTATCTATGTAGAGAAATGCAGAATCGGGTCGGGTCCTCAAAACGAGTGGTACTTCTTTAGCCACAAGGACAAGAAATATCCGACAGGGACCCGAACGAACCGGGCCACTGCAGCCGGGTTCTGGAAGGCTACTGGTAGAGACAAATCGATACATTTAAACAGCTCCAAGAAGATTGGACTTCGTAAGACTCTTGTCTTCTACACTGGTCGTGCTCCTCATGGCCAAAAAACCGAATGGATCATGCATGAATACCGCCTGGACGATAACGAAAACGAAATCCAGGTACGATGATAAATCAAACGAAATCGAACACTCTCTAATTGCATAAATGTGGATTCATCATTTTTTGTGTAATTTGCAGGAAGATGGGTGGGTTGTATGCAGAGTGTTCAAGAAGAAGAACCATTTCAGAGGATTTCACCAAGAACAAGATCAAGATAATCATCACCATCACCAATACGTAAGCACCAACAATGATCATCATCATCACATTGAATCCAATTCAAACAACCATTCTTCATTGATCCCACATCATCTGGATAATCATCATCATCACATCGGAAGACAGATTCACATGCCATTACAGGATTTTGCAAACACTTTAAGCCATGGCTCAATGCATCTCCCTCAGCTCTTCAGCCCTGACTCAGCTGCAGCGGCTGCGGCAGCAGCAGCAGCCCACCAACCTTTTGTGTCGTCAATCAACACAACGGACATTGAATGCTCACAGAATCTACTGAGGCTGACTTCTAATAACAATTATGGTGGAGACTGGTCGTTTCTGGACAAGCTTCTCACTACGACCAACAACATGAATCAGCAAGTGCAGAACCATCAAGCAAAATGTTTTGGTGACTCGAGTAACAACGGTAATAACGACCAGACTCATGATCTGGGTAACAACAATGGTGGTGGCTCTTCTTCATCTCCAGTTAATCAAAGGTTCCCGTTTCACTACCTGGGAAACGACGCTAATCTTCTCAAGTTCCCAAAGTAGATCCATCAGATTTGATTTGATGGATCTCATGTTTTCGATTTTACTCTCTTCTCCAAGCTGTGGAACTTGACACAGCAACCAACTCACTGTTCCAGAGATCTCTTTACATTTTTATTTATAATTCTGTCTTTCATTCGTGATCTTCTGTTTCTGTGTCTCCGAGACTAATACCGCCACATCACAAAAGTACCTTCAAGGTTCAATGCTGGATTGGCTTCCTTCATTGACTTCAATTCTTCTCACCCCATTTCATGCTCTCTTGCAAAGTAACTCAGCTGGATCATAGTTAGAGAATTTCTGAGGTTTCATCACCTCAGAGATGAAAATGTTCATGCAATGATATCTTGTGATTCGAAAAACTGAATAGCATACCAACAACGAAACCTCAGAAAAGCATTGGTATGCTATTCAATTTTTTCGAATCACAAGATATCATTGCACCTAACGTCGAAATCATGCTATTGAAAAACAGAGTGGCAATGTTTTGGTGGGAGACTAAAAAGAGCGCCAATTTCTCCTCCTCTCGACCGTTGCAAAAGTTAACGTCTTGGCTACCGTTGTCTTATTACTCCCTTAGAACGACGCCGTTTTGGTCTGGGTCAAATTTTTCCTATTAGGAAATGTTAGGATAAAGATGTGAAAAGGAGGAAAATGTGCATACGTATATCTCTTGACGACCGTGTGCGTTGACAACGATAAAATAAGGAGTATATAAATTTTCTTGACGGTGGAGTATGTACGTATAGACTAGTATATAGTACCCCCAAAAAGTTCACTTGAAAGAAAGAAATCAAAATCGTTTTCTTAGCTGTCGCCGACCAAATTACTTTATGTTGCGATTGCTTGAATGTACTTGCTTGTTCTATTACTTACACCAGTCCACAAAATTATATTTTTTCATAAATATTTTAAAATTGTAAGAAATATTTATCTTCTCAAATTTGCAATGAAAATCGAGTTCATTTGTATATATATAATGCTGGCTTTAGGTCGGAAAAAACAATCATTTGTATTTTCAACGCAAACCTATAATTTTTTTCTTTCTCATAGACTTCGTCAAAGTTCTACATAAACATTTTGCAGCATGCGGAAAATAGACGGTGGACCGACCACTACAGTTGTTTTAACAGATCGTGGGCCCAATCATTGCCGCCCATTGGCGCTTTTAAAGTTGAAGCCTTGACCACAAAGCCCGTAAGATAATCTATCATCTAGTTAGATTAACAAAATTTTCAAAGTTACATATATTCTCAAAGAATTCCATTTTAGTAACCGTTGTTTGTTTTTTTTCCTAACAGTTTTAGTTACTTTGCTAAATCCATTGTGAGCATGTAAGCAAAACGTTGCTACTTGAACTCTTGAAAAGAATGAAATGAGAAAGGAGCTAGAAAATCTAAACTGTTAAAAAAGTATAATATATTCAAGGAATTGAAAGTCAGCCCTTTATGATAATGATTTTGAAATCTTCCAAATTAGGATCTGGCGATTTGGGAGATTGATATTTAATCATAAGGTAGAGGCTCAATCACATACTTTACAGTTTTCAACCCTCTTAGATTACGCCATTCTCTAAAGATTAACGATTGTTTTCGTTCATTTGTCAATATAACACGAATCTAAGCACACTCGGCGAAGGTCAACTTTATGAGCAAAAGAGTAATTTCCGAAACTTTTAAGGGTGTACTTTAGAATATCAAATAATTTTGACCAGATTTGGATTTTCTCCTTTTTGATATCCTTAAATATATTTGTAGGCTTCACAATTTATCAACATTTTTTGTTCTTTAGGTAGCCGACAAATTGGCTTTTTATTATTTTTATATCGTTATTTTAAGATTTTGCAAATTTTTTTAGCATTGCTTGAGGAAAACCCAGGAAAAACGAGAGAAAGTGTGGGGAAAAAAAAGTTAGGGTTTTTTTTTAATCTGTTATTCATTCGCTGTGTACTACTGATCGAACAGGAGCTTAGAGACGATAATTTCCAGTAAAGTTATTATTTCTGGTTTGCTCAACCTTTCGCAAGCTTACTCGCCAGTGGTTACTCTCGGGAAGATTTTGCTTTGGTACTGTTCCTTCTGGTTCGAGTCGTTGAAATTTAAATTTACTGAAGCATTATCTTCCTTTTGATTTTGATTTTAAGCTATTTTGTAGCGTTTTCATATGGCGGAATCGTTGTATCGGCTGCTTTAGGTTCTGGGTTTTTGTGTAGTTGATAGGCTTTTAATCGAGTATTTGGTTTTGGTATATCTGATTAGGTGAAATGGTTGGGTTTAGTTTTTGGAGTTTTTTGATTCGATCATCCACATAGATTTTCTAGAAATCAGATGAATTCGTTGAGTGGAATCGCTGTTTTTCTTTCAAAAGCATGAGAATTGACGAAATTTGCTAGTTTATAATTTCTGGAATATTATCTCTTGCCATGGGACTAAATCCTATATTCTCTTTTCTTTGATTGCAGCTTCTTGACAGAGCACTGAATCAGATTTTTCTGTCTTACTAGTTTAGTCAGTGGTTCTGTACTATTCAGTATGTCAGATTCGTCATACAGGTGTTTCGATTAGAGCAATTTGAAGTCTTTTTGTTGTTGTTGTGATGGACAAGCCTAGACATCAACAGCATTTCCAGCACTCTATGGAACCTGGATACGGAAACGAGGCTGTTCATCAACCATACATGGCTGATCAAGCAGGGAGCACGAGTGCTATGTTACGACCTCCCAATCCAAATGCTTCGGATGTTAAGCCTGTGCTTAACTACTCCATACAAACAGGGGAGGAGTTCGCTCTTGAGTTCATACGTGATCGGGTTATTCCTCAGAGGTCTTCCAACCCCAGTGCAGCTGGCGACATGAATCACACCACAGGTTATATGGATCTTAGAGGTTTGATAGGGATAAGCCACGCAGTATCCGACTGTGCTTCAGATGTCTCCAGGCTGAGCATTGCGGAAAACGGCATGAGGGACTACGACAGAACAAACTCTTCGCTTCACGAGCTTGGCAATAAGCTTGGTCATGTCCAGTCGGCACCACAGGCTTCAATTAGTAAAGATAACAGCCTAGGAAATTTACATGCGTATGCTTCGTCTTCGGCCTCAGGTAGTGTAACAGCAAAGGTGAAGATCCTGTGCAGCTTTGGTGGGAAGATACTTCCACGCCCAGGTGATTCTAAGCTTAGATATGTTGGAGGGGAGACACACATTATTTCCATAAGGAAAGACATTTCCTGGATGGCTCTGAGGCAGAAGATCCTTGAGATCTATTACCAAACTCGTGTGGTAAAGTATCAGCTTCCTGGTGAAGATCTTGATGCCTTGGTGTCTGTATCATGTGAAGAAGATCTCCAGAACATGTTTGAAGAGTATAATGAGATGGAAAACCGTGGGGGCCCTCAAAAGCTTAGGATGTTTCTCTTCTCTATCAGCGATCTGGATGATGCTCTTTTGGGAGTTAGCAAAAATGACGGAGACTCTGAGTTCCAGTATGTTGTAGCTGTAAATGGCATGGACATCGGATCAGGAAGGAACTCGACCCTTCATGGGTTGGATAGCTCTTCAGCAAACAACTTAGCTGAGCTTGATGTACGGAACACTGAGGTGATCAATAGCATTACTGGAGATGTTGTTGGCGTTAGCGCACCGCAGTTGATGGCAGATGGCTTCCAACAATCCTCAGGTCAACAGTCCGAGTCTATTCCACCGAGCTCATTGCTTCATTATTCTCAATCCATTCCTCCCAATGCCGCATATCAGGTGCAACAATCTGTTCTGCCAAGTTCTGGTCTTCATTATTCCCAGTCCGTTCCCCCGAGTTCCTCTCTTCAGTATCCCCAATCTGTTACGCCAGACTCCTCTTTTCAGTATCCACAATCCATCACTCCGGGGTCTGCCAGCCCGTATGGATTATACCCGCAGTATTACGGGCACGTGGTTCAACATGGAGAAATGGAGCCGTTCCCTTTGTATAACTACTCTGGTATCGCGGAAACTACCAGTTCCATGCCGCCGCAAGGGCATGTCAATCAGCAAGGTGGCTGGGCTGAAGGGTATCCTTACCCTGGCACTACACCCCAAAGCACACAAGCCCTGGTAGAGGAGCAAAAAGTATCACCGGATACGAAGGTTCGTGAGCATGTTGAGCCTGAAAACCGTAAAAATTTGGCAAAGGATCACCAGAATCCTCATCAATTAGATGATGTTGAAGCGAGGAATCACAATCAGGTTCGGGAGGTGTCAGCTGCAACAACTGCACCTAGCCAGGAGGCACATTTACTGCCCCCTAGAAGAGACGCACGGCAGAACGCTCCTGCAAAGCCTGCCACCTACCGTGATGCTGTTATTACTAGCCAGGTTCCTCTGTCTGGTAATGAAGATCAGCTTTCGAGTTCAAGTGGTACATGTGGTCCCGTTCATAATGACTCCGAGTCTAATCTAATTGATCTGAACTACCCGGAGCCTTTGCAACCTCCACCGAGGGTATATCGTTCAGAGAGAATACCTCGTGAACAGTTAGAATTGCTAAATCGGTTGTCGAAATCCGATAACTCACTAGGCTCTCAGTTCCGAACGTCTCAGTCACAAACGAACACTGCACAGGAAGATCCAGCAAAAGAAGCAGTTGGAAAGTCACAGGAAGATTCCCAAACTGTTAATGGTGATGCTACCCACCAAAAGCATAACGATGTTGAGACAATCTTTGAAAAAGTTGGGGTACCAGATGATACCGTGGACTCCGAGCCTGATGATACAAACAAGAACAGAGTATCCAATGGGGCAGATACTGGGATTCATGTTTCTAACTCGAGCCATGTAAACGCAGCCATGAGTCATGTTATCCCTGAAGAGCAAGCTTCTACTCGCGGTTCTGATTCGCTGCAGGGAGATATTCTTATCGATATCAATGACCGGTTTCCTCGTGACTTCCTTTCTGAAATATTCTCAAAAGCAATCTCAGAGGATACATCTGCTGTCCATCCGTATCCTCACGACGGAGCTGCTGTTAGCATGAATGTGCAGAATCATGATCCTAAAAACTGGTCGTATTTTCAGCAGCTGGCTGAAGAACAGTTTAGCCAAAGAGATGTTGTGAGTATTGACCAAGCTGAGTCTCACTTTCCATCTGACGTTAAAGGTGGTGGAGAGAGCTCTAGATTGCATCACGTCACACCATTGATTAGAGACGGTATTTCAACAAACCTTGCGGATCCGCAGTTGACTTTAGGTCGAGATTATGGGGATAGTTTTTCTGAAAGGGACGGTGGTGGCACTAGCACTATTCTCCCTACTCTGGAGGATGAACAGATGAAGGTCACGGAGAGTGAAGAATTTGGTGCTATGGTGGAGAACCTGAGGACGCCAGATTTTGAACCAAAGGTATGAGTTAGTGGCACTTTTTATTTTATAATCCCCAAAACCAAGTTTTACTAACGAGGATGGAATTTGTAGGATGAAAAGGGAGAAACAAGGCATGCTGCGGTTCCTCCCCTTGGCTCAGAGTTTGACTACAGTGGCTTGCAGGTATAAAGAGCTCTGAAAAGTACAACTTATAAAACATTTACGATCTTTGCATGGGAAATGGGCCCGTGTTAATGGTCCTTTCAGATTTGTTATTAGAATCAGCATTACGTTCAACCCTTGACCGGTGTGCTTAGATTTGGTTTCTTATTTTTGTTTACATATATAAACAATACACTCTTAAATATCACTAGATCATTAAGAATGAAGATCTCGAGGAGTTGAAGGAGCTTGGTTCTGGTACTTTTGGAACGGTGTATCATGGGAAGTGGAGAGGATCAGATGTCGCCATCAAGAGGATAAAGAAGAGTTGCTTTGCCGGGCGGTCATCAGAGCAAGAGAGATTGGTGAGTTGTTTGCGGATCATGCCTATGCATTTTGCTTTTGGCCATGCCTAAAATTCATTGTACATTGATGTGTATACCTGATTTTCTGCAGACTGGTGAATTCTGGGGGGAGGCTGAAATTCTTTCAAAACTTCATCACCCGAATGTGGTAGCATTTTATGGTGTTGTAAAAGACGGGCCTGGGGGGACATTGGCGACCGTGACAGAGTACATGGTTGATGGTTCTCTAAGGCATGTTCTGGTCCGGAAGGACAGGTAAAGTTCTGCTTAATAGGTCCTCTGATATCAGTTTGATGGGTTCCAGTTCATTTAACTTATGCACTCGTGTCTTCTATTTACATGGCCAGGCATCTTGATCGTCGTAGGAGACTAATCATTGCCATGGATGCTGCATTTGGAATGGAATATTTGCACTCCAAAAACACTGTTCACTTCGATTTGAAATGTGACAATTTACTTGTGAACTTGAAAGATCCTTCTCGCCCAATCTGCAAGGTAACACGATTTAGGTGACCCTTGTGTAGAAAAAAAATCAGTTGAAGATGATGTTTGAACAAATCAGATTAATATCCACATGCTAATCTACCTCAGGTTGGCGACTTTGGTTTGTCAAAAATCAAGAGAAATACATTGGTCTCTGGTGGTGTACGTGGAACCTTACCATGGATGGCACCAGAGCTTCTAAATGGGAGCAGCAGCAAAGTTTCAGAAAAGGTAAAACATTCATGATATAGTTCCCAGTGAACGTCTAATAGCTACTTTAATTTCTAGAATGATGAATCCTCTGCACGAGTTGCCTATCAATTTTTTTTTGAGATGGAACTTGTGTTCAGCTTCTTGACTGAGAATGGAAACAAACTATAGGACCTGTTACAGAGTTAACCAACCGTATTCTACTTCTTTTCTCACAGGTTGATGTCTTCTCCTTTGGTATTGTTCTGTGGGAGATTCTTACCGGAGAGGAACCATATGCCAATATGCACTACGGGGCCATAATAGGTGCGTGCAAGTTAACTCATGGTCTATAGGGTTTCTGCTTCTTCAGAATGTTGTTGGTATGAAATTTAAAAGTGTGAAAGTACAGGTGGGATAGTGAACAACACACTGAGGCCAACCATACCGGGTTTCTGTGACGATGAATGGAGAACTCTAATGGAGGAATGTTGGGCGCCAAACCCAATCGCAAGACCATCTTTCACAGAGATTGCTGGCCGCTTACGAGTTATGTCATCTGCGACCAAGTCACCTGCTCACAGGGCTTGCAAATGAAAAGTCGATTACAAAAAAAAAAAGAGAGCCAATTCTTTATATTTTTCGGTTTCCACTTTTAATAATACTCATATTTCTTAGACTATTTTCTCTTTTTTTATTTGTTCTCTGTTTGACAAAAACAAGAAAGAAAAAAGTGAAATATATAATCATTTGGAAGGATTTTGATATATAGTCAAGGTGGTGTACAAAGACGACGACTCTCTTGCAAGGCTTTTATCGGGTTCCCCTGTTATCGAACAACCAGTGGTTGAACGACGTGATGAGCATGACAACTTGACAAACTTTACCGTGAAGGTGCCTTCATTGAAATATTTGAGTTATAAGAATAAGATAATTATTTTGAAATATATCTTAATTCAAAACCAATCACCACAAAATCACAAGCACACATCAAAATAGGTGGGCTAGTCTTATCATCATCATCAATTTCGGTTTACTTACCCGGTTTAAGCTCTTTGACCATGTCGTGACTTTAATAGTGTATATGCAAAGGCTTTGAGTCATTCTCTGAAAATAATCAATCAAGTAATTCTCTTCCTCCTCCGTGATCATCTTCTAGTCTCTGATTTAGTATTTGTTCCAGCTTGCGGTGTACGCTTCTAGTTAGGGATTTTATCATCTTAGCTTTTCCCGTAACAGTCTCGTAGATTAGGGTTTTGTTGCATTGGGCACTATGGGATGGTTAAGGGTTGATCCAGGTTGTCTGAGAATATGTGATTTGCCCGACGATTTGCTATTGCGGATCATACGCTTCTTCCCGGCAAAAGATGCAGTGGCCACTTCGATCTTGTCTAAACGATGGAGTAACGTCTGGAAGATGCTGCCTAGACTCGACTTCAGAGAGAAGCAAGGCAGCGAGAGCGTTGGGTGGTTTATTGACAAGTCACTGCAACTTCTTAAGGCACCGAGACTATTTCTCCTGAATGTCGAACTGGGTCCACGATGTCCTGTTGACGTAGATGTCAGAAAGTGGGTTGAGAAGGCAGTGAAACTCGGTGTGATAAGCTTAGTTTTCAAGCTCCTCTGGACAGGAGAGCCCACAAGCTTACCTAAGAGCCTTTACACATGCGACACGCTCGTTACTTTATCTCTATCCAACCAGATTCTCGTCGATGTTTCTTTCCCGGCTTGCCTGCCATCTCTCTTATCTCTGGAACTTATCAAGGTGGTGTACAAAGACGATGACTCTCTTGCAAGGCTTTTATCGAGTTCCCCTGTTCTCAACGAACTACTGGTTGAACGACGTGATGAAGATGACAACTTGACAAACTTTACCGTGAAAGTACCTTCGTTGAAAATATTATGTTATACTAATACTCGCGAGGAAGAGGAAGAGGAAGAGGAAGAGGAAGAGGAAGAGGAAGAGGAAGAGGAAGAGGAAGCGGAAGCGTAAGCGGAAGCAGAAGCAGAAGCAGAAGCAGAAGCGGAGCATATTGGGTCGTTGGTGATAGATTCCCCTGCATTAACAGATTTAAGCATAGATGTGGATAGGGGAGAGTATTGTAGTTTGATAGAGAATATGCTTTGCCTTGATGAGGTATACATCGGCTATGTTCCTAACCATGATGAAAAGTTCCTGACATGTCTTTCTTCTGCCAGACGTCTGTGCTTGCATTTATCCGAATCAATGGTATCACCCGGGCCCGATTTCCTCTGTTCCTTGTTTCTTATTGGTTAACTAATCTTTTTTTTTTTGGTTTATTGCAGGTTGCGTGTTGTAACGCCATTAATTTCTATCGGCTCGTGGATTTAGACGTTGCTGCAGGAGAACCAGTAGATTGGTTGAAACCACTTATTTTGTTGCTTCAAAACTCTCCTCAACTGAAAACTCTTACGATCGACGTCGACACCTCTGTAAGTGCCCTCATCCCATAAAATATGCACATCTAGTTTTTGATGAATTGAAGCATTAAATGAAAATGTAATGGTACCAGGGGCCGTGCTCGTGGAACCAGCCGAGTACTGTTCCTCGATGCTTATCTTCTCATCTAGCGATTGTTAGGTGGAAAAACTATGGAGGCAAAGAACATGAGAAACAACTACTGACATACATTCTCGCAAACTCAATCTGTTTAAAGACAGTGGAGATCGATCTCTCACTTATACCAACCTGCGATCTTCAAGAGTGCCAAAAGGAGTTGGAATCTATGCCGATGATTTCACCGTCATCTAGGCTTCTTTATTCTACCCCTGATGCCCAATGAGTATTTTAAATTTACTAGGTATTTCCCCGCACCTTGTGTTATTAAGTTATTTCAACAGAATTTTTATTTCATTTTAGTGCTCAATGGTGTTTCCCTTTGTTCATCAGTGTGACTCTTTTCTCTAGCTGTGGTTTACTAGAGGTTGTAGACACTATTAAAGAGATTAGCGATGTACGATAAGTTGCTTCAGTCTCTCTACACTGTCTTTAAATACTTTTTATTTAACCAATGTAGCGCCAAACTTCCACTAGTAAAGGTTGCAACTCTAATTAGAGGAAGAATGGGATTTACTTATGATGAAAAAAAGGAGCTCGCATATAGAAATTCAAAGCTGGAAGCTTTCCTTGATGGGAACTTACACTAATAATAATGTTACGATATCATCAAAACACAGAGAGAAACAGAGTACAAAATTTGTCAAACTATAAAAGATTCTAAACCAATGATGGGTGAAACCAGTACTACATCACCTGCAAAATCCAAAGCTCTTTTAAGATGAACATGACAAGAGTAAAGGCTTCTTCTAGCTTCTGGGCAGTGGTGCAGGACGTAAATCAATTGGCTGATAGCTCACCCGGTCCTTGTGAGGCAAAGGTTCCTCCTGAAACGTTACCAATAGTCGGATTACTACGCTTCTAGACTCAAAATGGGACAAGAAGATGTAATATTAGTAATAAACTACGTACCTCATCTGCGTCTATCTGGAACGGCTTCACAAAATCCTCAAACATCAAAGGAGAAAGATCCTTCATTTTGCCTTCAACTTCCTACAAGATGTAAACAAAACTTCTTAGTCTGAGGTTGTTTGCTGATTTAAGTAGATAAGATAACAAAGTCAATCAAGAGTTTCAGATACCATACCAATCCAGTAATCCTTGACCGTTCGAGTAACTCTCTTGTGATCAAGTCCAGAATGTGCCTGTTTGCTCTCAGAGCATTCATCGCAAGCTCTTCAGTTTCCTCAATATACTGTCACCAACATTCAAACACTGGTTATACCCACATGGGAGAGTTTTAATTAAGATTGGGAATGCAAAGTCAAATAAAGATTACCCTTGTTAACTCGCGTGTGAATAGCTCGGATACTTCAACAGACAAATCTGCCGGCATTACATGAGGATGGTCCCACTGACATTTTTCATATAACAGAAAAAAAAATGCAATGAGATACAGAGAACGTGAGAGATCAATTACAGTCTGTGATAAATGGATATACCCGGTATTTTATCAGCTCGCCGTCTGGGTTATCCGGTAAATCCACCATTCCTATCTTTTTTACCAGTTGAGTGAGACCTAGTCTCGCATTTTGGGGACTAATCACCATTTCTCTTGCAATCTGAAATTACAGTTTCAGATTCTTACTTAAAATGGAAGACTTTGCAGTTACCTAGATCTTATATTTGCAAGACAGAGAGAGCAAGAGAGCTTACTTTTGTTATCTTCTCCAAATCATCTTTTCCTCCATCAGTGACATCATCGCCGAAAACCACACGTTCAGCACAGCGTCCACCATGAGCTACCACCATTTGCATCTTCATATAACCAAATGTTGTGTAACCTTGGTCCACCATGTCTTCACGTGGATAGAAAACCGATACAGCAGTTTCCTGTAAAATTCAAGACAATGGTTGATTCAATCCACTATTACACTGCGTTGACTGTTCAAACAACAAATTTCTAATAACTGCACAAGAAAGTTCTGAAACGTAACCTTGCCACCAGGAAGGAGCTGAGAAAACGCATGCCAGTCAAATCGCGGAAACAAATGAGCCAACACTATATGACCCGCCTCATGAACAGCCAGAAGTCTCTTCTTTTCGTAAGATACCTAATATCACATTAGCTTTAATGGTAAGGGATTTTTTAGATCTGTGGCATCATCGTATGGTTTTGAGATAAATAGTACAAAGGATGTCGGTACGAACACTTTGTTCACATTTCTGTTGCTCCTCCTCTGTAAGGAGCACACCCATACCCTCAAGCAATTGTTTATCTAACACATCAACAATATCTTGCTGATATATATACGACCGTCCCTTCCTAACCTGTATAATCGAGTTAGAAATAATCAAGGATGCTTCTCTAACTATTGCATAATTCTGATGGGAAGGTGAGATCCAGTTGTGAGTTAATTACATACCGACATTATAGCTGCTTCATTAACAAGATTCCGGATATCTGCTCCAGAAAAGCCAACTGTCCGAAACACAAGCTGAATGTAGAAAAAGGAGAAGAATAGTTATGAACGAGCAAACACCCATCTCAGGATCACCAAATAGCAGGAAAACTACTCGCCTTCCCAAAATCTATATCTTCAGCAAGGTTCTTCCCGGCGCTGTGTACTCCAAATATTTGCACTCTTTGCTTTGCATCAGGCAAACCAATATAGAGTCGACGGTCAATGCGTCCAGAACGGACAAACTCCAGGTCGAGTTCATCAGGTCTATTGGTAGCACAGATAAATATCACAGCTTGTCTCAGAGAAAACCTATCGATACCTGTCTTCTCCTTCCTGCAAGATGGTACAATTTAAATGTATAAAAATCCTTAATACTAACTCCGTGAAGATCTTAGAAAGTGGGGAGGAACCAAAGAATAAATGTGATGAATATTGATAAAGAAAACATATATCTCATCATAGTTTCTGAACAAGTGAAGACTCTTACTCCCCATCAAGCTGTGCAATTAATGCTTCAAAAGTTGCTCTTCTTCGCGGATCTTTCCGAGCATGTCTACCAGCAATAGCATCTATTTCATCCACAAACACAAAAGCAGGTGCCTGGAGGCAATATATTTATAAAATCAGATCTACAATAGTAGTGCGAGAAGAAGACAACTATACCAAATCAGCTTTTATACACGTAACTAAGAGTGCTTACATTTCGTCTCGCGACTGAAAACATCTCATTGATCTTTGCAGCACCACTTTTTTCACTGTCTGTGAACTCTGCACCAGATGCAAACACAAATGGCAGCCCACTTTCCTTTGCAAGTGTTCGCGCAAAAAGTGTTTTTCCAGTCCCAGGAGGTCCAGAAAGAAGCACACCCTGACTCAAAAACGAAATCAGTTTGACGGAATAAACTACTATTCACATGTTAATTTGAGTCAAGATGTATTTTACCCTGACAAACGCCACATCTTTCTCATAGTATTGCATTGGGTTTCCCATGTAGATCATTAGCTCATCAAGAAGATCCCAAACATCACCGCCTAGTACAACTTCCTTATACATCGATTTTGTCTCACTGACATCTCCAACCGGCTGGATGAAAATTAAAACTTATAAAGTGTGGACATGTTTGAAGAAGGTCATAAAACCAAGAAGCAAAAAGGTTACTGTTCTAGTGTACGATGATTTACCATTATAAAATTTTCCGCATAAGCCATATCAAACAGCTGATTATATTTCTTGTAGAGAAACCGCTTGGATGTGATGAGAAGAAGCATGGCAGATTCTCTGATAAACCATAGAATTAGTATCCCAGGCAGAAGTGCAATGAACACTTTCATGAAGTAGTGGATCTGCCTCTTCTGAAGGAGATCCACCTCAACTCCGGAGTTGGAAATAGTCTCAAACAAGTACGGATCTAAGGGAATGTCAACCTAGAAATGAAAAGGATTCATAATGGTAAATGTAAATCATTCAGCTTCAATATTTGCAACTATGAATTTTTTTACTTACAATATATTCTAGAGGGAAACCTTCTTTCATCGTCACATACAATTTCTTTAGATCTTCCGTGAAGACAACAGCTGAAACCTGTTAAACACACACACACACACAGTGGATATTGCATCAACAAGCTCAAGAACGAAGAAGTCAAAAGATATAGTCCAGCTTCTAAATAATTGCTTTGGAAAAGGGAAATTATTTCAACTTATATTCTATTCCACAATGAATACACCGTCATCTATTTGTTTTTCAGTTAAGAAAATTCAACTGGATATATTGACAGATACCCATCACAATTGCAAAGCCGAATAAGAGTAGAGGTTAGAGCTGTACCTCAGAAGAATCAAGCTTCTGAAGAAAGTAGGTATAAGGAAGCTTAGGGCGATATCGCCACCATCTCTTTGATATCCAGAGAGCTCTAGTTCCCTCGGTTTCATATGTCCTTTCGATAACATCTTTGCGAAGACTTTTCTCTACCTCTTTCATATCAAATTCAACAACATACTTAGCCATTGAGGAGTTTAACTGCTCTGATATTTTTTCTCTCTCCAACATTTCCTTCCAGCTTGCAAGCCTTTCCCGCCAAGTACCTACACTGTCTCCAGTTTCACCTATCATAGAAGGATGCATAGAGAGTTAGATGGTCAAATGCCAAGGTTATAAATGCTACTCTATCTTGAATTTCATCTACTATAGAGGAATTAAGGTTCAAGAAATGCTGCTCCTCAAGAAACTTGATTAATGAGAGAGTAATTAGATCATCAAAAGCAAAAGTTTCTTACATCAAATCACTTAATTATTGTATGACTTCAACTGTTCAACATGAACAGAGATGATGAAATTAATAACTTAGCTACTATATTATAAGAAGTTTTAACCAAGCAAAACGATATTTAATGCAAATCAAATCAAATGTCTCCATCTAAATGTATATGGACTGACCAGAGACACCCAAATCTTGGCTTAGTTTCTTCTTTGCCTCTGTCTGAATCCTAGCATTTCTATCAATTATTTGTTTTAGAGACCCCTCTGTTGTCTCTAGATCCTCATCCCATGCATTTTCTCCAACATAAGTACTATCGTGGACAAGTGTTCCATCAGGCGCTTTAATGAACCTTTTTAGTTTCAAGCCTTTAGGTGTTGTCTTCCTCCACATATTTCTCTTAAACCTGAAACGCCAGAAAAAAAAAAATCAGGACATACTAGCAACTCGTTAACTAAATACAACATGATGTATTCTTCCCACTCTTGATGCTTTAGATGCCTCCATAGCTGAGCATGCACTTGTCTAAGGATGATACCATTGTTTATATTATAAAAACCAAA